CGGAGTCCTGCAAGTGGAAGCGAACGCGCCACCCCTCGGGCGCCCATCGGGGCGCCCTATGTGGTAGCCCGCTGGGGATGGCGCGGCACTGGCCATTCCTCTACTTCGCGACGCGCGTCCCCGTTGTGGTTGCGTTCGAATGTCGCGAGGAGCAAGCCCGCCCGGCCTCGGAAACTGCTCCGACCGCCCAATGCCCTCCAAAGATGCAAGGTCTCTGCACGGGGGCCCCAGCCCCCGTGCTCGGACCTTGTTTGTAATGCTGTTCCTCCAAAAAAGTTAGACCTACAATGTTTTTTTCTTGGATACTGTCGTTCTGGGCACGGGTGTGCAGAAGGAATAGCATTGACGAGGATGGTGGACCCGTGGTAAGGATTTAAGAAGTACCTTTTTGGATCATGATACGCAAGAAATTTCAACTTCATGTTGCTTGTTGGACGACGCGCATGGTAGTGGTACTCGATTATTGCAGAAATCGAAAATCGATAATGCCACGCATGATGGTTTTACAGCTTATCATGCAAAAATGTCAAGTCGAAATAAAGCGAATTATCAACATTTTACAACACTCGCCAGAACAACAATCCCCGGCAGGACTCGGTTTCTAGCAATGTGTCCTCCGTTCTGGGCACCAATGACCACCAGCAGGCATTCTTTTCCCGCTACTACTTCGAAATGCCCTGCGACCCGTATGAAAGTGCAAAACTCCCCCTCCCCCTCATTTGTCATGCAAAATAGCCTATCCACCCGTTGCTTCTTGGCACTGTTACTGTTTGCATGACAAGTTCTGGTAGCCCAAAAAGCACGATAAGTACTCCGGCGCAGATCTTTTATGCAAAACTGGCACTCTTGCTGATGCTTGTATTGCCGTTCATGCTATACAAATGAGGGGGAGGGGGAGTTGTGCACTGTCATAAGCCGTTGGGACACCTCCACCCGGTGCTCATTCCCCGCCTCGCGGCCCTGGAGGAGCACACGGCGCAACTCCCCCGGCCGCCCAGCGAGGCGAGTTCGATCGGGACCGGGGCGATCATGATGAATCAGGGACAGCATCTGCTGCGAGACCACCACAACCCGCACCACAGAGGGGGTAACTATGAACTGCAAAAGTATCGTACTCGTATAAATGCATTACAAATAATTTCCTCAGCATGAGAGATAAAATTTGTAATGCGGATTTACCTTGAGAAAAAAACTTGTAATGCATGACTGCAATACGAGTGCGATACTTTTGCACAGGATAGTAACAACTCCAGCTCGATTTTGTCTGGGATAGTCGGCGCATCCCCTCATGACAACGACTCGCAGACTATCCTGAGTAAAAACGTACCCACACCAGAGTTGTAATGCAGATTTGCAAAGACAGGAAGACTTGTGATGCGCATCCCCATGAGAGCCATTTCCAATCGTGTTTTGGAATTTGTGATGCTGTGAACAGGATGAGGAGGTGGATTTGTTATGCGGCTTCCCTTGCTAAACTGCACTACAATACAGCCTGCAACTTGTCATGCGTGACTCACAAAACTCCTAGGTTTGTGTTGCAAAATCCCCAGCCTGACTCTGGTGTGGGTACGTTTTTACTCAGGATGCAGACGTCGGGACAGAGCACGCACCGCGTGAATAGCTTTTCCTCTGGGGTCGGGAACGTCGTCGCGGTACTTTTTCAGCGTTGCTTCGCTGTCAAACTCAAATTATATTCTCGGTATGTACAACTTCTACTTACGTAGGGACAGAACTGCATCAAATGAAACTTTTCAGACATGTTGATGCTATTTGCAAATTCAAAGAAAACCAAAAACTCAAATTCAACAGACGACGACGATGCTCGCTCGCGAGCAGCTGAATCGGTTACGCATGTCGCGTATCAACTGCAAAGTGTCTGGGTCTGGAAGATTGATGCCAGGTTTGTCATGCTTGTCTGGCATGACTCATAAATCTGTAATGCATGAGCAGGAAAGGGCGTCTTGCCTGTTATGCAAAAACGCAGCTTGCCATGCCCATGCGGAAAACGAAACTAACACAGTAGCAGCTGAAAAATTTGTCATGCTTGGGTGCGTGTTACAGCCCGCCCACCAGTCACATTTTAGCATCACAAGTTTCCAGGCCCAGACATATTTGCATTTGATATCGTGCGCGGACTGGGAGGTGAGAAACGAAATGGTGCAATTTCACCGGCATCTGGTGTGTATGAATTGCAAAAGTAAAAACGTACTACGTATAAATTGCAATACAAAAAATTGGCTCAGCATTACAAATTGAATTTGTCTCAGCATTACAAAGGACTTACTCTCAGGATTCAGTAGCTGTATATGTCAGACAGTAACTCGTGCGCCATAAGACGCGAGCAAAGGGTTGAATTTGTAATGCGGATTTGCCTTAGGAACTAGATTTGTATATGCATAAATGCAACTACAAGGAGTACAACTACTTTTGCACAGGATAGTGTCCAAACTAACCGAAATCACAGTCTGCGACCGGCGGGACCAGCGCAACTATTTTCACCCGCACGTGTATCCGAAGAAAAAAACTGTTACACATTACACATTGTGTTGCAAAACACGCAAGACACACCACCTCTGTCATGCGCAAGATGCTTGCGGGCCTTGTTTCATGTGTGTTTTGCCTATATAATGATCTCTGCATTGCAAGTTTTCTCTGTCATGCGAGGCAAGTTTGTGATGCAGAATGCACTACAGATGTGTAACTGTAACACTTTTTTCTTGGGATAACGTAAACCCGCCGCAGTGGCAACCGACGACATGGAGTCACGCGGTTCATCATGGCGCAGCTGCCTCGTCAGGAGGACCCACTGCCGGCGGTGCAGTAACAGCTTCATCTTCGGGCTGCAGCGTGACCCCGGGGGGCAGTAGTTTCCTGCACCAGTCAGGAGGTGGCACTGCTGGCGGCGGCAGCGGTGTGTTTCTGCAGCACCAGCACTCGGGCGCATCGACAGTCGGGTCTTCCGCGGTTTCTAGGGTTGTTGACAACCAATACCCAGATCGATACGGATGGGAGCCGCCGCCGTCGTGTTTTTACACCACAGCTGCAGGAGGGGGGCAACAGCAACAAAACCAGCACCTATTCCACCCCACCCGGGGTAGTACTACGGGAAGCACAAGCAGCTACACGGGCGGTGGGATGGTGCATCAGCCGCATGGTACTACTCCTGGCGGAGCTGGGGGCGGGAGGACTACCACGAATGCTTCCAGCAGGCATGACATGCAGCGGAGCGGCACTGCCAGTGCAAACTTTCCCTGGGTCCTCTCCGGGTCGGCCTCCCACGATCGGCTGCCAACGATGACGTGAAGATCACGCAAGGTGGTGCGGTTTTACGTGCTGTGCCATTTGTCATCGATCGAAATGCATCAATGTGGTTCGCCAGGAAGAAGCAGTTGTGTGAGAAACAAAGTTTGGACCGGGGTGGGGTGCAACTTTTTATTTTATGAAGGGTGCAGCTTCATGCCACACTTCTACATGATTGACTTCGAGAAGTATCAAGCAACACTTTTCACTTCTTACCATTCAGAGAATATAGCACGCGACTTTTTATTTTCTTGGATTTTTACTTTTTTTTTATTTTTTCTATCTGCACAATAATTTGCAATCGATATAATTTTGCGAGCAACAGCAACGCAAGTTGACTGGCGCGCGCGACGTTGGCGCAGAAGCATTGTTTCTGCGACACGCAAGAAAGAAATACAAAAGACGACAAATATGTCCAATTAGAAGTTATATATAGTACTACCACAGTACTTGTTACTCACCAGCGAAAGCTGCAGCGCATGTTGGTGTCTGCGCTCACAGTATCGACTTGAACCGTATTTACTATTATTTCATTTGCTGTTCTCTAACGACGGTGCTCGCGGAGCCACTATATTTTTGCAGTGTTATGATGACTGAATCTGAAACTATAACTAATCAAACGCGAACCCGAAACGCGAACGCCACGGCTTCTTCATTGGCAACCACTAGGAATAAAGAAGCATTCTCAGTAGAAAGCACTTCCACCGAACTTGAAGATGATAGTGAACAATTGGTGTTTTGCTTGCGAAGTGTCATATCAGAATGAGGCGGTTTTCCCCTCTTCGGCACCCACCAGCATTGTATATTTGGAAGTTCTTATTTTTGCGACAAAACACAAAGACACCGACTTTCCTCACGAACAAGAAACACTCCGCTACGAGTACAAACTGTGTATCAAAAAGCAATGCCAACAACGAGCCTTGAGAAAATATCTAACGACAACGAGCTGCTACCTTAGAGATAGTCCACCAAAATTTAATACGAAGATTACAAATTATTATTATCACGATAAAAACTTTTCCGTTCCTGTCCACCCTGCGCCTGTAACTACGTACTTGTTACTCAAAAAGAAGGCCGCGAGGACCTGCACCTGCTGGAAGCAACAACTTTTTCGCAGCGTAGGGAACGAAGTAGAATAGGGAAGAGCAAAAATAAGCGTAGCTTGCGAAACGCAAACTGCATCCGCGAGCACATGCTTTCAGCACAGCAGAAGAGTTAATATTTATTAGCCACTGGTGGGTAATCTCTCGGTTCCGGTTGTCCTTGTGCTGTTGGTATGGACAGACCTTTTTTGCCTGTCATCAGAGGTTTGCTCAGCGTCAGCCCCTCGGCGCTTTTTCTTGCAACCCTTTTTCAGCGACGGCACCAAACGGCTTTGTCCTGTATCGATTCGACATCCCTTTTTCTTCTACTCTGCGGTACTTCTATGCTGTGCAGCAGCCTGTTCCTGCTAATTTTGTGTCCGCGACTCCAGGACCACCTGCACCGTCGAGCTGTCCTGTTTGTCGTGTGAACCGATTGTGAACAGGAGGAACCGGGCGTGGTTTTGAGTCGTGTATCACTCAGACTCACTGGACAATGAGCTCAAAATAGGTCTGCACTGCGACGCCAACGAACAGAGGAAAAGTAAAGAATAAAAACGAAGAACAAAAATTAATGAGCTCAATTTTATTTATTTTTCATTTTCTAATTCTAACCGGCTCCGGCAGTCGCAGTAGCAGTACAACTACAATTGGAACCTCTTTGCGCCAGAGATCATGCTAAGGCTAAGGGCGGAGAACTGTCGCTGTCGATTTTTTCTGCTGGTTAGGTAAGTATAGTACAAATTAGATTACGTACAATAGAAGCGCAGCTGCAAGGAAGTACTATGTTGACCACGATATTGGCCGGGAAGAAGTCAAACAAAAGTTGTGAGGAAGGAAGGCGGCGCAAGAACAGCGACATAATTGTGCAGCGACTTGAAATCTCAATTACGATTTCTACTTTCTCTCTGTTGCAGGACTATTCACTCTACCTTGAGACACCAGAATTTGATGAAGCGATTGGATTGACACAAACGACAGGAGAGAGAGCAAAGGAAGTGAGGCACAGTCCGCAGCTTTTTATGTTTCTCTTGTTCTGGGCACTGAAACAGTCGAAGTATGCGTATGCGTAATTGTATTTGTATTTTTAATTCTTTTGCAGATCGCAACATTATTCTTGAGTCTAGAACAGGGCAACTAGAGTTGCAGGCCTAAGAACAAGTCGTCGCGCGAAGACGCTTGCCAAGCAACACGAACAGGAACGAACAAGGATAAGCAGGAGAATGAACTCTCGCAACTTTTATTTTGCGATTTCGCTTCGTTATTGTTTCTTGCCATTGACCTTGGCTTTTTTCGCTTCCGTGGTTCCCGAATCCGGCGATAGGAACACAATGTAGTTGTTCTCCGACTTCTTGTGTCCTTTTCGAAGGGTAGTACAATTGTCTCAAGACAAAGTAAGACGATCTTCATCTTCGTCTTCCCCTTCCGCTGTGTTTCATACGTTCCACATGAAGAAAAAAGCACATATCTTTGTCGGCGGCGATGTTCTTGCTTATAACATTGTCTGACTGAGTGTGCTGTGGCACACTAGCCTTCTTTCATGTCCCCAAATTGATGCCGGCGTTTGTTTTAAGGAATTCCCATTCCCACAAATACAGGTCTATTTCCATATATACAGGTCTATTTCCATTTTTGTCATTGTCGCTGACGACGTAGACAACAAGAGCCATAAATTTCGAATACCATTTCAGTTTGATTGGTGAAATACATGTCTCGCCCCGACCCCGTATGAGGCAAAACAAGCATATTTGATCTTATTCTGTCTTTGACGGAGGTTAAACTAATCTAAAATAAGCCCCAAAATAGAATATCAGATGCCGTAGAGAAAATGGTCCGTGCCGTCGTTCTCTTCCTCCACCTCCCCGATGCGGAGCAGAAAATGCGGATTCTGCTCCGCGAAATCGATTCAAATGCAGCCGCAACAGCAGGACGTCGACGAGAGGGGAAAATGAAGGAGCAGAACAAAAGTTCCGATTTCGAGGACACCGCGGCCTGCGCGTGCTGGTCTGCGAACCAGTATGGCGCTCTCAACTGTTACATTCTCAACTGTTACATGATTTGTCATGCAAATTTACCACCAAGATCGCCACGATTAAGCTGCTTGGCATGACAAATATCCGAAGGGCTAAACAGCACGTACGTCCGTACCAAATCTGTAATGCAAAAGGCGCAATCTTGTCCCTTTCACTTTCGCCGTTCTTGCATTACAAATTCATGTAACAGTTGAGAATGTAACATTTGAGAACGCCATAACCAGCTCCACGAACTTTTGCTCACCGAGGACGAAGCCCTGCTCTCTGCCGCCTGGACGCAGCTGCGTGTGGGCGACGTGGTGCACTTCAAGCGCAACGAGTATGAGATCAACAGCAAGAAGAACCAAAGCGGCGCGGGGATTTATGTGGAGCTGGAAGACGGCAGGATGCAGAAACTGGAGCACTTTGTGCGCCGGAATATTACAGCTGCATTAGGTGCAGCTACTGAGCATAAAATATTGGCAAGTGCTGCTGTTGAGGAAAATCCAACTTCAAGTTTATTCCACGCAAGGAACTACAACAAGAGCTGCAGCAGTCAAGTGGCCGCCCCTTTGCCTTTCTCAGGGTTCGAGCGCGACCAGGTAGATGTTGCTGAAGTTCAAGTTGGGAACAAGATGGAAATAAAATGCAGCGTATTTGGCAAAAATCTCGAAACCTGTAAAGCTACGAAGAACTACATCAAGAAGGCTGAAGATGTACCTGAAGGTGATTACTACACTGCCCTCCGCGAGTACTGCGCCATCTTGGACCAGATTCAGAACCAGAATCGGTTACGGACCTATTTTCGCTTGTTGGAACAAGAGCAAGAGGAGGAAGTCGTGGAGAAAGAGAATGAGGAGCATGAAGTGCAAAGCAAGTTGGGCCGCGAGGACGATCAGCACGTGACCAACTTTTCAAAAAATTCCAAACTCCTCGAACTTCTCATCATCGGAAAGTTTTTCGTGCACGGTCCGGAAATCGGCGACTACTGCTACCAAGTCATCGACCGGGATTTTGCTTACGCTACCTCTATCGCGGACTACGCCAGCTTGAGGCACTCGGGGAACTTTTTTCTCGTGCACGTAGTCGAAGAGGAGGAGGAGGAGGAGAGGTGCGATTTTTTGGAGATGAGAACGAACAGAAAAAGACGGAGAACAAACGACGACATGTTTGTGGAGAACAGTGAGGTTTTTATCGGCGAAGACGAAGATGAACATTTTCACGACTCGGACATTGATCCGGAACTTGAGCTTGCCGACCTCCACGACGGCCTGCCACGTGCAATTCTACGAAAGCAGAAGCACAAGCACATCATGGAAAGAAATGAAAATAAGCCACATGATGAACGAGGACGAGCTGCTGGTACAGAAAATTATCGCAACATAGCGAAATATTCTGACACCAGTCGTGCTGGGCCATTTCTACTACCTCGGGGGTCCTCTGGAGGTGGTCTCTCCCCGGCGGCCGGGAACAACAACAGGCCGCCTTTGAAGATGACGTCCTTGTCGAATAAGTCAACCACCATCCCCCTGAAAAAACGGCACCTTCAAGTTGGCGACTCGATGCTGGTGAAAGTGCTCGGCGCGGTGCAAATCGACGTGAATAACAACGACCGGCTGTGTCTCGACCCCTCCGTTCTGTTAAACCCGGTGCTGCGGGTCGCCACTTTTTCCGCACAGCACCTGCGTTATTTGCAGCTGGAGAGGCGGTTCTTCGGTCGTGCTGGTACAACTACTAGCGGGGAAGATGATGCTGGACGAAGAACTACGGCGCAAACAAATCGAGCAGAAGCTGGAAATCGAGCTGTTTTTCCTCCGTCTACAGGAGCAAAAAGTGCTAATATCTTTACGAGACATAACCCGGACGTCGACGAAAATGTCCTCATGGAAGGGGATGTTGTAAAGGGCGAGGATGACATTGTCATCTTGCCAGAGGACTACGACTCTCCACAACGACCAGGAACGACGGCAGGAAAAAGACATTTCTTTGCAGGAGCAAAAATCCTGAAGCGTGAACCCCTGGAGTCGCTCTTCCGCAAGCGATTACGCCACGAGCCTTTTGTCCGCGAAGAAGCGGAATACAACGAGAGCTCCTGCTTCGTGGGGCGAATCGTTGGTAATTACATTAACGGGGAAGATCGTACTATGTCGAGCAAAATCAAAAATGTCAGTCTCAATGCGGGTAGTTGTTCTCTTGATAAGAGTAACAACAAGCGGGCACCAGGACTACACCTACCGGGTAGTGGTCACCAGCAGCCGTTTTGTTTTGGAAACAAAATGAATTTTTACGAAGATGCGTCGTTTACCGTGTACAACCCGCACAGCAAAAACCTGGAGCAGCCTCTCGCGGCAAATGCGTACAAGGGCGGCGGATTAGATGAAAATTTCGTGTGGGAGATTTATATGCACTGCAAAAGTATCGTATTCGTATAAATGCATTACAAATTTCCTCAGCATGAGAAATAAAATTTGTAATGCTGATTTGCCTTGGGAACAAGATTTGTGATGCAAGACTTGCATTTATACGAGTACGATACTTTTGCACTGGATAATTTATTGTGGACAGCAACTACTGTGGGACAGATACCACGCCGCGGATCATGAGTTTCAAGATTCTACAGACCCCGGCAATGCGTTGACGTTGAAGCCGAAATTTGTTCGCTTTGAAAGAATGACCGACGCCGCGATACCTTCAACCGTCGATATGCAAAACAGAAACATGAATGACCAAGGTGAAGAGGCGCATCGTCTTCAACCAGAGTACGTACTCGTCAATGCGACAACTCTGAACGCAGCTTCGGTGAAGACCGCTTCAAACACCGGTGCCCGCGAAGAATTATATAATTACGCATCGAGGACCACCAGCGACAAGATTCAGACTGCTTGTCTAGCTTTCCCTAGCGACGGATACCATGTGGCACGGAATTTCTTCAGAGTGCTTTTCCACACACAAAAAAACCGTGACGTCGACGACAATATTAAAGGCAAAAATGCTGTAACTTGCGTTGGGACAGCACCAGAAGTTGTCGTATCTCCCCCTCTCTACTCGTCCGTTTTGTCCCTACCTCACGACGCAAAGCAGGTTTCGTATTTGCAGTATGATTCCGCGATTCCGTTCGATCCGAAATACGGAATCTTGAACCGATTGGACGCCAGGGTGTACTTGACAGATCCGCGACCCTGGGTGATGCCGATGGCAAGAAGAACATCTGCTGGAGGTCGAAATGCAGTTGATGGTAGTTGGTGCGCCGGGACCGGGAGATCTACTGCGGCAGGGTTTTTACTTCCACCAGGCAGCACTGGTTCTTCATCGGGTGCTGGATTTCCACAGGAGCACCGGGACTTCGATCCTCCGCCGCTTCACTCCGTACAAGAGTTTCTCCAGGCGCACCGGAAGTTGAATATCAAATGTGGAAATGTCTGGGTCTGGAAGAGTCATGCTGTTTCTGCATGACACGGAAGGTCTGGCATGGAAGCTCTAGCATCACAGCTTTCGAGAAGCTTCCGCAATGCCGAACCCGCATGACAAATCCCCCATTTTGGTGACAGAGAGTGGGCAGCTTTTGCTACCCATGCATGAGAGATTTTTGTGTGTTCTGAAATGCGCATCACAGGTTACATCCTTCCAGACTCAGACATTTTTGCACAGGATATTGAAAAGAGAGCTGCAATTGGGAATCGTGCCAAGTCAGGGTTTTGGTGCGAACAGTTCTGGAAATTCTTTGAAGGTGAATTTCGGGGGCGGGTCGTGTGGCGGTGTTGAGGGAGCCGCTGCCGCGGCCGCGCGGATCAACATGGAAAGCGCTTTATCGCATGACAAAAATGCACCTAACGGCGGCAAGAGCCACTTGAATGAAAATTATCTCAACAATAATCTCACGACCTCGACGAGGATCCCACTCGGCGCAGCAGCAGCTCCTTCACTGGCGGCGCCGGGAACAGCCAGCTCGGCCTCTTCAGGAGAAGTACAGGCGCAGCGTCACCTCTCTGTATCCAGCACAACTTTCCGTACCCTCCGGCTCGTCCGCGGCAATTCGCCCGACCACTCGATGCAGATAGTCGACGTGTGGCCTCAGAATTTCGAGGAGATGTGTGTGCTGGAAAGAATCGAAGACAAGTACCGACTCAAATCCGTCAAATTTGGGTTCACGATCGAGCAGCGAAAGGAGAGAGTCCCGGTGTGCTTCTACGCGAAAACCTTTCTGCAGAAGGCGCAGCTGCTCGGCTTGCGGTACCCTGAGTAAAAACGTACCCACACCAGAGTTGTAATGCGCATCCCCATGAGAGCCATTTCCAATCGTGTTTTGGAATTTGTGACGTTGTGAACAGGATGAGCAGCTGGATTTGTGACGCGGCTGCACTTGCTAACCTGCACTACACTGCAGAGCTCAACTTGTCATGCGTGACTCACAAAGCTCCTAGGTTTGTGTTGCAAAATCCTCATCCTAACTCTGGCGTGGGTACGTTTTTACTCAGGATATGCGGCAGAAGTGGTTCAGCGAGGCGGAGGTGCGGAAGGTGCTGCGGCCGATTCTGCTGCAGTGGCTGGACCGGTTGCCGTATCCTGTGCAAAAGTAAATCGTATTCGTATTAATGCATTACAAAAAATGTCCTCAGAATGACAAACAAAATTCGTAATGCGGATTTGCTTTAAGAAAAAAAATTGTAATGCATGATCGCAATACGAGTACAGTGCGATACTTTTGCACGGGATATGCCGTTTGTGGAGGGTGCGGTGAAACTGGTGGTGGACGAGAAAATTTTCCTGCCGGAGCTGCGGCGACGAGATCATGGGGGGTGTGTTGGAATCAACGGAGGCGGTGCTGCCCTTCATGGCGGCGGTGGCAATGGTCTGAATGATGAAGATCGCGACTCCGGACAGGCACACGCCTACGCCTTCGTCTGCGTCGATACCAAATTCGGCTGGCTCTAGCTATGTTTTCATCGAACAGGTGGTCGAGAAATTGATGCTCCAAGGTGCTATTTGTAGTAGTTAAGGTAGATCGGTCTCGTGCGCCAACTTACGAAGTGGCAGCACTGTCTTTTGATCACAGTTCCGTACTGTATTCGAGATGTGTGAAGAGGACATATTTGAGTACCTCAATGAAGAATTCCTACATCTAATGAAGAGAGTCAAAAGCCGACGTTTCAACATCAGTATTCGGAAAAAACAAACCGTATCGATGATACTGATCCAAGAATAAACACATGAAGAAAATAAACCATTGCGACTACTACTAAGCATTGATACCATACGCGATTATCGAAGACGAGTCAGTGTTGATGGCCTCTGATGCAGGATGTACTTTGCGAGAGTTGTGTTCCTTCGGGCGGAACGCGAGAAGAACTCGGTTCGGTTTTCGATAAAGCAATATCGGTCTAGTATAACGAAAGATGAGATCATTCACATGAGAATGCTTTTATATTTCATTCTGCGACAAGCTGAGGAGAGCGAGGACGCAACGGGCACCAGTGGATCTGAAAGTAAGTAAAGAGATCACTAGATTTAGAACGACAATTTGTTGAGGAACGGAAGAGAAAAAATCGGTCTCCCTTGTTCATACGCAGGAGCGGCGATAAAAGAAAGAGCCGCAAGTCGTGTTTAGTTTTCAAAGTGAAAAGGCGATCCAAATATCATTTCAAAATCTTGCGCACAGCGACGAGATCTGTTCTAACCACGACCCTAAAACGACTTACGACGACGACGATCGATCCTTCCCCGCGAAGTTTTTCACGATAAATTGTACACGATCTGCATATAGCCTTCTTCTTTTCAAAATCCGAGTATTAGTAAGAATCCCTTAAACATCAAAACAGATCGAGCAAAGTTCATTCATCGCGGTTCGGCAAAAAGAAACGATCATCCTCTCGCATCAAAATCGAGCTAGCAAAATATTAAATTCAACGACGATCTCCGAGCTTGTATAAAAAAATAAAAATCCACCCGCGACGACCCGAAATAAAAGAACCGAGAGTCTTATCTCGCCGATCACTTTTGAAATTGTACCCACTCCTTAACATTTCTCCACCCTGAGAATTCGCTTTTTATTTCCCATAACTTTTTCTTTTCCCCCGAAACTAATCACCAGGTTCTTTTACAGCGAAAATCTTGACTGGGCAGCGTCTTCCTCGTTGAAGCCGTTGACTCCTTTCAAGTGCCGTTTTTTCTTTTCTGAATCCAGAAATAGAATCAACGGTTTTTACTTATTTTTACGAAACTAACAAGATCACAATTATATCGACCACAACATCTCAAAACAAGTCAAAAGACGATCGACAACAAGCTCAACTACAAGTACTTTAATATTTTTAAACAGCATCTTCGCATTAGGTCACATTTGTACAAATATAGGGCGTATTTTTCTTTCGAAAACGGAAAAGTATCTACTCACGACTACGACACTTATTTACGGGTGTAGGAGCCTTCGGTAGACGTACTTCTAGCGGGAGGATACGCAGGCCAGATACTGTACAACTTTTTAACTACTACGTGTAAAATTCTAAAACTATCCAAGACTACTCAACGCACACAAATACCTCCGAGGTTGTTAAGAAGTATCGGGACCACGACCAGAGTAACTCTAGTACAGAGATCCTTTCACAATAAAAATCTTGACAACTTGTAACCTATTCAGCAGTACGCTGCTCATTGTTTTGAACTATAGGATTTGAACTTGGCCGTCCTCACCAAAGTATCCAGCACATTGTACAGAAAATAGCACTACGGCTATTACTAGTACTAATCGCGCAAGAAGCAGCACATCTGGTCCGTTCGCGATCCGTTGTATCTCTCGAAATTGTAGTAAACCACTGAAATAAAATCTATCCAAGAACAAAATGCCGGAACCCGTGACGCCCACCTTGTCTCTGGGATCCACCCCTAGCCCGATGCCGCCGCCGCGGTTTGCTTTGAATAGCGAGACGAACACGAACCCGTCGGTGGGGTTTTTCACGAACACACTGGTCGGAGGTGGAGGTGACAACGATGTGGAGTCCGTGAAATCCGGTCAAAGGCAGGAATCCGCCAACAGCACCACATCGTCCTTCCAGCCTAGTACTGTGCTGAACCAGTCTAGTACTTCGAACAATACAGACACTAACGGCACTACCACTACCGATGGAGACAAGACCAGTGCTGAGGCACCAGCTGCCCCCGTTGACGAGCTCCAGTGTGCCTTTGACCGCATGACGGAAAAGTACGAGAGCATGCTGCACCAGCGCGAGGAACTGAAACAGCAGGTGGCGCAACTGGAGATGGAAAAGGACAACTTCGCGTCCCTGTTGTACGGGTCGTTCTCCAACACGCCCCGAGAGACGAAGTCTAGCAATGGTGGTCTGAACACGCCCTCCACCTGTGCCGATCTCGGGGGCGTCACGCCACGGGAGGGGGAGAGTCTGAAGCTGCCGTTGGGCGGTGCTGGTATGAATTCCACTTGCTCCGGGACTACTGCTGGAACTATCAATGCTGACGGTTCTTGCAGCTCGACCGCCGGCAACGATGGCTCTGCTTGCTCCGGCAGCAACAATTCGACCAACACTTCTTGTGCAACGTCTGGTGGAGCTGCAGGTGATCCTAGTACTACTACGGACGGCCTAACCCTGCCGGAAAAGATGGCGGTGGATCAGAACATCTCCAACCGGAGTACCGTTGTCTTGGACAACGTGGAGGCGGAGAAAAAAGTGGTCGAAAAACAGCGCCAGGAGTGCATGTCCCTGATCCAGGAAAAAGACGACCGCATCAAGCGGTTGGAACGGGAAAACAAGTCTCTCGCAAACACGTTTGCACAGTACATCGAGACCATGACGGCCTTCAGTACCGGGACAGCGGTGGTTAACACGACGGGGGCTGTGAACAGCAGTTTCAACATGAGCAACATGCTTGCTCCGCCGGCGGGGACCCTTGCTGGAGCTCCGACGGAGGCGCTTACCGGCGTCGCTGCTCAACATAATTTCCAGCAGGTGTTGGCGACGACCGGGGGCTCTTGTACTGGTGCTTCTAACCAGCAGATGAACATCACGACTCAGTCGCCGACCTCGGTGTTGAAGAATTTGAACAAGAAGCTGAACAAGTCTGTCCAAAACGATTTTTTGTCGGACACGGGGAAGACGCCGTCGCAAAACTCCTCCAACAGCTGCGACGCCGGGAGCTGTGATGGGGACGGCGAAGACTCCAGCTCCACCTCCGGGGATTCCGTTTCCAACAATGGGGTCGTCACCCCCGCGGGTGGAGAGGTCATGATCTCCACTTCTGTCGGCGATGTTGTTCTTGACAATGCGACTTCTACGCCCAAGATGATGGACCAGAAGACGCCGGTGGCTGCGGCGAAGAAAATATGAACTGCAAAAGTATCGTACTCGTATAAATGCATTACAAATTCCCTCAGCATGAGAAATAAAATTTGTAATGCAGATTTACCTTAAAAAGAAGATTTGTAATGCATGACTGCAATACGAGTACAATAGTTTTGCACAGGATAGAAAAGCTCCAGCGCGGCGGAGGTGGTCATCGCGGCCACCAAGAAAAAACTGAGTATACTTTTTACTTTAACTTGTTTGACAGAGAAAGAAGTTCACGAAGAAGACAACGACTTAAAACCCCCGGATACACATGAGTGAATTGTTTGACAGATGACCGATTCTTGTTTGACTGTTGATTTGCTTCGGTTTATGTTGATGATTTCTCTATCTCTTCTACTTGTTCTTCATGCGATACCCGACTACAACACTGATCCATCGCATCAGCACAAGAGATCACTTCGCTTGTATTTTTTGTGCATTGCCTTTCCAGTTAGCAATACCAATAGCATGACAAATCGAAAAATCTTCTTCATACAAAATCCTCACACAACAACAAACCTACACAGAGGAGCTTGGTCCGTCGAAGAAGAAGAAAAACTCGCCGAAGTCGGGCCCCGAGCGTCCGCCGGGTCTTTCTGAATCGTCCGAAACCCCGCGCACCATTCCCGAAGCGGTCACGCCGCCGCCACCGCAGAAGGCGCCGCCGAGCCCACCGCAGAGTGGTGGAGGCGCTGCTGCTGGGACCGCGGGGAACAACAACAATAATAATACGGGGAACAACAACAACAGTAATACCGGAGGTGCTAGTGGTGCTACTGCTGGGAACAACAACAACAACCAACAGGGAGCTGCAGGAGCTACCACGCAGCCAGGCCTCATCCTGCCGATCACCAAGCGTCGCATCGACTTTCACCAGGGCTTTGAGCACAATAATTCGGGTGGTCGCTCGGTATAGTTTCTTTGTTTCTTATGCTGAATAAAAATGAAATATCAAATTGGAATTGCAGCAATGCAATTCCAATTTCTATCGGGATGAAAATGAATTACGTAGGTGCAGTCTTTCTGATATCCTGGTGTGCCGAAGTGAGGGAGTCCATCTTCACGTGGGTTGCAGTCATCGGCTGAGTCGTGTTCAATCAATAGCAGAGAAATTATCATTGAATGAAATAACAGGCGACGACCAAGCAGTCCGCTCCCGACGCGTCCCCGTCTATGGAGCCGGACAACAACGGACAAGCCTCCGACGGCCGCGCGTGGCGCGACAACAAGGCCTGGAACGAGACTCCCGGGGCGGGCACCTGGGTTGAAACGCCGAACCACTGGAACACCAGTCTTTCCAGCGGGACGGGCGGGAAGATGATGCACGACGGTACTTCTAACGGTGGAAACCACACCACCGCGGCGAACGAAAGTTCCTTTCAGTCCACCACTCCTGGCGGGCAGACGACTGGGAAGAGCCAGTCGGGATCGAAATCCTGCATGAGCGCTTTCAGTTACGGTGGTGCGAACAAGGAGTTTGGGGGGAATAATAATTCTAAGGGTGAGACGAGCAACAACAATAACTCGGCTACTTCTACTCACACCGGAAGTAAGGAAAACAACAGCAACAAGGAAAACAATACTTCTAAGGGCCACGGGAAAAATAACAAGAAAGGAGGAATGAACAAGCACCACCAGCACCAGCAAGAAAATCAAAATCAAAGCCACAACAACAGTACCCAGCAGCACAACTCGAATACGAATGCTGCTGGTGTCAACGGTGCCAACTCTTCCTCCACCACCAACAACAATTTCCTGCACTCGTTCGGGTCTACGATCGGGCAACCGCACCAGCCGGGAAGCAATTCCAAGTTGGAATTCTCGGGAACCAACTCGGGCTTCACCACGGGTAGTAGCATTTTGACCTCGCACAACGCCAACGCCGGCGGGATGATGCAGCACAACCAGCAGATGAACAACAATCAGCAGATGATGAACAACAACTCTCAGCACCAGCAGCCGCAGTCTAATGCGTCCACTCTGTTGACGAAAAAGTCCACGAAGTCGTGGTTTCAACAAACCATGGAAGCGGAAGAGCAGGAGATGCAAATGCAGGAACAAAAAATGAACAACAATTCATCTTCCAGGATGAACAACAATACGCCTGCGAACAACAACCAAAATGGTACATCTCACCAGCCGGTGAGCAGTAGTACTAACAACTACCAGTCCTTCAATCCGCCGCCGCCGCCGGTGTTGCCGACTCCGCAGCAGATTCAGCAGCAGCTGAACTCGCTCCGGGACAACTACAACAACGCGGCTCAGCAGCAGCAGCAGCAGCAGCATCATCAGACGATGGGAACAAGCAACAACCAGCAGGACAATCATGGTGGAATGAACAACCACGGCGCGGCATCAAAAGGGATGGTGTTGACCAGCCAGCAACATGCTGGTGACCACACCAGCACGACGAACAATAAGTACGGCAACCAGAAAGGTGCAGGTGGTAAGAACCAGCACGGAATGATGTTGAATAACGGAAAGCAGCACAACAACAATCCTGGTAATAACAATGGGAACAACAATGGGTCGCAGCAGCAGTGGGCGCAAACTATCGCTAACACCAAGGGGCAAAACCACCAGCAGCACAAAGATCATCATGCGCCATACGGAAGTAACAACAGTAAGGGCGGCGGGAACAATGATAAGTACCACAACCAGCAACCCTCCTCCTCCGATAAGTACAACAACCAAGGAACGAACTATCAGAGTAATTGGGAACAAACCCAACAGCCGGGATCCGGTAGCGGCAAGTACCATGACAAATTCAACGCACCGGCGCAACACCAGCAGAACTCCGGTTCAGCTGCCTTGTCGGGAAAGGACAATTACACCAGCTATTCAGCTATGAACAATAACACTGCAGCTTACAACGCTGGCGGAAAAGGGCAAGGTGGCCAGCACAATTCTGGCAAGGACCATCACAACGGGAAAGATCATAATCGTGGCCAACATAACGCGGCCCGAGATAAACACAACAACACTGGTACTAGTAATTTCGCTGGTGGGAATAATAACTTCGACAACCAGTACCACACGGCCTCCGACCATACTCCTATGAACAACAACATGAAAGGTGGGCAACATGGGCAACATCAGCAGCACCACCAGCACCACCAGCCGAAGGAGTACCCCCCAGTGGGGAATCGGGGCCGAAATGGGGAGCAAAATCCGACGTCTTACAGCAATCAGACGCATTTGTCCCAGACCATCAATTCCTTGTCCAAGGATGAGGTCCACAGCGCGCTTTTGTCGGTTTGCAACAAGTACGAGGTGGAAAAAAGGACAGTCGATTGGTTCTTGGAAGAGCAATTCGCCTGCTACTGGCACCCGATGCTGTTGAAATCGTCGGAGTTAGAACGCCGGAATGAGGACGGATCTATGCGGGTGAAGAACCCCTCCGCCTGGCTGACGAAATTCTTCAACATTTTGCGGAACGACCCCGAGGAGCCGCGCCCACGGACACCCCATGGCACGCCGACGCATCCGTTGAACTTCAACAACGAAAAGGCAGTCAACGTGGGACAGAGTCCGACGTCGAGTTGTGGCGGGAACAATGGAGGTAACGCTGTTGGAGGAACAAAGGGAGGGGACCATACTTCTACCGCGTATCACAACAATTATCAGCACCATGGAACAAGTCATGCGGGGAAGGGAAATAATCACGCGAACAATCTTCACGGCGCGAATATTTCCCATAACAACCTGCAGCAGTACGGGCAACAACAGCAGTACAATCACGATCACAACCAGCAGCAGCAGTACCCTTCGAACAACATGCGGGTGTCCTAAGTAGTTTGCTGGGCAAAGTCTTCCTCAGAAGAGTTGTGCCAGAATGACGTGAAGTGACTGCATTTGATGTCGTTTAGTGGACGAAGGCTCGTCTAGGATAACTTCTTTACTAGTGGAGTGCTGCTCCTTGAGGCTGAGTTGATGTCCAAACCTCGATTAACTAGCTGTATCTGAAGACACTTTTATGTGAAGAGCAGATAGTGATGAGCTTCAGCTTGAAGTTAAACTTAAACGGCAAAACGAACATATGCCTTCAAGATCTACGAGAGACAAAAAAGCACTCGGGTGGAGCAAAAGGCTCATGCTCGGTGTAGAATAGTTGCTCAGCGAGAACATGTAATTATACCGGTTGTTTTTAGATTTACGGAAATAGAGCGCTAGTCTGGTAGTAAGCACTATATGTTTTTTCTGGAAAGATACTTGGTGTACCTGTACTTCTGTTGGATTTGGCATGTTATTAAGGCCTAAGTATGTTTTTTTTTTCTGGCGGTCAAAGTACAGTTCTTGTGATCTCATTACTAGGGGTTCTGGGAGTGAAAGATAATTTTGGTTGAGTAGAAAAAGGATTGAATTTATCGACCTATACAATTCGAAAGTTGAAAAAAGCAAAAAAAATTAAAAGAGCTATTCGAAAAAAATAAAAATGTAACGTATTTATCATTCGCGAGAATAATTCTGACAAGAACGAAAACTAAAAAATGAGAATATCAATACAGCACGATAAAGATAAAAAAATGAAATTGTTGTACTAGCACCTTCAAGTTATTGGGTAAGTTTCGACGCGATAGCACTATCAAATGCAAAAGTGTCTGGGTCTGGAAGAATGCAAGTCTGTCATGCTTGTCTGGCATGACTTGAGAGTCTGTGTTGCATAGGCAGGAAAAAGCCCTCTTACCTGTCATGCAAAAACGCAGTTTGCCATATGGCGCCGTATACTATCTCAACGCTCAACTATCTCAAAATTTTTCAACCCAATATTAAATAGGTAGTTCAAGTAGCTAGTTTATTCAGCTAACACATGATGCTTATGTAGCTAGATTTTTGGCGTGACAGATTAAGTTAGATCAATGAAAGTCGTCCGGTCCTGCTCCGCCGATTTTTTCTAGTCCTGTTGCTTCCCTCATGACCCCTTCCGGACACCCCTTCCGCGAACCCCTGAAAGGTGCTCAAAAAGCTGCATTTTTTCAGTGCGCCCTAGCATCGGCGGAAGCTTATTATTGCCCCCCTCAGCTACCCCCCTCGCCGACCCCCCTTCCGGGGGGGCCCCTCACAGACGGGGTCGAAAGGGGTTCCGGAAATTGACAGGGCGGCGGAGCGGGACCAGACGATTTCTTCTAATATAGCTCATTTGTCATGCAAAACAGTTATCTACTTGCATATAATTCACTATCTACATAAACTACCTACTTTAGATAGCTATATAGAGTTGAGGTAAAAAAATTTGAGATAGTTCGACGTTGAGATAGTATACGGCGCCATATGCCATGCGGAATACGTAAGACACGGCAGCCAAAAAAATTGTCATGCATAGTTGCGTATTGCAGTGCGTCTATCATTCACTTGTAGCATTACAAGTTTCCAGACCCAGACATTTTTGCAATCCATTGGCACTAGGAGCGAACGACTAGCGATCGAGCAGCGAGTTATCCTGTGCAAAAGTATCGTACTCGTACAAATGCTAACGCAAGTCTTGCATTACAAATCTTGTTTCCAAGGCAAATCTGCATTACAAATTTTATTTCTCATGCTGAGGAAATTTGTAATGCATTTATACGAGTGCGATACTTTTGCAGTTCATACGAGTAACGACGAAGCGAAACTATCCTTTACCCGGCGATCCCTTTTGTCCCATACAGTTGTTGCGACAAAAAGCGATTTATAGTACACAAATCAATGCAGTTTACTATGTCCTCTTGCGACAAAGCGATAGTATACAGAAGAACTGCGTTCTACTTTATTTTCGAGTTCTTGTAGCTGATGTTGTGTGCATCTCCTTGAACTTGAAGTACTTGCCGGGGGCGGCGGCAAGAAACGATAAAACTCGACTACGATAAAACCTCTACCACATTTACCTATTTTGGTAGTACAAATTATTTCTTTGAGGATAGCAGGTCGTATTTCAACACTACGTACTTTTGCTAGCGTACTAAAAATGATCAGTTGGGCACATGGCACATCAGCGAATCCCCGTTGGTATGCTGCTGTCTCGGCTACGAAAATTTTTTCGCTACAAAGAAATGTAGTTTGAACGCCGCGTCGACCTCCTGTGGAAAAAGCCGGCTACAGCCTACGGAGGTTTTCTGTAGTAAGTTGCAAGAATTCTTGCTCCGGTTTAGAAAGTAGATACTTACCCGCCTAAGAAGTGCGATGAGATCATTATCTGTCTGTGACAACGAACTATGCAACGAATGTCATGGCTCGTAGGCCCGATAAGATTCGCTGTATATATGAAATATATGGGTTTTTTGTCCGCCGCAAACGAGGAACCTCACCTCCACAGAGAAGATGATCTGATAGATAGCGCTCCTACCTTACAACGATGAAAAATGCTTTCGCTTTCAAAAATCAAATTTTTCTTTGCCCCCCTTAAGCGTCGGCCCAGATAGGACCCCGCTGGTGGCCTCGTTGAAGTGGAAGGCATTGGGCAGGTGAGCAGCGAAGCTTTTTTTTGTTGCCTGAATCACTTCAGTGTGTTGATGTCGTCAGTTTCTTCTTCTCGTTATGTACTTAGCCTGTCGCGGTGATAGGTGGCGCAAATATGCGACCGCGATTGCGCCTGCTTTTCCGCATAGTCCTTTGCTGCCGGGGTGGGCGCCCCGGCGCTGCGCATCGCCGTGAGCGGCATGCTGAGCACCGCCCTGGGGGGCGCGGCAAGTAGTCGGCCAAATCCGGAGGCGAGGTCGGTGCTCCCACTGGAACGTCAGGGAAGTTGCCCCGCAAACTCCTATCCGCAACAGGTCTTCTCTACAGTCCAAGACCTCCTGCGCGGTGCGCAAATTGCCGCGCAGGGCTTCCATGAAATTTGTCACGAAAGGGCGCTGGGTTGTCATGCTATTGGGCGACAAGTTTGCGACGCCATAGATGCCTCCTGCGGGTTCGTGTTTTTTCTTGGATATCCGCCAGCCCATGCAGACACACTAGCAGGAGCCCACCGGTTTTTGGAGGCCATTCGGTCACCATTTACGCACCGAGGCGCCGCTTTCTGACGATGTTCGCTGTCTTTGTTGTGAGGAGGAATTTTCCCTGTGTTGCGATGACCTGAGTCGACATTGTCGGACTTTGACTATCACCAGGAGGACCAAAAGCGTTGCCATTTGTGTTGCCCTTCGGAAGGGCTTTGGCAAGACTTAACGCGCTATAAAAAAATCAAGTGAAAGCGTTTTTTAGTTCCTGTAAAAAACGCTTTCGCGATTTTTGGCCTCCAAAAAAACGCTTTCAAGGGGGGGGGGTATAATGAAGGGCAAAGAGAACACCTGGAGCCAGAATCATCTGGGCTCCCGGGGTTCCGAAATGGTCATCGCTACGGACCCAACGTGTCCGCGCCTGGGCCCAATGAAAACAAGCCCGCTACGTGCCCAACCACCTTGGCCCAACACTTTAGCCGTTTGGGGGGCCGTCGCGCGGTCGCGTCTATCTTCGTACCTGGTGGGCTCGCGCGCCAGCATCGCCACGGCCACGCGTTTGGCCGCGCAATGTTTTCCAAGGCTCTTACAGGGACCCCGGCCCCTTCTCCCTTTTTTTGGAACGAAACTTGCAAGCGCCCAACGTGGGGCGGACACAGTGCGGCAGCTCGAGGCAACTCGAAGACCGCCCGTTGTTTCCATCAGTATTGGCAACCATTAACCTTTGCTGTAGTTCCAAGGCGGAACTATCTCCCATAGCGGCTCGCCCCCATTGACTTCCCTCGCAGGGTGTGGCGGATAGGATGGCGCCCAGGGTGGGCGCCGAAGCTGGGAGGCTTGTGTCGCTGGTTAGCGTCTACCTGCTTCAGACATCCTTCACGGAACATCTCAAGCACTACGCAACTTGCGCCAGCCATCACCGCGACAAGCTAGCTGTGTGCTTTCGTCTTCCCATTCGTCATCAAGAAACTTCATTTGCAAAAAAAGCAACTCCAAGGCTGGAGGAACCGGAGCCGCTTGTGGGGTCGCTGACCGGGATGACGCAGATGCGGTCAGTTGGGCAGGATGCTAGAGACGGGCTGCAAAAAAATTTAAATTTTGAAAGCGAAAGCGTTTTTCATCGCTGTATACCTATTTGTTTTGAATGTGACCGAAGATGACTATTTATGTTTTGACTTTAAATTGTTCTTGTTGTCTGATTGAAAAAAACGATAATATAATCCCTCCTGCTCCCCATTAAAGAACACGTCGCTCGTGGTGGAATTTTTACCAATACTCAGAAGTTGTACTAGCTGCAGAGATGGACTCTTTGAGTCTGCTTCTACCTACATCAAAGGCCCAAGGCAGCAAATTCATCGAAAGGAGGGCAATTCGTTGTCCTGGGTACCATTGATCCACCTAGTACAACTTCAAGTTCAACCCCCGCGGCTACGGTGATGAAGAATTTCTTATCTCAAGACCACTTCTTCGCACAGAGACTAACAGTATTTTTACCTTTTGCCACTTGACGTTTTCCACCTTGAGCGGAGTTTTTGATTACGAAACTACACGACCGTAAGCGGAAGGACAAGGATTTTAGTTGATCCTATCGAATGCTGGTCGCAAAAGTTACACGACACGATCACGAACCGGCTTTATAGTTTGAGGATTGCGCCATATAGAATGAGGCGAAAACTAGATTGGACTTTTCTCAACTACAAGCGGTTTGAGTTGTATTGTGACACTGTCGACGCAAAACATCATTCGGCGACCACCACACTTATTACACCAAATGATCCGAAGTAAGAAAAATAACGATAACCCGCCCGCACATTAGAATCTCGTATATGACATGTGAGCGAAGCGATGTGTGCTTCTTTTGCTCTGGTTTTGCGGGAAAATGATCACGACGGTGGTGATAAAATGGATGAAAAAGAGATTGAAGTTATGTTTCTAGTAGTAGGCTGTAGAAAATGAAAAAAAAACACGATTCTGTTCTGGAGAGAGTAACCTACGTGCGTGATAAAGATTCTGAAAAGACTGTACAGACATGCTGGGGAAGATGAAGCTGCCCACGCCTGCTCAGGGGAACAAACCACTGCAGAAATAACTTAAGCTACAAAAGATTTTGGTTTTTACTGTTGGCTACATACAAGTAGATTTTTCAAAGTTTGCATGGGCGGGACAAGCAGAAAAGTCTGTATGATAGTACCTCGAAGGTGGCGAATCAATTATGAAGCACCATTTGAACAAACTTAACCGCTATCCTATCGCTACCGCGCTGGCGCATAATTCAAGGACAGAGCATACAAAATGTACGATACTACTAGAATCCACTACACTTTGGTCTTTTTTACCACAAACCGCTAGAAAAACGACTTTCTTCGATCGATTAATGAGGTTTTGTGAAAAATTTGAAAAAAAAGAAAACCTAGGGTGAAGGAGGCATGCCAAATGCTGGTCTAGTGGCATGAAGTCAACAAACGGAAGTGTTCGTGTTCCACTTCTTGTGTCGTGCGCCGTCAAGAATAAAGATGATCCAAGGTGGACGTGCTCCTAAACGGATCCTGGTATAATTTTGAGCTTCGTGCGCTGCATTCCGTTAATATTGTTGAGCAATGCCGCATCATCGATCTTCAAGTGATTTAGATTTTGTTTCTCTTTCTGTGCGATAGTTCCACTGACTACCAAACTCTCTGTGGATTTCTATCAGCTTGGCAGACACCTAGGGCCACGCCACCGCGCATTCCGAGGGTAGATCAGACGGACCACAGAAGGGCGTTGCGAGGTGGACAAAAACGGCATCACTCAAGCGGGGGAGCGGAAGCAGGGTCTTCGTTCAACTGTGTGGTGTGCGTTGTTGACTAGTCCTAGTTTCATCGAAACATAAGGACGTCGGAGGTTTGAGAGCTTTATACTATTCGACTTCTTACTGCATTTTGATCCTTTTGCATCCCTCACGCACGACCAGGATCTTTCAGTAGTTTGAAGCCCGCCGAAGTTTTGCGCGCGGATTTAGCTTTCTTACCCCCCCCGAAAAAAGGGGAGTCTCCTGAACCTTATGGTCGTCCCTGCCGCCGGTGGTAGCGTGCGCGTCGCCACTCTGATCTGATCTGATCTGAAAATAGGTTATCTCTCTCTCTCTCTTCTGTGCGATAGTTCCAGTCATCCGAGTATTTTCTACTTGTGATCGACCATTTTTCTGTTGTTTATAATTCCGGTTGACGAAGATTTTCATTTTGCGATGCTTTGTTTTGTAGGACATAGCAGTCATTCCTTTGTGCTGTTTCCTTACCCTCTACCGCATGGAATTCTTCTCTCGGATACTAGGGCAAGATTTCTCTACTTCACTACGTAGTTGTTTTTTGTACTTCTCGTGAGTCATTACGTAAATTCGTTTTTTCTAGGAGTAAGGTGCACATAAGACCTTACAAAAAAATGGCGCCGTCTCCGGCAAAAGCTCAGCCCTCCAACCCGTTTCGGGACGAGATTGGGAAGGGCAATGATAAGGCAGGAGGAAGCAGTTCTACTTCTCCGAATAAAAATTACTCGAAAAGCAGCAATCAAGGAAAGAAACTTCCTTATCGCCCCTCGAAGCACCAACAAGCGCGGTCGAATTACTGGCGAACGCTGATTGTGGCCGTGGTGATGCCGTGTGTGGGAATGTTACTCATGTACGGAATCCAGTTTTTTCGGAAACAGTTCCAGGAAAACTTGGAGAAAAAAGCAAAGGGCTCGTCCTCGAAGAGCAGTAAAGGCAAGCGGATCAAGGCTGCAAAGGGACAAAATCTTGATGAAAGTGAACTCCCCAGCGGCATGAAGGCAGTGCAGGCCGAGATGAAAATTAATCAAGAAGTATCGTGAGTAAAAGCTGCGTACCCACACATGATATATAAATTTAGATGGTCATCTACTTGCTGCTAGTTTATAATTTTGTAGCTACGCAATCGCAAACGCAAGGTCTTAAGCCGCACGGGCGATAGCTGCATCTTGCGCTGGCACGTTCTGGGCATGGTGCAGATTTGGTAAAAAATCACAAGCGTCAGGTGGGGACGAACTTTTTACACAGGATAAAAAATGATGTATGACCTGGCGGGGATGCGGGAGCTTATGAAGGGAGGTACGGGTTAAACCTATAAGAAATAGCCTCAATAAAATGATGGAAATGGAATGAAGCAAAACATGATGTTGACCATGTCACCAACTTCGCTTAACAAGTAAAACGTAATACAGGCAATCCCGAGGTCGCGTATAAGAAATCGTTCTGGACGCCGGCGAACGAGGGTGAATTCCTGGACTTTTTGCTTTCCGAGGACCGGTATGAAATGCAAAAGTATCGTACTCGTATATTTGCATTACAAATTTCCTCAGCATGAGAAATAAAATTGGTAATGCGGATTTACCTTGAAAAAAAAAATAATGCATGATTGCCATACGATTACGAGTACGAGACTTTTGCAGTTCATAGCCGGTTTTTCCACAAGCGCAATGGGGTCATTTTGGCGGTGCACATGCCGGAGTGCGTGTTTTGCCAGAAGTTGGCGACGGATTTGAATCTGTACTTCGCGATAGGCGATGCAAAAGCATCGTACTAGGTGGAAATAATTGCATGACAAACTAACCCAGCATTTTGACAAACTCAATTTGTAATGCGGATTTACCTTGAGAAAGAGATTTGTAATGCATTAATGCAATTACTAAGAAGTGCGATACTTTTGCACAGGATACGCGAAGCACAGCCAGGGGATCATCAGCTACAAACACATCCACGACAGCGTGGGGTTGAGTTTGGAGAAGAACGATCATGGTGGACAAACAGAGGGCACCAGCACGGGCAGCAGCAGCTCCGTTGATGGTGCGGAAGGAACTACGGGAGCAGCTTCTGGAGTTGCACAGGGAGCATCTTCTTCTTCAGTGGACTTTCACAATTTGTCGGACGAGGTCAAACGAAACATTACGCGGCTAGGAGGTAATGTGAAAATCGCGATTTCTAATGCTTTTTCTCGATGATAATCATTCTGCTATGCGATTCTGGCAGCTGTAGTAGTTGTCTTCACCACCAATAATTGATCCCACTACCTCTTTGCATGATCGTCATCATCATCGATCTCGCCAGCACGGGGCAATAAATGAAATTTTTGTCATCTGTTTCAATCGGTATTTGTTCCTATCAGGTCTCGGCCAGACGGGTCTCTATTTCGGTATGGCTGACACGAACAATTTATCTGCCGAATTCCGGGAGAAGTACAAAGTCCCCCGCTCCTACCCCGCCATCGGTCTCTGGACGACGGAAAAAGACAAAGACGAAGCCTCGCCGACGTTTGGCTATGCATTTTTGCATCAAAAGTACTATCGTACTAGTATGAATCGCATGACAAATTTATTTTCTCAGCATGAAACAAGATAGAAGTTGTGATATGCGGATTTTCGTCAAGGTATTTGCAATTCAAGTCTTCGATTCATACTACTTGTGCGATACAACTTTTGCAATGTATATTGGCCAGCGAGTACCGAGGGTGCAGTGGTATGACCAGGACAAGTATGCGCCGTTGTTCCGACACGGGGCGGAGCGGATTATTGATTGGGCGGAGAATATGGTGGAACTGAAAAAGTACCAAATGGAGATGCGACGAATGTTTACCGCGGTGGCCATGACAGGGGATGAAAGCTCGGAGATTCCAGCAAACCCCCCGACGGCGGATAGTGCAACAACGGACGACCTGCTTAAAATCTTGCGGGATCCCATGGTGAAGATGCCCACTCTGTCCGAGGTGAAGCGAGGGATAAAGGACAAGTTTCAATTCGTTCTCAACAACGGCGGGGGCGAAGAAGACGAGAGGACCGGTCTGCCGGCTGTTGTGGCAAAGATTTTGGAAGAGGGCAAAAACTACACAATTTCTACGGCTTCCAGTACTATTGAGAGGAAAAATCCCCCCTCCCCATTTCGAAAAGGCATGCTTCCGAAAATTTGCGTTGCTGATTTGAGGCCACAAATCAAATTTGTCTTGCAAGAAGACCATGGCAGAAGCTTCCGCCCCATTCTGGAAGCGATTTGTCACGCTGTTGGGCCTAAAGGGGAGCCGTTTGCAATGCTGAGCACCTAGACCCCTACGCCCCTACCTAGCCTGGGGATCTGGCCGCAATGCCCTCCTGCAGTACAGAGCTGATTTGTGTACGCTAATCCAGCATGACAAACTTCGTCTCGATATGGGGTGGGGGGATTTTTCCTTTTGATAAGTACTTCTTCTTCTTCTGACAAAGCTGTCTCTACCTCCGCCGCGGAAGAGAAAAGCAGTGATGCAAATAAACAAGATGAAAGCCTACAACAGAAGGACGAGACCACAACTCTTATGAAGAAGCAACTGGAAGAGAATCTCCGCAGCAACAAGCTGATTCACCCGTTTTCCACCGGACATGTGAAGCGGGGTAATGTCTTTACCAGCACGTTCGGGAAGACGAATTTGCCCGGGAACGCGCGAATGGCGTTCTTTGTCTCGCCGCCGCTGTATCGTGAGGAAAAATCCCCCCTCCCCATATCAAAACGAGGTTTCTGATGCTGGATTTCCGTACACAAATCAGAGCTGTCTTGCCGTACAGGATTGGAGGCATATGCCGTGCCTGAGTACAGAGCTTCTGACGTGGACGCTTAGCATCACAAATGTCTGCGCTGTAGCCCAAGCAGCATCACAATAAACCGTCCGCATATATAATAATGCGGCGGAGACTGTAGAGTTGCCTTCTTGCAAGACAAATGTGATTTGTGACCTCAAATCACCAACACAAATTTTCGGAGACATACCTTTTCAATATGGGGAGGGGGATTTTTCCTTTCAATACGCTGGCCAAACTCGCGACGGAGATGTACTACAAAGTGGGGAAACTGGAGCAGCTGAAGCAGTATCAAATGCAAATGTGTCTGGGTCTGGGAGATAATTGCGAGATCTGTCATGCTAGTCTGGCATGACTCTCAACTCTGGATTGCGTGCCCGCAAAGAGGAGCTCCTCTTGTCTGTCATGCAAAAACGTAACTTCTCTTGTGGAGCACGCAACTCTGAACCCCAGATGAGAAACTTGTCATGTTGGGCAGCACATCACAGTGTGCTCCCTGTTCCCTTCCTTGCATCACAAACTTCTAGATTCAGACTTATTTGCAATGCATAAGCAGCTCGGCAAGCCGTCTTCCTTCGAAGAGCACAAGGCGAGGAAGAAACAGGAAAACGAAATTTACCAAACGGTTATTGACGGGAAGCTGCAGATCGCGGACTCGCAGTTCCAGAGTTTTGACAATCTATCCCTCTACAGCTACATGGTAGAAGACGATGAATGGGAAGTGTCTCGCGGCGGACGTAAGATTCTTTCTTCCGCCGGAGTGGTCGTCTCAGGAGGGGACGATAAAAAAGCAGAAGAGCAAACTGATGCCATCGCTGCAACTTCTACATCTACCAAAGCTGAGGTCGTCGTAGGTGCCCAAGATGAAGATGCTCCTGCTGACGTCAGTGAAGACAAAAATGACAACATCAATAAATTCAGTATTTACAGTCCGTCCGGGGCGCCCGCGAAGCGGTTTCGAAGCCATACGGATCCTTTTCAGAACGGGCTTGAGAAGAAGGATCTTGTGGACGACATGTTTAAGAATTTTCTAGTTGCGAAAAATCACCCAGCGGGGTTGGATTGCAAAAAGTACAGGGAAGCGGTGGTCGCGAGGGAGAGGGCCAAGATGTTGACGATGCAAGAACAACAAGAAGCGGAAGTGGAGCAGGATGAACCTATTGAAAACAAAGCGAATCATGAAGAGGGGACAGAAGATGCTTCTGCACCTAGAAGTACCTCTTCTACTCCTGCTGCACCGAAGGAAGTAGCCGACACTGCAGTTGTTGAGGCGGAACTGAAGGACGCGCAACTTGCGGAAATCAAGGAGGACAAAGCTGGCGCTTTTGGTTCTGAGGACAAAGAGAAAGAGGACTCAGAAGACGAAAAAAAGCAACAAGAAGAGCAACTCCCTGTCGCCTCGTACCATCCGTGCAGCGAGTTCATTATCACCCGCGCCTTCGTATCCTCTGCAAAAGTATCGTACTCGTATAAATGCATGACAAATTTCCTCAGCATGAGAGATAAAATTTGTAATGCTGATTTAGCTTAGGAACACGATTTCACCCGCGCCTCCGATGTAATGCTGATTTAGCTTAGGAACACGATTTGTAATGCATGTTTGCATATAATTACTACGAGTACGATTCTTTTGCAGTGGATACTTCGTGCACGCCGACCAGGAGGATACGGAGTTGATGACGGCGGATTCCCAGTACTCTTTCATCAACGAGGAAGAGGCCCGGAACTTTCTGTTGGGTCAGGACAAAGAGGGGTTGCCGAAGTTGAAGGGATTGATTATGGCACTCGCAACCGTTTTTACATTCGCAACTGTTACATGATTTGTCATGCAAAAGGACCATGAGCCACCAGACAATCAAGCTGCCGGGCATGACAAATCATCGAAGGGCTAAACAGCATCTAAGTCTGTGGCAAATAAATTTGTGATGCAAGACTTGCAACCTGTTGCTTTCCCTATTGCTGTTTTTGCATCACAAATTCGTGTAACAGTTGAGAATGTAACATTTGAGAACTCCATATTGATGTACCCCGCGTATGGGCGGGTGTACCCAGAATCCCTACGACACGAAATGCAGCACGGGGTCAATCTGATTGTGCTGGTGACCAACAAGCGGGTGACCGATCCGAAACTGTTGCAGGCCTTGGAAATGGTGCAGCCCATGTTTCACTTCATGGCGCATGCCGGGTGGATATCAAGTGCAAAAATGTCTGGGTCTGGAAGATTGGAAGACTTGCCATGCAGCACATTTTGCATGGCCCTTAGCTTCCCAACATGACCCGTGACGCCTGTAATGCATGGCCCAGCATCACACATTTTGTGACGGCTTTCTGATGCCTATACCGCATGAGGAACACGAACACCCCCTCTGCGTAGCAGAAACTGGACTCCTCTCGCTGCTTACGCAATACAGATTTTTTTCGAATCCAAAGACAGCATGACAAGTTGCATCCTTCCGGACCCAGACATTTTTGCATTTGATAGTGGACCGAGTGGGGCGACCGCGAGCGGGACGTGTGGCAGTTTAAGACGAACGACAACAACTACAAGAGCAAGGCGGAGTTCGTATCCTGAATAAAAACGTCCCCACACCAGAGTCAAGATGGTGACTTTGCTACACAAATCAACAAGTTTTAGCTGTTTCCCATGACAAGTTTAGACGCATAGTGTAGTGCTGTTTGAGGTAGTGCAGCCGCATGACACATCGACTACCTTATCCTGATTCCAGCATCACAAAACTTCCCCAGAGAGCATGCGAAAATGTCTCTCATGGGGATCCGCATGAGAACAATTTTGCGCATGCGTTTTTGCATGACAACTATGGGGTGGGGGCGTTTTTACATAGGATAGTTCGACAAGAAGGCTCCGCTGCAGCTGTCCGCGCACTTCGCGATGAGCACGGTCAAGCTGTACGGCGGGCGGGACGCTCAAGGAGAGGAGTTGGACTTGAAGGGCATCGAGTTGAAAGAGTTTTCCCGGCCGTTCCCCAGGTCCGTGTCCGCGCTCCGCGAAGACCCGAGCTCGCTTGCGGAGTGGATCGTGAAGAGCATGCAGGTATCCTGAGCAAAAACGTCCCCATGATCCCATAGTCAAGATGGGAAATCTGCTACACAAATCAACCAACTTTGGCTGTTTCGCATGACAAGTTTGTCGTCGAAGTGCAGTGCTGTTTGAGGTAGTTCAGCAGCATCACAGATCTAGCATATCATGCTAATTGGAGCATGACAAGTTCCAAAACACGACTAGAAAACGCCTCTCGTGGGGCTTTGCATGAGAAGCATTTTCATCATGCAGATTAAATCTGCATGATGAAAATGCTTCTCATGCATTACAGCATGGCGCTGTGGGGACGTTTTTCCTCAGGATAGCAGGAGGTGCACCAAGCAGCCCGGGAATTTTCGGACAATAAAAAGAGGCAGAAGATGAATCTGCTGGAGAAGGCGAAACTCGACGAAGCGCAGCAGCGGTTCGAGAAAAATCATTTGATGCTGTGGGAGAATTATGCATCGCAAATAAAGTATCGTACTAAACTACAAATTGCATGACAAATTGGCTCAGCATGACAAATGAAACTTGTAGTGCTGATTTGCCTGTTTAACCTGAACTTGTATTGCATACTTGCAATTAGAGTGCGATACCCTTTTGCAGTGGATAAGAACCTTTCAAAGTTGCAAGGCGCGATGAAGGTGGACGAGGCGAAGTTTGAGCAGGAAGTGGAAACCGCGAGACAGACCCTGTCGCAGTTTATGCATTGCAAATATGTCCGGATCTGGAAGAATGCAAGTTTGAAATGCTCAGCTAGCGAGACTCTCAAGTCTGTCATGCACGTTCTTACCCGACAACCCCACTTTTCCTTGATGCAGAAACGCAGTTTGTCATCCGAAAAAATAGGCAGAATACCTAGGAGCTCACATGAAACTTGTCATGCTGCGCCACCTCTTATGGCCTGCCTCCTCATGCTGCGCCGCTCAGCATTGCAACTTTATATACACCAGACCCGGACATCAACATCTTTGCACTGGATACGGTTCACCGGGGAGCAATGGGAGGAGAAGAAAAAACAATTGCGCGCGGATTTGGCAGGAACTACAACCGGAAGTGACGAACAGCAGACCGAGGTAGATGACGAAGAGGAAGATGGGCTCCTGGACATGCAGGAGCTGGAAAAACAGGTGGAGAAAGACCTTTTGGAGATGACCGAGGAGAAGCGGCAGAACTACATCCTGCGAGTGTTGCTGGACGCGCAGCTGTTGCACGCAAAGGAAGTGAATGCGGTGATGGCGAAGACGCAAACGGAAATCGACAATCTGCAAGACCAACTAGACAAGCACCAGGACCGCGAGGCGGAAGAGGGCAAGGTGGAAGATGAAGATCCCAATAGCAGTGCTGATGGTGATGTCGAGTCTTCGCACAACAACTCACAGGTGGACGTCGAACAAGCAGAAGAAGGTACCACGAGTACGACGGACAAACAGGACGAGGACAGCACTTCTTCTGCAGAACAAGCTGCGTCGGCCACCTCAACTTCTAGCAAAGAAAAAGATGGTGCTGACGTTGTTGTTGGCCAAGATGACCAGGGAGACAAAACAGCTTCCACGACTGGAGCAGACGAAGTCTCAAACCCGTAAAAATCAACGCATGCAGTTGCGTCGTGAGAAGAGGGGGAGTTTTGTATGAAAAGTTTTTTGGAAAAAGTGGGACAAGAAGTGCTTTTCATCATTCTAGTTCTACCTCTGGCAGCTCTGAGAACGAATAAATGACACGAAAAGGATCAGTAGAGTGCCAATCTTCTACACTGTTTTAAACCTCTGTTGCGAAACCAATTTTCACAAAAACGACAACCAGTTTTAGAGTTACGATCTTTTTGTAGGTACACCGATTTGATTTTTCGATGTTTTGTTTTAATGACCGACGACGTATTTTATGATCTAGAAGATCTACTACCACCACTCCACCAGGATTATTGCGCTCCAAAAAAGTAGTGGTCCTGCTACTGGTCACACCAACAAAGTACACGTCCCTCAAAAGTATTGGTACTAGTAAACCTCGCCTCGAATATCTGAATCTGAAAGTATCAGGCTGACAATACGTCGATGAAGGAGTAAAAGCCGCTGCCCCCTTGTCTTGTGTTCTAGTAGAAGATCTTTCACTGGTCATCATCATCGATTCAGACCCAACATCATGCAGATCATGAACAATCTGACCAAACATGACCCACCTGATAATATTCAAAGCCTCATAATATCGCGCCAGGCTCTTTTCTTATTAATAAGGCCTCTTTTTAGATTGTCCACGGGAATAGAATTTCGTGGTTCTAATATTTTGTTTCTGTATTGGCTCATTGCTCACGCTTCGCATCCGTCGCAACAGTACAGCAACGTTTTTACAACGGCCTTCTCTGATATAGTACTTGCTTCCTCTGCAATAAAAACTAAAACACCACAATTTTTACTATCTGTTGCTCATCAACAGCGAAACAGAAAAAACATAGCATCTGCACCTGAGGACAAGACCTCCTCTTCATTGTCACTATACGGGCATCAAAGAGGAGAAAGACACACTATTTCTACGCTCCTGCTGGGTTTTTCTTTTTACATCCAACTTAACCTCAACATCTTTCACGAACTTAACCTCAAAAGAATGGCACGAATGAAGTGCTATCCTTCCTCCACAACGTCGTGCGTTGTTGTGCCATGGACGTCAGATTACTGTCGGCGTCGTGCAGGAGCCGTCGCGATTCATCCCAGCAAGAAACATTTACGTCGCTGTAACTACAGTAGTTCTTGTGGCCCACTCCTGGGCCACCACGACGCCGGGCACCACACGCCCCGCAGGACGAGGACCCCGCTCCTGGTCAGCATGCTTCATCTGGCGGCTGCCATGATCTGGTTGTCGCTTAATAGACAGACTTTCTGGCAAGAACACTTGCGAGCCCCGCTTTCGCGGAGCAATTGCGCCTTAGACGTAGACCCTGAAGAGGAATTACTCTTGGCGGGATCATGTGCAGGAGCTAGTACAACGTTCCTCGAAAAACAACAGCAAAACGAAAGGAGTTTTGTCCTGTTCGCAGCCGCAGCAGAAATTGGCTCTACTCGTAGGAGCAGGGATGATTTATTCTATAGGAGTAGATCGTCTACATCTTCTTCATCTTCAAGGAGCAGGAAGAGGACTAGATTCTCTAGTAGTAGTACTTCTGTGCAGCAGCTGCCCGGCAGAAGGACGGGGCTGCAGGGGCAGGAGACGGCAACTTCACCTTCTCCAGGACGAGAGGCGCCCTTCCGGTCGCTCCCGGATGCCGTTGCGGATGAGGTCGCTTCCTTCCTGCCCAGCACTGTCGACACGATCTCAGGCCCCCGCGAAAGTGCGGTGGGGCAATTAGGGGGAGCAAGTAGAGAGCTTCGCAAAAGGTTCTTCTACCACCAGCACGAAAAGAAGAGACGGGATGGAACTACAAAGAAGCGGGGCAAGAAGCGGAGGACAACAGCGGGGACGAAAATCGCCGCGTCTTCGACGTCAAAAGCTGCGGGCAGCGGGTATGGAGAAGTTCTCCAACGTTACATTCTCAACTGTTGCACAAATTTCTTGTGATGCAAGGAAAGAAATGCTGGCCGCGGGTAGATATTTACGCCTCTTCTTGCAAATACAAATTTGGAACGGATTTGTTCCATGCTACTCAATAATTTACCCCTTCGAGGATTTGATGTCACGCGAGCCAGCATCTTGATCGTGTCGAGCTCGAGGCTGATGGTATTTTTGCATGACAAAAAATCGTGTAACTGTTACAGTTGAGAGTGAGAGTGTAACGATGACACATGGTGTTGTAACAGTTGAGAGTGTAAGTACGCTTGAGAGTCCCATAGCGGGGGGAGTTGCGAGGGCGAGACGGGGAACAACCTAAGCACGGATGAAGATGAGGAGACTATTGACTACTACATACGGCAGGACTACTACACACTGGAGAGAGGGACTTCCATTCACCGGGCCGTTCCGGCTTTTCTCGATCAGTTGTGGGTGAAGGACCTAAGCAAACACTTTCCTAAACTGATCGACTACTCTCAGGCGAAACGGCGCAAGTGGAAAGACATCCAAGGCCGCATGCCGAGCAATGAAGAGCGGGCAGCGATAAACGAGCTCTGGCCGCAGTACCGCGAGCAAATGACGAAGGAGCTCAATGCCTTTGCGCAAACTTTTGTGCACAGTGTGCAAATGGATTCCGAACTCGTGGAGATACTCTGGCCGGAGAAGTATAACTTATTTTCGAGCACTTCTTCTTCTGCATCTTGTTCAGGGACAGCAGGGAAAAATTGGTCTCGCGTGCAAGAAAGAACGGCGGTTGCCGTTCCAAAGAGCGTCTACCCGGGCCGAAAGGACGATAAAGTAGCGCTGCAAAGTCCGGATGATGTAGTGAGCACGCCCTTGGTCACACTTGTGCCACTGCTGAAGGGTGCCAGAGAAGGAAGGCCTTCAGCAGCTTCAGGTGGAGGTGCAGCCAAGACCGCTCCGTCTTCTTCCTCTACTACGTCGCCCGGAGGTGCAGGCACAGAAACTACTACGCCCGCGACCGACGAAGATGAAGATGATCACAGAAATATTGACTTGAGTACGCTGCGAGCAGACCTGCCAAGCTGCCACTTTTGTGTATTCTCAATTGACGAACCTAATGGGCCGATGCGGCAGATTATTAAAGTAGTGCTGGAAAGTAAGGCACATGCAAGGTTCCAGGTCTCAGACGCGATTTATCAGAAGGGTCGAGGCGGACGTTTTGTTTCGGAGCAGCCGCGTGTCACTGGCTGGGTGCAGCAATCTCTGCCCGCGTTCTCCCTTAAGTTCAGGTTTGAATTGGAAGAAAAAGGCGGGCTGAAGTTGGAAGGCGCATCGATCTCGGTTCAGTACCGGGCAGAGCCGGTTCTTGTCGCAGAAGCTGCTGATAAAAAAGACGATGACGAGAATTATTTCTGTAATGACCCCGCCCGCCGCGCCCCTCCGCAAATTATTTTCGGCAAGGGTTCTTGTTGCTCTGGCCACCACGCCGAAAAGACTCCGTATGGGGTTCTCAAACGTTACATGCTCAGCTGTTACATGATTTGTCATACTACAAAATTGCCATACGCGGCCAGCGCACGATCTTCAAGGTGCTTCGCGTCCGTGACGAATTCTCGAAGGGCAAAACAGCACCTGAATCTGTTCCAAATTTGTAATGCGAAGTGTGCAAAAATCTAAATCTTGTTCTTGCCGCGTTCACTTTTGCTGCTGGTGCATCTCAAATTCATCATGTAACAGTTGAGAATGTAACATTTGAGAATCCCATATTCCTAGTTCAACACCAGTTGGCACTTGTACTACTGTTCCCACGTCCACGCGACCTCCACTCGACGTCGCGGGTCAAAAAACATCAGGCCGGCGCGGTCTTATCGTTCAGACAGAAGACGCAGCGCAAGCCGTGCGCTTTGATGGTGGTGCCGAAGAAAACTGGGAAGAATGGAATGTCGAGGAGCTGGCTACGAAGCTGGATCTGCACACGATAGCGTCCATTAATAGAGAAGGAAGAGGAACTGGAACTACTTCTGTAGTTGGAAATAAAATTCAAAAGGAAAATAATTTCTCGCCCGCTTACTTGTATCCCAAGCCGATAACACTCGAGGAAGTCAACTTTCATCGCGCAGACGGGGTGAACAAGGCAGGTCCAGGGAGCGACGAGTCTTTGGCTCTCGTCAATGCTGCCGCTGCGAGGAGTATGGTTCTGGCTGACGTCTTCGGCGACCGGCCATCGTTTCCTGAAGAGGGTGATGATGCTGTGTTGACGCTGGTAATCCGGCGGGTCCAAAAGGGACAAGCAGCAGCGTCAACTGACTTCCAAAAGACCGGTCCTGCAACCTCTTCGTCTACTTCAGAGGCACGAGCACAAGCACCGCCAGGTCCGCGCGATTTTTTCCATATCAAATGTAAAAATGTCTGGGTCTGGAAGATTCTGAGACTTGTCATGCATGTTTTGCATTGGCCATGATGATGTCTGTGATGCATGCCCTAGCATCACAGATTTTTTGAGGGCTTCGCGATGCCTATTCCGCATGACAAATGCCCTCTCCGCGTAGCAAAAATTGCATTCTCTTTGCTGCTCATGCAATACAGATTTTTTTGGAATCCAAATTCAGCATCACAAGTTCCCTTCTTCCAGACCCAGACATTTTTACATTTGATATTCCAGGACGACTTGCAACTGTACCTGCGGACCGCAAAAGCTATCCAAGACAAGAGTCCTCCATTGCACCCATTATACCAGAAAAAAAGATTGCGTTTCGTCAAGCGCATTCGTGATCATGTCTTGACATCAAAAAGAAAAAAGACATATAATCTAATGTAAGTCTGCGAAGACGGAGACCACAAGACAGTCGCTGTAGTGCTGCCATGCAGAACGCAGCTTGCAGTCTATCATGCGAATTATCCGCTATACAAATTTATATCGATACGAGGACAGCAGGCACTACTAAAATTCACAAAGTGAAAGCTTTTCATGCGGTACAGTCACAAAGTGCTTTTTTTGCGGCGCGAGAAGATAGATTTATTTTTTAAAGGTAAAAATGCGGTGTGCATGTACTTTTCTGCAGGACAAAAGTTTTGTTTTCTCGGAAGCAAACAAATGACGTGCGGCCAAGCAGACGCAATACAATTGGCGCAGAGGCTCAGGACGCTTCACACTGGCAGCGCGTGTACTATTCCCACAACCAGACTTGCGGACCATACGGATTGGCGCGCTATTCTGACATAGGCCTGCACTCGCAGGGCCTTGCGGAAATGTGTCCCTCGCGGGCGGCGTTGGTCAGTATACGGAGGCAAAATGTTGACGAGTGGCAGCACGATCAGCGACAGCTCCTCCAGCGTGCTGGTGAGTGTGGTGAAATGTCACTTCCACCGTGCGCATGTTTGAATGTGGAGACCTGTAGTTGCAAGAGCCCCGACCCGTTTCAACGCGCGGCGCTGGAGGAGATAGAAAAAAAAATTCTAAGACGGTGCTTCAATTGCCGAGACGGCCAAGGAAAGGGCGACATCGGGTGCACGGACAACTCCCCTCACACTTGTGCTGGTAGTCGGTGGGAGTAGTTGCAAACAGGTTGCGGAACGACCAGGGAAGGCTCAGACAATGACTTATCCTGTGCATTGAGGCGTTCATAATTTTCGACGCGTCGGCGATCGGTGAGGAATGTCGCCGCTCTTTTTGATCCTTTGTTGCCGCCTTTTTGATCTCTTGTTGCCGCCAGTTTGATCTTTTATTCGAGGGCTAAAAAGTAGCACAATGTTGAGAAGGCACAACAAGGATTTCTGGAAAGCTCAGGGCTTGTCCGACTAGATGTAGCGTCGTGAGTTGCAGCGCCAGCAGTGCCAGGGATAGAATGAACAAAAGATGTGGAGGTGGAAGAATGATCGGCGTGGGCATCACTAGAGGAGATTTTAAAGAAGAACTACCTGCTGAGCAACGTCGACCAGACGTCGGAGGACCTGCAACAAATAAAACTTTTAACTTTGAGATCGAGCAGACCAATAGCTGTTACGCAGAGCAGTAGTTATCGCGAAATATATTATTGGTATTACACGACCTCATTACGAAGTATAATCTTCTTCTTTGTCGGAAAGTACCAGGCTCACCATAAGTCGCTGCGAAGGCGAGGACGAAGTAGGAAGTAAAAGCCGCTGCCTTGTGCTGTCTTGTGTCCTACTACAAGATCTTTGACTGATCATCGATTCAGACCGATCATGCTCATGCAGCTGAACGATCTGACCACACATGACACGCCTGAGGAAACAAATTCAAATTCTTGATCCGCAAAAAGCAGAAAAACAATCTTGACGCGAGATAATGATCGTGAAATAAGAACGACAAGACCAATAGCGTTGTGACCGATGGATAGAGTAAGTAAGATCCACCACTTTTTCGCAAACAGAAGGCTGAGCTGTCGGATCTCGCAATCGTCCTGGAAAAAAAAATTCGTTGTGAAGACGAAGATCTTGAACTACGCAGCTGCTTCGCTCACGAGTTGGAACTGAGCCAGCCAGAAATGAAGATCCACTCCGAAGTATGAAACCAAAACTACTATAAAAGTGCTTTGAGTGTCAGCACCTTGTGGTCCTAGTCTGACCATCCATGGATCATAAATGCATGCATCTACTCATAATCTCACACCAGGCTCTGTTTTTCGTATAGGCTTCTTTTTAGATTGTGCACGGGAATAGAATTTCGCGGTTCCATTTTGTTTCTGTATTGGCTCACTGGTCACGCTTCGCATCCGACGTCGTTACTACAGTACAGCAACATTACGGCTCCCTCTGATATACTTCCTTCCTCTGCAAGATAAACTAAAACACCACAATTTGTACTATCTCTTGCTCATCAACGACCGCTGCGAAACAAAAAAATGACTGACGGCGCATTCGAGGATCCGACGAAGGCGGTGCTCCGGCCGCGCAACCCCGGTGAGGAAGTGAAAATCAAGGAAACAGTCTTGAAACGACGGGACAGGAATTTGAAGGCGAAACAGTTGAACGCCGAGAAAATCAAGGCGGAGAAGAAGAAGAAGGTGGACAAAAAGAAGGAGGGCAAACTGATCACGCCGGCGAGTTTGGTGAAGCAGTCCATCGTCAAGAGAAAGGACCAATCCCGGTTGAAACGGAGCTTCAAGACGAAGAAGCAGAAAGTAGCGCACGAATCCAACGGGTTCGTCCTACTGGCGATCAGAAACCGGAGAAAACGACCCACGAATGTGGTCAAAAAAATCCTGGAAAGGCTGGATTTGCAGGTACATGGAACTTCTACATGGTATAGAGATGAAAAAGGTGATCTTCCCGCGTGTTCTTATCCCTAAGAAAAATCGCGCCATACCGTCGCGATTCGTGGGCTTTTTTTATTCTAGGCAAGGCCTGGCCTGTCTGAGGCTAACAAAAGCGCCACCGCCCAGGGCTATCCAAAGCCTTCGCCGCGCATCATCCAGAGGGTCGCGCTTTCGTGCTTAGCGCAGCCCCAGCTCATGCGCCAGGGAACGCTCTGCACACTGACAGAATAACCGCCGGCCACTGAGTCCAAGTTCGCGCGCCCGGGCGCGAGCTGATGCCCCACCCAAAGAGCCCCCCCAAGCCGGGGCTACGCCGGCGGTCGCACCGGGCCGCGGCAGTGAGTGTGCGCGCCCACTCGTCTCTCTTTGTGTCAGGCAGCAGATGATGGCCCCTCCGGTGTTGTCTTTGGTGCCTGCGCCGTGCCGTCGGTCCTAAATTAGGACCGGTGGGGCGCTGGCTCCATAAAATGATACGTATATGGCTATGGGACCACGTCCACGAAGCAAAGACGGTGCTTCAGCTGCGCACGTTCCCGCTCGTGCATAGATAAGAACACTACTGCAGCGACCTGCTGTGGTGTTTTGGGATGAAGCAGAGTTGTAGCCTCGGCTCCAAATGTTCCCGTTCTCGTTTTCTGTTGTTCTTATCCTCCAACTCCGTGCATAGATAAAGAAGTTCTCATCTATGCACGGAGTTGGAGGATAAGAACATGTGGTCAAAAAAATCCTGGAAAGGCTGGATTTGCAGGTACACCGAACTTCTACATGGAAGATCAGGATGTGTAGTTTTTTGGAGAAATTGATGAGTTTTTGTGCGGCCTTGGGATGTCTTGCACTTTATTTGCAGATCGAGTCTCCAATTCCAAGCGCAAGAATTGTTGTTCATGCAAGAGAAATAGAATGTTTCGAAATGAAATCAAATTATTCCAGGAGCACAATACGCTTCGATTCCTTCCCTACAACGAGCACACGTGCCGGGAACTGAAAATGGTGAAGCCGTTTGTCTACTGGGGCTACCCAACCTTCAAAACTGTCAACGACCTCCTGCACAAAAAGGCGCTTTTCAAAACGAAAACGAACGAAAAGGTACTAGCAATTGATGTTTGCAGCTAATATCGATACTACATCTACTTCCACTGCGAGCGCGAAGATATGTGGTCAGGAACTCTTTCTGCGATGCGTTTTGTGCATTTCATTTGCACAATGAACCCACGAAACCTCCGACGAGCGTTGTAACTGCGCTCCTTGTGGTCGGAGTAAAGTAGAACAAAAGCATCCCTATCCCACATCGCAGTGACATCTACTTCTGCATCTTGAAATATGAAAATTGAATTCTTTAAATTACAGGTGAACCTGTCTAGCAACGCCCTGGTGGAGGAGCATTTGGGAGATTCCTGCGGCGTGCTTTGTGTGGAGGATATCGTCAACACGTTGTTTAAGAACGAGGACAATTTCCAGATGGTGAACAACCGGCTGTGGCCGATAAAACTTGGGGACTACACCAAAGCCACCGCGGAGGGGTTCCAACCGGAGTTCAAGAAGCACCACTTCGGCAACTTGGAAAGGAAAATCAACGATATCGTGCAGGAAGTGTTGTAGAGATTTTTGTTCTTGTGAGGAGGACGGGAAATTACGACCAAGACCTGAACTTTTTTCAGTTCATCTGGACGATATTTATTGCAATCTTGCCTCTGGTGCCGCAGATGGAAGCTGTTTGAGATGTGATGAAGATAAACCTTCTGAACGCATCTGAATAACACAACTGAAGCACACTGGCAAATCACAAAATAGAAAAACCGCTCCTTCGTGAAAAGCTTCAGCTGTACACACGCACGAAGTAGGCTCGAAAGAAGCTGCTTACATAGTGTTCCCAGTCGCGAACTTTTTGTGTGTTATTCGCGTTGCTGCACTTCCGTTTGTGCGAGAACTCTTTGACTTCGTTTACGACGAAAACACCAAGCGGATCCGCGCAGAAGCGGCGAGGGGCGGCGTCGTTTCTTTTTGTCCCAGTTTGGGCAGAAAAGACAGAAAGCGGGGCCGCCTTCACAAAAAAAACGCGCGGTGGCCTCCGTGGGAATGGTCCGCCATCACTGCCCTGCCCGCGTGTCTTCTGCCCACTGCCGCGGCTGGAGGCGCGGCCGGAAGGTCGCAACGCGCCCGCGGGGCCGCGGGGTGTTGGTATTTCCGGACACCCACCGGGCCGTGCGTTTGGGAGGGGTCTTGGTTGGGGCCTCCAGAGCAGCCCGGGCATGGTTTCCATTCGCGCACAATGGCGGGCAACCCGGCCCGACCCGCGACGGGGTCCCCAATGGTGCGACCACCAAAGCCAGGGCCGGCGCGACTCGCTCCGGCCCCCCACCGCGTCCGCCCGCGCCCCGGATGGTTGCTTGAGAGGTTTCACCGGCCGGCTCTGCCGGGGGCGGGGCCCTCTACCGCGCGCGCCCGCCCGGCCCGGCCATTCACTGTCCTATCCTTTGGGCGGGCCGGGCCCGTTTGGGCCCCCTGGCCGCAGGAGGCGGGCGCCTCGGTCCGTCCGGCGGCGCAGCTGGCCCCCATGCGCCGCGGCGGCCCGTTTGCCGGCGGGCCCTTTATGCTAGCGGGCTGCGCCTTTTTCCATCCGGCTAGCAGGGACGGAGGCGGTCTGAGTTGGCCGAGAGCCCCCGCCGCGTGCGCGGGGCGGTCAGCGAACACTGCGCCTCGCGACGCAACGGGGCCGCCGGGCTGTCTCGCCCCCCCCGCCTCCGAGGACGGAAGCTTAGCCGCGGCCCGGGTAGCAAATGCAAACTTGTGTTGGCCGATGTCCCATTCGGGTCCGAGAGGGATAGGGCGCCCATTGTGTTGATATGGAGGAGCGGAAAGCGCCGCTCAAGTCCTTTGCTGGTAAAGGAGAACCAGGCCTGTCCCGTTTATTTTGGCCCGAGCGACCCCTTTCGTATGTTTTTGCGCCCGCGGGCTGCGGGTGGGGTTGCCCGGTAGTCGGTCGGCTCCGACCGCGCCAGGCGGCCAGCGCGGCGGGCCCCCGCATCCATGCGGCGGGCCGCGCCTGTTTTTTTTCTGCGGCGGGCGTGGTGCGCGCCCCGCCGGGGCTTGGTTATTTTTGTTCGGCGCAAGACGCCAACACGAGGGCGGGGCGCGTGTGGTTGTCGCCTAGCGCCAGCCCCCCTACCGGGATTTAACCGCCCGCCCCCCCTATAGCATGGGTGGTGTTCGCCCGCCCCTGAGGTTGTCGGCCGCAGTCAGATGGCGGCGCGCATGCTTGGATGGGGCGGGCGCTTGGTGTGACAAGCCAGCGCGCAGCCCATTTGATTTCCGGGGACGGAGACTCAGTGACGCCTGCCAGCGTCGAGCAGTTGCCGGCGTCGACAGCTCTGCTGTAGCTAGTTAGGAATTCTGGCGGTTGATGCGTGCGTCGATGCCGTTGCCGGCGGTTTCCGTCCTACCTACCTTTGAGGCCTGCTGGCCATTGATTGGCTTGTGTGAGTGTGTTCGTAGTTCTTGCTTGTCAGTTGTTGTTCGTTCCTCGCCCGAAGAATCCACCCAGGATGTTGAGGCTCGAAAAAGATTCAAAACATAAAAGTGTTGTATGAGGGAACAAATAATAGTGCGGGTGGCTTTATTAGTATTGGACGAGCGCGAGCGGTTCTTTTCAAGCGCGGTGAAAATCCAAATGTGGTCTGATCCTGGCATTACTGATGAAAGCTCGCCATCATGTTTCCCGATTCTGTCTCTGTGTGCCTACTTTACGCTATAAAAAGTGCATTGATTCGTCTCAGATCAAAAACGAAATTACCCTCACAGACAAGCTTGCAACCTCACGAGAGAAAGTATCTCTATGCGCTACCTGTTCCGAGTGCTTGCTTCAGTGTTGACGACAGCTTCTTTCGCGACGATGTGTTTTTGAAAAAGGCCCGATAGACTACATCAAGCACATCGAGGAACTATTTCACCTATCAACGTAGATTGACGTCATCCACGACACCAAGCAATCAAAAACGACCTTCATCACCATGTTGACGCCTCGTTTCCTCCTTCTGCTACTTTACACCGTGTGTGTCCTCTGCGGTATCAGCTTCATCTACAGCTACTCCGCGTGGAAGGGCGATTTCCGGCAGCATTTTGACTTTGACGAGGTAACCGCGGCGTACGTGTTTACCTATGCGAATCTGGGGCAGAATTTCGTGGTCCACATGGGCTACCTGTACGACAAAAAGGGCATGGTAGTCACCTCCGTACTCTCCGGTTTTCTCAAGCTGGTCGGCAACCTAGGGATGTTCTGCGTGGCGGGCGCGAAGGGCTTTTTTCCCGCAACCCAATTCTCCCTCTTCCTCGCGCAAAACAAATCGCTCCGCGCCACGCTGTTCGGCCTCTTCTTCGCGATGGACGCCCAGGCCACCGGGGCCGCAATCATCATGGCCCAGATGGAAGCCCAGAAGAAAACCCCGGCGCAGTTCAAGGGCATTGTGGGCAGCATTTGCGCCGCGTCGTTCGGGCTAGGCGCGACCCTCTGGGTCGCTGCGTACGACTCCTTTTTCAAGCCGGACATCGAGCAGCACTTCTTCTTCTCGGCCATGGTGTCCGGTCTGCTGCTTTTGGGTTACGCTCCCTTCACGAAATTGCTCTTTTCAACATCTGCTGGACCTTCAACAACTAGTAGTACAGCAGGAGTTCTTGCAGAAGATCATGGTGCGAACGAGGACGCCTCGTCCTCTCCGGAAAAGAACAAAAGAACCGCCGCAGGAACGTCTTCTTCCTCGGCAAGCACAGCTCCAGCTGCTAGTACGAACACCCCTAAAATGACCCAAACCCCAGTTAGTGTATTGTCCTCTCGAGGATCCGGGCGCAACCGGTCCAAAACCCCCGGCACGGCGAAGCAAACCACCCGTCGCAGCTCCAGCGCCCTGCGGAGTCGGTCCAACAACAAGATCAAAAAAGGGCCAAAATCTTCTGGTGCTACCGGGGGAACAAGTAGTACGCAGGCAGGTTCATCTTCCAGTATGGCGCAGATCATCCTCGGCCGCGATTTTATCGCTTTATTTTCCGCCACCCTGGTGACCTGGTCCGTTGCCATGGTGTTCATCGCGCACCTCGGGTCCATGGCGGACGCCGCGGGGTTCACCGACAAGGAATCCGCGAACGTGCGGTCGCTGTATTTCTCCTCTAGCACCGTGGGGCGGCTCCTGGCCGGCCCGATCGTGGACTTGACGGTGCGGCTATGCAGTACAAATTTCCCGTTCATGTATAAGATGCATCACAAATTTTACCAATTTGGAGTGTAAAGCTTGTCATGATAAACTAGGAAAGAAGAAACTGAAACGTTTTGCAGGTGTGGTGGGTAGCTCCCGACTGGTCGGTACTTTTATTGGGGCGACTTGCCGTGGTAGCGCTCGGCTTTTGTATGATGAGGTCGCCGAAAGTGCTTCCTCACCCACCCCCCGGGGAGGGGATCCTTGACCTGTGGCGCTGGGTGCGGGTGTCCACTACATGATGATGATGATGTTTTGCCATGCAGAGACCGCATTTGTACGTGTACGGGAAATTTACTGTGGATAGCGGCAGAACACGATGAAGTCCTTGACGTTGGAGTTCTGGGTGTGGATGACCACGTTTGTCACCGGGTGCACTATCGCACGTAAAAAGTTTTTCCCTGTAAGGATTTTGCAAGTTTTGCATCACAAGCTTGTCCTACATCACAGAGAAAATTTGCCATGCGAGATCGCTAAGGGAAAACACAGCTAAAAATCCACTGTCTTGCATGTGTGGCAAGACAAATACTTCTCAGATACATATTCTGCATTTACAAGTTCACAGTGAAGCAGTTTTTTCTTGCGATATGCACCACCACCGGACTGATTGCCACGGGACTGCCGACCTTCCTCACGCCCGCCGCGGTCATCATCGGCTTGGCTTTCGGGGCCATCTCCACCCTGGTCCCGCTGATGTGTCGGCAGCTGAAGCAGGAGGTGGCCGGGACGCTGTACGCCGTGGCGAAGGTGGGGTCGCTGGTGTTGAGCACGGTGTGGATCGGCCACGCCGGGAACAATTTGGAAGTTGTGAAGAAGTTGGGCCCCAAAAACGGACAGAACGGTAAAACCTGTCTGGGCAACGCGTGCTACGAGCCGACAATGTTTTTCATCACGTTTGTCTCGCTGCCGTTGATCTCGTACACCGCCGTGTGGGCCATGCGGAGCTTGGCGGTGAAGTGGGGATTTGTGGACGGGGTCGAGGACGGGGAGACGGGAGGAGGAGGAGGAGGTGGAAAGATGAAGTTGAAGAAGAGTTGAAGATGAAAGTGTTTTTGCAAAGACAGATGACCGAATTCATTTTCCGCTTTCCAAACACGGTGCAGTGATGCCGTACAATACTTGTACGTAGTGGCTAGGATCATATTTTATTTCATTTTGCCAAATTACAAGCACGAGAGCCGCTCTCGATCGCAGGGACGGCCCCGACGTTGAGTTGCAAATTGCCGTTCCCTGTTACTAGCAGCACTTGAGAGGTATTCCCATCGGATGCAGTGCCGCTCGCTGATGTTCGGCAGCGAAGGTAGTTGTCTGTTTCCCCTAGTGTTCGTCTGGCAATGTTGTCACGCGCCTGTGTTGCCAGTACACCGCAGCCGGTAGGGTTAGAAGGGTTGGGGCGTGCCACTTTCCCAAGTTGCGGAGGCCTTTGCCGGCGACACACTGTAGCAGACGGGTGGCGGAAATCGCGCCCCTGGCGGCTGGGCCGGCCGCTCTTGCCCGTCCGCCGGCTTCTTTGTTCGGCGCAATGCTCGCGAACCCGCGGCGCCGCGGGGGACGCCCAGAAGAGGCCGCGGACTTCGCAAGACCACCCACGGAGGCTGCTGAAGTTGGAGAGGGTGGCGCGCCTCTGGCGCGGCCTGTCTGTGAAAGGCGAGCGGGCGCCGGCGGGGCAGCAGCGCGGCGCCCTTTCTGTGCGGCTTTAGTCTGCCTTGCGATCGCCTGGACCGACGAAAACAGGGGGGGCGAGGAACAGCAAAGAGAGAGAGGGAGAGGGAAAAGGGGGAAAATTAGAAGCGTGGCCACTGGGCCGATGGTCTCTCTCCGCGGCCCGTGTTCGATGCCCTCGCGCCGCGCCCGGCGTCCCGGCGGGCCTCGGGTGGCCAGGGGGGCCGGCGCGCCCGCCCGCCGGCGCGTTTGGTGGGCCCGCCCCTCGGGATGGTTCGTGGAAATCGATCCCGGGCATTCCGTCACCGCCCCCGCGCGAGCCGAGCCGACTGCCGGCCGTCGAAGCGGTTCGAGAGAAAGGCGGAGAGAACCGGAACAGCAACCAGCCCGAAGCCGGCGCGCGCCTTTGTCCCGTGTTTCCCTTCTGCCCTCGTGGCGCGCCGCCATTCCCGGCGCCCCCCCGCCCCCACCTGCGCCCCGGCGGCAGATAGGGCGGGTGTTCTTCGGTCGGCCTGGTAGGCCGGCGGCCCGGTCGGGGGTTTGGGCCGTGGCGCCGCGCGAGCTCCTTTGGTCAGCGTTGCCGGGGCCGGCGGGCGGCGCGTTTGGCAGAGTGCCTGTCGTGGCTGGGTCACAGGTAGTGGGCCCAGCGCGCGGGCCCTGCGGTGCGGATGGCCGGCCCCCATGGGCGGCAGGTTGGGCAAGAATCCCTTCTCTGTAGCCCCCGGCCGCCCTGGCGCGCCAATCAGTCGGCCTCTGGCTTCGTGGTGGACGCACCCACGGACGCTGCGCTCGCATGTTTGCGCGCCTTTGGGGCAGCCCGCAGGACTTCGCCCAAGGAGGAGGTCTTGCCGGGTTGCATTGATGATGTGTTGCGCGTGCTCTGGTAGATCGAAGAACCGCCCGCGAAGGCCCGTTTTCTTCTGAGTTGTGGAATAGCCGCCCGCTGTTATTGCTTGGCCAAGGGGGCGGCGCGTCCCGTGCCTCCCGTTTTTTCTGTGTCTGCCGTCTGCAATGCTAGGTGGTGTTTGTTCATCTACACAGTAGCTACTTGTACTTGTCATCGCGTGGTGAATGATTTATCGCCCCCCGCATCCCCGCGGCAGTGTGAAATAAGTGTGTGTCTCTCTGGGTCACACCAGATAATATTTGGTCCAGGCGTTGCACCGGCACAAGTTCGGTTCGTTGAGTGAATCGTAGGCGTTGATGGTCGCGGAGTGTGTTTCCTTAGACGCCCGGATTAGTCTTGGCACATTGGCGCTTGTAATTTTGATCATTGGTAGATCGAGGCCGGTTGACACTGGCGCTGCTTCTCTTTTCATTTTACTCACCACGCCACAACGTTATTGCACCATGCGTAGTCCAAGTCCAGCAGCAGTTGACGTCATGGCTGCGCCCGCGTCGCTCCGGCGACTTTTTCTCGTCCTACTGCCAGTAGCGTCTTTGGCATTGAACCTCCCGACGAAAACCTCCAAACCGCCAAAAGAGACCGACACGCGAAGCAATTGCTGGCGCTACCTGGACCAAACCGACGCAATCTGCCACTCGCTGGAAAAAGACGCAAAAGCCAAGTGCCAGCAACACTTCTGTGGACCGATTTTTGAAGCGACAGGTGCTTTTTTAATACCATCTATCAAAAATAGCTTTCATTATTACAGTTGCAGAAAGTCACGCATGATAGACAGACCACTTGAGCATAGGCATACAAGTATCATTCTCACCAGAAGAGCAAGCAAATCCAAATGCATACATCGAAGTTCTACAACAAAGCCAAACTAACATCAACCCTGTATAAAAAACTTCTCCATGATTATAGCGTCCAGCTGCTCCGACATTGAGAAGTGGCAACAGAAATGGGATCGGTTGCAGGCCAGTGTGCAGGTCTTGTGCCCAGAGCCGCCACCCCGCCACGCGGGCGGGGATGTGGAGAAGTCCCAGGACCCGAAGTACCTGGAGGACCACATGCTCGATGAGCCCCTGAAGCCGTGCGCGAAGTAGAAATGTTGAAGTGGCGAGAATTGTTGAGATGCAAATTATGTATGATCTGCCGCGAGACCACGGACAGTAGCTCATTTGATGAAAAGTACGTCCCGAGAGCGAGAAAATTCGACGATCGGCACCGCTATGATTTTCTTTTCCGCCTACGGGCTACAAGTACCACTCTGACGCCGTTTCAGATTACAACTCATCTCCAGCTCCACCGATCCTGACTGACGTACAACAAAAATAAAATCCAAGATTCTACTGCTGTGCCTCGCCACTGACTGGCGCGGACCATTCTAAATTGGAGTTGTGGGATAGGTGGAAGAAGCAAGTAATTGATCAGTGTTGATGCACATACATTAAATGATGTTGACGACAACTACCATGAGCAGTGGTCCTTCATCACCAGAGCGACAAAAGGCAAGCGAGAGATGTGGTTCAAGAGTTTATAAATATAATTGCCTAGTACCACAGCGGGGCCAATGAGGTATGTGTCTGCAGTTGGAGATTTTTTCCACGACTTCCTTTAGAGGTACACCGGATTTTTGATCTTGAGAGGTCTTGAGCAAGGCGAAGCAGACAAAACATAAACGTATGGACATGATGTTTGTTCTCGTCGTACGCAGCGGCGCGAGACGTAGACCCACCTGACCTGAGGCAGTAGTAGAGCTGCGACGCTTACTTCTGTTGCTGTTCTCACATCAGCTGCTCTGGTGTTGGGCTTTGGACCACGTACGACCACACCACGACCGAACGTTCTCTGTCTGTCAGCAAGCCATATAGTAGCTGCTAACTACAAGAAGCGACCCACGACACCAAAACATGCTGTCCCGTTTCCTGTCCAACATCACGCAGCAGGAGCTGCCCAACTGGGTGTATGATGAGCAGAAAGAACCCGCTTTCTCTGTCGGTATCTGGGACGTGTACGACGCAACGAAAAAGAACTGCCCCAACAACACCAAAGCCTCCGTTTGGGTCAGCACTAATTCCGAGAACAAACAGTTCGCGCTGAACCAGGCGCTGGTTTTGAAACAGGTCCGACACCCGTATGTGTTGAAGTTGTTGGATACCAGCAGTAACTGCTCTTCGGGAGGTGGATCCTCATTCGGGATGAATGCTGGTGGTTCGTCTTCCAGTGCTGACAATTTGTCTTCGAAAGCTGGTGCAAACAGTTCCTCGGCTGATGCGTCGAATTTCCGAGTGTTGATTGTCACGGAGCAGGTGAGACCCCTCATGAAACCTTTTCTCGAAAACAACGTGTGGGCACTGTTTCAAGTTACGAAAGCGCTGCAGTTTCTGATCAACAACAGCAACAAAAACCACAATTTGCTCGACCTCTTCTCCCTTTTCGTCACCGAGGAATCCAACGACTGTCGGTTGGGCGGGTTCGAACTTTGCGCGAGCAACGACGGTGCTTACGATATTAATAGCGAGTTGATTTTGACGAAGCGACGGGGGAATCACCAGCTGCGGGAAAACGGTCTGCTGAATGTGTTTGAGTTGAACAGCAATCAGCATTTAGATTTTTTGGGTCTCCACGCGATTTTCAAAACCGCCGGGCTGTTCGACGACCTGAATGCGACCGTCCGCCAAGCGCCGGCCAGTGTCGTCACGGAGTTGAAGATATCAAATGTAAAAATGTCTGGGTCTGGAAGATTGCTACATTTGTCATGCATGTCTGACATGGCTCAAGAATCTGTGATGCATGGGCACAAAGCTGTCCTCTTACCTGTCATGCAAAAACGCAGTTTGCCATGCGGAACACGCAACACATAGGAGCCCAAAAATTTGTCATGCTTGGCTCCGTATTGCAGTGGAACTCCCATTCACTTTTAGCATTACAAATTTCCAGACCCAAACATTTTTACATTTGATAGAAGAATTTGGAACAAGAGATGAAGACCACAAGAGCAGTGAGCGGGCGGCACGTAACAAATGCGACAAAGACTCTGTTGCAGCGGGTTCTGGACTGCCAGTTTTTCAAGCAAAATCCGGTGATCCGCATCATGCAGTACCTGGAGGAATTCCACGTCAAGGAGGCCGTCGAGAAGTACAAGTTTTTCGAAACCATTTTACCGGCACAATTGGACGCGATCAAGAACGCAGCTAGTAATGCGTCGTTTGCATCTGGAGGGAATTATTCGTCAACTACACCTTCCGGCGGGGCGGGAAGTACTACCACCAAGACCTTCAACATTTTCTCTCTAATCCGCCCCCACATTCTCCAGGCGCACAAGTTCTCCGCGCCGGAATTAAAGCCGGTCGTTTTTCCGATCATGCTGCGCATTTGCGAGGAAACCAGTGACAAACAGGAATTCCAGCAGTACTGCCAACCGTTCATCCTAGAGCAGTTCAAGGCGCCGGACCGGGCGATTCGCTACAGGCTGTTGACCGCGCTGTTCGGATACGTCTTCAAGATGGAAGAGACGATCGTGCGCACGACCATCTTCGACAGTTTGCAGAACGGGTTCAACGACCAGAATGCCAGCATCCGCGATATGGCGCTCTCAACTGTTACACTCTCAACTGTTACATGATTTGTCATGCAAAATTGCTTTGACTATCAACGCCATCAAGCTGCTTCGCATGACAAATCCTCAGACGGCCAAACAGGCTGAGAATCTGCGCCAAATCTGTCACGCAAGAAGCGCAAGGCCCTTCCTTTCACTTTTGCCATTCTTGCATCACAAATTCATGTAACAGTTGAGAATGTAACGTTTGAGAACGCCATACGCGAAGCGACAGTGAAAGCGATGGTGGTTCTGTGCATGACGGACAACTATCAAATGCAAATATGTCTGGGTCTGGAAGGATCCGAACTTGTGATGCGCATTTTAGAACACAGAAAGATCTCTCATGCATAGGTAGCAAAAGCTGCCCACTTTCTGTCACCAAAATGGCGGATTTCTCATGCGGGTTCGGCATCGCGGAAGCTTCTCGAAACCTGTGATGCTAGAGCTTCTACGCCAGACCTTCTTTGTCATGCAAAAACAGCATGACTCTTCCAGACCCAGACATTTTTACATTTGATAACAACAGTAGACAAAGCCTATCTTCCGACCCGGCGAGCCAGCCCACGACTAGCACACCCTTGATCCCAATCCAAACCATCCAAGACAAGGTTATCCAGGAAAAAACACCCATCCCCATCCAGTTTGTCATGCAAAACGTGCATTGTTTCCTGTGTTTGTCATGCAAAAAATGGATGGGGATGGGTGTTTTTTCCTGGATAAAGGTCGCGAAACAGCTACAGCAAAGGCTAAGAGATCCGGAACCCAGTTTGCGGACCAACGTGTGCATCTGTTTCGGAAAGATTGCGACGCTGAACGGGTTTGGGAACCCGGAACTGAATCCCGGAAGCGATTTACCGGTCACCTATGAAATGCAAAAGTATCGTACTCGTATAAATGCTTTACAAATTTTTCCTAGAAGAAAAGTGAAACTTGTCATGCAGGTTCAGCTAAGAAAGCAGATCTGTAATGCTAGACTCGCATTTATACGAGTGCGATACTTTTGTAATGCATAACACCAGCCGCATTCTGAAAGCCGCATTTTCCGTCTCGATCAACGACAGTTTCATGCCGTGTCGTATCGTATTTAAAAACGTCCCCATCCTATAGTTGTAATGCAAATCTGCATGCTAGAAATGTTTCTCATGCGGAGCCCCATGAGAAGCATTTTCTAGTCGTGTTTTGCAATTTGTCATGCTCCAATCAGCATGATATACTAGATCTGTGATGCTGTTGAGCTAGCTCAAACAGTACTACATTACGAGTCCAAATTTCTCATGCACGACAGCCAAAGCTTGTGGATTTTTCTAGTCGATTCGCCATCTACTTGGCTATAATTGGGGTGGGGACGTTTTTACTCAGGATATGTCGGTTAGCGACGCTGCAAGCAGTGCGGGCGTGTTTGAATTATTTCACCATGGTGGATTTGTGCAACACGGTTTGCCCTCTCGTCGCAGCGAAAGTGATTCTTTCACCCGTCGAGCAAAATAAACCCGGATTAAACACCGCCGTCACCCCTGCGGAACAGCAGGCGCAGCAAGAGGAGCAGAAGAATAACGAATTGGTCGCGCAACAGGTGTCGGATCTGGCGATGGAGGTTTTGCAGGCGGTCGTGTCGCAGATTCAGAAGTTGAAGAGTGAGATGGTGAGCAGCGTTGTAACCTCTACGACGTCGGGGTCGGGGTCGGCAAGTAGCGTTTCGCAGCCTGGGAACAGTACAGATTCTAGGTCTGTTCCAGCTAGCAGGAATTCAAATTCCTCGTCTTCCGGCTGGGGCGGCTGGGCGTTCTCCAAGATCGCAGATTTGCAGGGAAGCATTTCAACAACATCGGGCGCGCCGGCGAATAACAACAGCACACCAGGAGGTCTCACACCGACGACCTCTACAGCGAGTGTTGGTGGTGGTACGTCAAATGCTCCTGGCGTGGTCGTGCCAGTCCCCGCGCCGCCACCGGCTCCACCGATTTTAAACACAATCAGTAGCGGTGGAACTACGCCGACTGGAGCATCTTTTGGTGCTGGAGCTGCAACATCATTACCATCAGCATCATTTTCCCAGCCGCCAAAAATTATAACCCCGGCAGTTCCACCTTCTAACACGACTACTTCCGCGGTGTTTCAACAACAAGCGCAATCGAAATCGAGGAATCCCGTGCCCAAATCCATTTTTGGCTCCACGAATTCCGCGGCCAAGAAATTGGCGGAAGAGCAGGACGAAATGCTCTTCGCGGAATTAAATTTGGGGATGGAATCGCCGGCGTCGCAATTTTTGCCTCCGGGAAGAGGCTCGGGAACTAGTAGGGCCTCGGCCAACTCGCTGTTGAGCTTGCCGACTGTCGGTAACAATCCATCTTCTTCCGCGCCAGTGGGTTCCTCGACGAGTCCTCACAAAAACAGCAGCTTCGCGGCGGCCCCGAAGATCAACAATACATCAACCCAGATGTTGAAACAGCAGCTATCGCCTCTCGGCTCCAAGAGCAATTTGTCGAAGCAGAGCGACCCTTGGGGCGATGACTTTTTTGGGGATGATTTCATCCTGGATAGTAGCGCAAGAACGACCCCAACGACAACTACCACGAATAAAACGAATATCATCCCAGCAGGGGCTCCTTCTCCGTCCTCTAGCTCTAGCCACCTCGTCGTGGTCCCTGCGAGTGCGAACAATTATAGCGCTATCCACAGTAAATTTCCTGTACATGTACAAATTCGGTTTCTGCATGACAAATTTTTCTTTTAATTCTATTCAGCATGACAAGTGGCATGCTCCAAGTTGGTGAAATTTGTGATGCATTTTGTACATGTACAGCAAATTTGTATTGCATAAGCGCAATGAGTAATAAAGATAAACCTCCAACGCCGAAAAGCAACTCTCGCCCGCCATCAGTCCCCTCGTCGCCGAACTCGTCCAAGCAGAGCACGGGTAGTCCAAAACAGGGCCCGAGTGCGATGTTTGCGAAATTGGAGAAGCCACCGCCGCGAAAGGAACCGGTGCCCTTGAAAAAGGCGGAAGAATTGAAAAAAGAAGCGGAGGACGCGTTTTGGGACGAATTTGACTGATAGAATGAAGGAGAAGTTTGTAGCTTCTATAGATCATATACGACCTACGAGGAACAGGAACGAACACATTTCGAATTCTTTTGCAATCACGAAAAAGAATGCGTTTGCAGCCTATGTAGTTGGTGAAGATGTGTACACTATGAGTATGATTCGCAGTACTACCACGACGAGCACGAACAAATGTGGACAATACACGTAAGCATGAGATCGAACTTGAAACCCGCAAAAGCAAACTCACGGAGAAAAGTCGTGGCGCGGTTTTAGATACTGTAGAAAGGTCCTCGTCGACTAGTTACGTCCGAATCTGTTCAACACAGCTTGTAGATAAGAGATAGACGACGAGCCCGCCTTTCCCCTCTGCTCTTGTCACAAAAGCGCTGTCCACTTTTTTAGATACTTACGCGACCGATAGGGAAGCAAAGACAAGGATCTTCTATATGATCAATGTCAATTTGTTATAGCTGCCTGCAATGAAATTGGTCGAGGACCTCCAGTAAAAAGATCTGTACATAGCTGATACTTTACGCAGAACCCCGCGGATCTTTTTCACGATCTTGTATCTCTCTTATCATCACAGAAATTGAAATTTGGATTTCGTTCCACCAGCTACACGGACTTTTTTGTCATTTTTGGATGTAGTGCCTTTGTATTGTTCTGCCCTAACGAGGACCCTAGAGGACCGATCTGGATGACGGGTATGTTGAACAGCGAACACATAGTAGGACAACAACAAATCGTATTGCGCTCACGATGTACTACAGGAACATATTGATATTGGAATTCAAAGCAAAAATGATAGCATCGTGCTAGAACTAACAATACTTTCTGTTTCACCCTTGGGAAGGACAATTATTGTCTCTTTCCTGTTAATCGTAAAGTTCTTCATAGCGTACCATAGCAACAACACCATGTACGGCAATTTCAACAGTAAGGGCCCCCCCGGCGGGCCCCCCGGCGGGTATCCTGGCTTTGGCAATAACGGCGGCCCACCACCCGGTGGACCCCCAGCTGCACTCCCTGGCGGCGGCCCACCGAACAGCAATCCCCCACTATGCCGTGCAAAAGTATCGCACTCGTGTAAATGCATTACAAATTTCCTCAGCATGATGAGAAATGAAATTGTAATGCTGATTTACGTTAAGAAAAATATTTGTAATGCATGCTTGCGCTACGAGTACGATACTTTTGCAGAGGATACCCACCGAATCCCTACAACAACCCGAATTACAGCAACATTAACGAAGCGACGAGTGCGGAGCAAGCAGCCCTCGCGGCGGCGAATCGGTTCATGCAAGCTCCCGGAGCAGGCGGACCGCCGGGCACTGCCGGGCAACAACATCATCAGCAGCCAAGCCCTCGCGACGGCCAACAACTGCAAATCCCGCACCCGCAGGGCGGGGGGCCTCATATTAATCCCCTCGTCGGAGTTCAGGGCTCTCCGCACAGCGCCGTCGGAGGCGGTGGTCCTGGTGTAGGACCACATCCCCCCGGGAGGTCGCCGGCTTCCGGCCCCGCGGGCGGTGGTATAAGTGGGCCCCCGCCGCGCGGACCCCCGCCGGGAACCTCGGCGAACGCCATACCGCTGGGTGGTGGAGGTTCTGGGGGAGGCAACATGATGATGCACCACGGTGGTCCTCCGGGCGGACCTCACGGGGCGGGCGGACCTCATCATGACGGGGTAGTACCAGCAGGAGGAGCTCCTTCTGGAGGACCTCCGCCACATCACCAGCAATTCTATAACAACAGCGCCGGAGGAGGTGGAGGTCCTCCCGGAAGTGGTGGTCCACCAGGTGGTCCTCTCCCGGGAGCAGGTGGTCCACAATCGCACCCAGGAGCTGCACCAGGTCCGCAGCAGCAGCATCATGGTGGATACAACCAAGGTCCCCAACACCAGCAACATGGAGCAGGTGGCACGAATTTTTACCCACAGCACCACCAACAATATTCTGGCCCCGGCGGAAAGGGACCAACATCATTCGGGCAACACCATCAGCAAGGTCACCAAGGTGCTGGGTCAAATTATCACCAACAGCAACACCAGAACAACCCAGAGAATATGAATAGCAAGATATACCCTTGGACGACGCAATCAAGGAACGATGGGTCGAAATATTACTTTAATCTCGAGACGGGGAAGGCACAGTGGCTGTGTCCGAAGGAACTGATGAGCGATATGCAGTTGAAAATCGCGAAATTAACCCCGTGGCGAGAGTACTTACATACTACCAATGAATCTTTTTCGTCGCACACGATTTTTCTATAAAATAGAAATGGAAGTTCAAGTTCTAGAAGTTGAAGTAGTTCCTTGTCCTTCGGAATTTGTGTAGGATACTGAAGATTTTTTGCGCGCTGAAGATGACGTATGTCCAGCTTGCTGAGTCGTAGATGGAACTTCATATATACATCAAAAACTTATTCAGGATGTCGCTTTGGGGCGATCGTCTGTATTACTACAATTCCGAGACGAGAGTGACATGTTGGCGAGAGCCGGATGCCGTCAGGCGCATTCGCGATATGCGTTGCAAAAGTATCGTTGTACTCGTATAAATGCATTACAAATTTCCTCAGCATGAGAAATTGAATTTGTACTGCTGATTTGCTTTGACAAGATGATTTGTAATGCATGATTGCTATACGAGTACGATACTTTTGCACAGGATACGCGAGGGGAAGGACCCTTACGAGGGCAGCGACGACGGTACTTAAGTCATCCTCATCTTGTCAAGATGTGCTTTATGCATCACAGATACCTCTTGTCGTGCTCCTGCTATTGCACTAGCTGCATGACAGAGGCAGCGCTTGAAGTACTTATAACAAGCATCATCTCTTTAGTGATGCATTTGTGCTGCGTAGTTGTAGTTCTTCATCGATTCTGCTTCTGCGTCACAAATTGAAGAAGAGCGAAAAAATAAAACACCAGCTCCTCTCGACGAGCCTTTGGTGCAGCAAGAGCGGCTTCGACTGTACACGCAGAAACTCGAGCGCACACTCGACGGCGACACTTCGTACCACTTTTCCTCCGTCGACAGTATGGTGGAGAACAAGGTGAAAGTGAGAAAAAAGGGCCCCGCGTCGAATTCCACCGCTTTAGCGACGATCGATGAGAACCAAGTGAACATCCAGCCACAGAACAAGCAGAACCAGAACTTCCACATTGAGGAGGTGGTGTTACTGCCGGAGGAGAAGCACCGGAAGCAGTGCTACGCGGAGTATTTGCTGAAAAACCGGGTGTATCCTGTGCAAAAGTATCGTAGTCGTACTAATTGCAAATACGCATGACAAATTCCCTTCCTGAGGTAAAACAGCATTACAAATTCCACTTTCCTTCTTGCCAAAATTTGTGATGCAATTACTTATATATTATATTCATGCGAAAAAAGAGGTAGACAGAGGGTAAACAAGAGGTGGCCGAGAGGTCAAAAAGAGGTCAAAAGAGGTAAAAAAGAGGTCGACAGAGGTGGAGAGGTGGCGCGGGACCCCTTTCGAGAGGGTCGGCGAGAGGGTGCGCGAGTATAGCCCGCCGAAGGACCCACCTTAAGGCGGCGCCTAAGTGCCTCAGAGGGTGCAGAGAGGTCAAAAAGAGGGGGCGCGAGAGGTCGACAGAGGTCGAGAGAGGTGGCGCGAATAAGGGCCAACCTCTCGCGCACCCTCTCGGCCACCTCTGGGCCACCTCTGTCGACCTCTACCCGCGAGTATAGCCGGACTATTAGCGGGGACCCCCAAAAGAGGTAAAAAAGAGGGTCTGCGAGAGGTCTGCGAGAGGGTAAAAACACAAAGTGGCTGGCGCGAATCCGCATGGTAGTGCTCATATTTAGCATTGCAGGCTCTTCGCGGACGGCGTTTGTCCCCGCCACCCTCTCGCGCACCCTCTCGCGCCACCCTCTCGCGCCACCCTCTCGCGTCACCCTCTCGCGCCACCCTCTCGCGCCACCCTCTCGCGCTACCCTCTCGCGCACCCTCTCGCGCCACCCTCTCGCGCTACCCTCCCGCGCCGCCCTCCCACACTGAAGCCATTGAAAAAGTAGCGAAGCCGGGGAATGGGGCGGGGTTCGTGGTTCATCTTGATTAACGAAAGGCATGCGTAGCGGATTGGTGTGGCACCTAGGTGCGTCCTGTTCTGCCCCAGTGCTCGCGGTAGCTCCTCCCTGCGCAGAGCGCCCTTAGGCGCGAGAAGCGCGCAGAGAGTTCTGTGGGGGCATGAGTATGTATGTCGCTGTGGTCCGGTCCGCAAGCAGTTCAGACCCGGCCAAACAGCCTTGCGCTCCGGCGGTAGCCGGAGCATGGCTGGTTTATACTAGTGCGATACTTTTGCAATGCACAGGGTGCAGCAGGAGGTCGAGGGCGAGGAGAGACGGAAAAACGCGGTCTTTCTACTCGGGAAGGAAATGCGGAAATACTTGGAGTGCTTGGAACGCGACGAACTTGAAACGGGGACGAACATTGACGAAGTTCAGGTACAATAACTTTTCGCTCACTACGTATACTTTGATGTGGTTGCACACCGTGCTCTGTACTACGTGAATGTAGTACTAGTACCTATGTCAGATAATTATGCTATACATCATCTAAACCCCAGGTCCAGTTTCTGGAGTTCGCAGATCTAAATCCGATCGATTTTCCGTCCTGGGACAACGTGAAGGACGTTTCCAAGGAGGAAATTTTCGACCAGGCGTTCAACAAATTCTTGCAAAAACGCGACAAACGCCAGCAAAAGCGGCAGCAAATTCTCATCCCCCAGTTCCACGCATTCCTCTGTCAACACGAAAAGTTGACCGGCAGTTTGACCTGGGAGGAGGCGTTTCAGATCATCGAAAACGACGCGAAGGGAAGAAGATTTGTGTCCGAGCTTGGGCAATTGGAATCGCTGAAATTGTGGAAAATCTTTTTGGAAATGCAGAACATGCTATCACAGTGCACAACTCCCCCTCCCCCTCATTTGTATAGCATGAACGGCAATACAAGTGTCAGCAAGAATGCAGGTCTTGCATGACAAATTTGCACAGGAGTGTAGTGCTATTGGGCTGCCAGAACTTGTCATGCAAAAAGTGCCAAGAGGCACAGGGTGGCGGATTTGGTATTTTGCATTACAAATGAGGGGGAGGGGGAGTTGTGCACTCTCATACATGCCGGGCGCCCGCGGCATGCTCCACCCCGCGGTCCGGGAGGATCGGTTGGCCCGGCAAAACTACCTGCAGTTGCTGCGGGAGCACGGCTTTCTCCCGTCGGAAGTCATTCCGGACCCGATGGAATCCGATTTGGCCATGTCCAGCTGTTCCTCCGCGGATGAGGGAGACAATTCGGATGTGAATAGCCAGTTGTCCGGACACAAACCAGCCACCTCCGCAGGAGCGATGGCAAATAATCCCATTGTGCCGGGGACAAATGTTCGCGTGACGCACACGACCGCAAACCCGACCTATTCCCGGTTTTCCGCCGCCGTGGGAGGTGGTGGGAAGAGCACCAGCAAAGCCGGCGGCGCACCTCCCGCTGCGAAGACCACCTCTGCGAAGGCCAAGGCGGCGAATCTCGCAAAACATGGGACCACGATGACATCTTTCACGAAAAATCATCGACCGAATAAAACCTCGTCGAAGCAATCTGCGTTAACCCCAAATTCAAAAGTGCACGCGTGGGAAGAGAAGCTCGACTTGGTGTCGAACTGCAACACAATCTCCGAGTTGGAAAAGCATTTGAATATTGAGCCGCGACAGGAGCTCGTGGACGACGGAGTCAACGGGGGAACAAACATATGCAATGCAAAAGCATCGTACTAGTATGAATTGCATTACAAATTTGCTCAGCATGAAGAATGCAACTCGTAATGCTGTTTTACGTTTGGAAGAAGAGTTGTCATGCAGATTTGCAATTAGTACGAGTACGATACTTTTGCAGCGCATAAAACACTCTCTCCGCGGCCGCTTCCTCCGCGAACGACGACGATAACAATCCGAGCGGCAGCAGTTCCGCCGCAACCAGCGGACCAGAAATGAACATGGCGAATTTGGACAATCTACACGACGACGTTGACATGGTATGAGAGTGCAAAACTCCGCCTCCCCCTCATTTGTATTGCATGTACAGCAATACAAGCGTTGGCAAGAGTGCGGGTTTTCCATGACAAATTCACCCAGGACGATTGTAGTGCTGTTTGATCTACCACAACCTGTCATGCAAAAGGTGCGAAGGGGCATCAAAGGGTGGATTTGATGGCTTGCATGACAAATGAGGGTGGAGTTGTAGTTGTGCACTGTCATACACGGCCAACGTAGAGGATGACCACCTTGATCTCCAGCTATGGTGTTCTCAAACGTTACATTCTCAACTGTTACATGAATTTCTCATGCAAAACAACCTTGAGCCGGTAGATGATCAAGCTGCTTCGCATGACAAATATCCGAAGGGCTAAACAGCATCTAAATCGGTGCCAAATCTGTGATGCGAAAGCAGCAAGCTTGCACCTTTGACTGTTGCGGCTTTTGCATCGCAAATCCATGTAACAGTTGAGAATGTAACAGTTGAGAACACCATACCAGCTGTCGCCCACCTCGAAGGCGAAAAAGTCCGTTGCGCTGATGACCCACAAGCTGATCGACACGCAGACGAGCGTGGAGAAGCGGATCATCGACAGCCGGCGGGCGTATTTCAAGCAGGAAATCTTGCCGAAAATCCGGGAGGACAGCCGCTTCAAGAAGATGGAGAAGATTTTCCAGCAGCGCAACACGGTTTCCTCCGTCTCCTCCCCGGAGAACATCTACGTGTTCCACGAGGAGCACAAGCTCTTCATGCGGCAGCTGACGAAGTTGCAGAACCTGTGCAACAAGCGGCAGAAAAAGTTCGAGCACTACCGGGAGGCCGGGCGAGACTTTCTGATGGAAAAGGTGTCGACGATTGAAGAGCCGGGCATGATGAAGCCCGGGCTGACGCAAGTCCTGACCTGGTCGCAGATCGCGGAACGGAGCAAGCGCCGGCGGTTTATCAAGCAGAAACAAAGAGCGGTGCACATCGACGACGACATGAAAACGACTGAGATGATGTACCAAAACCAAGGCCAAGGTGTTGTACCTCCACAAGGCGCGGCTGGGGGTCCACCAATGTTCTCCGCGTTTGGACAGGGAGAGCAGCGCAAAACCACTGAAGCAGGAGCGGCAGACGGGGTTCATGACGAGTTCGTGGAGCAGCTCAGGAAAGCAAACTCTACCGGCCTGGAGATGTCTCATCATCTGGAGTTACCCCTGCCGGACATCCCACACCCGGTGCCAAATCTGATGACCGACATGGGCAACCCGGGGGAGGAGACGGAGGCGATGGTGCGGCCGAGCAGAAAAAATAGCTCTATGATGAACAACGAGAACAAAACCTCCGTCCTTTCCTCAGCGGTGGGAGCAGCATCAAACGCAGTTGCACCTGGCTCCTTGAACCCCATCCCCGAGGGGTCGCAGGAGGACCAGGTTGAGGAATTTTCTCCGGTGCACCGGGCCCTGCACCTGCCGAAGGTGAAACTGGACCCGAAGAGACGGAAATCGGTCAATTACAACGCGTTTTCACCCCAGAAAGGACCAGTGGATAGTATTATTGGGAAAGCAGGGAGTATAATAGCAGGAGGAGGTTCGACGAATGCAGCAGGAGATATACAGCCGCCTGGGGTCGTCAGTGGCACAGGAGCAGGAGATGTTGGTGCGGTTTTGTCGGGGAACCTAGTTGGTGGAGATGTTGGCGAGGACGACAGCGGCAACATGGGCGATGAAAATGCGCGGGACAGCTTTGAGGACTTCAGATTGGAGGGACCGATGGGAGGAGCAGCAGCCACTGGAGTTGAAGAGAGGAAAAGAAACACGGAAGAGGAAGACGACGCAGAAAGGCTCAGTGTCGAGGAGATTTCGTGAACAATGTGACCAAGAGCATGCGCGAGTGGACCACCAGTCGCGGTGGGATTAGTATTGACGGGGACGAACAAATGGTTTTACTTTTGAGAATACTATGCTGTCGCGTTCTGCTCACTAAGAACGGATTTACTCTTTTCTCAGGTGTTCCTGAAGAATACTTTACTTTGAGCATCTTCAGATGAGCTTACTACAGTTCAGATCTCAGCGTCAGTGTGTGACTCCCGAGGAAGAAAAACCAAAATCCCTGAAAAACTAAGACTCCTGTTGTTGACATAACCAAGTAGTTGAGTTCTAGTTCATCCAGCAACAACAGCAACAAACAACATTGCTGGTAGTGCCATAAGCAGTCCTGCTCTACGCCGTGGTGTAGTGCGTAGCACATGCTGTAGTTGAATGCAGCTAGCGTCATTCGCTGCAGCTCGTTTTTGTGTAGTCTTTTCTGTGTTCAACGAATAAACGGCATAAGGAACAAACACACGGGGTGTTGTGGTTGTGGATTTTTGAGGAAACTTTGACCGAACGTGTGGCGCTGGGTGCGTGATGTGCTTTCTTAGTTCTCACAGTTTGCGATTTCGCTTTGAAAGCACAACCGTTCGATATATTATTGCAATGGTCAGCGTCAATCGCGGCGGTGGGAAGAACAAGAAAAGAAGAAACCACGCAGAGACGAGAGTACTAAAACGCAACAATGCCCTCCTCTAAATCCAGCCTCGTGACCGGCGGTGCGGAGCACGCCACACAGCAGGTCAACCTTCACGCAACGGCAGAGAGAACAAACCGCCACCATGATCCGGCGGGCAACGGGATCAACGCAGTCGGCACCATATGCACTGCAAAAGTATCATGCTCGTAGTAATTACAGTGATCATGCATGATAAATCCTCGACATTAGGTAATAAATCGGCATTTACAAATTCCACTTCTCTTCTGTAGGAAAATTTGTCATGCAGTTTATAACTAGTACTAGCACGATGCAGCTTTATTTGCAATGCATATAACAGCAATCCACTGGAGAAATTAGTCCGGATCGCGTGGGACGCAATCGAGAAGGAGGATCTCGTGCACGCCAAAGTGGCCTTGTACGACGATGACAGCCGGCATCATGGTAGCTCCTCCAGTAGCTCATCAAATTGTATTACAAGTTCATTCGCTGCATCAAAAACAAAAAGCCCTGGTGGAGGCACGTCAGCTACACCTTTCACGACAAGCGCAGCAGCATCTTCGGGGGGTTATTTTGGCACCACGAGCCGCACCAACTCATCTAGCAGTCTGCTTCAGGTAGCGGCAAATGAAGTTATGGGAAAGAACAAAGTGAATAGTAGTGGAGCTGCCCCTTCTCTGTCCAACATCACGTCGAGTTCTTCTTTTATCCGGTACGACCTGAATAGCAAGGTCGCCGCGTTAACCGCGTCGGTGTTGTACTGTTTGCACTGCTTCTTCGACGTGGAGTATGCGAAAAATGCGGAGCCGCCGAAATTGTTCGCCTTTTCCTGGGAGGAGCATGAGGTATAGATAAAGTTGACTCACAAGTAGCAGCATGTGTGCTGATCCATTTTTACATCCGACCTGCCTCAGCAATACGAAATATCGTACTGTTGCTGCTTCTCCAACAGAACCGTACAAGATCAAAATTTCATGATGACACGGAATTACAAATTAGTCTTTCGCACTGATGGCGTTGTCACGACAACATCGGCGGAAAGACAAATTCCCATATTTTTGTCTGATTGAAGTTCTTTAATAGGCATCCACATACATTCAGATCTGCACAAACCTGGAAGCTTTATTTGATTGTTGGTTTTTGTCGTGCAAGATCTCAAAATGTGGAGAAGTTTGTGATGCAGAATCGTGAAGATCATGAATAGCTTCGACCTGATTCTGTAAAACAATCCGCTTTCCAGGTCCTCCTCGACCTACCACTCGAGCAGCTGCAGCAGAAACTCAGCAGCAACAGAAACACGGCAGAAGAAAACGAACTTTTGCTGGAAAAAATCGAGGCGGAATTTCTGCGCTTACACGACTTCTGGCAAACGCGAAGCGGTGAAGAAATGCTCCGAAATTCTGTTCCCGCACTTCCGGTCTTCGTGCCGAAGTTGCGGCAGTTGCTGCGGGCCAAGGTGGCAAGGCTGAAGACGGAGCTGGCTGTTGAGTCTGGTGTAGGAGAGTCGTGGAGTTGAGGTTTTAGACCTTCCTACAACTTCGTTGATGTTTCTCCGCATGATCTGTAGAGCTACGTGCCACAACTTCAAAAATGTCATTCTGGTTTCGTTTCGCAGTTCGCTTGATATACGAGAAGCAATATAGTAACCGTCGGGGCTCGTTTGCTCGTGTAAGATTTGAACATTTTGAAAACTGGTGCACCGATGGCCATTTCTTCGATACGCTGAAGCTGTGCTCCTTCCACAAGAACCTCAAGCAATTTAATACCAGTACTACGAATTCGTCGAACATAAACATGTGTCGTGGGTCGTAGCAGAGCTATCGCGTAGTCGATGAGTGTCATAGTTTCTCTGAAGCAACAAGTGTGTTCGTTTGATCTGGGGAAAAAAGTGGCTCTTGACGACGTGGTAGTTGTACTACACTTGGGTGATCTAGAACGCGAGGGGTGGCGAGTTACTGAGATTGAAATAAACGAGGGCACGACGTAGGTCTAGACAAACCGCATTTAGTGACGAGATATGCACGTATCATTCGTTTTCTTGTTTTTGCACTTGATGACTTAAATTTAGGGCTACTTACTTATTGTTATTTCCATTGCATTTGACATTGAGACACACCCCCAACATAAATCTAAATCATGCGTGGCCACGACAAGAAAGCGATAAAATCCAGCCGGTCCGCCCGGCGCGGCTTGACCCGACACGCGAATCGGAACAACTTCGCGCTTCTTGGCGTCGTCACATCGTTTTCTTCCGCGGTGTACGACTACGCCATGACGATCATCACGCTGGCGGAGGCGCGTGAACAAGTGCAGATGTTGGTACTCCCTATACGCAGTTACGTATGCTCTTACTTATTGTAGGCAGCCAATTATATTTATTAAAATTTTTGTGCATCAACAGCATGCCATCATCAGAGAACCTGTCGATGTGTGGCACTCACACGTGCTTGCTAAAGTTTTCCTTCACGGACGAGTTTGTTCCACCACGTCGATGGTCTACGATATGCTTTCTTTCATTTCCATTGAGGTCGAAAACCAAGCTGCAGCCGCGACGAATATTACGACGGTACCCCCCCCCCCCGGCGATGGACACCGTGCTCTTCAGAATGAACGTACTATGGGAGAACCACGTGGCAGCGAACCATTTAAAGGTATAGCGATGCTTTGTTTTGCAGGCAGCTGCGTTTTTGGTGCTGCTATGCAACTTGTTCTGGCAGGCATGACTTGTTATGATCCTTGATAAAGAAGAAGTTGTCGCATAAGTACAAGAATAAAACACTCACAACTCCTCAGGCCCAACGCGTGCTGTTGCTGAAGCAACTGTCCTTCGCCGGCCTGTCCCCGTACGCGGTCAACCAGGGGATGAAATCGTACCAGGAAACGGGGTATGCATTGCAAATATGTCTGGGTCTGGAAGATTGCCAAATTTGTTATGCGTGTCTGACATGAGATTGAGATCATGACTCGGACCTCTGTCATGCGTAGGTGCAAAAAGATCGTTTTGTCTGTCATGCAAAAGCGCAGTCTGCCATGCAGAATACGCGACACATAGCACCTCAAAAACTTGTCATGCTTGGCCACGTATGACAGCGCGCCCTGTATTCCCTGGTTTGCATCACAAGTCTCCAGACCCAGACATATTTGCAGTTGATACGGGTAGTTGGGCTGCTTTTCAAAAAATGTACGAGTCGGGGATGCTGGCCGCGTTTGAGAAGTGCGACTGTAACGGCAGCGGGGTGTTGGAACGAGCGGAGGGAGGAAATACCTGTCCGGCGGAGGCGGATTTGAATCAGGACGGGAGGTTTAGTGTTATCGAGCTCCACGATTACTTGATCCCGTCCGTGGACGAAAAACAGGTCGGTGATTATGACGAGGAGGGTGTTACTAGCAGTACTACAACCGGGAGTCCGTCGCCCTCCACTACACCTGCTTCTGCGTTGCAAACGCGCGAAAGCATGGCGATCAGGATTTTCGACAGGTTGCGGTCGTGTCTCTGTCCTTCTCGAACAGGCATTGACGCGAATGAGATCGTGGAGCAGCCGGTGCACGAACAAGGATACGATGTTGAGCAGCAAGTGCAAGAAGCATCTGGCAGGTACACCCCGGAATCCCAGAGCCGCATGAGGGGAACCCCCATGATGAGGCGGCTAAACCAGAACGGCCCGGACTCCATCGTTCTCAATTATCCACCTTCTGAAAACCCAGAGGAGGACCCAGTGTGGGGCGTCATCCGGGAGAGGAGGAGGGTCCAGCCGCAGCTAAGATCTGCGAGACAAGCGCTACAAGAGATGGATGCAAGGCGGGCGAGAGAGACAGAAGTTGCAAGGCGGGCGAATAAAGACGAAAAAGAAGCTGAATGAGAATGGTAAAGAGGTCATCTTGGCCAAGGATGGGTCTTTCGGTTTGGTGGACTTTAAAAGAAAAAGAGGCGAAAGCGTTCACCTTCCTTGCCTGAAAACAAAATCCAAACGCAACATGTAAAGAGGTACTGTACAAAAACCAAGAAGAAGAGCAATGAGAATGATGTCAATGTTAGAAGAAAAGCAAGAATGCTAGAGGTTGAAAGGATCCGATTTCTGACGCATGCAGTTTTTAGGAATGTTTCTATTAATGTTCGTGTCATTGTCACCGCTTTTAATTACTAGTCATCGCGTTAGAAAAGTGTTTGGGTGCTGTTTATTCGGAGTTGATGGTGTTGTCTACTGACATGCGAAGATCTGTGTCACAACAATATTGCGCTACCAGTGTACTTACTTTTGCATACAGGCTTCGGTATTGGCATAGAAATGAGTTTCATGAGACGTCGCGTTTTTGTTTTGTTTCTTTTTGAAGTAGGCTATGCAAGGTCCAGCTCATTCGTGGCAACACAAGGGATAAGAAATCTTTTATTTAAATCAGCACGGATCTCTAAAGCGCAGGAGGTCATTTTGTTGCTGTCGTTTTCGTTCCTGGAAAAAAAATAAATGTCGGCTGGCTTTTATTCATGCTGTTTTTGATATAACAGTAGCTCACTCATCAGCCATTATATGCAAAGGCGAAGTTCTCGTCACTTTATTGCGTTACTCATACCTGAGTTGTTTTTTTTTTCTTTTAGTGATTGACTGTGACCATCTTCACAATGACAATCTCAGTCTCGTCCTCGCCCCTGTGGCGGGCCAGAATACCGTCAGCCTGCACGAGGAACAGGTCTTCGTCTTTCCGTTTGCTATTGCCACATGGGAAAACAAGCAGAGCAGCATTTGCAACTTTCTCGTCCTCTCCAACACTGCGAAAAGCGGCAACGGCGTCATTCCCCGGAGCGCAGCAACTCTCTTGGTTGTTTGCGGCCAACAGAAGCGGAGCAGCAAGTCACCTAGCCCCTACAGCAACGAGAACCACCTCATCCTCAAGCCAGCTGGTGGATTACGACACCTCTACAACTCCATCCGGAGGACTACTACATGCAGCTGCAAGTGGTCCGAATCAGCTTCAAATAAACTACCCAACCGCACAGCAGCTCGCGGGCTTTCTCCCAAAACCCGAGCCGATTCTACAGAAACCGAAAAAGAATTACTTCACGGCGAAAATTCTCTTACTGTTTTTCCTCTGCCACGCAGTACCGGTGGCAGCTGCGATCAAATACTTCCGGAAAAGGAAGCTGGAAAGAATCGCGAACTCTTTGATGGTCATACCTGACAACCCACAGGCAGTGGTCGAGGAAGTTTTGCGTACTGATGAGTTCTTGATTTGTTTCTGGATTGAGTGAATGCAACACTGGAAGATAGATCTGTATAGGTGGGCCGACATGAATTTCAGAATGATGAGCAGTACCAAAAGTGGAAGTGCATCTGTGCTGTGCGAACCGCTTGTCTCGATGAAATCTCATTGCGGAATACAAAACAGGTGTGATGAACTCTTCCCAAGACGTTTTCCTCGTCGCACCCACGAATAATTCAAACCCAACTTCAACGTCTGGTCCTGGTGCTCGCCGAAGCGCCACGGCAAATGCTATCCAGCTGAAACGCGTGAAGCCTCTCCCCCCAGAGTCGCAGCGCGTCGTACCACAGTCACAGGAGACTTTGGAGCAGCTCCAGACCTTTTCCGAGCCACTGACGTCCGACATCGCAACGTTGTTTTCCCATACGGTGGACGTGAATCAGCCAAAGAGGGCGTTCAGGCAAATCTATTTCTGGATGAGTCTTGAGAACAACGGGATGAGCGAGAATGAAAATGAAACTATATTAGCATCTTCCAGCGGACCCGGACCAACGAAACAAGCCGCCGTTAGCAGTAAAACTGTTTCCGCCCAGCTCCCGGCCGACCGCCAAGGCGCTTTGTTCTACCCGAGCACTCTGCGACAGGCGTCTTGCACGTTAAACGGGCGATTAGTCGTGGTGGATGACTCTGAGCTGGTGGATTACTACAGACTGAACTATTCCAGAAGTAGCGGAGGAACTTCATCTGAGACGGACAGGGGCTCTGTAGTTTTGGTGAAATTCATTCCGAACCAGGTGGAATTGAGGGCGTTTGGACACGTTGCGGGCGGCTATCTTAGTGATGATGATGCTGCAAACGTCGGTATTGAGGACGCGGACGGGGTGGAGCAACATCAAAAAAGTTCTGATGCCGGTTGTAACGCACAAGAAAATCATGTTCAGAAACATGGTCGATTCATCGAGAACAGTGTGCAACTGGTCCTGAACACCAGCAACGCCGGCGGTATGGACAGCTCCAGCTGGGAGCTGGTGAGGTGAACAGGAAATCGAGAAACAGCCGTAATTCTTACGAACGAACACTTGCAGATATCGAATCGTACCGTACGAACTGCCTCTCCTCTGTGACAGCTGCATATCTGCATCGCAAGATGCGTTTGCGGGCAACCGTCTTTCTTGTTCGACTTTTATGGCGCATGTTGTAAAGAACTTACTTGGCTGATTTGATGCCACGTCATTCCACTGTACGTGTCGGTAGCGGCAATAAGAACGCCGTCGAAGCTGCCGAGTTCCGGTGCTCGCACTGGACTGCGCAGCTCGCCCCCTTCTGTGGGCAGCTATGGAGAAATACGAGAGACGCAGAGGAGGTGTAACTGTTTCTATTGCGAGTGGCTTATTTTTTTGCTTTTCCTCCAGCCGTTTGTTGAGGTTGCTCCTGCAACGAGATAGCTGTATCACTCGAGTGCTAAACGTGGCTGCATCAACAACCGAGTGCTAAAGAGAAGCTCTTCCGCAAGGTGAAAGAATTATCCCCGGCACGACTTCGACGCGTCTACTCTATTCGTTGGTCTACTCTCTACTTAAAATCGACATCCTTGATTGTACTAACTAGTTGTTTTCGCCCTCTGGATGTCGAAGACGCCGTCTGTTTTGGACGACAATTCATCGCACGACAAAGACTGCAGTTCATTGTCGCGGCACTAGCACTGCTAGCACGACCCACCAACCATGACGCTCCTGGGCCGCGCGATTCGCGGCCAGTACAAGGCTGCTCTGCAGCACCAATCAACCAAACCGGCGTTCTACAGTTCACCCTTCGCTTTCAACCGCAACTTTGCGACCGCGGTGGCCCCGGCTTCCTCCGTGACGACGACCAGCCCGACCGCACCGCTGAAGCTGATTTCGCAAGTGCAGAGGAACATCCTCACGGATATGCTGAGCAAAAACGTCCCCACCCCATAGTTAAGCTTGTAAATCTGCAACACAAATCTTCAAGTTTTGGGAGTTGTGCATGACAAGTTTTCATCTGCAGTATTGTGGTGCTTGGCAAGGGAAGCCGCATGGGAAAGCCATTTTCTCATGCTGTTTACAGCATTACAAAAGCCAAAACACGACTGGAAACGCCTGTCATGGGAATGCGCATTACAGATGCTCCTGCCATTGCACATTTGCATGACAACTCTGGGGTGCGGACGTTTTTACACAGGATAACGGAGGCGCAGCGCTGCATCATCCTGGCCGGGCTGGCGCAGAACCCGAACGTGCCACAGTACGACAATCCGATCGGGACGCCGAACAATGACATGCGGCGGTTCGGCGACGTGCCCCACGGGTACCGGCACGGGCACCTGGTGAACTCGCTATCAAATGCAAAAAAGTCTGGGTCTGGGAGATTCCGAGCTTTGTCATGCAGTTTTTCCAAGTTCCCCCACGTCTGGAATGCAGGGCCTAGCATCACAGGTTCTGCAGCTCCTTGGTGACGCGTGTTCTGCATGAGAAATGCTCTCTCAGCATGGCCAGAAGTGGGCACCTTTTGCACGTTATGCATCACAGATCTTTGTAGGATCCGAAACACGCATCACAAGTTCGCATCCTTCCAGACCCAGACATTTTTGCATTTGATACTCGCAGCACACCCGCAACACCGCCCAGTACACGAAAAAGTTGCTGCCGATCATCTACTACGCATTTTTGCAAAAGCATCGCTATCGGTTCTCGACGTGGGTGGAACTGGAATCGCATTTACAATACAAATTTCATCTCCGGGATGAACACATAGGGAAAAGTTTGTCATGCTGGAAAGGGTAAAAGAAAGATATGTGTCATGACTAATTCGCATTTCGTACGACTGCGAGCAAAATGCTTTGGCACTGCATACCTACTTTCACTTCGTCGAGGTGGTGTGGCTGCTCATCATGTACCAGTTTTCGTAAACGAGAACGAGGGTCTGGGTGCTTCACCGTTTACGCTCACTTGCTGCAGAACGAGTGGCACTTTACAACAACTACAGATGTTGCTGCAGGAGGTTGAAGCTCAGGCTCTGTTTCATGCCGTGCTGAGGTGTGTGATGTAGATGTACACCAGATGGTCCTTGTCTGGCAGGTCGTCCCTATAGTATAAGCCGCAAGAGTTGATAGAACAAAGACAAAGACGAGAAATAGGAGCAACTTCAACATCAAACTAGAGATCATCGCGAGGACATCAAAAAAATGGCTTGGACGAGGTTTTGGAGGCATTAATCAACACGATAAAAGATTATATCATGCGTTTGAGGAACAAGAAAGGTGCCAGTGTGTGGTTGGGATAGGTAAAGGTATTCTGGTGTGCTATAAACGATTTCAAAATATTTTATTTTACCTGTGGTTTTAGTATGTGCAGATCGATGCAGGAAGCAGGGCCGCACATGGGACATTCGGCGGTATATGTTGTATTCTCGAATTCAAATGTGCAGAAAGACATGCCAAACGCACGGTTATTACCGAAAGCTCCGCAAGCAAATCCAATTTGCATGATGACGCACAGACACAATGGAAATGATCCAAATTCAGGATCCGAACAAAGATCCAGCAGACGAGACAACTGAAATAAAGCAGGAAAACGATCATCGCGTTCGCAAGATGACGAGCCCTGCAAGTGAACACTTAGACAAGATCTTTTTCGCCGATCCATTGATGCAGCTCCAACGCAGATCCTAAAGTAGATCCACCATCATGCAATCTCTTCACCGCAAAGGCTAATCGATCCGAAAATGCGATGGTGTTGGTGCTGTTCTTCGTAAAAGTAGAAGGAGTCATCTTAGTCTACCTCTTCTATCTGTATCTTCTAGAAGGAGGTCCAGCGGCATCGAAATACGACAATATCCTGTTGCGCAAAAGACCGCAGTTGTACCTGTACGACCAGGAAGTGGAAGTAGAATTGAACTTGATTGATTTACTTTTCTTCTTTATGGCTACGACCGGCAACACTTGAGTACGTCCAGGTTATTTCTTGACTTCTCGCTCGCAAGAATCTGAATCAATCTACTTACCAGCATCATGCCGACTAAAAACCATACCTCCTCCTCCACCTCTTCCTGTTGGCTGGGGTACGTGGGCGAGCCTCTTTTCGACAATTACGAGGGCAAAATCCCGGCGGAGCACCTCTCGTACGCTCCCTACGATCTGGATCTCTACACGAGCCGCATCGGCGGCTACCCGGAGTGGTTTGAAGCGAATTGCCCCGCGGACGGGGTGGCGATAGGGGAGACAAGAACAACTGCTGCAGGAGCTTCGAAGACACCTAACAAGAACTGGAGCCAGTGCCTGAACTGCGGGGATCCGTTGACGTTCGTCTGCCAGCTGTATTGCCCGATAGAAACTACGACAAATCTTCAGGCTGGAAGAACAGCACCAGCAGCAGAGACCACGGATGGCAGCGGTAAGAATGCAGCAGAAACAACAGGCTCGTGCAGCCCTTCTGACAGCGACCACCGATTGCTGCACCTTTTTTGTTGCACCAACAAAGCGCAGTGCGGCAGCCTCGGGTCGAAGGGATGGCGGGTGTTTCGGAGTAAGGTAAAGGCGGAACCACGAGGCGGGGGGCAGGATTTTGGGTTTACTACAGCCGGATCTTGTAGTTCTGCGACAGGAGAGGACGAAGAAGTAGAGCGACCACTTGAGCTAGAGCCCTCGAAAATTATGGAGCCTGGAGGACTAGAACCACCAGGAAAGGCCACTGATGCAATTACTAATACCGAGCATCATGCATTTTCACACACTAGTGCAGAAGATTCCAGTACCAGAGAAGATATTTTTGCAGAAAAGGCCATCGTCGAGGAAGTTGTAGAAGACGACGACGATTGGGGCCTCTGCGACGAAGACCAGTTTCAGTCGGAAACCGCTGCGGTGTCGCTTTTCAACAGAACTCCTGAGCAAGACTACACAACTCTGTTTTCCTCCAACCACCCGGTGCAGCTCCTCTCGTCTGGAATCCACGAGCCGCCGCCATCAACCACTTTTGGCAATCAGCACTATGACGAGCCCGCGCCGGCCTCGATTTGCTTGCCCCAGTTTACGTATATCAATGTTTCTACTGATGCGCCGGCGGACAGAGCAGCTCAAGCTCAACAGCCGTGGCCGTGCTTCCACTTGCCGTTTGCGCAGGAGCCGGGAAAGTGGAACGCTTCGTCGAAACTGTTCGAAAAAGAAATGCAGCACGCGGAGCATTTATTGGAAAAGTACGTGCAGGAAAACAGCAAACTTGCCATGCAGAAGAAGCAACTACATGGAGCGCCGACAACTATGTCGAAGATGAACGACTCCCCTGGTGCTTCCACGGCTGCAACGACAACAAATTCTGCCGCTTCCCCTGGTACCACTGCTGGCACAGTCGGAACGGCGGGGACCTGTCCATCCCTCGATGACGACGACGCCATTGATCCGGAGGTGCGGAAAGCGTTTGAGGAAACGAAGCGGCGAAGGAATGCGAGGCAGAAGAACTACAAAGCAGCCAACGCCTGCTCGTCTGACGACAATTCCACCGACGAGGAGAATAAAGATTCGGAGACGGATCATGGGGGGTCCTCGCGCCATGCGAAACACAACGACTCCGACGGGGACGATGAAGAAGCCACTGTGGAGCAGACCGCCTTCAACCTGTTTCAAAAACGGTTGAACCGGTCCCCTGAGCAGATATGAACTGCAAAAGCATCGTATTCGTATAAATGCATGACAAATAATTTTCTCAGCATGAGAATATAAGATTTGTAATGCGGAACTTACCTTAAGAAAAAGATTTGTAATGCTTGATTGCCATTATGCGAGTGCGTTACTTTTGCCCAGGATAGCAGATCCTCCGGTACGACTTCAACGCCAGGAAGTTTCTGCAGCTCACACCCGTTGTATACAGCAAGACAAATAACAAAGCGACAGCGAGCAAAAACTACAGTGGAAGGACGAATTGCAAAAGCGATAGTAGAAGCAAGAGCTCTAGCAAGGGAAATTGCAAAATAAACCCTTTGCTGCAGCAGGTCGTCCCGCAACGCTGCAAGTTTTGCAACGCAGAAAAGGTGTACGAGTTTTCCCTACTTCCGTCTTTTCTGTACCAAATGGTGCTGAACTGTCCGAAGTATGTACGGAAGAAGCTGGAAAAGAACGAAAACGTGCTGGAATTCGGGGCGGTGCACGTTTTTACCTGTGGGAAGAATTGCGACAAGGCGCTGGAAAGTGTGGTGGAGGAAAGCGTCGTGCTGGAATTAGCGATATGATAACATACTGTGTAGATGAGTACAACAATTCATTGTATAGCAAATACAACTTTCTTCACTTTGTTTCAAGCGCAAGTCAAGTTGCGTTTTTACTGTTGCGACCGCAAGTGCATCCTCAAGCGACACGATCATGCGATTTACGAAAAGTAGCCTACACTATCACCTCCACACGAGGAAGGACTTTATTCTTTTGAAGCTAAGACACACACTGCAAACCCACCTGCCAAAGCGCTGAGTGAAGATGTAGTCGACGATGTTCAACAACAGCTCTTGAAATAGGCGGTCTCGTTTCCTTGTAAGGATGAAGTGATTCTTTGATTCTGACATGAAGTGATTCTTTGATTCTGACTTGCATGATTTTCATTTTGTTTAAAAGTCTTCGGGTTCGGATTCGGTAGAATGCCTCCTGTTGGTGTCGTCCTTCAGAAGTTTCAGTCTTTTGTTCCGGCTTCGTTCATCGCGTCCTCTTTGTTTAGCGAATTCGTTCTCGTCTTGTCGTGCAAGTTTCGCTCCTCTCCGTGAAAATCTCACCGTCGTGCAACCACAAATGAAAAGCAACTCGTTCAATCAACCCACGTATTTCGTACGGTAGTTTTGGCGCAATCAAAGCCGTATAGCTTAATCGTCCTCGTGATTGTGTTTCAGTGGTTGTTTCGTTTCTACTCATAAGGTGGAAAACTCGACGAACCTCTCTACAGTAAGACCACTATGGTAATGGTTCCAAATCCAATCTATCCGGCGTTCGGCCCCCACCCCCTAGCTCTGCATAGATGACCATAGGGACGAGGTCCATCAAATCGAAACTGTTTTCTACAACACTGTGAAAATCATAGTACCTTGTCTTGTTCTACTTTTGACCAACACCAACCCACGTACCCTAGTATTACTTACTTACCCCACCACCAGATCCAGAACTACCAGACAAACAGTTTACTGCTCGGTAGCATCTTGATACAAGCATAAATTGAGATAGCATATTGAGCAAGAACTCTGAAAGCAGTCTTGAAGATTGCTTTACTTTTCCAAGAGCAATGAGTACAAGGTATAATTCCCCCACGACCTGTGGTGCAGACGGCGCACTACTTCTGCTGAAGGAGGTTTATCCCGCATCGTAACAAAACTCCGAACTGCGCAGAAAAAACGGAGCAGTGGAGCCTCGTCGAACGGTGGACTTTCCGCGGCCCCGTTGCAAGTACCACACGACCGCCGAAGAACGAGGAAAACTACTACTCCGAAGATCACGCAGGGCAATAGTACATCTTCACCAGAGAACTCCAATATTAAACCATGATAGACTACACAGAGGAGTGGTTCTTTCCGCTCCTGTTCCGTTGGGACGGGTCCGTCGGCCTCCGCGCGCTCTATTTCTCCCTGCCGTCCTGCTGTTTGGCGTTAATTCTGTTGATTCTGGAGGACGAGAATTTTTACGACCGCGAAACCCTGAAACTCGACACGTTGACCGGCTCGGCAATCTGGTCTTCCGTCAGTGCGGTTTTACTGATGCTGATCCAGTTTCGCACGTCGCGAGGGATTGCAAGGTTTTGGGAGGGCACGGGTTTGATGCACATGATGCGGGCCGAGTGGTTTGACACGGTCTCGAACTGTATCTCCTTTTCCATCCACGCGAAGCAGAAGTTATCCCACGAAAAAACTGTTTCACTGTGATGATCTTGCAAGATCTGCGTCACAAGTTTGTTACACATGACCACACAGAAAATTTGCCATGCTCACTTCCCAAGTGAAAACACGGTAAAAAATCCAACGTCTTGCAGGTGTAGCAAGACAAATCGTTCTGTGCTCCATTGGCTGCATCACAAGTTCACAGTGAGACAGTTTGTTCTTGCGATAGAAGTCGCCGGTGATGCACTGGCGCGTGGTGAAATTTCGGCACACGCTCGTCAGGCTGATGTCCTTGCTGCACGGGTTTGCACTAGAGGAGATGAGTGGGAACTGCATCGACGTGTTGACGCTGGACAAGAGCTCGTTAGGGAAGCCGTTCCTGAAGTACATCAACGAGCTCTCCTCGACGTACAAATTCAACAAGGTGGAAATGGTGCTGCACTTGATGCAATCCCTCATCATCACCGCGCACCACGCCCAGTTGCTCGACGTCCCCTCCCCGATTCTCTCCCGTGTGTTTCAGACCATATCCCGTGGCTTCGTGCACTTTTTGAACACGAAGAAGATCACAAACACGAAGTTCCCGTTTCCCTACGTCCAGTTGATCATCGTTTCGCTCTACGCCTACTCGGTGCTGTCGCCGATCGTAATCACCAGCATGGTGAAAAACAAGGTTTTGGCCTGCATCCTCGTCTTCTTTCCGCTCTGGATACTCGCCGCGTTGTATGAGAGTGCACAACTACTACTCCCCCTCCCCGTCATTTGTATTTTTGCATACACAGCAATACAAACACGAACACCAGCACACGTGGAGCCTGTGCATGACAAATTCACGCGCCTATTTTAGTACTGTTTGGGCTGCTTCCGGCATCTGTTATGCAGACAGTGCCCCAGGGAAGCACTTGGATTTGGGGTTTTGCATGACAAATCAGGGGGAGGGGGAGTTGTGCACTCTCATACGTTGAACCACATTTCGATAGAACTGGAGAACCCGTTCGGTGATGACGATAACGATCTTCCGCTGGAGCACTTCCAAGACGATATGGACAGGACCATGTGCATGCTGCTGCATCCACGCTCGGACATGATACCACTGTTGGATGACAGTTGTCTGTGCGACGTGGACGAGATGATGGTGAAATTTGGAATGCGGGTACAGAAGAAATCTTCGAAAAAATTGGGAAATGTGGTTTCGAATTTCAGCTACATGTCGTTTTTCAATGCTAAATACGCATTGCAAATTACTATATCGATCTGGGTCTGGAAAGAATGGGATTCGTGATGCTGCCTGTCGATCTTCATACAAAAGCCGGCAAAGCATGAGCTGCAGTAAATAAAGGTGCTCAGATGTTTTCCAACCGGAGAGGTGGGCATTTCTCAAGCACAATAGGGATAGGTTTAAGTGTGAGGAAGCCTTTGCACCAAAGGCTGTGTGATACAGTATGCATCACACGCGTTGCGGGTCATGTACAATTTGCATGGCAATTATCTCCCCCCATCAAACTACTTCCAGGCCCACAAGACATGTTTGCAATGCATACAACAAACGGGCAGACTCTTCAGGGGTCAGCAGAAGACACCAGTGGCATTAGTCCCCGCGGTGGTTCTACTTCAAAAACCACGTCAAGTGAGGGTGGTGGCGAGCACGGGGACCACATAGTAGGTCTTGATGGTCAAATATCACAAGAAAAAAGTGTTACAGTTACACATTTGTTGAGCTTTCTGCATCACAAACTTTCTCTGTGTGCAAGAGAAAACTTGTAATGCAAAGATCATATGGAGAAAATACGTAGGAAACGAGGCTCGCAGGCATTTCCTGCAAGACAAAGATTGTCTGTCTTGCGGCTCCTGCAACACAATGTGTAACTGTAACACTTTTTTCTTGCGATATCAAATCTTGGACGAACAGATTATAGCCATCGGCGACGCGGTATCAAATATAAAAATGTCTGGGTCTGGAAGAATGCAACTTGTCATGCTAAATCTGAAGCATGCAAAAATCTGTGTTGCATGATTACCAAAAGTCGTCCGGTTTTGACCAAGTCGGGAGGGAGTTTCTCATGCAGGATAGGCATGAGAGACATCGCACAGAACCTGTCATGCTAGGTCATGCATTCCAGACCTCATGGGTCATGGAAAAGCTGCGTGACAAATCGCGCACTCTTCCAGACCCAGACATTTTTACATTTGATACGCGGCAAGCGGTGACCACCACCACGCTCATCCAGAGGTAGAAATCATCGGCCAGCGCATCGAGGATCACAGTACCATGCTCACGAAAAGGACCCGACACGGTCTATCGATGTCCGACACACCGTCCGGTCCGGTCCGCGCGGTGAGACGACGGGATAGCAGCGCTGCAGGTGACGGGGAGCAGGTGGTAGGCTCGAGCGCAGCGAACCTCAGTACCTTAGCGCATCAGGGGAGCAAAGCGCGGTCGAGTAGTCAGGATTTGTTGCAGGAAGAGATGAGTTCTTCGGGTGGGGAAGTGGACCCAGTAGACCATGCAATACAGAGTACTAGAGCTGCCGGCGGACATCAAAAAGAAAGAAGACCAACAGTTTCCTTCGACGACAATGAGGATATTAGCAATATCAAGAGACCACTAGGCGCATCTGCGTCCTCTAACGGCGAGGAGGGCGACGATGTCACCGTGTTCGAGGAATTTGAGACCCACGGGTGTCTCCGCCCGCGGGAGGGGATCGACCGGTTCCGGAAGCACCGGTCCAAGTCCCAGAAATTCCGGTTGGCAAACGAGAAACGCACGATGTTCCAGAAGCTCGCGCGCAAGGCGCAGGTCATCACGACGCACTTAGCCGGGAGGGGAGGCGGGAGCAATACTTCGCACAGTACGAGTAATTCTGGCCGGCCCGCCGCGTCAACGATGTCTTTGGCGTCCTCAAATTACCAACGGAAAACCGGGGGAGACCACGACGCGCATAACTCGTTGAGCAGCGCAGGGCCTTGATAGAAGCAGTTGTATATATTAGTAAGAGCAGCTCAGGTTGAGTATGAGTTTTATGTTTATCATCCCTACAGCCAGATGAGAGGAGCAGCAGTTCAACCAGGTGCTGGCCACTAGGTAGATAAGGTGCACTTCCTCAATACATCTTTCATACAACTGTTTTTTTTTTCAGAAGAGCAGCAGCTCGTTTTCTACAGAGAATCCTAAATACATAGTAAATTTATCTTGTTTCATTCAGGTTTCCCATCAGATAGATGCACATGCTGACACTGGAGTTGCTTTTTGGTGACACTTGTCACAAACTACATGCATGACATGATCCGTGGAAAATGTAAATCACATACACGACTTGCATCGAGAGGAAGGTCAAAAATACACAGGTCCTCTCCTGCAGATCGAAATCGCAGCAGGCTGTTCGAGAGAAGTTGAAAAGACGAACCATTCCGATGAAATAATTGCGATCAAAATTGTCGTCCTCCAGAGAAAATTTGTAAAGAACATGTTGATGGTGAGTTATTTATTACTTCTCGTGTGACGCTCACGACATAAACAAAAAAGAAAAACGAAAGAGGAGGAGATTGACGATCCTGATGTACAGCATAGTGCACTTTATTTTTCCCGCATTGCTTTCTTTTATTTTTCCCGCATTGCTGTGTTTAGCATAGTGCACTCTGGCTACCCTGGGAACAGCTCACCCGCTGCCATAAGTCCCAGGCTTGCCGCGGAGGCGTTTTTGATTGGCCTCGCGCAGAGAATGGCTTCGGGCAGGGCGCTGGGCGTTTTTCCCGTCGCGCAGTGTTTAGCATAGGGCATTCTGGCTACCCTGGGCGCGTCTTGCCCAGGAAAGGTGTGGGTCTTGAGGTCGATTTTTGCCTCCGAATGTAGCGGGGGGTCGGTGAGTGTAGCGTAGGGAGAGGCCCCGTAGCAGTGGTCCTGTTCCCGGAGACCGTTTTTTTGTGCCCTGAACGCATTCGCCCCTCGTTTTCTCTATAAGAAGCCCCCTTTTCCAAACATCTTACTTAGGCAGTCGGGGCTTCTCGAGATTTCCTTCAGAAGGGGACATCCCTTCTTCTGGGCTTTCCGCGTGATTCCCTTTGGGAATTCCCTTCTCCTGGGTTTTTCGCATGACTTCCTTTGCGAAATCCCTTCTCCTGGGCTTTCCACATGATTTCCTTTGGGCAATCCCCTTTCCTGGGCTTTCCAAGTGATTTCTTTTGGGAAATCCCTTCTCCTGGGCTTTCCGCGTGATTTTCTTTGGGACATCCCTTCTCCTGGGCTTTCCGCATGATTTCCTTTGGGAAATCGCTTCGTCCGGGTTTTCCGCATGATTTCTTTTAGGAAATCGCTCGCCCCTGGGCTTTCCGCGTTTCTTTATAGGAAATCTCTTCCTTAGGAGCCGGCCGCTGATCTCCGCGTCAACACGTAGTGGAGGCAAGCTCCTTCTGATCGTCACTGCGAAACAGAGCGGAGACGAGCTCGGTGGCTAAGGTTTGGGTGCAAGCCCTTCTGTTTTTGCTTCACATCCTGGTGCAAGTCCTTCTGTTTTTGCTTCACATCCTTCTGCTTTAGCATCAAACCCTTCTGCTTTAGCATCAATTCCTTCTGCTTTGGCATCAAATCCTTCTGCTTCAGCATCAAATCCTTCTGCTTTAGCATGAATTCCTTCTGTCTTAGCATCGATTCCTTCTGTTTTTGCATCAATTCCTTCTGTTTTTGCATTTTTCTACATATCACGCGTGTTGTGATATCAACAGCACAATCGACTTTTCTCCTTTTCTTCTTTGATATCACGTGATATCACGTGATATCAAAGGACAAAAGTCTTTTTTCAAAGTTTAAAGACCCTCATACCTATGACATAAACAAAAAAGAAAAACGAAAGAGGAGGAGATTGACGATCCTGATGTACACGCGAAGGTATGGTGCCGCTCAGCCGGCCAGTTGGCCGGCAGTTTTGCAAAGCATTCACAAAGTGTTTTCCAAAGTATTTTCAAAGTGTTTTCAAAGTATTTCGGCCATGGGCCAGCTGCCGCGCTCTTTTTGGCAGTTCCGTGGACCATACCTTCGCGTGGTGCACGAAGTTGAAGCGGGGTTTTTTTTCGCAAAATCCTGCCTCGCCCAGAAGGGTCATAGCGCCGCGCGCACGAAGTTGGGCGGGGTCTTTTTTCTGGCACTCAGGAGGGCCGTGCCGTCGCGTGCACGAGGTTGCGAGAGGCCAGCTTGGAGCGTGCCCATTTTTCTGTGCATGCGCCATACCTTCGCGTGCACGAAGTTCAGGCGCTTGCTTTTGTGGGAAATTGTTGGCGCTCTCCGGGGCCATGGCGTCGGGCGCGTGAGGTTTGGCGCGGTCTACCGCCCTTCGAGGTGTGGCACCCTTCGAGGTGTTCGCGGGGCTGCGCGGCTCCTTTTTTTGCACACTTGGCAGCACCCGGGGGGGCCATCGCGGCGCCGGGCTGTGGATGTTCGTTCCTTGGCCGGGATTGTTTTGTCTGGGCGATGCAGGATTGGCATTACCCGAGAGACCCCTCTCATGTAGTCCACGACCGGGAGGAAAGGAGAGGCCCCGCGGCCGCTGGGCCCTGCGCCGCGCCGCCCGGGAGGCGGGCCATGTCATAGCACAGGGCGCGCGACGGGTAGCGTGGCAACCTTCCTATCCTCTTGCGCCATGTGTTGGCAGCGCGCAGCCCGTGTGACTGTTGCGGTCTTTTCCCCGCCCCAAATTGGGCGAATGATTTTAGGGCGGGAAACAGATCGCGGAAAGTTTTTTGGAAGTTTTGAAAAAGTGTGAGGCAGACAGATCCCCCCCGTCGCCTTTTCAGTAAGACAAAAACAAAAAAGAAAAACGAAAGATGAGGAGATTGACGATCCTGAGGTATGGTGCCGCTCATGGAACCTAGCCACCACGCTATGGTCCATGTACACGGTTTCAAAAGTGGCAAATCTGCAACAAAATTTATAAAGGGCCCAAAAAAACCGTGTGCATCGCATCTAGATCCCACGGTATGGTCGATGTACACGGCTCAGAATGCCTCTCCCCGGGCCCGACCACTTTGCAGACCGTGTACATCCATCATACCATGCAGGCTAGATGCGATGTACACGGTTTTTTGGTGTTGCGCGATTTCCGCACTCGAAATTCAGAAAAATTTGCCTCTTTTCCTGGGGATTTTCTTGACCCCAAGAAAAACCGTGTACATCATCTCTAGACAGCATGGCACGGACGATTTGCCTCTCCAAAAGGAGGCCCCCGCCTGGTTTTGATGGTGGCGGCGCGTTGTTGGGCGCCTTTTGTCGTCGGTGCCAGGAGAACCTGGCCCGCTGGGTGTAGGAGCCGCCGCCGGCCCGCCTCTAGATACCAGAGCGAGAGCTGGTGGCCATCTCGACCCTGTTGTCGCAATTATGAGATGAGGCCAAGAACGGCGGCAAGCTAAGTGAGTCTATTTTTCCCGGCTATCCTGGGCCTTGCTTACGGCCCTTTGGGCGTGTGAGCTAGATGCTCCAGCTCTGGCAGATTCCCAGCCTCGCTAGCTTCGTAGGGAGTGCTTTCAATGATACAAGCGATCTTCTTGTGGGAGGAAGCAAAAAATTTTTTTCGGAAAAACGCGAAACCGTGTACGTGTACACTTTTTCTCGTGATAACAACATAAACAAAAAAGAAAAACGAAAGATGAGGAGATTGACGATCCTGATGTTTAGCATGCTGCTCTTCGGAGCTCGTGACGTCTTCGTTGCAGCTTCCACATGGATGCTTGCTTGCATCTTGCGCGGCATGTTGTAGGTAGCACTTCGTGTGGAAGTATCAGGAGTGCTGACACGGAAGGAGAGCTGAGGAGCGTGGCCTATCGGCTTCGCGACTCCGTCCTTCGCTCCTCGGCGTCGGTCCGCCGGTGTTGATTGCTTGAATGCAGTCGACGCAGTCGAGGGGTTCAGCGGTTGGTGTGGGGGCGAGAGGGAGCGCTGCATAGATGCACTTTTGCTTCTGTGAACAGGTTCGCTCTTCTCCTGCTTCGGGGTCTCCCAGGAGATCCTGACTCATCCAACGGGCCTGGGGACGCTTTTGTGGCCTTTGCGAAACTTAAACTAAACACAGACACGACAGATAGTGTCTACTTACCGAGACGCGTGGTCGGTTGCGCAGTGCTTTGTGCTGCTTCCGCCACGAGACGAGTCCGCGGAACCCTCCCGGGCCTTACTTATTTAGTCACATTTGGGAGCCTAGATTTTGCGTTTTTGTCTTGGCTCGCCTAGATTTTGCGTTTTTTCCCACCCGCCCACCCGACTTGAGGTTGCGAGACCCCTTGCGGCACCCCTCGCAAGCCCGCCCTAGATATTCGGCGGTCCCAGTCGCGCCTCGCGGCTTGGGCCACCTCTATGTCCGGGGCATGGCTCTGTGGGGGCCGAGAGCCTGGCTTGCATGGCCTGCTACCCGTAGCTCGTTGTGCCGGCCGGGTTCTCTCTTGGCTGCCATTGTGACTGTCGCTCGAGGTCTTGCGACTATCACTGCGACGCGCTTCTGCACGTCATTCGCTTCCGTTGGTTGCGCGCGCGTTCACTCTATGGGTGAATTGCGCAGAGAAGGTGAAATTATATACATAAACAAAAAAGAAAAACGAAAGAGGAGGAGATTGACGATCCTGATGTACAGCACGTATTGGCATTGATTTCGAACTACTGCTCGTTGTGCCTGCGTGATAGTAAAGCCTCGACGATCTTCGTGCAACTTCGATCCAAATTTGAAGTGTTAAGTAGACCACCCGGAGGTCGTGCTGGACATTAAGACGGCCTAGAAATTTTGTTGAATAAATGAAACGTGTTTATTTCTATGGTGACCAAGAACCTCATGCTGACGAACCACAAATAATCGAACTGCTGTCGATAAAAATACCACCTCTCCACAGTGCTCTACAGGCAGCCCGCGACACAGTTTCATCTTTTTATCACCATAAGCTTATGTTCAAGAAAGATTGCACTGCTCATCTCTATTTGTTCTCGTCGCGACCCAGAATCCATAATATTCGATAATTTCTTGTTTGAAAAGCTTGTTTTTTTACTGCCCCAGTTGTAAGTAGACTTTCTCGAAGATTTTTAACGTGATCATAAACTTCTTTGGTGCAAAGGACGATAAAAAATCACCTTGACATAAACCATCGATTGTGTGGCGTCTAACCGACATTCGCGAGTCTCGCAGCAGCATCTTCTTCTTCACACACGATGGCGAGCTTCAAACCAGAGGACGAGCTCTTCGGCCAGAGTGGCGGGGTATAATTTCAATGGGATTTTTTTTGTTGCCTTGCGAGTACATCAGCCTAGAAATGCATGACAAGAGTCTGCTATCTTCATGCTGAAGCTGAACAGCAATGACTACTTAGATAAAACTATGTAAATCGGTGAACCATCAAATTTTTTTTCTCGAATCATATGATCAAAGAAACCTCAATTTGTCGAATTATCGTATCAACAGGGCATGGGTGATAAGGGTGAGGAGGACGTGACAAGGCAGTATATCCACATCCGAAACCAGCAGCGTAATGGGAAGAAGTCTTTCACCCTAATCACGGGCGTACCCGCGTGCTTTAACCACAAGAAAATCGTGAAGTACCTGAAAAAAAGTCTCAACTGCAACGGCAACATCGTAGAGGATGACAACTTCGGGTATACATGATGGGAGTTTTTTTTTAGTGTCTCGTTGATGTATTTTTAGCATGACAAAATTCTGTGTGCTTGCTTTATCGCATGACAATGTTAATGTTTAATATTCGACAAAGAAAATCAAAATCTGTTATGGTGAATCTTCCATCAGGACCGTCATCCAGCTACAGGGGGACAAGAGAAACGACGTCGCAGCGTTTCTGTATGAGGAGGGTATCGCGGAGAGGGATCAGATCAAGAAGCACATGAACTAGAGGTTGACTGCACCTGCTCAGGGTTTGCTTTTACTACGGCGGCTTTGCGAGCAAGTACTAGTTCATCACCAGCAGCAAACTTTCTAATACTACTAGAACAATTTCTAGTACTCCGACAAAAATGAACAACAACAAACAACAATCAAATCTCACTTCGCTGCGCTCCTGCACGACGACCATAAGCGAAGTTGAAGTCGTGGTGCTAGTGTGTGCTATGTAATCGACTCTGCACGTTCTAGAGAAGGTACGACGAGAAGACTACTGGATGGTGGATGTTGCACCAACAACTTCGGCACCGATTTTCTATAGGCCAGGCGCGGAGCAGATGCAGAATAGATGAAGTGGAGATGTTGAGCCGACGAGGAATCATGCTCTGCTTCGCTGCATTATACCAAAATGAAGTACGGCACGGAGGCCACGCATGATGAACAAGCAGCAATCGACCAAAACGATGAACAAGCAGCAGAGTCGTTGATCATCTCCGACCAGCTTCAACATTTCCTGGTGAAGTGCGGCTGGATGGTTGAACGAACACGAAGCAAACTAAGTTGTAGGATGTTTCCCTGTCGGCACATCAACTTTTATCATGCAATCTGTTCTTGCAGCTTCTAGCAGTGGAAATCGGAAAGACAAGAGCACATTGCAACACGACCGAGACTAGCACCAGCAAATAGCTACCACACAGAGACAATCTTTTTCTTCTTTGGAAGAAAGAGTGACAAACCGAACCAACATGTAGTAGAAACGCGCAGGAGCAAGAAGTAGAGAACGAAATGCAATTGACACACTATATACAAATCGGAGAACAATGATCATGGTCACCTCCTCCACCTGTAGGTGTAGGAAACTTTCTTGCGGAAATTGTTCGTCTTTTCAATGATCATCTGATTTCGTTCAGTGTCAGTGCTTTCTTTGACGAGCCTCAAGAAGCTCTTGCGCCAACGATAAAGAAAAAGAAATCTTGTAGCTGAGAGCAGAATGAGCATGCGCCGTCAGCAAACTACAAAACCGAAGAGCTAAGAAGTATGATCTGTGAAAGTGGAGCACTCTTTCACATCATTGTACAGGTTTTTTGTCATTATCTCTGAGAGCAGTATTGCTTCTAAGCAACGAGGGACGAGCGGCGCGACTGTTGTAAACAGCACCAGCTGGTCTTGCTCTCGAGATCTTCTTTCTGAAGCTGAGTATTGGTTTTTGTTTTCAATTATGACTCACCCTAGAAGCCGAGAGCCACCGGACCGGGCGGGTCGGGTCGGCGCCGTTCCAACCATGATTTTGACCAGATTTTTATCAAGCAAAAAAGTGTTAACGTTAACGGTTTTCATGGATTGCAAATATGCATGACAAATTTTGCCTAGTATGCATGCTATGCATGACAAATTTGGGCACGTTTTGCGATGCATTACTGCATCACAAATTCCGTTAACGTTAACACTTTTTCCTGTGATAATTTTGGAAGAAGATCTTCGTGTGAGGAAATGGATTGGCGTTAAAAATGCAGCACAGCAGCTACAAGAAGCCTTTCCTTTTCCGACTACATGTACATCAAGGAATTGTTGAAGTCGATAAAGCACCACGTCGTATTAACTGTGCCTTCCTCCGCGCTCCGGAGGAAGATCAGGATCAACGCCAGCGTGGCGCTTGTCGCCGGTGGTGAAAATCAAAATGCGGCGAACGCACAAACCGCGCAACCACCACGTTTTTGAGGATTTTGTTGTCACGTTCCGGTTTTTTGTGCAACAAGTCTTGCTTTGGGTCGTCCACCAGATTCTGACCGTTTCCGCTCTACTTTCCCTAGCATATAATTATCGCAAGCGGAATTATAATAATAGAGCGATTCTGTTTCTGGGCATCTTGTTTCTCCAATCGTCCTACCAGGACATCGTCTGGACGACCACAGCGGTCGTGCAAGAAGCTGCTCCTGAAGATCAAGATAGGAGTACCACGCCAAGAACTAATATTAACAGAGAAACCACTTCGGCATCTTCGGCCGGCACCGGCGATAATTCCTATGCGGAGGAAGCAGGTAGTAGTAGCGCGGAGCTGCAACAAGAGGCGCCGTTCCTCGACCAGGAAGCTTATTTCGAAGACGAGCATCTGCAGGACGACGAGGACGACATCGTCCCCAGCGGTGGAACTACCACGACGGGCTCTGCTTTTATTGAAGAGGAAGAAGATGACAGCGGTTCCTTTTTCACGGATGAAGAGTACGAGGAAATCGAGAATCAGGGGGACGAGGATATCGGTGTCGAGCAGCTGAAAATGTTGCACGACGACCCGCAGGCTCGAGCAGAAGTACTAGAAGAACAACAAGGGGAGGAAGATGAGGATGCTGATGAATTTATTCGTCCGATGGCAGAATTACAGCAGAAGGAGCACGAAGAGAAACTTCGCGGGCAAGTAGAGCATCTTCCCAAAGTAGAACTTTCAACCAGATCGTCCGGAACATCTTTCAATCAAAGGACGCTCCTTGACGTGGAGCAAAATAAAGGCAGAGACGAGGTGGGACGACGAGGGGACAGCACATCATCATCGGTGGACGACAAAATTCTTCTGCACGAGGACCGCGACCGCGACGTTCATCAACTACGCGGCAATACGAATCATTTCAGAGGACGAGGAGCTGATAGTAGCAGTACAAGTACTCAACATACTAGTACGGCGTTTCTTGACCTGGATTTCGCCGGGACGAGCAGTAACTACAGGCCGGTAATGGATGACGAGGGCACTACCACCTCTGCTACTGCTAGCAGACAACGAATTACCGTTAGCACGGACAACGCACGAGGAAAACAGGAAGATGATGATCAAGCGCAAAACCAAAATGATTTAGATGCGGCAGTGGAACAAGATCTCGCTCCACCAAGAAACAGGGATCGTGTTACTTCCGCCGGCAAGAACAGCAGGAAAGCGACTGAGGACACAGAGGACGCACAACAACGAGGAGGCGATGCAACTACATCTTCCGCACTACTGCAAGAAACTACTACACAAGAACAGGGCGCGCGCGGCGGCGGACGTCTACCCGCAACTCCGCCACCAGCCCAGCAAGGAGTCTTCAGTTCGATGGCGGGCGTGGTTTGGCAGCAGGCTTCGCAAAATATTGCGAACTACTGGGACCACTGGAAAGAACAGAATTTACCTGAAGAGGCGAGGAACTTATGGCGTTCTCAAATGTTACATTCTTAACTGTTACATGATTTGTCATGCAAAAACACTATCGCTCTGCACACGATCAAGCCTTCTCCGCATGCCAACTTCTCGACGCGCTGGATACCATTAAAATCTGCTCCAAACCTGTAATGCAAAAGGGCCAATCTTTTCCCTTTCACTTTTGCCATTCTTGCATGACAAATTTCATGTAACGGTTGAGAATGTAACGTTTGAGAACGCCATAGAACTTGTTGCAGTCGTATGTGAATCACAACCGGGAATTCATGTGTGTCTGTGAAGGCTACGTGACCTATGCATTGCAAAAGTATCGTACTCGTATAAATGCATTACAAATTTCCTCAGCATGAGAAATAAAATTTGTAATGCGGATTTACCTTAAGAAAAAGATTTGTACTGCATGACTCCAATACGAGTACGATACTTTTGCACAGGATATGACCCTGCTGAAAGCAAAGTCCGGCTCTAATATGAAACGGATGCAGTTTTACGTCGGGCCCTGGCGTTCCGAAGATCAAGATTTGCAAAAGCAAGTATCGTCGTACCATATCCCGCAGAAAAAAGCAGGCAGGGCATATGTGTAAAATAAATTAGCACCCGGATTATACGCACCAGAAAAATCTGTCATGGGTGGCAATCTTAATATAGCATTTTTATGCTTCGGACATGCAGTACATAGTCTATTTATTCACTCGTACTCTGCATTTACAAATATGACCTGCGTGCAGCTTTTTTCTGTGTGATATACCAGAGCAGTTACAACAAGGACGGGGCGGACAATATCGTAAGGAAAAATCCCTCCTCCCCATATCGAAAAGGCACGCCTCAGAGAATTTGTGGTGCGGATTTGTGGCCACAAGTCGCGTCATCTGTCTTGCAAGAAAGCAACGGCATAGGCTCGGGCCCATTATGCAGGCAGTTTGTAATGCTGTTGGGCCTACAAAAAACGTTCCTCATGCTAAGCGCCTAGGCCAAAACTACCTCTCTACATTGGCATGATATGGGCCTGCAGTCCACTACTGCAAGACGCATCTGATTTGTGTACAAAAATCCAGTTTTGATATGGGCGGGAGGGGGGATTTTTCATTTTGATAGGCAAGAGTGCGGCCGGCGGGATGCTAGACTGGCTTCTCGGAAAAAAAGCCGACGACGCCGAGATATCAAATCCAAAAGTGTCTGGGTCTGGAAACTTGTGACGCAAGTCTACGAATTGTGGGCGCACTGCAATACGCAGCCCAGCATGAGGACACGTTTTTGCGCTGGTGTGTGTTTCGTTTTTCGCATGACAAACTGCGTTCTTGCATGACAGGCAAGATGCCCTTTTCTGCTCATCCGTCGCAGATTTAAGACTCATGCCAGACAAGCACGACAAACTTGCACTGTTGCAGACCCAGACATATTTGCAGTTGATACGAGATGGACCTTTACGACCAGCATCTGAAACATGAGAAATATCAGGACCCGACACCCAGCTACATTTACAGCTCGAAAAGGCCGGTAGGCCGGATTCAGGCGGAGGAGAGTAAGAACCACCTGTGTCCGACCTATTGAGAGGAAAAATCCCCCCTCCCCATATCAAAACGGAAATCTGTGATGCAGATTTGCAGTCACAAATCAGCTTTGTCATGCTAAAAGGGAAAAGATGCGGACTGTGGTGCTGGTTGGCGTGGGGAAGCCTTGCATCTTCAGCATGACAGGAAGCAACTGGAAGTGGGAAACAGCATGACAAATTGCCTGCAAACGAGGTGGCCACAACTGCGGCCCTTGGCCTTCTAGCATTACAAGTCGATTTGTGTACTCAAATACAGCATCACGAATTTCGTTTTCGATACGGGGTGGGGGGATTTTTCCATTTGATACGACCCGAAAGGGCTTTTTTGCGGATGGCATCATCTCCAGTCGCGCGCAGGGGTTATCCTGAGTAAAAGCGTACCCACACTCACCAGAGTTGTAATGCAGATTTGCAAAGACAGGAAGACTTGTAATGCGCATCCCCATGAGAGCCATTTCCAATCGTGTTTTGAAATTTGTGATGTTGTGAACAGGATGAGCAGATGAATCTGTGACGCGGCTGCACTTGCTAACCTGCACTACACTGCATAGCGCAACTTGTCACGCGTGACTCACAAAACTCCTAGGCTTGTGTTGCAAAATCCTCATCCTGACTCTGGTGTGGGTACGTTTTTACTCAGGATAGGGCTTCGAGATTCATCACAAACTCTGGATTCCCTTCCAAAACCGGATGAACAACTACAAGTATACGAACTGCGCCACTGTCGAGATGGAAAACAATTACAACCGGTTCGAGCTTTGGATCACGAAGATGAAGAAGGCCCGCGCCGGCGGGGCTCGCGAACACAAGAACATGCAGGACGTGACCAAAAACTCCTACTTCTTGATTATCCTGTGGAAAAACGTCCCCACGACCCCATAAGTCATAATCGATGATGGTAAATCTGCTACACAAATCCACAAGTTTTCGTTGTCGCGCATGACAAGTTTGGATTCGTACTGTAGTCCTGTTGAGCTAGTGGAACCGCATGACAAATTTACTACCTTATTCTGATTCCAGCATGACCAACTCGCAGATAGCATGAGAAAATGCTCCTGATGGGGCTTTGCATGAGAGACATTTTAGGGTTGCAGACTTGCATCACAACTTTGGGGCGGAGACGTTTTTGCACGGAATATTGATGCCCCGGAACTGGATCGAGAACCCCGTGCTGGAATTTGACAAAATGGGGGGCAAAAAAGCCCACCGGACCCACGCACATACACCACCGCTCTTGAATAAGCAGGAGCAAGGGCGCTGGCTGAACCTAAAGCGCCAAGCAGGGGGCAAAGCAAAGGGCGGAAAAAAGCAACGAGCGGCGCCACGGAAGCGAAAGCCCCCACCATACAGCAAATTCAAGCGGGACCTGTTTCACGTGACGAAAAATCCCTTACCCATGTTGGACTTTCTCAAGCCGCACGACACCTATCGTACGAAAAAAGTGTTACACTGTAAGGATTCTGCAGGTTTTGCATCACAAGTTTGTTCTACATGACAGAGAAAATTTGCCATGCAAGGTTCCTAAGGGAAAACACCGCTAAAAATCCACTGTCTTGCATGTGTAGCAAGACAAACACTTGTGACATACATTTTCCGCATTAGTGAAACTACAGTTTTTTCTGGCGATAACACCCCGCGCAAGATGAATGGGCTCTTCGTCCGTCGGACCTGCAACATTGAAGATTACTTATCCACAAAAAAAGAACCGCCCCCATCCGTTTTTTGCATGGCAAGTAGTGGAATTTATGGACGTTTTGCATGACAAATTGGATGGGGTTGGGGATGGTTCTTTTTTTGTGGATATTATTCCAGACAGAACTACGCCTTCATGAAGAATCGAAAAGACGACCGCTCCACAGCCCAGATTCCCAACCAGTACTACAAAGACTGTCAGTACATGTGCCGGTCGCTGAGCCCGGATCTACAGACCCAAGGAGTAGAGCAACCAGCCCTGGTCGTCGAGTACAATCCTGGAATAGCACCGCCGCAAACGGTATCCTGTGCAAAAGTATCGCACTCGTAGTAATTGCATTTATGCATTACAAATCTCCTCGTCAAGTTAATTCAGCATTACAAATTTACTAATTTATAATGCTGGGCTAATATGTAATGCAATTTATATATACTAGTACGATGCTTTTGCATTGCATAAACGGCCGCCCAGCTGCAGGCACAACATGCCGCGGAAGAAGCTGAAGCTCAAGCACAAGCCGAGAGGGAGCGGCAAAGAGAAGAAGAGAACGCGCGCCGGCGGCCGCGGGGGGAGGATGACTATGACGAGGAGGAAGAAGACGTTTGAGCATTAAGTACTGAAATGTAATTTTTCGCAACTTCTTCGACTACAAACACGACCTTGGCTAACACCGCGTCCCACACGACCTAGCAGTTTCTTCTCCCGCCGACGGTGGCAGTTAAAGTAGAAGTGGCGAACGATCACGATTTTCGCTAACTACTGCAGCCAGACGAACTGTCTTCACTTGCGAACAACACCAACCTCCTTGCGAACAAAACGAAATAACTATGATGAAATACGTAGCTCGTCCACGGCGCTGCTTGCTCCTCCGTAGTTCCATCACGATTTTTTTTCTGTGGGGGAGGTCCCACAAAGAATTGGTTTCGGGGTATGGGGAGCTGCCGGTCGTGGACGAGCGAGGTGTTCCTCGTTGAGTCTATCTTATCCAAGACCAGGAGAACAACAACTCTTACCACGGTTGTTTTCGTGCTGCTGGTACTAGTGAAACAACAAGAAGCGGCCACATGATTTTTTTTAGCGCCTGCTTTTACACGTAGTAGGACCAGCACTTATTTTCAAATTTTGTTGACAAGTCAAGAATAAATTGAAACCATTCGTCAGAACGGTTTGCGCGAATGATGAAAAAACCTCTCAAAATTGCTCATATTTCAAATTACAAAGAACCCAAACTATAGCAAACTACGCATGAAGCTCGAAATCAAAGAAGTGATTTTTTTATAACTACGTACAGTACAACGATCTGTAATCCTGCTACTGGTACCGTAAGAAGCAGAAGTGATTCGAGAGATAGATTACAATTGAACTATAGAACAGCTACGTAAAAAGATTATGTACTGCTTTTTTTCGAAGCCGGTATTTCTTTCGCTTTCTCGAAAAATATTAGGCCCAACAAAGTCAGTATCAGCCTGAATCGTCATCAAGGCGATAACATCAATGTCAATCTTCAGCTGGGGTGGCGGATTCAAAGTGATCCAAAGCTCATGCTGGAACAGAGCGGCATTTTAGGATCGGTTTGGGGACGAGGACCTCCACTATTTACGCGTATTTCATCGCGCACGCGGCGCTTCTAAGTGCATTCCAATCGTCCTCCTCTACTGCCAGTCAGGTAGTTTTTTTGCTTGCGGTAGGAAGTAGGAAAGAACTTGAATGAATTGCTAATGTTGGTCACAACGTCGACTACTTATGTAAATTTCGTATCAATGCGATTTGGAAGTGGGAGAAATAATGAACCTGAAAAAAAAACGCGCTGCTCTTCTGTTTATGATCAACCTGCGACCTCCCGGACCGGCCCCCGCCCTATTTGCTGTTGTTGCCGGAGCAGTGGGAGGTCTTTTGTTAGTGCAGGGGCAGGCGTGTTAATATGGTCGTGTTGTTCTCCTGGTTCCGTATTCTTCAAACTGTGTTGAGTACTGACGTGCCTTTCTTTCTATTGCGATCGTGGCGGCACACAATTTCAATTATTTTCTCGTAAGTATCTATCTGTTGCTCATGTTCTACTACCCCTATCTTATCGGTGCTCTTAGACTCGTTGCTGAATAACAATAAGCTTCTTATGGTGCAAGAACATATTCTTCTGCATCTGCTATACGGCATTTTGTTTCATCGGTAACGTGCCTTCGTCCCGAATCACAACAATACAAGAAGAAGAAGAGGGTGTGCCGATACTAGTACCGACAGCAGATACAACAACGACGTAATAATGACAGTGGTCCCGCCGACCATGGCGTCCTCATCTGCGGGGATAGAGGCAACAGATTCTGGCCTTTCGACGTCAACATCGGTGGCAGAGGAGGAACTTCTGAAGGATAGCCTGACATTTTCCGGGGACAAGAATGGCAATGCTAATGCAGCTGCTGACAGCTGCGAAGACGGGAAGCAAGGCCAAGAAGGTGCTGATGAAGAACTACAGGTAGAAGTACCAGTACGCCAAGAAGGTCACAGCTCCGAAAATAAACTGGAACATCAAGCACCAGTCAACATAGCCGCAGAGGTTGCTGTACTGAACACACCTCCAACAGCACCCGTACATGATTCACCGGGCGGGGAAGTCGTCGAAGAAGAACGTGTCCAAACAGCACCCGCGTCATCCCTTTCAGATGTAGAAAATGTCGAAGCTGGTGCGAGCAAACCGAAAACCGCTGCACCTGATGTACCATTAACAAAAGGAAGTTCGAAGTCGCAGCTGCCGGACTGGCTCCTGGCCGCGCAGTCGGGCCTGCAGAAATTCCAGCGGACTAGTGCGACCACCGGTAATCGGCTGGAGTCATTGAACCGCGATCTGGAAAGGTTCACGCAAAAGGTTGAGACAGAAGTGGGGGATGGAAATATTAACTCCAGCAGCAGTGTACTAGACAATACAACACGGCAGGTGGGTGGACCCAAAACGGCGCAGAACAAGCTTTCGAAAAACAACGCCGGCGTCATTCTTGAGGCCGGCATTGAAGATGATCCGTTCATTCCGTTGGAGATTTGGCACTTGTGCTTCCAGTTTCTCTCGGGGGCAGACATCGTGCGGACGTGCTCGTTAGTGTGTAAAGAGTGGCACCAGGCGATTTTTGGGCAACAAGAGGAAGAACGTGAAGACCACAAACTCGCTGGTGCTTGTGGAGCGGTCCCCGCGACGGGCCAGCATCAAAGTTGTGCAGGAGGAAGCGCGGGATCGGGAATGAATTCCTACTCCAATAGTACAACTTTCGCGTCCCAGCTTGCCGTGGGCGAGTTTTGGCGCGAGTTGTTTCTGCGCGATCACTTCGAGCGGTTGATGAGTTCGTGTGGTGGGAGCGACGCCCTCGAGGAGTTTACTTTTCCGAAGCAAAACGTCTTTCCTCCCTGTGCCGTCCTGCAAGAGGAGATGACGCAGAGCAAGCAACACGTTCGCCACATGAGACAGTACCAACACTTTCACCTTCACCCAGAGCACATCGCGTTGTTTGCACCACCCGTTCTTTCGATGATGGCGCAAAATGGAGTTGGGCCTGGTACGTCCTCTAGTGGTGGCTCTGGTGCAGCAGGAGCAGTTCTCTCCGCGCCATCGTCGCTGCAGCAGTCGCAGAGGACCCACATAATTTCACTGAAAAAGAACCCCTACCAGCGGCACTTCCCAACTAACACACGCAGGGAAGCCGCGTTTTTACTCGCGAACAACGGCGCAACACACGGTCTACTTCCCTCTCGAGGTTCTCGTGGCGAGTATTCTGACATTGACCAGGATGACACGGAATTCCGGCGGATCAACGTCTATTTGAGCCTGTACAGGTCCTGGAGGGTGTACTACAAAACCCTGTTTTGGTATCACCACAACAAGCACCATGCTGCCAATGCGAACAACAAGAAGATGACGCAGTGGTCGCAGGATAAGCAGTTTAATCCAGCACCGAAAAAGAATGCAGTAAGTCTGTCGCTCGCTCTGGAAGATGTGACGCGCAGTCTTGTCTGGTGTGCGGACTTTCTGCGCACCACGGACGCGTGTCTGATGGACCACAATCTTACCGTTGAACGCAGGAGACACCAGCTTCTGATTCATGCGAAGATGGCTGCGCAAGAACAGGGGCAGCATGATGTGGAAAATCACGCAACAGCGATATCTGCACCTCCCGGACCAACGACTTGCTCGACAGGCAATCATGAAGGTGCAGTTGCAGTACAACTAGTTGGTGTTGCCCTTCAAGCACCTCCTCCCACGCCCGTGTTTCTCCCGGCAGCGCGAACTGCAACGCAAGCGACCTCGAATTATAATGTAGTTGCAGGTGGTACAACGGCGCAAAAAAGTACGATAGCTTCGACTTGTTACAGTTACTGGGATGAAGACCATGAGAAAACCTCCGGCCCAGCCGCCCGCGCCACCTCCGACGACGACGACTGGCTCTTGTGCACTTCCTGGGCGAAATATGTAAGAAAAACACTGTGTAAGTGTAACTCTGTAATGCAGAACATGCAATAGAGTTACGCCTGTCATGCCAGACAGCCATGAAGTCCTCTTTCCCTGTGTGTTTTCCCTTACAATCCACGCATGACAATGTAGGGCAAATTTGTGATGCTGTCAACCAAAGAAAGTTACACTAACACAGTTTTTTTCTTGGATACGAAAGCCGACTTTTCCCTGTTCGCCGCCGTGGCAGCTGCGGCTTCGGAAGGAGACCGAGCAGAAAAGGAGCCAGGAACTAATCATGTGCAGCATTCGTCAATCAACTACCCCCTGCAGCAGGAGGAAGATGTTGCTGACCTAGTACAAAGCCGACCGGGCGGCCGGCGTGGTGTGCACCTCGTGCGCCAGCTGTGTAGTCAACTCTCTATTTCCGCTGCTTTTCTATTTGATGACTTGCAGGGGGCGCTGAGGAGGACCCATGCGCTTGGGCCATGCGACGGCCTTCTGGACGTGGAAACAAGTGCGGCATGTGGTCCTGATGAACTTGTTGAGCCAGTAGAAGAACGTAGCAATGATGAACAGGCCAAGCACGGAAATTCTGAACACTCGCCAAGATGCCAAACCTTCCTCCAGTCTCTTCTCGCGCTGTTGCGCGACATGATGTTGCCGTCTGCGTTTAACCAATTCGTACCCAGACTCTGCGCCCAGCAGCTCGTCTGCAACACGTCCGAGCAAGCGTACCTACTCGCAGTCACGGACGTCATTGCTGTGTTGCACTTTCGCGCCCGCCGCGGTGGGGGAGAAGGTGGTGCACCCGCTGGCGAACAAATCTGCAACGATGGCTCCACCGTGGTGAACAACTACGACAACATGATCGGCACAACTGCAATAACTGGTCCTCGTGGTCGTGAGGATCACCCAGCGCGCCAAGGTCGTGCTCCCGCAAGGAATTCATCTTCCTGTACAAAATTTCTCCTCCCTTCTTACAAATGGTCCCTGCGGGCCAGTTCGCCACAGAGCTTTGATTCCTTCCAAATGGAAAGATGGAGAAACGTGGCTGCGACAGCGCTTCTCATGGGGTTCCCGAAGGACCCGTCCCTGCAGTTTCTGATTCGCGTGAAAGGCAAAAATGAGGAGGATGATAGCCAACACATCAACGTGGAGGCCGACGAGCAGCTGTTGCCTTTTCTCGCGGCCCGAATTTTCACGACCCGACTCCCGGACATCGAGGCCTTATGTATGGCCCACATGATGATGATGCCCACCTTCAATCCCCATCCTGTCGCGACGAGAGAAGAGCACGAGGAACAAGAAAGAGAAACCGCAAAAGCCGAGTACCTGAAGCATCAGCACTTGGAGTTTGTCAAGGCGGCTTACCGTTTTTCGGGGATAGTTCCTCGAAGTAAAAACCGGTCTTTCCTGCTTTGTGGTCCTCCAACAGCTACTACTTCTAAAAATGCGTCGACATCTACTTCACAAAGTTGCCGCGGTGCCACCACTTCTTCGCGAGAACAGCACACCACGACCCTCGCTTCCGCCAGCCGCCACGACGCGAAACTGTTTCCCAACCACTTTTATGCATCGCGAAACTTTATCGGTATCGTACTAGTAGGATGGATTGCATATACCAATTTTGGCAAGAACGAAAGCGGAATTTGTAATGCGGGCTCAGGGTGGCAAAGATATCAACATACATGACTGCAATTTATACGAGAGCTGCGATGCTTTTGCACAGGATGAGTTTCTATTCGGCACGAGGTTTTACTCCGACGGCACCGTCGCGGGCCACCTGGCCGCCGTCGTGCCCAAGTACCCGGCGGAAAGGTTTCGGATGATCGACTCGGAGCTGGGCGTATTGTACGGCGAATGGAGCGACATCCAGCAGTGGATCACGGTCTACCGGACCGCGGACAGCTTTCAAAAGTGGATGCGGATCGAGCTCCGAGCGGACAGCAACTTCTTGTTCGGTTTCTGGCAATCCAACTGCTGCTGCTGCCACTTTGTGCAGATTCCAAGGTGATTGATGTGCAGAGTTGTAAATAGGACATCTTCAAAACACGAGCTCTGTATGAACAGGGTAACAAGGAACGTAGACGTGACCGGGGGGGTCACGTCCGTCCGTCCGGCCGGACGGACGGCACGTGACCGGGGGTGATCCGGCCTCGGGGCGAGTTCGGCGCTGAATGCCGCAGCAACTGTGGCCCTCGGTAGCTAGAAGCCCCCGGCCGCGTCACCGACGGCGGACCAGGCGCAAGAGTCGTGCCTTTTTCCGTGAAAGACCGAACTCATGACCTTTTTTTTTTAGTTGGGCGCCCGAGCTAGCTGACAGCCCCCGGCCTCGTGACCGGGGGCGGAGCGTGACGAAGAGAGGCAGCGCTTCAGTGAAGTGCCGAGCTCATGACTTTTTTTTTTTTTTTTTAGTTGCCCGGGCGCGCGGTCCGCAGTGGCCACCACCTCCTAGCGCCACGACCGACCCCCGGTCACGTGCCGTCCGTCCGGCCGGCCGGACGGACGTGACCCCCCCGGTCACGTCTAGGTTCCTTGTTACCTTGTTCTATCTATCTATTAGAAATTTCGAAGAAACTTTTGTGGAACTCCGTATGAGTGCATAGTGGTGAGGACGCTGATACCTCCCCCGGCTCCGCTTTGTTACCTTGCAGTCTCGAAAACATCTCCCATTTAGTCCTAAAAATCTACCGAGTAGCTGCTACGGAAGACGAGTAGGCATGCGTTTTCATCAAGAATGAACAGGAAACAGCGACTACTTCACCAAGGTCGAGATGACCAACCGGGAACGATGAGCTCGATTTTGTACAAGAATTTCTCTTCGGAGGTTTTCTGCAAAATGAAAGGCAAGAGGCATTATTCAGAAACAGATTTGATGTTTCTACTCAGGTGGAGGGACCGCTTCATCTTTGTTCCAGCCTTCATCCCTGAGGAGGAGAGCCATCACGGAGGAAGCCGAATGATCACATTGGTGACTGCTTATGGGCATCGATTTTGATGCACTATTTTCAGCATATTGCGCTGCTACAGGCCAGGACGACCAGCCTATACCGCTCAGACGCCGTGCGTCTTAATCTTAAACACCTCCTTCTACAATTTAGTAAGTATCCTGTGGTGGACCACCAGCTGTAGAACTCTCGAGAGCAGATGAAAAGAACACGTTGAGTGTGAGGACACGATCTTGTTTATGGTTGTACAATCACGTGACCACATGATTTACATTTTGATCTCAACGTCGGCAGCTCCACAAGCAGAACGCCAACGCGTGGTGGTGTCGGGGTCAACTATGTAAGAATCATCGATGTAGTTGCTCCTGCAACATTGCGCTGCGTGTAGGAGTTGTGCCCTACAACTACTTCATTCGACGATGAAGGTCATCACCTCCGCCTGCGGGCGGTTGTACTTCGCGATCATATTTCACTGCTCGTCTTCACTCTATCTTGCACCGATAAGTGCGTGATGAGGACTCATCACATCACAGCACAAGAAGGCTACAGAAGTGAAGTATTAAAGGAAGAAACTCGTCAACAAACTTCAAGAATACCAAAGACCAAACTTCAGTGGAGAGATTGAAAATGTATGTCTCAGACATCGTGATTCCGACGCGTTTTCTCACCACATCCGCCCAGCTGATTTTTTGCATCACGCTGCTGCAGGACCGGGCCCCCTACGTTCTCACCGCGCTTCCGATATCCTGTGCAAAAGTATCGTACTCGTAGTATAATTCGCAATCATGCATTACAAATCTCCCTCCTAACCTAAATCCGCATTACAAATTTCATTTTTCATGCTGAGGGAATTTGTCATGCGATTTATACTAGTACGATGCTTTTGCATTATTTCATATCCGAAGGCGAGCCGCAACGTGTACACCGACGATTATGCCTCCTTTGATGCGGAGTTCCAGGCCGCCCTCGTATTGGCGATCATATGTGGCTATGCATTGCAAAAGTATCGCACTAGTATGAACCAGCCATGCTCCGGCTGCCGCCGGAGCGCAAGGCTGTTGGGCCGGGGCAAGACTGTTTGCCGATCGGACCACATCCCCACGTGCCTATGCACAACGAAGCACACTGCTTTCGTGCCGCCGGTTTGCGCCGCGCCAACCCGCTGGACCACTTGCGCGCTTCCCGCGCCTGCGGGCGCTCTGCGCAGGGAGCAGCTGCAAAGAACGCCGGGGGCGAACAGAAGCCGCCTGGCGGGAGGGGGTAGCGCGAGAGGGTGGCGCGAGAGGGTAGCGCGAGAGGGTGGCGCGAGAGGGTGGCGCGAGAGGGTGGCGCGAGAGGGTGGCGCGAGAGGGTGACGCGAGAGGGTGGCGCGAGAGGGTGGCGCGAGAGGGTGCGCGAGAGCGAGGGTGGCGGGGACAGACGCCGAACAAAACAAGTCCGCGAATGGCCGGCAATGCCAAATATGGGCAGTACCATGCGGATTCGCGCCCGCCACTTTGTGCTTTTACCCTCTCGCAGACCTCTCGCAGACCCTCTTTTTTACCTCTTTTGGGGGTCCCCGCTAATAATCCGGCTATACTCGCGGGCAGAGGTCGACAGAGGTGGCCGAGAGGTGGCCAAGAGGGTCCGCGAGAGGTCGCCCCTTATTCGCGCCACCTCTCTCGACCTCTGTCGACCTCTCGCGCCCCCTCTTTTTGACCTCTCTGCACCCTCTGAGGCACTTAGGCGCCGCCTTAAGGTGGGGCCTTCGGCGGGCTATACTCGCGCACCCTCTCGCCGACCCTCTCGAAAGGGGTCCCGCGCCACCTCTCCACCTCTGTCGACCTCTTTTTTACCTCTTTTGACCTCTTTTTGACCTCTCGGCCACCTCTTGTTTACCCTCTGTCTACCTCTTTTTTCGCATTAACATAATGTATAAGTAATTGCATCACAAATTTTTTCAAAAGGAAAAACGGAATTTGTAATGCTGATTCATCTAAAAAGGGATATTTGTGATGCATGATAGCAATTTGTACGAGTACGATACTTTTGCACAGGATAGTGGCCTCTTCGAAGTCAGCAGTATGGTTTTGGTCGGGTCAATATGCATTGCAAACTGAAGATCGTGCGTAGTATAAATTGCATTACAAGTAGAACAAATTTTCTCCAGAACCAATACAAAAATGGAGTTTATTGTCATGCTAGATCAGGTAGAAAGTTAGAATCATCACGCATGACTGCAATTAGTACGAGGGCCACAGTTATTTTCCTTTTGCAATGCATATTTGACTGTCCTCCTTAACCGGCACTCCTTTATCCAGACGCTGTTGCATATGGATGTGTCAGAGTTGAAATCGACAAAGTTGAAATAATTTGTCATGCATAAAATGGATGCCAGTTGGAACCCAGTTTCCAAGTGGCGCAAGACAAATTTCGGTGGTCCCTAAATCCACTTTGTCATGCTGTTTAGGCAAAGAGGAGCGATTTTCTCATGTTACTTTAGCAGCTCGAGCTGTAACCCCAAACAGGCTTACAATCGGCCTCACTTGCCTGCTCTGCAACACACGTGCCTCGGGTCATGCATTTTATGCATTACAAACTATTTCAACTTTGACGATTTCAAACCTGACACTTCCATATTGCACTTTTCCGGGGTGGTGAGCATCATGGTGTTTGGATTGAATGGAGACATATCCAAGAAAAAAACGTTGTTAGTGTAAATTTGTGATGCTTAACATGCAAGACGATTGCGTCTGTCATGCTTGGCATGCATCGTAGGGTCCACTAAACGGCGTTTTCACGTACTATTTTCGCATGACAGGTTTTTGCTGTCATGCCCGACAAATTTGTAATGCTGTTCCTCCAAAAAAGTTACACCTACAATGTTTTTTTCTTGGATAAGACAGCCACTTTGACTACTTTTGGTACATTCTATTCGTCTTCTGCATAATACCCTCGCTGCTCGAGGTGGGTGCACTGATGTACCTGCACTACACGAAAGTACACGGAAACTACTTCTGACGAATAAATAAACGATGGATGATCATATTAATTATGCCGCTGAGATGACTTCATCTCTCCGACGACAGCACTAGGGCGCTGTAGTCGTCGCGCACGCCAAACGTTGCAGGTGCGAAAAGCTACGTATGAAAAATCTGAACATATTTTTTGGTCCCGGTCCGCCTGACATCGCTACAGGAAACAGCTGTTCATCGCTATAGAAACAAATACAAACAAACGTCCTTTATTTTAGCACGATCGCATTCGCATTCGTACTCGCGTCTTTGTGGTTGGTATTTGCAATATTTTTGCAGCGGCGCCGGGAAAGAACGAAGAACCCGACATCATCGGCGTTGCAACGTGCTGGATGCGCGCCACCGTCGTCCTCTTTTCCGGCTTTGTCGTTTCGTGCGCGACTTGTCGTTTGAGCTTCCTGCTTTCGTCTGGAGGGAAAATTTTCTTTTTCGTTTCGGTGACCTGGATAAACAACAGATCCTTGGAGGGGCTCTCCCGACTGTAAGTAGGCACGTCGTTCTCATCGGTCATTCGACGAGAAATGCTGACGTCGATCGCTCTCCATCCCAGCTGTGACTGTATCATAATTCTTCGGGAGAGCAGCTTAAATACCCATGCCCGGGCGAAAAACACTCGAACTCGAAGTAGTCCTTTAGATGGAGAGATTGAGAAATTCTTTAGGCTCCCGCGCAACTACCTCTACCACAAGGATCGGCACCGTTCTTGATAAATGCAGCAGGTAGATCTTTATCATTTGACTCTGCTCTTCAACAAGCGCCGATCGGATCAGAAGATGAACGACGGAGAAAAATATGTAGATCTAAGTAGAAAAATTCCGGATCAACAGTGTGATCACCAAGTAGACGTGTGATGACGGTGATTTATTTGATCATGATCTGTGAATACGAATAGAAGGTCTAGGTCCTCCGGGCATCCTCCACCTGCAGTCGTGGCGGTGCTGTTGGATGAGTTCGTTGGCGTCGCTGTTTATTCACGTCCATGCTCTGGATTTCAAAAGCAGTGGTCCGCCTAATCCGATAACAAGATAAACATCATTGGGTCACGACCAGATGAAGCTGCTCTTGAAGATCGCTAGCATTTCTATCTTCGCCTAGCTGCAGCTGCTAGAAAGATTTTAGAAGTATAAGTGAACATTCTCCTCACGTATGCTCCTTACATTCGTATAATTCGTTTTGTTCGATATTCTCAGTCGAAATCCCCTCCCTCTTATGTGTGGTCGTCCCTGGCTAAGGCTAAGTACCCGAATCGTCCGAAAAAAAGAAGGCACCAGCGAGAAGGAGCAACATAGTGGATGACTAGACCTCCTAGTCGTGTCTCCAACTTTTAGGTCGTGGTCGTGGAGCACGTACAACTACAACGAACGCCTTGATGAAGATAACACCGAGTCTTGGTCCACCTCCACGGAAGATGTCACACCCACGACCAGACAAAGAAGTACCACCCGCCGCCGCGCAGCAGGGAACAAGCAGCCTTCTTGGAAATGGCTCCTTTGATGGTGGTGGTCCCGTCCAACCGGCACGCACGAAAAATTGCAAGACGAAGACCCAGAAGATTGAACCGCGGGGGGGAAATGGTACTTTTGGGACTTCTAGCAGTAGTACAACCAGTTCGACGATGTCACAAACATCGTCCTACACACTTCTGGAGCTTTTCTGCGGCGTGGGCGGAATGCGGTACGGTTTGCAGTATGCGGGCGTCGAGATTGACGCGGCAAATTCTCTCGCGGCCGATATCAACGAACACGCTCTGGAAGTGTACAGACACAACTTCCTTCGCAGCGAGGAAGAGGAGGAGGAGGAGCTCCTTGCTTGCAAAGACGATGGTCTTCACAACTGTAGTGAAGAAGGAGCCCGACCTGCTAGTACAGGAACGACCCCTGAAGTACAAAATGACCCAGGAACTCAGGACTACGACTCAGGAGCGACGAGGAAAAAAGCGAACAAGATAAAGAAGTCGACAAACAAGAAGAAGAACCAGAGGAACCAACTAAAAATAACTGTCGCCAGCGTCGATCTGGCCACGGCAAAGCCGGAGTTTTTTACCCGACAGGTGGTCTGCAACTTCGCAGGGGTGGAAGAAGGTGGGAACGTCGATAAAGATGATCATGGTGTTGTGCTACCCCGTTGTCTACGTGGTGTTGACAAAATCGACCCAGAAGGACCAAGACCACCTGGAAGGAGCAAGAGAGGCGGTGTTGAGAGGACCAGTACTAGCAGTAGTCAACATCTGCAGCCGGCGCAACAAGTCGCATCGCAGCGCTGTCGGTACGAGATCTGGACGATGTCCCCGCCCTGTCAGCCGTTTACAAGACAGGGAAACCAGGAGCACGGAGCGGACGACCGGTGTGGCGCGCTGAAGAACATCGTGTCGGTGCTTCGCTTCCTGCCCGACCACCTGTTGCCCAGGTTTCTGCTGCTGGAGAACGTCGTTGGATTCGAGAAGAGCCGCATTTGTCAGGAGTTGGTGGATATGCTCGGTGAAAGCATCGTATTGTGCTGCATCGTAAGTACTTAATTATCCTAGTGTATGATGATCGCAGTACTGCATGACAGCTTGATGTTACCTGAAACAGCATATACAAAAAATTCATTGCATTTTATTTTCCATCTTCTATCTGCAAATGAAACTTGTTTTTCATGCATATTTGTACTAGATAGTACGATGCTTTTGCAATGCATAGTGGAGGTGCTGATATCCAGAAGGTTTCAAGTTTGTTGTTATTTCCTCTCACCGGACGAGTTTGGGTTTCCGAACTCGAGACAGCGATTCTTCTTGGTGGCCGAGCGAAAAGGAACTTCTCCGGTGCAACAGGAAGATGCTCTTCCTGATAATGCCACACCTATTTTCAGTGGTGGAAAAAGTTGTCCTCGCGAAGGGTGGTCTACTGCTGCTGTACACGTCGACGAGTGCTGGTCGCAGGCGCGAATGAATGTAGTTGCCCGTGAAGATGAAGCTGAAGCAGCAGTGGCACTACAACAGAGCTGCAAGCATGATGACACTTCAATGCCAGTGGTCAACATGTCCCTATGCAGCTCCGCGGAAGAAGCTTTGAAAATCCGGTCTTCGGTCGATCTGTTCCGGCGTTTGGACCACCTCCACCGCAAGGATCTTGTTGTTGCTGCGGAGAGCCAGGGCGAAGGGACGGAGCAGGAGGAAAAAATGAATGACCAAAACGCAAGTTTGATGTTGGTTCACGAACAAAACCAAAACCTGGGGAACGAACAAGAACAACTGGGAAAATCAACATCTTCACGTTCAGAATTAGACGGAGTTCTTGTTGTAGATCGCGACGAGGATCAGGAAGATGCTGTTGTCGACAATTATGCGTGTGCGCAGCGGCAGCGCAAGAAGAGCATAATGGGACCACGACGAGGACGAGATCATGCTCTACTTTGCGAAGGAGCTTTACAACGAGAACGACAACAAGGGGGCGAGGAGGATACCTCCACTGCCTGCTCGTCAGCACGGCTATCTGCATCGCCGCGAGCAGGTCCAGAACAGACGAGCTGCCCTGAGCACGAAGAGCAGCAGGATAGAAGAAAGGAGAGAGAAGATGAAAGCATGAAAAAAGACAAAATCGTCCACTCAAGAAACAGAACTTCGTCAAGAACGGGTTTTCATTCACCTCCACGGGAAGATGGACAAGACGGCTCGACATCAAAGGCGGTGGATTTATTCGACGAGGGACAACAGCTCGGGGAAGCGGAAGCCTCCGAAAGAACGAAAGTGGCAACCGGAGAAAATGGTAGACCGCAAGTACAAGTAGAACGTGGAGCAGGTCATGGTCATCATATCGAGGTTTTCGACCTCGACTTCTCCCGGCCGGAAACCCATTGCCCGCACGGGGTGGAGCTCCTGAAGAAGGCTCGGTCGTGTGAACGAGACTATCATAGCGATCAGCAGCCGCCCTCGCCCGGCTCCGTAGATGGTGCTGGAGCAGCTCCTGCTGGCTTCCGGCACATAACATGGCCTGCATCTCCCAGCTCTACAAATATGAATTGTGCCTCGACCACGTCCACCCGGGACGTTGGGGCTTCTTCATCTTCGCGTATGATCCAAATGAGAAGCATTGCGGATTTTTTGCTAGACAAGAATTATACCGGGAAAAGTAAATCTAAATCCTCTTCGGTTCTTGTCGAAGATTTTTTATCCGACCTGTATCTGTCCGACAAGACACTGATGAAGCGGGCTGCCTGGATATCCTGAGGAAAAACGTGCCCACCCCAGAGTCAAAATGCGGAATCTGCTAGACAAATCCGCCAGCTTTGGTTGTTGCTTGCGCATGACAAGCTTGGCCTCGTAGTGTGGTCCGGTTCAGCTCGTTTAGCACCAGCACAAATCTAGCTGATTTGCGCACTGCAAATTCCAAAACACGACTAAAAAGCGCGCTTCATGGTGGGGCTCCGCATGAGAAACATTTTGACTTTGAGCATGCAGATTTGCATGAAAAATTCGGGGCGGACACGTTTTTACATACGATACTGGACCCTGGACGTCGTGTACCCGAGTTGTCAGCACTCCATGTGCGTCACCAAGGCCTATGGAAGGTATTTTACCGGCACCGGGAGTGTACTGTATTGCGGACAACAACCGGAGCCGCCAATTGGTTGTGGTGGTGCCGCAAGATCTTGTGATGAGGGAGCAGGAGGAGCAGGAGCAGGAGCTGCATCATCATCATCATCAACATTCCCGCAACGTCGAGCCGACAACTGTCTTCATGACCGGCGCTTTTGTGATGTTACTACTGTTGATGTTGGAAATGAAAGCCGCAGTCCTCAGGCGAATGAAAATGAAAGCAACCGCGACCTCACGCACCAGAATATGGAGGACCTCGACGTACGCGAGGACACGAGAATCACGACCGAGCCAAATAACACCGGGGCAATAATGGCGTCGGATGTTGCATTAGTTGCGGTGTCCTCAGCCCCAGCATCCCAGAAGTCATCTACGAGAAGTACTGGCACAGCACTTGTTGAGAATGCCACGACCCCGGCCGCGATCTGCAGTCCGCAGGCAAAGGAGATGCTTTCGAAATTTGGCAACCAGCGACTCCGGTACTTTCACCCGTTGGAGGTGTTCAAGCTGATGGGATTTCCTTGCGGACAGACTCAACACGAACTAGAAGTAGAAGGACACAACATGCAGCTGGGACTACAAAGACAAAATAGAAGCAAGAAAAGCTCTTCTTTTCAGGACATGAAAAACAAAAAGGAAAGAACGCACCGCTCCAAGAACTACCACGTGTTTTCCTTGCCGCAAGCCATCTCCAATAGGCAAGCTTGGGGCCTGGCTGGCAACAGCCTGAATCCCCGGGTGGTGGGGTACTTGGTGGAGGCACATTTCGATTTTTTTTGACTAATGTTTCAAACTATCAAACGTGGGTGCTTCATCATCAAAAATCTAAACTGGAAAGAGCTAGATGCGAAAATAACATACCAAAACAGTCTGAACGTGAATAGGGGTGAGGACGTGTTGCCATCGTAGCTTCGTCCCGGGCGCCAGATCATGGCGCACTTACAGGAGAGTATACAGTTGCCGTGTTCTTGTTCTTGTAGATGTGGTGCTGCTTTCCCTGAAGTTATGGTTGGTGTTGCATGATGAAATCCAAAGCAGAAAGCGTGAGTGTTGAAAACGTGAGATCATGATGTAGTCTCACACGACGAGGACGACCGCCACAAAGTCCACCTGCTCTAGGAGCACTCAATATAACAAGGACCAAGTCGTGGTCGTGCTGCCTATTTAGCTTGTATTTGAGGGTGTTGGGCTGTATGTTTCTTCAGAGCTGCAGGAGGTACAGGAGGCTATTGGTATTGAGACTGAGGGTTGTTCTTTCCCTCTTTAGAGTGGTTAAGGTAGAACTCGACGTCTTTTTCTCTTGGTTCTTGGTCAGCATCTAGCAGTAGTACTAGCCTTATCCTTATGTAATCCAGTTTTCACTTCGTGGAAGTAGGACTACAAAGAACCGCAGCAGATTTTTACCTCCCGCCTCTTGCTATATCATATCACACGACTTTGAAGATTTTGTATAGCTTGTTTAGTGCCGCACTACAATTTTCATACCGATTATTTGTTTCCCAGTTGATGAATGTATGCTTAACGTTTTTCTATTTGTAAGATTATGTCCGACTGGCTGCGTGGGATTCTCGTGTGTCGTTTCGACCTGAATGTCGGGCTATCAATTGCAACTACGTCTGGGTCGTATGGGAGGTTGCAACTTGTGATGTTGTCTTTGGATTCTAAAAGAATCTGTCTTGCATGGCCAGCAATATGAGCCCAGTTTGTGTTACGTCGCGTGGAGAGCATTTGCCATGCGTGATAGGCATCAGGAAGCCCTCGAAAAGTCTGTGATGCTAGCTCATACAACATTACAGGCGTCATGGGTCATGCAAAATATACATGACAAGCCTGGCATCAATCTTCCAGACCCAGACACATTTGCAGTTGATGCGGGCAGGTGTGTGAGTATGACGTTCTGGAGGAAGTGCAACGGCAACAGGAGCTTCGATCGTACGCCGATGAGCATGAGAACGAATTTCATCACGCACCGCTCTCGGAGGAGGAAAAGAAGCTCTGCGCACTGATGGCTTTATCAACTGAAAAAGCATCTGTCGTACTAGGGTGTAGTGGTAGAAATCGCATGGCAGCAAATTCCCTCAGTTTGAGGAATGGAATTCTCTATGCGGCTTGACCTTGATAATGATATTTCAATTTGTATTGAAATGCTTGGCTGCGAATTTATTACGACTACGAGTGCAAAGATAGTTTTGCAATGCATAAGCTTTCCCGGACAGCAACTCTCTGCCGGCAAGTTGCAACGTCTCGCCGTCGCCAGATAATTTCAATGGTGGTATGCTATACAAATTGCCCGTACACTTACAAAATGCATCACAAATTTGACCAACTTAGAAAAACCTACTTGTCACTCTGAAGATGTTTCAAAAAAAAGCTTGTCATGCGGAAGCCACATTTGTAAGCGTGCGGGAAATTTACTGTGGACAGGTGGCATAGGTCCTCTAGAGGGGAAGAATCCGTCGAACAAGCTATTGAGTCGCAACAGCCGAAGCAGCTCCTCGAGAACATCCGCAAACGAAAAGGAGGCATGTTTTTCCTTTCGATTTCGAAGAAAACCCGCAGGGGGCGGCGGAGGTCCTAGAACTGCACGCAATTTGGCAATATTAACTTCGCAACAAGGTCAAGATGTCGGTGGTACAGGAGGCACTACAACCAGTTCCATTTCACATGTTGGCGTGGGCGCCAAAACTTCTACAGCGTCGCAACTACTTTTGGGGCGGGCATCAACAACAGGCGAAACTGCTGCAGCAGGCAGAAGTACTAGTAGCCCACCCTATCCCTACCTCACCGCGGCCAGCTTTTTCAAGCAGCAGTCAGACCCGACGAACCCGCGTGGTTACTCCCAGAAGGCGATTGTGGTGATTACGGACCACGATTGGCGGGTGTTCGGATGTCTGGTAAAACAAATCGCGCTGGTTCTTGGGCCACTGTATTTCGAAAACGGGGAGAAGGTTCTGCAAACGGCGTGGAGTTTGATAAACAGCGAGTGGCCGAAGTTGCGCGATTTGTTGATGGTGGACACTGGTGGCGAAGTAGAAGGTGCCGGAAAAAATGGAAAGGATAAAGATGATCACTTTCCCTGCTTGAAAAACGTTGAACCTGCGGCAAGCGCAAGAAGTACGAGGAGCCCAAATCTTCATCCTGTGATGGCAGGCTCTTCCCCCGTAGATTCCTCTCCAGCGTCCTCCTCACCAAAAGTCAGTGCAGAGCAAGGCCCTGGTGCAACGGAAAATGGTACAACAAGACCTGCGCGAGCACGTGCGCCGGGAAATAAAGATATCAAGGGACAACCCGCCGAAGACCGGCTCGAGGACGAGGACCCCCAAGCGGACACTATCACTAGTGACAGCGAGGAACAAAAAGCAGAAGCAGATGAGCCATCAAGTAGCAAGCTCACCGTGGAGCTGAAACTTTTCTCCGCGACCCTGCGGATAGACTTAACACCGACGGAGCTGCACACGGAGTGTCAGACAGTTACAGTAGAGGATTCTGGTGGAAGTTTTTTGAACGCCCGCCGGTCCACCTCGAAGGGGGGCAGCTCCCTAATAATCCCTCCCAGTCCCAGCGCCTTACTGTCCAAAATTACCAACTTTTTCTCGCACGAACAAATGCCTCCGTCTTCTTCACGACAAGCAGGTAATACTGGTCTTGCCCACAAGCTGCAGTCATCGCAACAAGGACACGGGCACGACCAGGAGCATCTTGTTCCCGCTCAGGCACCTCCGCAGGAGGCGCAGGCCTGTAATCATGATTTAATTACACATCACCAACGCACTAGAACGGCGAGCAAAACGAGCAACTCTTCGACGTCTGCATCACCCGTGTCTTCACCCACTTCCCCGAAAACTAGTGGTAGCCGCGATGGAAGAAACGCTGCTATAATTACTGCACCCACATCTGCAGCAGCCACGACGAAGATGACGACCAGAGACGGAGAAGTTGAAGTTGTATCTGCGACCACGCCCGCAACAAGTGGAGAAATCCAGAAGCAGCGCAGCAGCGCCATCAGCGTGAAGAGCGATGACAGCGGCGGTGGACGAACAACAAACCAGGCGAGTCTCCTGCCGCTTCATCCCAGTATGTTGACATCAGCCGGACCTCCACTACGGCGCTCCGGCTCAAAGAGCCCAGCATCGAACGTGTCGACGAGTGCTGCCCCTGCTCCGTCATTGCACCATCGCGAACAGAAAACCAAAACCAAACTGACCGTGCACTCCACTTTCGACGCCAGCACCCTGCAGTTCCGAGATTGGATCTTTCCCAAGTGGGCCATTTTGCAGGCAAAGACCGGCGCAGCTGTGGGGCTGGGCACCTCGTGCGGGTCGTCGACTTCCAGTTTCAACCCGGCAAGCAGAGGACAGACCAACGGAATGAATTTTACTAAAAACGCAGGGGGCGTCGGTGGGTCAGCGAAACATCCTCATAATAATGCCACCTCTAGTACTTCTTCTGCTTACGGCGGCGCAGCTGGCTCTACTTCCGCTTCCCGAAACGTGGTCCCTACGAATTCTGCTTCATCGGGAATAAATATCATGGGCGATTTTTTCCGGACCTTTGTTGCCGCAAACACCAGCAGCCCTGCCAGCGTCCAAAAAACGTCTGTCATCCACGACGAGGAGCTTCTGGTCGTTTCGCAAGGAAATAATACCAAGAATGAGGCTGCAGCGGGGATGAAAACGAAAATCAAGAAACTCAGCCCTGGTCGGACAAGTTGTGAAACAGGCGAGGACGGAAGAAATTCAATTGGCACAGATTACAAGGACACGACTTGTACTTCGGGAACTACAAACAATACTGCCCCCGACGCAGATGTTGAATCCATCAACAGAGGAGGTGGAGTAGTAGCTGGTAAGACTCTATCAGCACCACAAGGTAAAGCGGGTGGAAGTAGTATTAGAACAAACGGGAAGCAGATGAAAACCGACGGCGCAGTAGTTGTGTCCACTGTAGTACAACCGCAACCGCGGCCGCGCATCATTTCGCCGCGGAAGCACTCCGTGCAGTACGGGGTGCAACGGAAGAACAATTCGACCCGGGAGCTCGCCCTACATCTGACGCAAACCCAGCACGAAAACGCGGCCACCAATCTGTGGACCAAACTCGCGGAATTTGGCCCGGAAGCCTTGTGGACTCTGTTATCCAGCACAGTAAATTTCCCGTACACGTACAAATGCGGTCTGTGCATCACAAAAATTGGCTTCGAACCTAGTTTAGCATGACAAGTTCTACCCAAGAACAACTTGGTGGAGTTCCTGATGCATTATGTACATGCAGCACGGGAAATTTGTATTGCATATCTGTGGCAGCTGTGCATCACCGGGGAGCCGATCGTGATTTTTTCGCAGGACAGCACCATCGTCGACGACGCCGTCGGGGCGTTTTTGCAGCTGATTGCGCCGCTCGTTATTACAGAAACAAGTGGAGCAGAGGGTAGTGGAAGTGCCACTTCCAGCGGCAGCAGGAAAACCGGCCTGCAGTACGTGCCGCACCTCACCGTGTACGATCCTGATTACCGGGAGATTAGAAATCAGGTAGTTGTGGCCGCAGCTCCCGCCGCCACTTCAAATAATTTCCACGGAGCAACAAGCAATGGCGGAACTTCTACATCAATTATGACCTACAACGGCGAAACAAGACATCAACCCGGAGTTGTACTAGCCACCTCCACCTCATCCAGTACATCACCGCCAGTTCTACCCTCGTCGTGCAACCTCGTGCTAGGGTGCAGTAATCCTGCCATTTTTGTCGATTTGACCAGAACTAAGTCGCAGCTGAGCAGTCTAGTGTTGCAGCACTCCGCAAAATACGTGGTGGCGACAAACAGTTCAGGTTCCTCTGCTTCGTATATGAGTGTGCACAACTTCTCCTCCCCCTTATAATTTGTCATGCAACATACCCAATCCACCCTTTGACTCTTAGCACTGTTTGCATGGCAAGTAGTTCTGGTTGCCCAAATTATAGCACTACACTACAGGAGTGCAAATTTGTCATGCAAAACCGGCATTCTTGCTTAGGCTTGTTTTGCTCTTCATGCGATACAAATGAGGGGGAGGGGGAGTTGTGCACTGTCATATCGTGTAGAAGTTCCTCGTCTGGGGGAGCGTCGAGTAGCAACGAAGATTTACCAGGATTAAACTTGGCTGCTGGTGGGGAAGGACCTGCACCAGCTGTTGTGGTGCCATCAGGTCGTGAAAACCAGCCCGCGCCGTCTTGTTCGAGGACAAGCAGTTTTAGCTCTTCGTCGACTAGCGGGTCTTCCAATACAACGAGTACCACGACCGTAAAAAATGCGACCGATTATGTAGCTGCCGCTGGGGGACAACAAAAAGCTGAGACAGCAGCAGCAGCTAACACTCCCGCGACAGCAACGTCGTCCCCTGACGACGCAAAGCAGCAACGACTGCTGCGGTTAGCTAGAGCGCAATCCGCAGCGGCAGGAGCGGCGGGCTCCGCTATGGAGGTGGTCGTGGGAGACAAATCTAGCAACCACATAAGCTACAGGCCCGGCGCAGTGCCCGAAAAGAACGGCGAAAATGCTGGTAGAGCGTTTTCATCGTTCTTGCAGAAATCCGCAACAGTCGGCGCCGCCAGCAGCACGGGAAGAAGTGCTACAGGGTCGTCTGCTTTGAGGCCCAATTTCTCATTTTCTAACCCAACCAGCAATAGTTCTACTTCTCCCTCAGCGACATTCGTAAATAACACAACTACCCTGCCCTTCTCCCCCTCGACGCCGCAGAATCTGATCAAGCCGGGTAATTTCGGGCAAGCGAAACTGATCTGTAGCGACACTTCCTACTTGTACACCGAACACAGCGGGTATGCAGGGCATCGAATTTCCAGATCCGCACGTCTGTCACGTCGTACAAAAGGCATCACAAATATTTTCGCCAACTGAACAAGGAGTGTAGTCAACATCCTAATCGTATGTGATCGAACGAAATTTGATTTTTTTGGCCATGCAGAAACCGCATAGATACGTACGTCGTGATGAACTATCGTGTCGTGGGAAAATGAATTTCTTGTGGATAGCAGAATCGTGCCAGTGGATGAGGAGTTGCTGTCGAGACTACTGCCACCCACCAGTCACTCGGCAATCATGATCAACAACTTTTTGTTGTGTCAGTACTTCTACGAACTAACCTGTGTTTTCCTGAAGCCGTTTCTACCCTACTTGGTCAGCAATGTTGGCGTACTATCTTCTCATGCCGGTGGGGGCGGCGGAAGGAGTTTAAGTAGAAGAGAAGTCGGCGAAAGCAGCAAGAAGAGTGAAAATTCCAGACCGGGTGTTGACCACCTCGACGAAGGAGAAGATGCGGTGCGCAGAACACGAACAGGTAGCGCTGCTGCTGCATCCTCCACCTCGCCGCCGCTGGAACAAGTTAACACCACCAGCAAAGGAGATGATCCTAGAGCAAACCGAAAAATGAAAATGAAGTCGAATTTGGAAGTTGAGACCACATCTTTGCAGAAGATGAGCGGCGAACAAGCAGACGACTTCCAACCCACGATGGAAGCTAATGAATTTAGATCGTCCTCGCGAGGACAAATGAACTTAATCGTAGGCGGCCGCGGGAGTCGTACATCCTTGCAAATACTGGAGCAACAGGCGGAAAACTTGCACCTGTCACTCAGCAACTACGACTACCACAGCCAATGCCGCAGTAAAATAAATCCAACTTCTACTGTTTCGCCCAGTACTACTACTTCAACATCAGCCCGGTCAGGAGGAGCTTCTGGTGTTGCGCCTACCACTTCTTCCAAAAAAGTCCACGTCACGCTGCTGCCGGCGTTTGTGTCGCAGGAATTTTTAAATGGACTGCAACCGGAGGGTGTTTTTCAGCAATTGCCGATCCAAAAAGTGAGGAAACTGTACACCAAGTTCATAAAATCGCCGCACTTTGAGCCCTGGTTCAGGAAGCAGAGAGACCAAGTGGTCGCGGAATCTCTGGCGTTGCACAAAAAAAGGAAAGAACAAGCAGGGATGAACAAACAGGGTCTTAAGTAGCCTTACGACGCGGAAAAGCGAGACGTAGATCGGGCCGCTGAGGACGACAAGCCAACCACTCCTGACGGGGCGGGCGGTGGTTGTTGGTGTGGTCCTAATTTCGAGGAGTGTGAAACTTTTTCAAAGAAGTTTGCATAAGTTTGAAATTAAATACTACTGGGCGGGACCACCTTGCGCCAGAACATGGTTTCCTCGCTTTGAGTGGTTTTTGATGGCACAGCCATTTCGAAATTGGAAGTACAGGCACCACTTGCAGATGGGTTTTTCCAATTTATCTGATCGTGATGGTGATCTTTAAAACTCTTACACTATGTCATGCTAGGTCAAAGAATTTTTCAAAATTGTCGTACCGGGGAGCGCGATCGCCAGGATTTGTCGCGGTCAGCCGAGGACCCTTTAGATTCTTTAAGATAGCTTGCTGCAAAAGCATCACCCGAAGAACCGAGTTTACCTACCTCTACTTGGTTCTCACATCTCCACATGTTGGTCGTGTTTTGTTGCGTCGTTGATAAGAAAGAAAATCCGTCAGTGTTCGTGAGTGGTCGGTTCATCTAAATACGCGACTTCAACTCCTCTCCAAAAGAAGACAGACTCAACAGATCCGGACCAGTGTTTCTCTCCTCGGTTCATCTTTTGGGTCTCAACATCCGTTTCACTGCTTTTTTGTCCTGATTTCTCTCTTCGGTGAATTCAATTTGACTGAACAAAAACTACCACGATTGCATGGTCGTAGAAACTCAAACCGTGTTGGTTTCTTTATGGTTCACTTCTTCGGCTCTACATGTACTTCTGTTCCCAACCACGTGACACGATAAAAAGTGAATGAAATTGAAATGTAGGCGCAGGTGTGAATAGGGAATACAGATAGGTAAAATGCGTCTAAGGAGGACGGTCCTCGCGACCGCCGCCTCCGTCACTTATGTTTCTGCCACCGAAGGATCGCCCTTAGCGAAGGTACTTGCCCTGCTGAAGTCCATGCAGGCAGAGGTTGAGAAGGACATGGAATCTGACGCCGCTATCTCCAAAAAACTGCAGTGCTGGGCGGCCACCAATCGAAAGGAGAAGGAGGACGCCATCGCAGCCGGGGAAGCCTTTATCGCGTATGAGTTGCAAAAGTTGTACTAGCGTATTCGTAGGGATTGCATTATTGTACTAGTAAGGTGGCTCAGCATGAGTATGACATGAAAAGTGGAGTTTCTTATGCTGATTCATCTTTAGAAAATTGAATTATAACGCATAAGCAAACTGCAACCCGTACAAGTGCCGCAATAACCTTTTGCAATGCATATCGCAGAGACGGAAGCAAAAATTACAGATTTGACTGCAGAAACCAAAGCACTGGACGTGACGGTGAAAAAGCTGACCAAAGGTAGGACTATTGCGTATTAGCATGACAAGTTTCCATTTCAAATTCTGACTTTGTGTCGCTGGGTGTAGTAGATCTACATGACTAGTACACCTTCGAGCAAGAAGATCTGTAGTGGATGCAACCAAGAAGTAGACGAGTACGGGCGAGTTTTTGTTTGTGTCGTGCTGAGGGGAAGGTTGTCATGCAATTTTCAGAATTTAAATCATGAAAATCTAAATCAGACCTCGCCGAGGACGAGCAGCAGCTAAAAACCATCGAGAAAAAGAGGGAAAAGGAAGCTGCGTCTTTACCCATTGCAAAAGTGCAGTCTTTTAGATCATTTAGTGGAATTGGCAATATAAACGTACCAAGTCGTGGGAAGATTTTAATTCAGATTTTGCATATGCTGATTCATACAACATCTTAAATTTTTTATCATGTCGGTTTATCATGTAGTATTTCAATCACACACTATCACTGCGAGACTGGTGCTCTTCCGATGCATAATCTTTCACCCAGTACCAGAAAGATACGATCAAAGCCATCCAACAACTAACCGGCGCGCTGACGATTCTGAAGAAGCACCAATCGTTCCTTGAGGTCAGGAGAATACTGGAGCTGAACAGGTATGACCTTGATCAACATGCCGATGAAGTAGAGTGCACCACTTCTTTGATCGATCTTCCATTCCTACGTTTAGGTTTTGACAAGCGATTTTTCATTTTTTAATACTTTTCTAAACAACAGCGACTACCTTCCTAAAGACGACCTGCGTGGCGCTTTATCCCTGCTGGACTCCGGCTTGCCGGCACACGCCAGCGCGTCCGGCGAGATCTACGGTATCAAATGCAAAAATGTCTGGGTCTGGAACAAAGCAACTTGTCATGCTAACTCTGAATCATTTAAAAATCTGTGTTGCATCATTACCAAACGCTGTCCACTTTAGACCTAATCGAGATGCAGTTTCTCATGCAGGAGTGGCATGATAGAACTCTCACAGAATCTGTCATGCTATGTCCTACATGCCAGACCTCACGGGTCATGGAAAACCTGCGTGACAAGTCTGGCACTCTTCCAGACCCAGACACTTTTACATTTGATATACGGCATTTTGTCGCAGATGAAGGAGACCATGTCCGCTGAGCTGAAAATATCCAAAATAAATTTCCCGTACACGTACAAATGTGATTTCTGCATGACAAACTTTTCTTCCAATCCTATTCAGCATGACAAGTCCGACTTGGTAAAATTTGTCATGCATTTTGTACATGTACAGGAAAAATTTGCCATGCATAAAAAAAGGCCCAGGACGACGAGGCGTCCAACTTGCAATCCTTCGAGTCGTATGCATAGGAAATATGTCTGGGTCTGGAAGAGTGCGTCTTGTAATGCTAAAGCTGAATCATGCAAAAATCTGTGTTGCATGATATACCAATAAAGCTGTCCACTTTTGAGCAAGCCGAGAGGCAGTTTCTTATGCGGAAAAGGCATGGAAAAGATCTCAAGTAATCTGTGATGCCAGGGCATGCCTCGCAGACCTGATGCGTCATGCAAAACGCGCATGACAAAGACAAACGTTGCACTTTTCCAGACCCAGACATATTTGCATTTGATAAGTCGTTGCGAAGGGCCAAGCGCGAGGAGATCGCCGCGGGAAGGGCGGAGCTGCACAAGAACAAAGAGGCGCTCGCGAGGGGTCTGGAGGAGCTGGCGCGCAGCAAAAAGGCGCTGAAGGAGGCCAAGGACACGTTAGAGGCGGACAAAGCGTTTCTAAAGGACGTCAACGAAAGATCCGCAGCCGACAAAAAGGAGCTGGAAGCCAGGACGGCCGCCCAGACCGAGGAGTTGAAGGCGCTGCAAGCCACTGTGGACATCTTGACCTCTGACGAGGCGCGGGACCAGTTTAACAAAACTTTGAAGCCGACGCTGTTCCTGCAAACGAAGCTCAAAACCAGAAACACGCTCAGTTCCATGAAGCAGAAAGCCGCGAGTTTGCTCCGGCAGAAGGCCTTCCTCGCCCCGGAGCTGTCGCTGATGGCCACGAAGGTGCAGCTGGCGGCGTTTGAGGAAGTGAAAAAGATGATCACGGAGTTGGTTGCGGAATATGCAATGCAAATTTACTCCCGTACATGAACAAGATGCATCACAATCAGTTTCACCAATTTCAATCTGGAGCGTTGTAAGTAACACTTTTCATGCTAAACTAGGATCGAAGCCCAGTAAGTTTGTCATGCAGAGACTGCGTTTGTACGTGTACGGGAAATTTCCTGTGGATACCGAGCTGAAGCAAAAAATGAAGGACGAGGTGAAGAAGCGCGACTACTGCCTCGCCGGGTTTGACAGCAACGATAAGGAGACCACGCAAATGAAATATTTAGCCGAGGACTTGACGGGAAAGAAGACGAAGCTGGAAAACACGATCGCGGAATTAGAAGCCACGATTGCGTATGCAGTGCAAAAGCATCGCAAGTACCCGGGATAAATTCTTGCAGTCATGCATGACAAAACTCTTTCCAGACCTACAACAGCATTACAAGTTCTGTCTTCGTTCTGGCCGACATAATTTGTGGTCCTATAGTTTACACTTCCCAGTACTGCGATACTTTTGCATTCCACATTGCCAACACCAAGAAGGAAATCTCCGAATTGCACATTGACATCCAGTCTGCGACCAACAACCGAAAAGAAGAAAACGCCGAGTACCAACAAATCTTCTCCGACCAGAAGATCACGCAGAAAATTTTGAAGCAGGCAAAGGAAAAGCTGAAGTCTTTCTACGACAAGGACTCCGAAGAATTCCTGCAGCAGCCCGGGGGCCCGCTTGGCCTGGAAGCTGGCGGATATAAAAAGAAAAACGGCGTTATCAACTGCAAAAATGTCTGGGTCTGGAAGATTGCCAGGCTCGTCATGCATATTTTGAATGACCCATGATGTCTGTGATGCATGCCCTAGCGTCACAGATTTCTAGAGGACTTTGCGCTGCCTCCACCGCATGAGAAATACCCTCTCCGCGTAGCACAAACTGGAGTCTTCTTGCTGGCGATGCAATGCAAATTTTCTTAGCATCGAGAGACAGCATTACAAGTTCAGTATCTTCCAGACCCAGACATATTTGCAATGCATAGGCGTGGGCATCATGGGCATGATTGAGGAGATCATCATCGACAGCGAGCAGACCGTATGAACTGCAAAAGTATCGTACTCGTATAAATGCATTGCAAATTTTCTCAGCATGAGAAATAAAATTTGTAATGCTGATTTGCCTTGACAAAGAAATTTGTAATGCAAGACCTGCATTTATACGAGTACGATACTTTTGCAGTTCATAGACCGTCGGGAAGTCGCAGTTGGCAGAGCAGGAGGCCCAGACCGCCTACGACAAGTTCATTGCGGATTCTTCCAAAGATATGCAACGAAAAAAGTGTTACAGTTACATAATGTGTTGCAGACCAAGCAAGCCAGACGGCCTCTCTCGTGCTGGAAAGGCATGGTTGTGTTGCAGAATTCACCACAAAAGTGTGTACTGTAGCACTTTTTTCGTGTGATAAACGACCTTGCCGACAAGGAAGCGCAGCTGAACACCGCGATTGAGTTATCCTGAGTAAAAACGTCCCCACCCCATAGCTGTCATGCAGATTTGCAGCTGCAGGAAGATTTGTAATGCGCATCCCCATGAGAGGCGTTTTCTATCGTGTTTTGGACTTTGTAATGCTGGAAAGATGATGAGTAGCTGGATTTGTGTTGCGGCTGTACCTGCTACACTGCACTACAATACAGAGAGAAACTTGCCATGCTTGGCCCCCAAGACTTCTCGATTTCTGTTGCGAGATCCCCATCTTGACTCTGGTATGGGGACATTTTTACTCAGGATATGAGTCCAAGGCCGAGTCGGAGGGGGACCTGCACCAGTGCAAGGCCGACCTGAAGTCCACGCTGACCAAGATCGAGGAACTGGCGGAGGCGCTGAAGGCCCTGCACATGGAGTGCGACTTTGTCGTGCAAAACTTCGACCAGATATGCAATACAAATCTCCCGTGGTACATGTACAAGATGCATCACAAAGCTCACCAATCTGGGGCGTAAAACTTGTCATGCTAAAGTAGGATCGAAGCCGAGTTTTGTCATGCAGAGACCGCATTTGTACGTGTGCGGGAAATTTACTGTGGATACCAGAGGCAGGCAGCCATGACGCAAGAGATCGAAGCCGTCCAGCAAGCCATGGCCATCTTGAGTGGGGCGCAGTGAGGAAGATGGAGTAAAGTGCAGTTTTCTCTGAGTTTTAGATATAACAAGCACTTTCGCTTTCGATTGGAGATTTTCTATTCCGACACGTTTCACACCAGCACGTAATGCGCCCACGGCGATTTGGATCGACACCAGAGATGGTCTTGACGAACTAAACTTCTTCGTTATTTAAACTTCTTTTTTTCATTAGCGATAGCGATACTTCTTTACGATTTTTTTGTGACATAAGATCTTTCTCGGACAACTTTTAAACTTCTTTTTTTCATTAGCGACAAAACTAAACTTGTTTTTTTCATTAGCGATACAGAACTTAGGATCTTAAAGAGTCTTGGCCATCTGCTGTCGGTTCCTAACAAGGGCGGTTTGCTGCTGAAAAAGAACTGTGTGTGCTGTAAGATTGAGGATGGAGTGACTCAGAAAAGAAGAATTGAACCGCCTGCGTGCTACCACAAAACTGAAAACTTGCATACGGAAAAAACACAGTGCGTTGTTGTAGCTGTGCGTTGCAGTACAGGTACAGCACACGCATCGCTTCTGGTGCTAACTTTGCGTTGTTGTGTTCTGTGTATAGACTCCCGCTCATCTTCCAAACGGTATGCAAGTGGTCCTCGCGGAGGAGTTCCGCCAATAATTCGGGTTTCTCCGTAGGACTTCGGTGGTGCAGAGAATCGAAAAGATCGGCCAGGCGAACAACAACGGCGCGCCGACGCCGCCGCCGCGGCCGGCGGATGACATGAACGACTTCTGAGCAGGTCATCTTGTCTCTGGGGTTGTTGCGCGACCAACAGTGAAGATTTTGTCTGAAGTGAAGAAATAGCGCGTTGCTATTGTTTTGGTTTCGTTCTTCTGTATGATGAATTGAGGGAAAATCTAATGAAAAATTCAAGAATCTCACCAACCTAACTGTAAAAATTTAGTATTTGAATGTCCGACAAGATCAGACCAAAGCTTCGCAGGGAATAGCAAAACTTAATAAAGGATCACTTTTGTCATAGGGGTCACAGTGGTTAGTCCAGTGCCCCCAGAGGGAGTCTTCCAGTCAACGTCTCAATTTCGGGAAACGAGGAAAAGTAAATATAGTAAAGCAATAGGAGTATCCAGTAAACCACTCAGAAAATATAGGGAATAATTTGAAGGGAGGCTAATTTGTAGGGAGGCGTAACAGAAGACAGCGCCACTATTTGCATGGCGGGGGGATGCGCATCCTCGCAAAAACAACGCATACAACTTCTAATGCCGCTACGTTTTCAGCTTTTTGCATGTTTGCATGAGACCCAGACTGGCCGCTACCCAAAGCATTCGGTTATGGTTTTTGACTCACAACCAAATATGGTCCCGCTTGGAATAGAATTTGCGCCGACACAGAGGAAACCACGCAAAAATGAATAAAGAACAGAGAAAGGGAAAATAACGGAGGTTCATTTAGTGGGTCAGCTCCACCTGCATGAAGGGAGAAAGACTTTTGAAACAAATCTCGAGACATAAAATTCCACGAAATTCCGCTTTTGGCTATTTCATCGGAACGCGTCTCAGCGAAGGTATGCAAGTGGTCCTCGCGGAGGAGTTCCGCCAATAATTCGGGTTTCTCCGTAGGACTTCGGTCTTTCTATTCAACGCCAACCTGGCGTTGGCGGCCATTGCACGAGCACGACGGCACATAGTCCTGCGGTTCTTCTCTACTTTCAAAACTCGGAGAGAAAGTACGAGCGACAACTAGTAGCAGAGTTGTAGGAGAGATTTTTCTAGGCATATTCTTCTCTGAGCGAGCAAGAGTATCGCAGTTGGCTATAATTCATCGCACGAGGAAGTAGTTGTTTGATATTGATGTGGGAGCTGTAGTACACCGACTTCCGACGCGAACAAAGATGCCCCTGCGTATCGCACCAAAAATGCGAGTCGAGGATGTGCAGCAAAACCACGGATGGCGACGACAGGAAGATCTTCATGACGATGATCGTCATCACAAAAAAGAATATTATGCATGATGCATATAATTTTAATTTTCTGAAGAACGTGAAATAATGGAAATGTGTGGTCTTGCATGGGGACAGAAGTAATCATCGACGAATATTATCCGCTGTGATACCTTATCAAATGCAAAAATGTCTGGGTCTGGAAGAGTCGGGGCTTGTCATGCACATTTTGCATGACCTGTCAGGTCTGTCATGCTGGTGCTAGCATCACAGATTTTTTGAGAGCTTCTTGATGCTAATTACGCATGACAAATGCCCTCTCCGCGTGCCAAGAGCTGACTCCTCTTGCTGCTCATGCAACACAGATATTTTTAGAATCCGCAGACAGCATTACAAGTTTCACTCTTCCAGACCCAGACACTTTTGCATTTGATACACACCGAGGGGTTTTACCCGAAGGGGTACTCGCTGGAGAAGGCGCTGGATGTCGGAATGGCTTAGAAAAGGAAAACTTAACCGCCTGCATGCTAACAGAAAGCTTGTTGTATACGGAAAAAACACTGTGTGGTCCCGATGTAATTGTGTGTTGCAGTACAGCAGACCCATCGGCATCGCTTCTGGTCCTAACTTCGCGTTGGTGTGTTCGGTATTTAGACTCCCGTTCATCTTCCAAGAAACGGTATGCAAGTGGTCCTCGTGTAGTTCCGTGTACGGTTCGAGTTTCTCCGTATGACTTCGGTGTTTCTACTCCACGCCAATCTGGTGTGTTGGCGGCCATTCCACGAGCACGACGGCACATGTCCCTGTGATACTTCTTGTCCAACTTAAAACACAAACATCGGAGAGAAAATACGAGCGACAACCATTAGCGGAGTTGTAAGAGAGGTTTTTCTAGGCGTCTTCTTCCATGAGCGAGCAAGAGTATCGCAGTTGGCTATAATTTATCGCACGAGTTAATACAATTAGTTGTTTGAAATTGACACGGGCGGAGCTGTAGTACACCAACTCCCGACGCGAACAAAGATGCCCCTGCGTATCACACGAAAAAGCCGAGTCGGGAATGTGCAGCAAAACCTCGGACGACGATGGCAGGAAGATCATGACGATGAAAAAAAAGAAAATTGTGCATGATCCATATGAACGTGGAAAAATAGAAATGTGTTTCTTGCATATTAGGAACGAAGAAGTAGTCATCGACGAATAGTACCCGCTGTGACTCCTTATCGAATGCAAAAATGTCTGGGTCTGGAAGAATTCATGTTTGTCATGCTTGTCTAGCGAGACTCTTAAATCTGTCATGCACGTTACCCAAGAGCTCCGTTTTTCTGTGATGCAGAAGCGCAGTTTGTCATGCAGAATAGGCAACACCTAGGAGCTCAGAAGCTTGTCATGTTGAGCCAGCATTTGTAGCCTCATCATGAAACGCCACCCAGCATCACAAGTCTCCAGACCCAGACATTTTTACATTTGATACACCTAGTACTCCTGCATTTTGCTTCCATACACACCGAGGGGTTTTACCCGAAGGGGTACTCGTATGGAAGTGTCAGAATCGAAATTGACAAAATCGAAAAATTTGTGATGCATAAAATCGATACCAGTTGGAGCCTCAGTTTCCAAGTGGCGCATCACAAATTTCGGGAGCACCGAAATCCAGTCTGTCATGCTGTTTAGACAAAGAAGACTGCCCCTGTCATGCTATTCTGGCAGCACATTGCATACCCCTAAACAGGCTTGCCATCGGTCTCATTTGCATGCTCCCCAAGACAGGCCTTCAGTGCCCTACATTTTATGCATCACAAGTTTTTCGATTTTGTCGATTTCGATCCTGACACATCCATAACTCACTGGAGAAGGCGCTGGTAAAGAATTTTGCGAACCACATGGCAGCAGTAGGATTGATCAGTACGATGAGATTCGTGTGCATGGGAGAAAGACAGGACTTAAGCATAAGGAAGTTCTTGTATAAGTCTTGGAAAAAATAAATCAACACCAGGGCTCTCCCGCGGGTTGGGACTACGTGACCGCCTATTTTCCGTACAGCGATGATCCACGGACAATGTCGCAGAAAAACCACGTCAACAGCTGTCTCATCCGGTTCTCGGTATATCATGACTGTGACGGTTTTGGATTTTTACTTGTCATATGTGATCGCGTTTCTCTCTCTTTGCAGGTGGTTGTGGTTGTTACGCGTGAAGAGGCAATCAAGAACAAAAACAGCAATTCTGCCGCTGCGCCCGTGAACTAGGAGAGGAGGATCCGAGGTGTCGCTACCAGTATTTCCGCGCGGAGTGCAACTGTTTTGGAGGTAATATCAGTGTGGTTTTTAAAAACCCGCATAAAGTGTTTCTCTTGCAAAAACTAGAAAGGGTAAGTCGTTTATTGCGTTTCTGATGCTTGAGAGCCGTTGCAAAAAATAGTTGGTAGGCATGATCCGACAACAAATATTTACAGCCGATCTGGATCTCTTCATGCGGAAAAGGAAGGAGGGTAACTGCAACGTGGATATCCTGCCGGATCGCAGTACTAAGAATCAGAAGGGGCACTAGATGGTCGGATTATCGTTTTGGAAAAAGAAGAAGTTCTTGGTGCGGTGGCAGGAGCACATTTTTTCGGCATGATCATCATCAAAAGAAAGACACGATCGACGTACCTAGAAAGACAGTAGCGCTAGATTTGTATTTCTGGCTCAGACACACGACAAATACTACCGTCGATTGTCGCAGTCGCTTATGCAGCTGCGACAGCGTTGTGGCGCAATGCCTCGCCTAGGACGTCGACGTGCAGGAGTAGAGGTACTTCTAGAGCACAGATGGAATCGTCGCACTAGAAAAAAGTTTGTTCGTGCATCGGTCCATTTTTAGAATTAGCAAGCTACATTTTAGCACCAGCATGCGACGTATATTGCTTTGTATGTGAAGAAATTTCAATTTGGTGAAGATGACGTCTGGTGGTCAACTGCAACAGCGTCTTCTACGTGTTCACTTCGTGTTCGAATATAGAAACAGCTGGTTTTTTGAGAGCGGATCATCTTCGTCTCGTCGGGGTTAACTATGTGTCGCGTTTGCTCTTTAGATCCTCGGAGAATTGAGCCAAGAAAAACGTAGAATTTCGTCCACAACCACAACATCAATAGCACAAGTATAACCCGACCACAATATATTTTCCGCGACTATAATCATTCTTTTTCTTTCACTTCCCCCCAACACGAAAAGAACAAACCCTCAACCTCATTTCTCCGCATCATGATGAGCATGGTTTTTTTTACGCACTCGGAACATTTACTTTACACACCAAGAACACTAACACAAACAAAACCGTCCGTTCTCTCGTCAACATATTATCGTCGAAGTACGTCAGAGATAGCGCTGTATACTTCAAGAAAAACGCACTGGTCTAGCAAGCTCCTGTCCATCCCGATTCATAAAAATTGCTTTCGCTTGAATTTTCGAAAATCTGACTGAAAAATCACAGCTGAGAGATTTTTTCTTGAAGGGGGTTGTGTTTACACGACAAACTACACGAGCAACGAACAAACCGAAGTTCAATTGTCTTCGTCGGACAAAACTTAAAGACAAAGTCCTTTGCTTCATCTTTTTTTGAAGCAAAAAACACCAACCCAAAAAATGGCCCAGTCTGTCATGAGCCCGATGGTATTCTACTTGTGGTTCTTGGTTATTAACATGGTGAGACATTTTGTCATGCATAATCAGCATAATTGGTAGAGATCGTGCAACATTTTCACTTTGTCATGCATAATCAGCGCGTCCATTTTAGACTGTGATGCAAACACCCCTACACACATCAAAACGAAGGTCAAGAACTCGCCAATGGCGACGGCGGAGAGCTTTAACAGCATGATGCCGACTATGCACTGCAAAAGCAACGTTGTACTTCTACTTGTCGTAGTAATTGCAAAAATGCATGACAAACCTAGTTTCTTAGGTCATTCAGCATGACAAATTATCCCATTTGCCATGCTGAGAAAATTTGTAATGCAAAAACTACGACAAGCACGAATAAACTTTTGCACTGCATACTGACGGGTTTGAAGGGAAAGCTTGCTTCGTTGGAAGACTTCATTTCCATGCAAAACGAGGAGCTCGCCGCCCAGCGACAGGAAATCGAGTCTCTGCGTACTTACTAGATTAGAGTTTGATGTTTTTTTCGGTTTATGGTACTTTCGCATGACAAAGCTGTCTGGCTATCTATTGTCTTGTTTTTGCATGACAAATCAATCTATGACTTTTGTCCTAAAAAATGATCTCCAGGTAACGACAAGCAGAACATCGAACAGCACTACCAGGCCCAATTGCAGGAGTTATCACAAGTGAACAGGTTGATTCGATGCTTTACTCATGCAAGGCTCATCTTGCGCATGACAGATTGTAGATGTACTCACTGTCATGCGTAGCAAGATGAAAGTAGCTGCATGGTAGTAGAAGTACTTTGAATCGTTTTTAATGCTGCATAGCATCTGAAGAAGACAATGGTTGCCGATGTCCAGCGGATGCAGGATGAGGTCAAGCGCCACTTCGCCCAGCAGCGCGCGGTATCAATTGTTCTTTGTCATGCAGAACGACGCATATAGAAATATCGTTTCTCATGCTGGAAGTTGCATCACAATTAAATTGAAATTTGTTGAATTATCGAAAAAATCACCAATTTCCAGGACAACGCCCGACTGCAGCAGCAGATTACCACTCTGAAGGGCGAGAAGACGTCCCTTATGAAAAAAAGAAATTGTTTACAAACGCTAATTTCCCATGCTGAAGTTTATTTTCGCACAGAAATTTATTGCACGCATGCCACAACTTGCGACGGGCTACGGCTACCAGAGCACACAGATAAAGCAACCATTTAATTATGCTGAAAGAAGCGAGAAGATGGTGATGGTCTTCATTATCGTGCGAAATAAATGTGCAAAGGAAGTGATCGTTTCCACAAGTTTCGCGTCATACTGGTGCAGCAACAAATCCTGGGCTTGCAGCGCCGCATCCAAGAAATCGAGGAGCAGATCGGTTGTGATTAAACGGTATCAGTTTCCGGATTTATTTTGTCATGCGGTTCAACAAGGTTCTGATTCATGTCGTTGCTTAAGTAGGTAGCCCAACATCGTTGTCATGCAAGGACAGCATTACAGATACAGACGTATGCTGTGTCTTGTTCTAGTTGCGCCGCCCCTCTTCAAGTGAAAGTGCTTGCCAAGTGGAGAAATGATCGCAAAACACGCCTCAGGTTTTCTGATCGGAGAAGAAAAAAGTTTCGGGAAAAAAGAAAGGATCAGACATCATCCAAGTTTCAAGAATAATCACACAGAATAAATAGTAGAGACGAGCAGTTCGGCTGTCTCTAACTATGAAAAACCGATTTAATGTTTTCACACCTAGATTTTGCGGACCATCACACAGGAAATGATATTGATGTGTGTATGAATAAGCTTGTAGGCCGATGTTGACAGCTATTCTACCGCATTCGAAGTCTCGAAGTAAAAATGCTTTGTATGGACTGGAAGAAAGACAATTTTATGTTTCAAGATTTGTTGTCAAAAGTTTCGTATTGTTGTTTTACTATCAGACACTTTATTTAACAGATCGTTTTATTTACTACTAATTGTCACAGTTATTTTATCAGTTATCAGACCTCCTATTTATTACAGCAGATCAATTGCACAGCAGAGTATCAGACTTGTTTCGCAGATCAGACTAGTAATCCAGTCGGAGTGGATCATTATTTTCCACGACTGAGTTACGAAAACACCAGTTTCAGAAGTAGCAACCTCATAATTGTGGCTGAAGATGTTGACAATAAATGCAAGTTCAAGTTGATCTTCACTCTCGTGGTGTTTCACCAAAACGAACAAACTGTATCGAAAAAAATTACATATGATCAGGGCGCAGGAACGCAATACAATGGGTTACTAGATACCTCTTTCCCATAGCTGCAGGTAGAAATAAAACAGGACTAGTTGCAAACCGTGACTTCTTTTTACCACGCTAGGAGCCGAGCTTAAGCGGCGAAATACAAATATGATTGACTGTAGCTCCCATGCCTACCAGCATGCAGCTGCGATAGCGAACTGTTATTTTCGCCTCAAAAAGAAAATCCCGAACCCGAAGCTGCATTTTTCCTGCACAAATGAAGAAACGCAGTCTCATCTTACTTGCACAGAATCATACAGAGAAAGAATACAACTAGCCGACCAAAGAACGCTCTGTAAAAAGTCACGACACTATCGCCACGAGGTTTGCTAACAGGCATTATTCAGGGCTTCTAGTTATACTAAGCATGATATTATCGTCAGCTCTACTCTGATAATGAATTTGCAAAAAGCACTCTACTTCTAAAATATTCTGTAGTTTTGTAAATATTTAGGAATACAGTACAAAATTTTTATACCGCTATTGTAAATGAACCTAAAGTTGTGATCTCTCTCGCGATGAAGCTGCATCTACTAAAGGTCTATCAAAAGTAAAAATGTCTGCGTCTGGGAACTTGTGATGCTGGGTGGCGTCTCATGATGAGGCTACAAATGCTCGCTCAGCATGACACGTTTCTGAGCTCCTAGGTGTTGCCTATTCTGCATGACAAACTGCGCGTCTGCATCACAGAAAAGCGGAGCTCTTCTGCAATGTGCATGACAGATTTAAGAGTCATGCCAGACAAGCATGTCAAACATGAATTCTTGCAGACCCAGACATTTTTACATTTGATAAGGTCGCGGCTACAACCAAAGCAGATCGAGCGCCCCGGCTTTTGAGCCAAAAATATTAACTGCCGGACGACCTCTACATGCTCCCCAGTCCGCACCTAAAAGATAATAAAGTTTGACTCGATTTGCATTTGGTGCCTCAGTAGAGAACTACGAAGACCCGATCTTTATTTTGCTGTTGATTCGCGGGAAGGTTAGAACTTCTTTCTCAAACCGCTCGAAAATTCTCTACCTGTACACGACTTCAAGCGAAAAAAGATAAAATGTGGTGATGCACTCGTTTACTAGTGCAGGAAAGTAGGAGCGCTCGCGTTCTGCTGCTGCTCTAATATGGGTGCCTTCGATGTGCTTTCTTTTGTTCCGATTTCGCGTCATTTTCAATAATTGATTTTATGTTTTTGGGATCCGCGACGTAGGAGCATTCTCGAAATTATCGAAAAGTATAATGTCCCTTCAATATCGTCGTGGCAGTTCGAATCTTGGACTTGCTTATTAAGAAAATCATGATCATCTTTTCCCGGTTCGTAATCGTGAGAGTCTTCGAAATCGTGGAGAGTGGAGCGACCGCTAATATGTGGGTAGTACTACAACATGCTGAGCGATGCTATTGGAAAATCGTGTTTCATCTTGCATTAAGCAGCTAGCACCAGCAACAGTGAGGTGCCATTTTTACTTCGTCCTCGGTCGGACCAGAGTTATATCGTCGAAGCCGTTTCGTAATATCGTCTCGTCGTTTCGAAAGCAAATAGTTCGCATACCGGCAGCGTCGTGGTGCGAGTGCCATTAGAAAGAACCTGATAATTGAAGCGTGATGTTTCTGGTTGCGACCAGAAGACGAGGTGGTAATCTAATTAGCCCTATCTACATCTTGTATGATTTTTCAGTAGGTACAGTTACAATGCTAGCATCATCTCCTCCGATGCTGATTAATGCAGCAGCGGCTGGAGTTCACGTTCAACTTCAACCAGCTCAAGTGCAAATGAATAAAATGAGTTGCGCAGCAGGAAGATGATGTGCATGCCGCGCATCTTTGACACCAGGATGAATGCGCGGCCGAGGGCGCAACAAGGGGAATCTGAGCGAAGTGAAGACGAAGAGGAGCAGCGAGAAGATCTCACTGCTGCTATTGCGCCCCGGGCGTCTTCCGAGAAAATCTCGCGTCTTCCTGTCGCTCTCCCTTTAGTCCTTCTCTCCAAGCAGAAGGAGAAAGCGACGAAGACTTCTGCCTGGTGCTGCAACATCCACCAACGGCGATGTGGTCCTTGCAACGGCGGAACAAGATCAATTTTCAAGCGAAGCTACGAAAAATGCTCCGACATGATCGTGGTATCCAGTTCTTGTTCATCCCTCTGCGTGCGTGGTCTTCTTGCGCGGCCGTTGTTCACTCTTTCTAGCCGCTGGTGGTGGTGGTCGAAAGGAAAGGCTGGAGGAAACAAGCCAGAACTTGTTCTCCTAACGAAGAAGTTTGTCAGCGGCAAGGACAACCAGGAGCGACAAGCGGGAAATAACCCCCAAGTAGAGCCGCAAAGAATACATGCCCGCACCCGCTCCGAGGACGACGCCCGAACCCAGGAAGTTGCAGGGTCGCCGAGGGTGTTGATGTGCGGAGCAAGCGCAAGCGAAGATGGCCATGAGCACGACTCGCAGGGTCATAGTGGACACGACCATAATAATCATGATCTCCCAACAAGAGCCGAGATGATGACAACTGGACTGACGGGGGCCACGACGAAGAAAACCAAAACCTTTTGGCGCAAGAAGAAGAAGAAGAACGGAAAGAAGCGGGGCATAGAGATGAAAGATCTAGATCGCGCTGCATCACCATCGCAGCTTCCGGAGGTGGAGCCAGTGTCCTCGTCTGCTGTTCAGGACCAAAAGGAGAACTACGTGGTGGAGGTGAACGACCTCAAGGAAGAACAAAAGAAGCTCCCTGCTGGAACCGGAACGGGTAAGAAGAACACAACTGCAGATCTTATTTTGGGCGACGAGGGAATAAAATCAACCCAGGAGGTCATGCTCATGGATCGGCTCGCGGTTGATGTGTCTGACCACACAGCACCAGCAGCTTCGCCGTCCTCACAAGACGAACCCGGAACAACTGCTTGTTCTGGATCTAGTACATATTTTTCATCTGCTGAAACAACTACTACCCCATCCTCCAGAACAACAACGCCGGCGGCACTGCAGGTCGTGGCATCACCACTTCTTGATGTTGGCGACAGCTGCTCAATCCACAGCCAAAGTTTTTGTACAAGTAAGAGTAACAGAAGACGGAAGAACAAAAAAGCCGGGACGAATGGTAAAACAACTACAGGAAATAATAAAACTTGCGCGCATCTTCGCGTGAAGAGGAGCTCCTGCAGCGGCTTGACGGTGATGATGAAAAACATCAACTTTTACAAGGAGAAAATTGAAAAAACCGTGAAAAACACGGTGAAGATGCCAATGCGGTTCTGGCTTCTCCAGAAATTTGTCTGCACCCCCACCATTTGCCCAACATTGGTTGCGCTTGCGACCCCCCCTAGCCCCGGACAGGAAGGTCCGGCCCGGACTCCGGGGTTGCCCTTTTTGATCTCCTTCAGAGGCCCAGAGAAAGGTGGTGAAGAATGAGAAACGCAAGAGAGTTAGGCCTTCAATACTCTTGAGCAGCCATCCCCGCAATGACGCACTCCCCCGTGTAAGCCATGTCGCGCATGAAGTGTCCTGATTTAACGGGCGAAGTCGCAAGAACTCCGCCACGTTTCGGGCAGCAGTCTTGTTCCCAGTAGCAGGAATAAAGGCGGCCTCGCGCCGCCGCAAAAGTGAATTCTTGAATTTCGTTGAAAAAAGAGGTAAACGTGGACACTCAGGTGCAAAGTACCAAGAAGGAGAATATCAAAGTGAAAAAAGCCCCCACCCCTTATCGGAAACGGAACATGCGCGAATGTGTGATGCTGTATTTGAGTACACAAGTCGACTTGTATTGCTAGAAGTCCAAGAGACGACGCCGCGGCCTATATTGCAGGTAATCTGTCATGCTGTTTCCCACTTCCAGTTGCCTCCTGTCATCCTGGAGCTGCAAGGCTCTTCCCAGCTAGGCAGCCCTACAGTCCGCATCTTTTGCCTTCTAGCATCGCAAAGCTGATTTGTGGCCACAAATCTGCATCACAGATTTCCGCTTTGATATTTTGGGGAGGGGGCATTTTTCATGGTCATAGAAAAGAAGAAGTCCTTACGTGGTAGCGGTAACGCGAGGAGCAAGAAATCGAAGCGCGGGAAAAAATATAAAATGCAAAAATGTCTGGGTCTGGAAGATTCTGAGACTTGTCATGCACGTTTTGCATGGGCCATGATGTCTGTGATGCATGCCCTAGCATCACAGACATTTTCAGGGCTCTGCGATGGCTAAGTATTCCGCATGGCAAATGCCCTCACCGCGTAGCTAAAATTTTTGCATTCCCTTTGCTGCTTATGCAGATTTTTTTGGAATCCAAATGCAGCATCACAAGTTCGGACTCTTCCAGACCCAGACATTTTTACATCTGATAAAAAAAGCAGAGCGAGAGCTGACGACGAGGACGACGACGACGTGGACGGGGAGTACCACGTGTACCAGTATCATGATTATGACAACTATCGCAAGAAAAAAGTGTTACAGTTACACATTGTGTTGCAAGACCGGCAACACAGACAACCTTTCTCATGCAGGAAATGCTTAGGAGCCGCGTTTCCTTCCTGTTTTCCCTTATGATCTTCGCATTACAAGTTTTCTCTGTCACGACACAGAGAAAATTTGTGATGCAGAAACTCCAACAAATGTGTAACTGTAACACTTTTTTCTCACGATAACAACGACGGCGAGTGGGACTGGGAGCACCAGCTATGGAAGCGTCATGTTTGAAATCGCCAAAGTTGAAATAATCTGTGATGCATAAAATGCATAGCGCGAAATACGTGTGTTGCAGAGCAGGCAAGGGAGGCCGATTGTAAGCCTGTTTGGGGTTAGAGCTCGAGCTGCTAAAGTAGCATGAGAAAATCAGTCATCTTTGCCTAAACAGCATGACTAACTCCTGGATTTAGGCATCACCAAAATTTGTCATGCGCCGGTTGAAAACTGGGTTCCAACTGGCATCCATTTTATGCATCACAAACTATTTCAACTTTGACGATTTCAATCCTGACAGTTCCATACCACCGCCGGCACAAGCACTCTTTTCTGGAGCTCGAGGACGTATCCAAAGTTGTAACTTTCCCTCGATGTTGTACAAACGTAACGCGTGAACGTGATCTTCCATGTTCACAAACCTTTCCTTGAAACGTCTTCAGCATGACAAGTTGCTTCTTCTAGGTTGGGGAAATTTCTGATGCGATGTGTACATGTACGGGAAATTATTTGTATTGCATCCGACGAACACAGAGGCGACGAACTCCCGGGGACTGCCCCCGGGAGCTCTGGTACAAGTACGACAAGCAGCATATTATCCTGTGCAAAAGTATCGCGCTCGTAGGAATTGCAGTCATGCAAATCTTTTAATCTTGTTCTTCAGGTACATCAGCATTATTTTATGCTGAGGAAATTTGTAAATGCATCTATTTTTATACGAGTGCGATACTTTTGCAATTCATACAGCACGCCTGCGGGCAACATCGACGAGGCAAGGACATCAACTGGGGCTGGATCATCGACGAGGAGCACAAGTAGAGATGTCTTGTCGGCCGCCGGCGAAGGTGTCCAGATGGGTCCTCGTGGAACCACTATCAAATGCAAAAATTTCTGGGTCTTGAAGAATGCATGTTTGTCATGCTTTTCTGGCATGACTCTTAAATCTGTCATGCACGTTACCCAAGAGCCCCACTTTTCTGTCATGCAGAAACGCAGTCTGTCATGCAGAGTAGGCAACACCTAGATGAAGCTCAGAAACTTGTCATGCTGCGCCAGCACTGGTGGCCTCCCCATGATACGCCACGCAGCATCACAAGTTTCCAGACCCAGACACTTTCGCAATGCATAACCACATCAGCAGAACAACAAAAACCGTTCACCGCGTCCTTCCGGGGCACCTGGGCAGCGAGGCAGCATATGGATTGCAAAAATGTCTGGGTCTGGGGACTTGTGATGCTAAAATGTGGATGATGGAAACAGTTTCGAATGCCACCTAGCATGACAACTTTCCAGAACACTTTCTCATAGGTAATCCGCATGAGAAACTGCGTGCTTGCATGTACAAAAGAGGCTGGGACTCTTGTTGGTGAAAGCTAGCATTACAAGTTCCAACCTTCCAGATCCAGACATATTTGCATTTGATACAGCAGCGAAGCAGGCAAGAAGGTGGCCCCCGCGTGGGGGGAAATCATGGTGGAGAGCAAGAGCAACCCCCGACAACTACAAAAGCACAAGGTGGGGAGGTGGAGAGGACCAGCAGCGCAAGTTTCTTCAAAAACCTAAACCATCCGCAAGAAGAGGTGGAGCCGCTCATTTCAATTGCGGGAAATAAAACGGCCACGCTTCTCGACTACTTCCGCACGGTACTTGCATCTTCTCGAACCGGGGGTGCTCAACATCTTCTCTACTTCGTGGTCGTGGCCATGATCTTGCTCCTCATCCTCTTTCTGCTCCTGCTGGGCGGTGTGGCAATCCGCAACTTCATCTCGTGGAGAAACAATGCACGGAAGATAAACTTCTACCGGCAAGAACAAGAAGAAGACGAGGAGAAACTGAAACACCAGCACGCTGGCCACACAGGAACTACTACGAAGCGCTCCGTCCTCGATGCGGACGGAAAATCAACACGACCGGCGGAAAGAACACTAGCCAGCATGGGCGCAACGAAGATAACTGGAAACGAGCCGCTTTTCGCTGCGGCTTTCGTTGGCAACGATGGGGATGACCGCGAGGACGGGGATGAAACTGGAGGCGATCTGCACTACGAGGCGACAAAAGGAGCGGGATCGCTAGTATTCTGATTTCAAATCTTGTTTACACGAATTACTCAACACGATCACAGACGAATACATCGATCACAGACGAATACATCAAAAAACCGCTTAATAGTGCTACTTACTTACACTGTCGTCTGCAAAGAACTAATTGGCACAAATAAAGAACAAGAAGATAAAAAAGCGTACAAAATCCTAAAATTGAAAACAAAATTAAGAACGTTGTGTGAAGACATCTCGTCATTCTCATGTTTTGATCCACAATCTGTTGACCGTTATTACAGTTTCACGAATAACTTAAGCACGACTTTTAAATTAACAATTATCATTGTGTATCAACAAGCCACGACGTCGTCGAGACAGAGCTCCATTTTGATTTTGTAAGTAAAATACCGAGGAAGCACCGCCGTAAAAATCACTCAATATGAATAGAAATTAATTCGCATTCCGCCCCTTCACTCAAGAACTGAAAAAACGTAACTGACTCTGCTAAATACAACAGCAACGTGTGTATGATTAAGTACCCCGATAGAAAAAAAATTAATTAAGTATATTTCTACTACTAGCTACACCTACATCAAAAGGTTGAACTTGAACACGCTGTATAGTAGGAGCTCCACTTTGACAAAACTAAAAACCAATACGCGACGAGAGCTAGTATCGTTGTATAACACTCTCACTCTCTCACAACTAAAACGCGGCTCCTAAGAAAACAAAAATTAAGTTTTGATCTTCATTTTCCACTTTTCGCAAGTTAAGCGATGAAGCTTTCATCTGCTTCATGACGTGTCGCCAGCTTCAATATTAAAGCAAACTACGCAACAAACTTCTAGCAGTGGTTGCACGCGTGAGGTACTTGAACACTTCAACAAGCAATCGATAGATAGAAGGCACAGCCTTGCCTACCTCTTCACGCAACTCGTTAAAGAAGAAGTAGAAGAAAGAGATATCTTTGCAGCTAGTACTTGTTACAACCTCCAGAAGTTGTAGGACCAACGATGATAGAACGCAGGTGCTGACCACGAGAGATTCGCTTTCTCGAGTTGTAGCAAGACAGACTAGAAAATCAAAATATGAATAGCAGAAAAATTAATTCGAAGAAAGAAAGAAAAATCGACGGCAGAAAATAACAATAAACTTAGCGAACGATGAAGCTAGCACTTGTACAAAATAAAAGACCGCCAAGATCATCTATCTTCGAGATAGAACAAAGAAAATATGTTTGTTTGACTTTACAGCAGCGAATAGCAAAATTATAATTGCAGCGGAAGAGCTGCCTCTGCAACTGTATCGATGTAATAGTCAAAACGAAAAGCGCGGAACAAAATTGATAAGAAAAATAAGGCAAAATAACGAACCTGCAACTACAAAAATTACTCTGTACACCTACAACGATTTTCCTCACAGAGGGGGGTCGAAGATTGGATGAAAATAGAAAAATCGTCGAACATTCGCTGCTGCGGGTGTGTTGGAGAAAGTGCCGGCGAAACTGTTGTCGTGTGTTTGTGGCTGGTGCTACGTCGTGTCCACAATGTAGAGAGGACGTTGTTCATTCGTCACAGTGGCCTACAACCGGGACGATGACAAATTGCAATGGCCTTGTGCCGAGAACAATTATGTTGTTGAAAAATGGAGTTCATGGCACCAAAAAAATTGAAGAATTACATGATGATCTAACTAAACTTTCACTTTGTCTTTATTTGACTCTCGAAACGGTGTCTGCGCAAAACCAACTCCCTTCCTGGTGACGACTTCTTTTCAGGTACAGGTGTCAGTTCCCACATAATTTTTCTTGCGGCTCTCGGAGCTGCCACCCGCGCCTCGGCCTCGCTCCGTTGAGGGGAAATAAATCTGTGATAATAGTTGTAAACTCAGAGCTGTCTGTGGTCTATGCAAGGACGGTGCTCATCGGTTGTGCTACGGTTGTAAAAATAAATCTCTGCGAACTTCTATTATTAAGCCGGTTCTTTTTATCACCAAAAAAAATCTATCACGCAGTTTTAAAACGCCTGATCCCCATCAAAAATATGTCCTCGTCTTCGGGTTTTCTCGGCGACCTGTCGCCCGAGCAAAATGCGGCACTAACCGCATTTGAGGAGCTTGTCTTGACGGACAGGACGTTGCTGTCTTCTTGCTGCGGGGGACACGGCTCTTCGGAGAAGACGAAGAGTGGCGAAAGAGGAGCAAATAATAAGCCGATTCTGTGGCATATCCACCGCAAACCAAACCTGTATGGAATCTGCTGGGTCTGGCTGAAAAAGGAAAAGGTTGTAATTGACAGCCTCTCCTGCAATCATTCGTTACGTACTTCATCTATTCGGCCATTTGCAAACAAGCCAAGCATGATGCGTTTTGCTCCGATTTCCTATTTCGGTTCGCTGCAACAGGCTGCAAATCCATCGTACTCATCATGAAGAAAGTCGCAAGCTGGACGAAATTTTAATTTAGTATTCGCCGCTTTGTGTTGCGCAAGCACAGCAGACTCAGTGAAGGACCACATGCCGAGTTCTTTAGAATGTTCCATATAACAATGCGATTTGAGCGAAAAGTCCGATTCCCGTGACATCATTTTCCTGAAGTTCCTGCGGGCAGAGGAGTTTCAGGTGGAGAAATCCTTTCAGCGATTCAAGGACACGATGCAGTGGCGTGTGGAAAACGATGTGGACGGTCTAGCGGAAGCGCATCTCCCGGAACAGTTTCTATGCATTGCAAAAGAAAAATCGTACTTACTAGTTCTAGTAAATTTTCTTCGATTTCCTCCGCATGCTCCTGAAAAATGAAATTTGTTTAATCTGCGGATTTACCTCAAAAATAAGATAGAGATTTGCAAATGCAATGCAGGACTGTATATTAGTTTTAGCATGAGCACGATACTAGTTTATTTGCAATGCATAGTTTCTAAACCACGATATTTTCTATGGATTTGACATCACCGGGGCGAGCACCGTGGGAGGCGAAAGTGCCGCTGCTCCCGCTGGCACGACTGGTGGAGCCAGTATTCGTACGCAAGAACACAAATTCATTTTCACCGCACACGACGGCGCACCACAAAAGGAAAAATAAAAATCAAAATGCATCGAGCTGGCTAGGGGCCAAGAACGCTCGCGATGAATAAATGCGACGTTATGAAGGAAAACAAAAAGCACGCAAGTTGCGTGCGGTGAAAAAAACACATTTTTTGTTTTTGTCCTCTATAATGCGGCACGACGAGGCGAAGCCGCGGCCGATTTTGAGCTCACACTTCGGAAACATGGATTTGCAGAAAGTGTTCGGAAACACCGACCTGTTTGTTAAGTACCGGGTGGCCATAATGGAGCGAGCGATCATATGGATGCGTCAGGATTGAAATCGACAAAGTTGAAATAACTTGTAATGCATAAAATGGATGAAACTTGTAACCCAGTTTCTAAGTGGCGCATGACAAATTTGGGTAGAGCCGAAATCCAGTTTATATATCATGCTGCTTGGGTAAAGAAGACGCCTGCTGTCGTGCAACTTAGGGAGCAGCTCAGTTTCTATACCTCAACAGGCTTGCTTGCCTCGATTCTATGCCTCTGCCTCACTTGCCTACTCTGCAAGACAGGCACTTTGTGGGGTGCATTTTATATATGCATGACAAACTATTTCAACTCTGGCCACGATTTCAATCCTGACTCTCCCATAGGTCAAGCGGCTGTTGCCGTTCCAGCGGGGCAAGGCGGAAACGTTGTTTCAAATTCACGACTACAAGGACTGTCCTGTTATATCCTGTGCAAAAGTTTTTGTACCATCGTACTCCTAGTCGTTGTACAACTGATGGCAAATATTATGCTGGGTCGTGACTTCTACGCTAGCCAGCTTATCACGCATGTTGACCGAAGTTGTGATGCGATTTCTACTACAACTAGTACGGTACTTTTGCAATGCATCCGTTATTTTCAAAGACAGATCCGTGGACCAGGGTGTGAAGGCGATTTCGAAAATCCTGGGGGACCACTACCCGGAGTTCAAAGGGAAGACGTGCTTCGTTAACTTCCCCGACATTGTGGCCCTAGCCTGGAAGGCGGCGGCGTTGCTGCTCGTCCCCGAGAAAACTGCAAAGAAGCTGGCGTTTTTGGGCAAGGGAGACTTGCTCCCGCTGCTGGACGACGTGCCGGCGCATGTACTCTCCAGTAAACTCGGCGGGCTGGTGGAAATGAAGAACGTGGGAGTTTCACCCGATGGGGCGGAAGGTACTTGTTCATGAATATTGGAGATAAAGAAGATACAACCTCCTATTTTTGCCATTTTTATTTTTCCGTCGCTTTCAGTTTCATCGGATGCCATGTGTTGATGCTGACTCCCGATGAAAACTTGATAACGCTTCATGTCACGAGTTGGATATAACGCATGCGACAGCTAGGCACTGACCGCATTTGCATCACAAAGAGAAATGCTCGCTATTCTTCATCACCTTTGAGCGAAATTTGAGGGATTCTGAATAAACAACTCTTGATGTTACGACAGCAACCCCTTCGACCTTGTTCGATCTGTCCAAGACTCCACGTCCCGTCTCCGGCACCATCGAGCTGAGCGCGCGGAGCGGCAGACTGACCATCCCACTACGGCGGGGGCAAACCTTGTATCTCCGACTGCGGGCCGCTTTCGACAAGGATTCCGTCCGCATTTCCGGGTTTTCCTGGTCGAGGTGCGACCGAGCCGGTGAAATAACGCAGGAAGATGCCGTTTATGACCTGCACAGGCGTTGCAATATCTTCTCAAGCGTCACACTACAAATGAAAATTTGTAGTGATGCAAAAAGTGCATTATCTAGTTCTAGCGTAGCTCACTGTTAGTTACTGCCACAGGATTGCGCATGACAAGTTTCGGAGCTCCAAACCGCATGAGATGACTTTGCATTTTTGCAGAGAGCGGAGCCCTCATGATCTGTGGGTTTCTGATGCTGCTCGTGCAAAACAAAATCCGGACGTTATATATTGTAACGCTTGAGCTCCTTGTAACACCTGTCGAGGTCATACCGCCCCGCAGAGTTTTTTCGAAACCGCTATGAATTGCAAAAGTATCGTACTCGTAGTAATTGCAAACATGCATTACAAATTTTGAACTTAAGCTAAATCCGCATTACAACTTTTTTTTCTCATGCTGAGGAAATTTGTCATGCATTTATACGAGTACGATACTTTTGCAGTTCATAACCGCGCTGCAACATCAAGATGCCGGGTCGCTCTCCGAGCTTTCTCTCGTCGATATCACAAGAAAAACTGTTAATAAACGTTAACAGTTTTCATAGATTGCAGTCATGCATCACAAATGTAGCCCAATATGCCTGCTATGCATGACAAATTTTGGCGCGTTTAATTAGTGATGCATTGCTGTATCACAAATTCCGTCAACGTTAACACTTCTTCCTGTGATAGTCGACCCAGTCACCTTGCTCGACGGGCGAAAAATATTTTTGACCGGAGAAAACTATCCCAGGTGCAAAAGACAAGTATCGTCCGATTACAGCAGCTTGTACAAATCGCAGTCATGCGACATCATGAAAGTCTGAAAGGTAAGTACGTTTCTTGACCTGAATCTGCCGCACGAGTCAACATTCTGAAGAACTTTGTCACGCGAGAATTTGAATTTGTACTACTGCTAGTAGAGAAGTACGATTCTTTTGCCCGTCTGCATAACTAGCTCGACGGTTCGCCGAGAAGGAGCGACAGTGTCAGCCTCTTTTTTTCTGACCTGAGTACGTTCGGGTTGAGCAGGAAAGTCATCGTTTACGCGTACCAGCTTTTTGACGACTTGAATTTCTCCTCCTGACGCCGGCGGTTCTGCTAGACGGAGCGGTACTAGCTGTTGCCCTTTTGGACGACATCTTCAAGTCTGTTTGCGACCGTGGAAGAACAAGAGCAAGAACAACCTCCGCAGCAGGACGGAAAAGTTTAATATGTGCGACAACTACTACCACGACCAGTGTGAGGATCATCTCAACTGACCGGCTCGTCTTGTGTTGCAGCTGGCTGCGGCTCTTGCTCCGTTCTACTGCTGGTTTTAGTCATCTAAACTGCTTTATTTCTTCTTTTACTTCGGCGAAGAAGATGATGAGCTCTTTTCCTTATGTGCTGGAGATGGCCGGGGCGGATGCGGGGAGTAAAGAGATCACGCAGATGAAGATAACACCAGCACCAGGGGATGATTGTGATGTTTTAGGGGACGTCGACGAAATCAAAGAGCTTGCTCCGGCGCATCCAACTCTGGACCTCGTCGTGATGTGCAGTAGAGCTAGGTTCCAAGCGCAGCCGCTCCATAGCGACGGAGACCATCAAAGGAGGTTACAGCCGATCTCTCACTTTTCTCGAGTTGTATTTTTAACCACGAGCTTTTTCGGCACGCCGGCCGGATTGGGATTTCCATTACTGTTGCGTTGGAGGTAGAAAAGAAATCTTTCATCGTGGATACGACTGTCGATTATGTTCTTTTTGTCTGATGGATTACGATTATCATCTGGAGCAGTGTTGAACTTCTCGTGCTGTCAAACTCAAATTAACGATGGGTTTCCTCTGCGGAAAGTCAAAGAAGTTCTTTCTGGACTTCTCCGATTTTACTCACCTACTTTCTCAAATAGTAGAATTGCCCTTCAGAAGATTATCCGACTTCTTCGAAAAACAAGAAAGGACGATGGCCTCAAACTCAATACCACGCGGCTTGATGAAGTAGATCTGCACGACGACCGAACAAGCCCCGCTTTTCTCATTTGAGCAGCTTGCCCAGAGTATTGCACTAGAGAAGTTCTTGCGTGTTCTCGATGTAGACTCAAATATAGTTAGAAGAAGACGAAAAAAAACCTTACTTCCATTCGGTCACACTTTTCAGATCTCAGTCACCAACTGCCTCCTGCTGGTACAGAGAAAGTCATGTGCCGATGTAGAAGAAGTCCCTTGCCTTATTGCCTGTCCTTGTGTTTGTGGACTTCTTGAATTTGGGCAAATAAAAGTGCGATATCACTCTTCGGTCCGTTCTAACGTGCAAACGAAAAGGACTACTTAAGGAGCCTTGATTACGTCGGTACTTGCTAGAATGTCGAGAGAAAATGACTCTTTGATATAGAGTCTAAAAATAAAGGTAAGTAAAACTCAAATCAACAATCAGTGTCGGTTGTCATTCGTCCAAAAAAAAACTAGAGTCATTTGTCAACATTTTCGTGCGACCAGAGCTTGAGCTCAATTTTCGTCTTCGTCTCATCGTTCTACTACGCACATTGTCTGGTAATATGGTAATATCGTCCACTGAAGCTGATGGCACATGTGAAATAGAATCGTCCGATACGTTTTGCAATGTCTGCTCCAGGTTACAAGTCCCTGCTCAAGATCGATATCACCAGTTGTACCCCCTACTTACTTATTTTAATCAAGAAGGTCGTTCTTCTTCTTCTATTTTCTATCACGTATTGAATAACTCCTTGTAACAATCTGTCAAAGCACCATGCCGCAAAATGCAACAAGAACTCCTGTGCGATTAGAACTACTCCAACTTCATGGCTGTTCGACCACATAAAAAGTGAAAGAACAAAACAAAACTAGTCCCAACCCGTCTATACTTTCCGCCTCTAGTACTTCTTTATCCTCTTTGCCAGCTTTGGACTTTTACTTTTTCACAAAAACATCAGGACTTCTTCATCAATAGTCTTTTGTCGCAAACCACAATATTATGGCGGACCAGGACGGGAACCCGTTGCAGGGGGACGACCTGACGACCAGCAAGAAGCGAGGCTCCACTATGAAAAAGAAAAATCCCCCCTCCCCATATCAAAAGGAAGTTTCATCTCATGCTGGATTTGCGTACACAAATCAGGTCTGTCTCGCAGTAGGGGACTGCAGGCCCATACCAAGCCTAACCCTAAGTAGAAGGGTTTTGACGTAGGCTCGTAGCATGGCAAATATGTTGTACTCTGTAGGCCCCGTAGCATCACAAACCGCCCGCACAATGTGGCGGAGTCTCCGGAGCCGGCGGATTGGCCTTCTTGCAATACAGAGACGACTTGTGGCCACAAATCAGCATCACAAATTTTGAGAAGTGTGAGTGCCCCTTTTTGGTATGGGGAGGGGGGATTTTTCCTCACGATATCCACCCAAAGCGTGAAGACCATCCCGAAGCAGGGGCACGATTTTGACGGCGAGTCCCCGGTGCATTTTTCTTCGAAGGTCTACCAGCTATGCATTGCAAATATGTCTGGGAGGGCTGGAAGGAAGGATGCAACTTGTGATGCTGGATTTGGACTCTAGATAAATCTGTATTGCATAAACAGCAAAAGAGGTCCAGTTTTTGCCACGGCGAATGGGCATTTCTCACGCGGTATAGGCATCAGGAAGCCCCCACAGAATCTGTGATGCTAGGGCATGCATCACAGACATCAGGGGTCATGCAAAATGTGCATGACAGTCCAGACCCAGACATATGTGCACTTGATACCAGCCGCCCACGCCCAACTTGACCCCCCGGTCGGACATCGCGGCGGAGCCACCCCCGCACGAACTATGAGAGTGCACAACTCCCCCTGCTTCCCCTCATTTGTATTGCATGAAGAGCAATACAAGCGTCAACAAGAGTACACGTTTTGCATGACAGATTTGGACAGGAGTGTAGTTCTATTTGGACTGCCAGAACTTGCCATGCAGATAGAGCCAAGAGGCAAGACGTAAGCTAGGTACTTTGCATGACAAATCAGGGGGAGCGGAGTTGTGCACTCTCATACGAACCATGGAAACTGGAGAAACAGTTGCTGGTCATCTACGGAGCCACTAGCCGGACGGGGCAGTGGATGGTCCGAAACGCGCTGCAGTCCGGGATTTTTAGGGTAATAAGACACCTGGCGTTGCAAAAATGAATGTGAAGTAGAACAATCTTCATGTAGAAGGGCTGTGGGTGACACCCACAGCTAAGGGCAATCTTCAATAGTGCGCAGGAACTGTAAAACGAACGGTCCCGCTGTCATCGCTCTCAGCCCAAACTACATTATCTCCGTTAAAGTCAACATTAATGAGTTTGTTTTTTTTTTTTCATGATTCTCGTTCTTGTCACGATCTCCTTCTCCATGAAACAAGAAGATCATGCAGCAAAGAAACAAGCCGTAAAAATTCATCACCTGAATAGGTCCGCGCCTTTTGCCGCAGCAAGGACAAGCTACAACAGCAGCAGGAGGAGCTGGACAAGAAGCCGCCGGGCTACGAGCCGCCCAAGGTGAAGACCCGTGCGCAGTTGCCCGGGCTCGACGACATCTTATGAACTGCAAAAGTATCGTACTCGTACAAATGCATTACAAATTTCCTCAGCATGAGAAATAAAATTTGTAATGCAGATTTACCTTGACAAAAAGATTCGTAATGCATGATTGCAATTATACGAGTACGATACTTTTGTACAGGATACATCTTGTTCGGAGCGCATTTAGAGGAGGAGCGCCCGCAGAATTGCAGTATGGGACTCTCAAATCGGTTACCTTCTCAACTGTTACATGAATTTGTCATGCAAAAGTACCTTAAGCCGGCAGATGATCAACCTGCTTCGCATGACAAATTTGGGAAGGGCTAAACAGGACGTAAATCTGTGCCAAATCTGTGATGCGAAAGCAGCATCTTGCCTCAGCCTCTTCGGTTGTTCTTGCTGTTCTTGCATTACAAGTTCATGTAATAGTTGAGAACGTGACGCTTGAGAACGCCATATGCAGCCGGTCGGTGGTGGACAAAATCACCCCGGACTGTCTGGCTATGCATTGCAACAAATGTCGATCTGGGTCTGGATTTGTGATGCGAAATTTGAAGGACAGCAAGGATTTGTGATGCATGAGTGCGATAATTAGCCACGCCAGTTTTTTGTCATGCGAAGCCAGTCTCTCGCATTGGTTGCAAATGAATCTGTATCTGCAACAAGCCTGGTGAAACTAACTTCTCATGCTGATTATATGCCGTAGTACGGGTGGGTACAACAACTCTGTGATGCGAGGGTCAGCAACACAAATCTGACGACCCGGACACAACATTTTTTGCATTGGATGCTGGCCATGCCGGAACTCCTGGAAATCATCGAGGGCGACATTACGGACGTGGAGAAGGTGCAGACGACCATGCGCGACGCCAACTACTGTGCGATCCTGGTGAAGCCCGACGTGATATCACCTGTAAAAATGTCTGGGTCTGGAAGAGTGCAAGTTTGTCATGCTTGTCTGGCATGACTCGAGAATCTGTGTTGCATAGCCACGAAAAGGCCCTCTTACCTGTCATGCAAAAACGCAGTTTGCCATGCGGAATACGTAAGACATGGCAGCCAAAAAATTTGTCATGCATAGCTGCGTATTGCAGTGCGTTTATCATTCACTTTTAGCATTACCGACCCAGACACTTTTGCAGTTCATACGTGACCGGAAAAACCAAAACCTGCACGGAGGCGGAGTACCTGCAATTCATCGCCGCCGTGGCGGACTGCTATGAACTGCAAAAGTTTCGTACTAGTATAAACCAGCCATGCTCCGGCTGCCGCCGGAGCGCAAGGCTGTTGGGCCGGGGCAAGACTGCTTGCCGATCGGACCACAACCCCACGGGCCTATGCAAAACGAAACATACTGGATTCCTGCCCCCGGTTTGCGCCGCGCCAACCCTCAGGACCACTTGCGCGCTTCCCGCGCCTGTAGGCGCTCTGCGCAGGGAGCAGCTGCAAAGAACAACGGGGGCGAACAGAAGCCGCCCGACGGGAGAGGGTAGCGCGAGAGGGTGGCGCGGGAGGGTGGCGCGAGAGGGTGGCGCGAGAGGGTGCGCGAGAGGGTGGCGCGAGAGGGTGGCGCGAGAGGGTGGCGCGAGAGGGTGGCGCGAGAGGGTGGCGCGAGAGGGTGCGCGAGAGGGTGCGCGAGAGGGTGCGCGAGAGGGTGGCGCGAGAGGGTGGCGCGGAAAGGCGCCGAGCCAAACAAGTCCGCGAATGGCCTGCAATGCCAAATATGGGTAGCACCATGCGGATTCGCGCCCGCTTCTTTGTGTTTTTACCCTCTCGCAGACCTCTCGCAGACCCTCTTTTTGACCTCTTTTGGGGGTCCCCGCTAATAGTCCGGCTATACTCGCGGGGAGAGGTCGACAGAGGTGGCCGAGAGGTGGCCAAGAGGGTCCGCGAGAGGTCGCCCCTTATTCGCGCAACCTCTCTCCACCTCTGTCCCCCTCTCGCGCCCCCTCTTTTTGACCTCTCTGCACCCTCTGTGCCACTTAGGCGGCGCCTAAGGGTGGGCGCTTACTGCGGGCCTTATTCGCGCACCCTCTCGCGCACCCTCTCGAACGGGGTCCCGCGCCACCTCTCCACCTCTGTCGACCTCTTTTCTACCTCTGTCGACCTCTTTTTTACCTCTCGGCCACCTCTCTGGGACCCTCTGTCTACCTCTTTTTTCGCATGAATATAATGTATAGTAATAGCATGACATCAAATAATTCCCTCGGCATTAGAAATGGAATTTGTAATGCTGTTTTACCTTAGGAAGAAGATCAAGATTTGTCATGCGTACGAGTACGATCTTTTTGCACTGCATAATTGCTGCCGCAAACCCATGTGCAGCGGGTTGCGGAAATTATACGTGCAATCCCACGCCGACCTCCCGGAACCCGCTGAGGAGGTCCCGGAGAAGGGGGACCCCAAAATCAAGGCGGTCACGGGCCTGAAAAAGGAGGAGGCGGAGGCCTTGTTCAAAACCATGGTCTTTCTCAAGCGGATATGCAATACAAATTTCCCGTACATGTACAAGATGCATCACATTTGGAGTGTAATAAAACTTGTCATGCTACACTAGGAAAGAAGACAAGTGTTGCCATGCAGCGACCGCGTTTGCACGTGTACGGGAACAAATTTACTGTGGATAAAGGGAGTGCAAGGACCTGCCCTGGTTCTGCTCGCGCGCGTTTCCGCTCGTGGAGGGGCCGACGGCGTGGAAGCAGGTGAACAACGTGATCGGGTTTCCGCCCGACAAGAAGCCGCAAAACAAGGGTATGAAATTCTCCGGCATAGCGCAGTGGTCGCTGCTCATCATGCAGAACAGAACCCTGTGGATAAGACAATTTCCCTACATGGGCTACGGGACCGACCATCTGCAGTACTACCAGACGGGGGAAAAGGCGCTCGCGGAAATGGAAGAAGCCCCGCCCGGGGCCACGGACGCCGAAAAGGCAAAATTTGGGCTGGTGTGAGAAACAACAAATTTATTTCGAAGTAAAGGACAGTCGACGTCGTGGTCTTTTCCTTCACACCTCCCATGATGAAGAAGGCCCGGATATAGAGATCAGCCTACTGCAATCAAATCGACGAAGTTCCCCCTTTTACTAACTTCTATCTACCAGTACTAGTGCAGTGTGCTTGCTTTTTTACCTATTGCTATTGTAGTCGTATCTATCAGGAGCTGCGCCAGCAGGGTCGACCTCCTGTTAGACGGAGCCTTCTTCTACACCAGGGGTTCCTATGCAAGGAAGAGCAAAAGGAGCGGGCTGCTACTGATGTGGACGAGGCGGAAGGAGCAGGTCGTGTTTCTAGTGAAAATCACAATTTGCAGCTTCACCTGTCTAGATTATCGCAGCTCGCAGGGACGTCGACAGTGCTGCACAGTCGCATGTTTTTCGCGAATTTCAGTGTACACAGACACACGTCGTTGAAGCCCCCATCAGGCTTAACATTCTTCCCTGCTCTTATTGTTATTTGAAATAAAATCATGTAACATGGTTTCATCGAGCGCCAGCGCCACCGCTAGTCCTATATTTAAGTAAAGTTTTCCGCGCGAGAAGAACGAGAAGCACCTCCATGATCCAGAAAGGGGAAACTACAAGCTCCGCGATTCAACATCTTGATTCGACTACAATCCGCTTTCAGATATAGCATAAAAGCATGTTTTATTTTCCTCCTTCCCCTCTCCGTACAACTAGAACTGCTCAACAAAGCACCACGTTCCTGTGAGAACACCAAGAAGTAGAGTACGTGTAGTAGTAGATCGACGCAGACGCTTTTTTTTGTATCACACTCATTTTTAGTTTTCAAGAAAGCTCTATTTAGTTTATGTTTAACCGCCCTAAGTGTGCGATGTTACAGTAACAGTATTAGACGAAGTACATTTGCAAGGACATTAAAAGGCTTATGGTTGGTAGTTGAAAGAAACGGAAATGCGACCACTGCTCTTTCCGTCATTGCAAGAAGCAGGACTGCTCGTAGTTCGATTTCTTTGAATCATCTGTCGGGAAAAAATCGTAAATTGCTCGTCGATGGTTCTGGGTCTGCTTGCCCCGGCTCTGTTGTTGTAGTGGTTCTACGTCTTGTTCGCAAACTACACAGCTCGTCTTGTTGTTGATACGTGAAGATGTCATCGTTGTATTAACAATGCCAAGGTACGACGACCACGCTAGGTGTCGTTGGTCCGGAGACCTCGCGGAGTGAGTCATCTGTGTCGGTCGTGTTTCCCTTTGCGCAATGAAGCTATGCGCAGAAGATGAATCTGAATTCTTGTTGAAAACAGCAAATTGAAATTTGTGTTGTTGAAGCGCGTAAGTAGCTTCTTCATGGAGTGCGAGTGGCTTGACCTACACGGGGAACTTCAACTACTCCGCCAGGTGCAAGAACATGCTGCTGCAGGAGCACACCTGTTGCGGCCGGCGCAACAGTTCTGAAGATCTCCACCTACTACATTATACGAACGTTGGACCATATATTTTTGTCCACTACAACTGGTTCTCGGCTCGTGGTTGTGCGCGCAAAACTTTCTGAGTAAACAATAAATACAGTAAAACTTCTACAGAAATTCGTTGTAGTCGCGAGTGTGTTTTTGCACAAGCGCCGTCAACATGGATTGCGGTATCGTGTCCATAATTTTTTGACTATGTTCCTCTGAGGTTGATGGCATTTTGTCAGAAAACCAGGCAGGCTTTCGCAGTTACCGGCGGGCGATAGATAATACGCTGGCGCTACGGATCGCGATCCAAAACCACAAAGAAAAAGGCGGGCAAGGAAATGCGCGCGCTTTTCATCGACCTTGCGCAGGCGTTCGATACCGTCCCGCGCACGCTAATCGCGCAAGCGATGCAGCATTACGAAACGCCGCAACACACGCGGGGCCGGTTTTGGGCCCTGTACGACGGGCACAGTTTCGCGGTAAAAAGGGAGGGCGAGCACAGCAGCAAAACCGAAACCAAAACAGGCACAAAACAGGACTGCCTGCTGTCTCCGTTGATTTTCAACTTGTGCCTCCAGTACGTTTTAGATAGAGTGGACTTGGGGGAGGGGCTACACTTTACGCGCGGCAGACTCCTGGACGCAAGCGAAAGCCTGCACACCATGCAGCTAGGCCATCTTCTGTACGCCGACGACCTTGCAGCTTTTTCGCAATCTCTAGATGAGCTGAAAGCCACAACAAAAACCCTTTGCGAAAAACCCGCGGGCTTCGGGCTGCAGGTGAACTTCAAAAAAGCGAAGCTCATGAGTTTCAACACGCCGCACGACCAAAGCGTAGCGGTTTTAGAAGTAGAAGGAAGTAAAATCGAGCGGGTCCCCGAGTTCTCGTACTTGGGCTCGCTCATTTCCGAGGATGGCCTGGACGAAAAGGACACAAAGCAGCGGATACAACTAGCGCAAAAGAAGTCCGGCGAGCTGTCGAAGGTCTTCAACAGCCGCAGCCTCGCGCCCGCTCGCACTGAAGGTCCGCACTTTGAACGCTTTCATATACCCGGTCGTGGCCTGGGGGTGTGAGACATGGACTTTGCGACAAAGCGACGAGCTGGCGCTCAACACGTGGCGGAATAAAAAGCTGCGGCATTGCTTGGGAGTAACAAAATCCGATCACATAGAAACAAGCAAAATCCATTCCAAACTGCAAGAGCGGCCGCCCGCGCTCAGAAAAAATCCGCGAGCGCCGGCTGCGCTACTTCGGCCACGTCGTGCGCTACCCACCAGATGACAGGTGGACAAAAGTAATGCTTTCCGCGACAGTAAAAAAGACCCAACGCGGCCAGGCCGCAACGACGACGTGGATAGCAGAGATCAACAAAAATTTGATCAAGAAAAGGGCAACAGTTCGCGACTGCCTGGATAGAATCCTCTGGAGAGACATAACGCGCGGAGTGCGCTACGGCGCCGCAGGATCAGTAGTCCCTGCCTCTTCTGCATCTTCGTCATCGTCTTCATCTTTATCATCTTCCACTACTACCACGACTTCTAGATCAGCAGCAGCTATGTAGTACCTCCCAAACCACAAATGACAGCAACAGCTTCAACTACAGAAATAGTTCTACTTTGTCATCATCGTCGTCCTCTTCTTCTTCTTCTTCTACATCAGCAGCGCAATCTTTTCAATCGATCTCAGCAGCAGACAGAGTACCAATCCAGGCGATAATGAGAATGCAGGGCCGTAAAAGGATATTCTGAGGCGAAAGCGCCGAATAGAATAAATTCATCATGTTCCTCTGAGGTGAACCTGAACGAAACCCGCGTGGTCGCGCATCATGTTCTTCCTGTCGAGGCCGTTTGCGCCGCTCAGGAGGATTGTACTGCTGGGAACAAGTTCTCGCAGCTTCTTTTGCAGCCTACTACTAGTCGTTGTAGAAGTTGTTCCGGGCCTCCAACAACACGTCGACGACAGCTCTACCTCAAATGCCACAGCGACAGCCGCGACCGCCGGAGCATTTGGAGAACAACTTCTTCTTCACGATCACGATATCAATTGCGGCGCTCCTCTCACCCTGACCAAGTCGAAGACTGCCCGCATGCAGTCTCTGTCGGGACACGCGGAATCTCTGTTGCTGGTAAAACTCAAAAGAAGTAGCGCGGAGATGAACAACAAAAATGAATCGGGGCTCGACGTCTCGTCCACCGCGCCGGCGCAGGTCGCTCACCTTCACAACAACCACAAGCAGCGACCACTTTCGACGAGGCCGATTCGAGTTCTCCAGATTGGTTGCAACCTGGGTGTGGAAGTGCTATTGGCGATGCGGGCTCTTAGTGACGATAGCACGTTGCCTGAAATCCTGAAAAAATACGTCGAATTCGGCAAGAAGCACCATCAAGAAAAAGGTCTGGATGAAACAGCTACCAGTGGTTCACCTGAAGACGAAGAAGTTGTAAAACTTGGCTCTCCGTATGTGATAACTTCGGTGGACGAGCTGGAAGCCGGGGCAGAGTTTCTGGACCGGTATTCAAATTCATCTCCGAGACACGTTGGGGAAGGTGAAGACAAAGATGAAATAAATCGCGCTAGTACTGCTGGTATGCAGCAGGAGCAGCCGCAGCCCGAAGGAATTTGCGTGGAGCCCTTGCCTTCCAATACTCGGTTCGTAACAGCGTTTCTGGAAGAAGTGAACAACAGGAAACAAGCAACTGGTGCTGCGTCTTCCACCTCGTCGCCCTCCTCCTCCTCGTCTTCACACGGTGCAACTACTAGCAGAACTCCCTCTGCTCGCTGGAGCGAGACCACGAGGAAAAAAAACCTGAACTTCTCCGTTTTCCGTGCGGCGGTTTCCAACGAAGCTGGGTCCGGCATCTGGCGCCAGTATGCAATACAAATTTCCCGTACATGTACGAAGATGCATCACAAATTTCACCAATTTAGAGCGTAAAACTTGTCATGCTAAATTAGGATCGAAGGCAAAATTTGTCATGCGGAGACCGCATCTGTACGTGTACGGGAAATTTACTGTGGATAGCCAGTGGCCCAACAGCACGCGGTACGCCGGGCAGCAGGATCTGCATATCGGGTCCTGTCTCGACTTTCGTTCCCGCTCGCCGAAAGCGCTATGAATTGCAAATATGTCCGAGTCTGGAAGATTGCTAGATTTGTCATGCTCGTCTAACATGACGCGGAACTCTGTCATGCGTGGGTGCAATGCAAAAAAATCGATGTGTCTGAGATGAAAAAGCGCACTCTGCCATGCGGAATACGCTACACATAGCAGCTCAAAAACTTGTCATGCTTGGCCACGTATGACAGTGTGCCCACTATTCCCTGGTTTGCAGCACAAGTTTCCAGACCCAGACATTTTTGCATTTGATAAGCACTCCAGCGGTACGAAAGTTGTGCGCGCGCTTCTCACAATCGCGTGCCGACGCACTCCGCCGTGGAGATGCTCCAAAGGCTGAAGCGGATGCGGAAATTAGAAGAGAGGACAGATGAGGTGGAAAACAGTCTAGTTGTAGCCGGACGAGATGAGGGCGATCATGTTGATGGAAAAAAACCAAAAAACACAGCGGCGGTTGTGTCGGACGGATTTGCGGTGGATCTCCTCCGCATTGACACCGAGGGGTATGACCCTATGAATTGCAAATAAAGTATCTGTATGGTACTCGTATTGCAATCATGCATTACAAATTTTTTTCTTAAGGTAAATCCGTATTTCTTATGCTGGGGAAATTTGTATATGCATTTATACGAGTACGATACTTTTGCTATGCATAGACCCTGCTGTGCTGCAATCCCTCCGGGAGGACAAGACCCGGCTGCTAACAAAGCTGGTCCGCTTCCTGGTGTTTGAGAAGCATACGCGAGGCGTCTGGGAATACACGACCTTGGAAAGAGAAACGAAACTCTTGTGGGAGGAGGCGGGATTTTATGGAGTTCTCAAATGTTACATTCTCAACTGTTACATGAATTTATAATGCAAGACAGGCAAAAGTGAAAGGAGGAAGATTGCGCCTTCTGCATTACAAGTTTGGCGCAGATTTAGGCGCGGCTTAGCCCTTCGCAGATTTGTCATGCGGAGCAGCTCGATCGTGAGGATGATGATGGTGTTTTTGCATGACAAATTCATGTAACAGTTGAGAGTGTAACGTTTGAGAACCCCATAGATTTCGCTGCTTCATTGTGGACGTGGTTGATAGTGCAGGAGCAGCTGTTGTATCTACTTCTTTGTCGGAGGATGATGAAAATAATGATGTTCCTCCTGCTCATTCGACGTCCCCAGCAGAACCAGAACTGAGGGTCTACGCGTTGTCTCCGAGCCCCTGCTGGCATGCGTGTTATGAGGGTACTAATAAGATGAAAAACCGAGAGGACCACAGTAGTTGTCCGGAAAATGTCCCGGTAGTGCCGGCGGTGGAAGATATTTTTTGCGTCAACCGGCGGGACCACGCTTGGTCGGCGGTGATGGAGGACCTGTTGCTTCGTGGAATGGAACATCAAGCCGGGGATGTAGGTGAAGGGAAGGGAAGAAAAGTATAAACTTCCAACAGCGTTGTTTTCTCTGGGGATAGAACAATCGTATATTATGGTTGGCGACCACACAGCGGTGCGCTTGATATTGATTACACCGCGCTCAGTGCTGTTAGTTCTTCAGAGAAGCTACATCTGGGAGCGATCCCGATCCTCGCGTCGATGGCGACCATAAGGATTATACGACCGCTCTTGCAGTGGTTCGTCTCCCCTTTGTTGGAAAAAAGCAGAAAGACGGAAGTCGTGGTCGCAGATAGTGCTGTGGTTGGCGTATTGAATTCATATTAATTGTCATTAATTGTCGTTAGAAAGAAGCGTTTTCGTTCAGATCGGTTTCGCACAAGTGATTTGCAGATTGCACGAGTAGTTTGAAACGTTTATAAAATGAGGATGATCTTTGCTCGATTCATCGATCTTGCAGCTCTTCGGTTCAACTTCAATCCAGGATCTTCAGCCTCAAATGTTTGCTTTCGTTCAAGTATAAACGACCAAGGAAGATGAAAACGGGAAAAAAGTTCTTCACATAAATCGGTATAAAAGTTCTTCAAATGGCGACTGCATAATCCAAGGATCCATCTCGTCGGAAATAAATTCGATCGCCGATAATTCTATTGTGCGAGTATACTCTTATTCGAAGGCCTTGCCTCGATCAAGCATGGGTGCCCAAGCATCTGTATAGAAATAGATGTTGAAATACAGGCAGTAGAATTCATTTCCATCAGGAGCGATTGACGCCATTAATCAAAAGAGAGATATCCTTATCCCCGGGTTGTAAAACCCTTCGTCCACCAAGTCAAAGTCTCTCATCCTTCTGCTTTTTTACTTTATTTTGTTGCATTGGGAGCGAATCTGATCTAGCGCACAGAATAAGTATTCTATGCAAATTTTAATTTTCTTCTGGCCTGGAACGAACAAATCATTTTTTTGTAAAAAAAGCAAGACTACTTTGTTTGCTACTAGTACTACGAAGGACTACTACTACAATTCAAACTCTGAACCCACCGATAGTTTTCGGAGGCGTCTCCGTCTGCGCTTTTAGTTACAGTGGAAGTCGAATGGTGGCTACCACGAGAAATAAGTTGCCTGGCGGGGTCATGCTCTCGGCCCTGGCCGTGTTGGGAGCCGCGTACAACTTTGCGCCCGGCTTTGTGAAAGGCGTCGGCTTGCGCCCGGCCGGCTCGACGTCTAATGCAGAAGACCCACAGGAGTGGATCCGAGTACGTGTTGGACTTGGCGGAAGTAAGGAGCCAAAGACCTTACTTAGGAGCCTCGACGGTTCTACGGCGGCACAAATGCTGCACGACTGGGCTTCGGGGCTGGTACCAGCAAAGGACAAGATCGTTTACGGCTGCAGCTCTACATGCGAAACGGTAACAATTGATAGTTTAGTGCAGGGTCGTATGAGGAACAAGGAGTTGGGCGCTATCCTCCCGTCCGGTATTGAGGAGATTCAGTTAGTCGCTGGAAGCCCGGACTTGTTTGAGGAGATGCCTGTCGAAGGTGCCAAATTTCCTGACGGTGAGTGGAGCTACGCAATGGGGTCAATCCGCAAGGCTTTGGGAATCAACGCGGACGATTTGATCGAGGATCGGTACGCCGCCGCGGCTAGAAAGAAGCACAGGCCTCCGGACAAAACCAAACTCGACAAGTATCTCGAGCACCTGCGCACGCAAGCGGAAGAGGCCATTGGGGACGAAGTCAAGAAAATGGATGAGGACGAGAAAGATGACCCAGGACGCAAATTAGACCACCAGCGCAAGTTGGTCAAGCTTATTTTTGCTTGGCGGAATTTGAACGGGCCCAAGGGCTGGGAGGGGTTTCCGGAGATCGACAAAAGCAAATTGATCCAGATTAGCGTCAGTGCGGTTACGGCGCTCGTCGAACATGCGCAAGCCAGCTATGGCGTTCTCAAACGTTACATTCTCAACTGTTACATGAATCTGTAATGCAAGAATGGCAAAAACAAAGGGGGGAAGATTGCAAAAGTTGCATTACAAATCCCGCGCAAATTTAGGCGCTGTTTAGCCCTTCGCAAATTTGTCATGCCCAGCAGCTTGATCTTGTGGATGATGATGGTAGTTTTGCATGACAAATCCATGTAACAGTTGAGAATGTAACGTTTGAGAACTCCATACCAGCGACGAAATGGCCCGGCCACGCCGGTTCGTCCCACGTGCGTTCAGCTTATGGGAGTGTCAGGTTTGAAATCGGCAAAGTTGAAATAACTTGTAATGCAGAAATTGCAAGGCATGAAGTGCCTGTCTTGCCGGGATGGCAAGTGAGGCCGACCGTCAGCCTGTTTAGGGTTTGAGATAGAGCTGCTAAAGTAGCATGACAAAAGCAGTCTTCTGTGCCTAAACAGCATGACAAATTGTATTCCGGTGCTCGGAAAATTTGTCATGCGCCGCTTGATAACTGGGCCTCCGACTGGCATCCACTTTATGCATGACAAATCAATTCAACTTTGACGATTTCAATCCTGACGCTTCCATACAGCTTCTTGTGCCGGTACTACGGCTTGCTGGGTGGGGAGTTTCGCGACGCTTTGAAGTCTGCCTGGGTCGCCCCGTTACCGGAGCAAAATCGTCTTCCTGCGCAGGTCTTCAAAGATCTGGTGTATTTGGTGGAACGTGAGTTGACACATACCCATCACACCATGCGTGCGGTGGTTCAAGGTAGCCGGAACGTAACGCTGCGAACCGTGAAATTTAACCAAGCGATCGCAGCAAGCCATCTACAGGACCTCGAGGCTATGGCGTCGAAGGTTGAGGCTGGCGGCCCCGTCCGCTTTTTCGATTCCTTTGGCGAGCTGAAAACGGAGACCCGGGTGGGCTGGCCCCAAAAAGCCCTCGACGATTTTGCAGACCAGTTCTACCGCCGCGGACGAGGAAGTAAGATCGTGCTAGTAGAAGGCAAGTCTAAGTTCCGACAGCTTGTGCTCGCGAAGCTGAAGAGCGATCTGGCAACGACGGTGAAAAATATCAAGACAGCTGAGGGCCGTTTGAAGGATGAGCCCTTAACTTCTTGTATCCTGAGTAAAAACGTACCCACACCAGAGTTGTAATGCAAATCTGCATGCTGAAAATGTTTCTCATGCGGAGCCCCATGAGAAGCATTTTCCTATCGTGTTTTGCAATTTGTCATGCTCCAATCGGCATGGTATGCTAGATCTGTGATGCTGCTGAACTAGCTCAAACAGCACTACACTACGAATCCAAATTTGTCATGCAAAACAGCCAAAACTTGTGGACTTGTCTAGCCGATTCCCCAACTTGACTATGGTGTGGGTACGTTTTTACTCAGGATATCTTGCTCGCCGTGTGAAGGATGGACGCCAATCACCGCCGATTTCTTTCTATGAAAGCCTCAGGATGGAAATCCTCAAAGTGGAAATGATTTGTGATGCATGGAATGCGACGCAAAAAAGACTGTATTGCAGAGGACGCAATGGAGGCCGACTATTATCCTGCTAAGGTTGAAGAATTGGAATGCTGCTTAGCACGACAGAAGGGCACCCCTTTGCCTTAGCCTGCATGACAGACATGCTTTAAGTGCCCGGGAAATTTGTCATGCGCCGACTACTAATGCCGCTTCAACTGGAGTCGTTTTTTTGCATCACAAATTATTATTATTTCCACTTTGAGGATTTCCAACCTGAGGCTTTCATACTTTCCTTACTGCTTTTTCGACTCAAAGTCACACATAAGTCAGAACAGGGGAGGCGCCGTTTACCCTTGGAGGCGTAGGCCCGAGGAAAGCCGTACCTCTACCTTTTAAACAACTTGCACTGCGTCGGTTATCTTCTTTCGAAGATGAATTTGCGTACAACAACCGAAAGAGCACTGCGCCAAAGCAGAGCTTTGCAGGTTTTTTATCTGCGGTCAGATCGTAGCAAGCTCATACGGTTTGCTTGTAAAGAAGAAAAAAGTGATGTTTGCGAGGGGCCGGCGATGAAGTGGTGGCGAATGTATGAAGAACAAGAAGGATTTTTGTGATCTTGATCGAGAATTACTATGTCTTGGGCGATGCACCAGCGAAAAAGCGCGACGATGAAAAAGAAGAACGACGTTCAAAAATAAAGTGGTGCCCGGCTCTCCGCAATTTGTTGCCAGTCACGAAGAAGCAGCACCGCGCACTACCGAATCACGAACGCAGCGGCGTTTTTGCGTTTTTTTCCTTCGGGATAATTAAGCAGCAGCTACTCCAAGAACTCGGCCTCGGGTACTAGCAGGATAATTCAGCGCCTGAAGAAGTTCAGGCAGCAGGTACAGGATAACTCAGGGGGCTGCACTTGCTACTTAAAACAATTCAATGCAGCCTGGAGTTCAGGCAACAGGATAAGCAGCAGTTACGAAAAAAATATAGAATTCCTTCGAAGATGCCGCTGCGTGTCGCGATGTTCAAGATCTACTAGAGCTAAGGATATCAATGCGTCGTCGTCGTAGTTTGTTTATCGCTTTCGTGAGTGAGTGCAAAGCATCTCCGGTATAAGTTCATTCAAAACCCCCCGATGCTTCTTTCTCCCCTTTGTGCTTCATCTCAGGCCTAAAAGCAATAACTAGTGTTGCTATCGTTTTCGCTTTCGCAATCTTCGAGGCGCGCTTGCTATTTCGAAAATTACCTGAGGTTAGGATGAATGTAACTACCGCCTGCTGATCGGTAATCAATCGCTGTAGCGCAAGTTTTAGCTCTCGGCTCATGTCGTCGCTTTTGGTGCATACTAGCAAGCTCATCTGAAGATTCGTTGGATGTCCAGCTCCATGTTCTCTGTGGAGTATCGTCACACCAGAAGAGGAGAGCTGCAATGCTCCTCATGGATTTCGTTTTGATTTGACACCGCGCGCAGAGTTACACGAACACATAGACAGTTTCTGGCTCGCCTGATAGTTTTTCATCTCTTGTTCCTCCGAACTATCAAAGAAGGCTGTGTCCGCCTTGTCTTTCTAGAAAAAATAAGCAAAAGCTAAAGCTTCAAGCGATCCCGATCCTCGCGTTGATGGCGAGCATGAGCAGGATTCGACTGCTCTTGCAGTGGTTTGTCTCCCATTTGTTGGCAAAAAGCAGAAAGACGGAAGTTTTGGTCCCAGATATCAGCACTGCGGTTGGCGTATTGAATTCATATCAATTGTCATCAGAAAAGATGGTTGGCTTCTTTCGTTTTCGTTAAAATCGGTCTCGCACAAGTGATTTGATTACACTAGGAGCAGTTTGAAACGTTTGTCAAATGAAGATCTTTGCTCGATTCACCGATATTGCGCCAGCTCTTCGGTTCAATCCAGGATCTTCAGGCTCAAATGTGTGCTTTCGTTATAGTATAAACCAAAGAAGAAATCGGTAAAAATGAAAAAGTTCATCTTCACATAAATCGGCAAAAAAGTTCTTCACATGGGGACCCCATGCAAGAAAAAGGATCCACTTCGCAAATAAACTCGATCGTCGATAGATCTGCGCGAGGGAGTATATTCAAAGGCTTTGCCATCTGCCGACCAAGCTAGCATGGACGCCAAAGCATCAGTATAGATGAACAGGCAGAATCCAACATCTCCATCAGGAACGATTGACAACGAAATAAGACATCCTATTCCTAAAATTATCCTCAGATTGAATAGCTATAGGTATAGCCCTTCCTTCTACAACTAGTCTCTCTCTCATCCTGGTTCTGCTTTTTTATTGTGTTGCATTGATTGGCAGCGACTCTGATCGAACGCACAGAGTACTTAAGTATTCTTTTTCTTGCAAATTTTCTTCTGGCCAAGTCAGTGGCGCGCTAGAGCGAAATCATTTTTTTGTAAAAAAGCAACGCTGGCTTGCTACTACTACTAGTACTACGGAAGACACCAATTCAAACTCTGAGTCCATCGATAGTTTTTGTTTTCGTTGGCGTCTGCGCTTCTAGTTCCAGTGGAAATCAAATGTTGGCTACCACGAGAAATAAGGTGCCTGGCGGGGTCATGTTCTCGGCCCTTGCCGTGTTGGGAGCCGGGTACTTAGCGCCCGGCTTTGTGAAAGGCGTCGGCTTGTTGCGTGCGGCCGGCTCGACGTCTAATTCTGAAGATCCGCAGCTGATCCGCGTATATGTTGGGCTTGGCGGAAGTAAGCTAAAGACCTTGCTTAGGAGCCTCGACGCTTCTACGGCGGCACAAAAGCTGCACCACTGGGCTTCGGGGCTAGTACCAGCAAAGGACAAGATCGTTTACGGCTGCAACTCGTCTACATGCGAAACGGTAACAGTTGATAGTTTATTGCAGGGTCGTATGAGGAACGAGAAGTTGGGCACTATCCTCCCGCCCGGTATTGAGGAGATTCAGTTAGTCGCTGGAAGCCCGTACTTGCTTGAGGAGATGCCTGGCGAACATTCGAGCATTCCTGAAGTAGACGGTGAGTGGAGCTTCAGAACAAGTCAAATGCGACAGATCCGCGAGGCTTTGGGAATCAACGCGGAGGACTTGAACGAGGATCGGTACGCCGCCGTGGCTAGGAAGAAGTACAATCTGTCGGGAGCTAAACTCGAGGGCTATCTCGCGCACCTGCGCACGCAAGCGGAAGAGCACCTTGGGCACACGCTTGCGGCCATCGGCAAGGAGAAAGACCCAGCCCACCAACGCAAGGTGGTCAACCTTGTTTTTGCTTGGCGGAATTTGAACGGGTCCGAGGGCTGGGAGGGGTTTCCGGGGACGATCCGCAAAAGCAAACTGATCGAGATTAGCGTCGATGCGATTATGGCGCTCCTCGGACGATACGCGCAAGCCATCGAGGCCGAGGAAATCGCGCGGGGGCCACGCCGGTTCGTCCCGAGCCACGAGCTGTTTCAGTTCCTGTGTAATTCCTACGGCTTGTTGGGCGGGGAGTTTCGCGACGCTTTGAAGTCTGCCTGGGCCACCGCCCCGGAAGAGAATCGCACTCCTGCGCAGGTCTTCAGAGAGCTAACGGAATTGGTGGAAAAAGAGTTGAGCCTTGCGGGTGCGCATAATATCATGTCTGAGGAGCATTTCGCGTGTTCGCGTCGCGCAACATTGGAGCGTCTCGCAAGAGCGAAAGACGCCCAAGCGCTTGCAGCCAGCCATTTAGAGGACCTCGAAGCTATGGCGTCGGGGGTTGAGGCTGGCGGCCCCGTCCGCTTTTTCGGTCTCGTCGGCGGCTTCGGTTTCTTCGATGGGCTGAAAACGGAGACCCGGGTGGGCTGGTCCCAAAAAGCCCTCGACGATTTTGCGGACCAGTACGCTTCTGAGGAGTATCAGAACGATTACAACCGTGTCAGGCACGGAATCAATAGGAAAGGTGGACAACCTCTCTACAGAGCCAATAGGAAAGGTGGACAATCTCAATCTATAGTGGGCGAGGCCTCGCTACCAGAAGGCAAATCTAAGTTCGAACAGCTTGTGCTTAAGCAGCTGAGGAGCGATATGGCCATGACGGTGAAAGATATCAAGACAGCGGAGAAATGGTTGAACAAAGGGCGCTAGTAGATGTAGACTTCTTCGACTCAAACTCATGGCCCACCAGAGTGGGGGGTTGCCCTTGCCGCACTTTTACGTATGGACATGGAGGCGTAGGCCCGAGAAATAAAGCCGTGCCTTTTACTTGTAAGTACTACGATCATCTTCTTTCGAAGAATTTTTTGCGCACAACATCCAAAAGAGCACTGCGACATCAAAGCAGAGCTTTGCAAGTTTATCTACGGTCAAGCCGTAGCAAGGAGCTCCTACGGTTTTCTTGTAAAGAAGAAAAAAGTGAAGATGCTTGCGAGGAGCCGGCGGTGAAGTGGTGCGGAATGAAGGAGGGTTTTTTTGATCTTGATCGAGAACTACTAGCGTTTTCGTCTTGGGCGATGCAGCGAAAAAACGCGACGATGAAAAAGGAGAACGACGTTCAAAAAAGGTCTGCCCGGCTCTCCGCAATTTGTTTCCGGTCACGAAAAAACTGCACCACGCACTACCGAACCACGAACGCAGCGCCGTTTTTGCGTTTTTTATTCCTTTCGGGGTAAGCAGCAGCTACTAAAAGAACTCCGGTAGCAGGATAATTTAGTGCAGCCTGAAGTTCAGGCAGCAGGTACAGGATGATAACTCAGATAGCAGCAGTTACTAGAAAAATTCAGCACGACCTGGAGTTCAGGTAACTGGATAGGCAGCAGCAGCTCAAAGAAATTGAAATTCCTTCGAAGATGGCCATGCCGTTGTGTCTCCCGACGAATGTTCAAGAACTACTAGAGCTGAGGATATCAATGTGTCGTCGTCGTCGTTTATCGCTTTCGTCAGTCGTGAGTGCAAAGTGTCTCCGGAATAAATTCAAAACCTCCCCGGAGCTTCGTTCTCCCTTATTTGTGCTTTCTCTCAGGCCTACAAGCAATAAGTAGCGTTGCTATCGTTTTCGATTTCGCAATCTTCGAGGCTCGCTGTTTGTTATTTCGAAAATTACCTGTCGTTAGGATGAATGTACTTAACCGCCTGCTGATCGGTAATCAATCGCTGTAGCACAAGTTTTAGCTCTCGGAGCATTTCGTCGCTTTGTATATATGGTGCATATTAGCTCATCTGAAGATTCGTCGGACGCCCATCTTGTCTGTGGAGCATCGTCACATAAGAAGAGGAGAGCTGCAAAAATGTTCCTCATTTACAACTAGGTTGTTCCGACTTCTAGCCGCGTAATTCATTGTTATATTCAGATCATGCCTGCTTCCCAGTACTTCAACTTATGTTGTGTTGGTGGTTGCCGTTGCATGTGCCTCCAGTTTTTCAGTCAGTCTCAACAGTCTCTCATGTAAAGGCAAGTAGGTGGTTACACTAGGGGCACCACTTGTAATCTCCTTGTTTGTCATCTGGTGTTACAGCTATTACTCCCTGCTCCCGTCGAGCAGAAATATATAAGAAAATGCCGCCCAACATTATGACCTGCACAAACGTTACAATCTCAAGCGATACAATAGCATCTGGAATTTGTCTTGCATAATGAGCATGACAGACTCGCACACCATTCCACTTTCTGCAACACAAATTTCGGCGCATTGTAGTGTGGTTTGGGACTCCGGAACTTGTCATGCGCAGTCCTATGAGACTTGGCTAGATCATGATCATGCACTTCTTGCATCACAAATTTCCAGATTCTATTGTAACGTTTGAGATTCTTGTAACGCTTGAGCAGGTCATAAACATCAACCCCGCGGCTCTCTTCTCGATGGATGGTGCCACCAGTCTCGCGCCCTACTACCCCGTGAACATCACCAATCCCAAAACCGCAGTGGACTACCCACCTGGAACCCTGATTCCCGCCGGCCCGCCGGACGACAAGGGTTTAAACAAGCTTCTCCGAGAGTTGATGGCCGTTCCGAAACCGAAACCCTACCGCGACGGCGATCCCAAGTTTTACCAGCTGATAGACCAGGCCAAGGAACGCGACCCGGCCTTCGCTAACCCGCAGCTAAACGCCGACGACGTTGACAAGGTGCCGGGCGGGGCCATCGACCTGGCGGGAGCGCGTTCGAAGTGGGATTTCTTCCACCTCCGCGGAGGTTATGGAAGTGTCAGAATCGAAATTGACAAAATCGAAAAACTTGTGATGCACAAAATCGATGCCAGTTAGACCCTCAGTTTGTAGTCCGCGCATGACAAATTCCCCCCGTCCTGGAAGCGAATCTGTCATGCGGTTTATGGCAAAAGAGCTGGCTTTTGTTATGCTAGTCAGTAGCCCAACGCTTAACCCTTACCAGGACTACAATCCGCCTTCCTTGCATCCTCTGCAATAGAGTCGCTTTTTGCGTAGCATTTTATGCATTGCAGATTATTTCGATTTTGTCGATTTCGATCCTGACACCCCGATAGAGGTTTTCAGCCCCCTAGTGTGGAGAAAAGCAGAAAATCTGGCTCCACCTCATCTTCGGGACATCAACTGCTGCCCAAGCTCGGCACGAGTAAAAACCTGAAGAACCCGGAGGGGCCTTTGGTGCCAGGGTGCGTCCACGGAGATTATCACAAGAAAAAGTGTTAACGTTAACGGAATTTGTGATGCAGGAATGCACGAGAAATGATGCCCAAATTTGTATTGCATAGCATGCATGATAGCGAAAATTTGTCATGCATGACTGCAATGCCTCAAAGCCGTTAACGTTAACACGTTTTTGCTTGATAGAGACAAGGCGTATATCATGGACGCGTGGCATATCCAGGAAAAAACTACACCCACTCAAATCCAATTTGTCATGCAAAACATACATAAAGTTCTCTCTGCGCTTGTCATGCAAAAAATGGGCGTGGATGGGTTTTTTTCTGTGGATATAGCAGCACCCGGTGCGGAATCGGAAAAACGAGCCGAATGAGCCATCGTTTGAAGAAACGATCGAGGCGTTGAAATCTGGGGACATGCGGATATGGATTGCAAATATGTCTGGGTCTGGAAGATTCAGACTTGTCATGCTAAATCCGAATCTTCATGCATCAATAAAAATCTGTGTTTCATGAGTGCCAAAAGGTGTCCACTTTTGACGAGGTTCGTTGGCACGGAGTTTCTCATGCAGGATAGGCATGACAGAGACCTCACAGAGACAGAGTCTGTCATGCTAGGTCCCGCATTCCAGACCTCATGGGTCTTGGAAAACCTGCATGACAAGTGTACACTCTTCCAGACCCAGACACTTTTGCATGTGATAGCGGATTCCCGGAAGCAACCTGGATGTTTCGGCTGTGCTCGAAAATTTCGCGAACCCCGGGGTGGACATGTGAAGATGTTGACAAAAATAGATGGCCTTCTTTTCTTTTATGATTTTTAGTGCGGGCGAGGACTACTTTTCGTTTCCCTCATGAACTTGAACTACGGATGTTCTTCCATGATTCCTCGCTCACCTCCTCGTCTTTCTCCCAAGCGCAAAGCATTCGTGACTTGATTTTAGGCAAAATACGCCGGTAATAAAACGAGGCGCGAAGAGGTGGAGGAGCGTTGCGTGGCCGACGTCGACCGAACAGAGTGGACGGCATCACTAGAGAGTTGTGAAGGCGCCTCGTCATTCGTGAGAGTGATGAGAGCAAAAGTGACTGGTCCTGTAGTTGGCTCGTCGCTCCTTCATATGAACTACAAGTACTTCTCTCATCCATTTAATCTACTTCTCGTAGAGCATGGCTGTCGGGGTCGCGCGAGCTTTAGTATCGCCAGTAATGTCAAGTACCTTGAGTGAGGTGCTCGTGCTTGCTACGCCTTAAGCTTGCAGCACACATAGAGGTCTACTAAGTTCTACAGTGAATGTGAGGGCGCTGCTCGCAACAATTTTCTTTGAAAAAAGCATTCAACATCAAGTTGCATTTTCCAGCTAGTAGAAGACGAAGCGAAGTTCTTCTTCTTGTATATAATCTAGAAACTCCGAAACAAGGTTGAACGCCAGGAGGACGGCGTACCACCGCGACAAGAAGTTGGCTCATCTTGTCAACTACAACTTACTTCAAATAACCTCAACCTCTTCTTGTTCGGCTCAGCATCAAGATCAAGAGTCACATTTGCATTTTTTCGAATTCGATCTTCAAAATGGGTCTTTGTCTGTTTCGGGAGCAGGAGTCCGATGCCCGCATCGAGAAGCTTGCGGAGTATCGGAAAAAATTCGCGAAGGTATGAGAGTGCACAACTCCCCCTCCCCCTCATTTGTCATGCAAAATACCAAATCCAAGCGCTGCTGTGTGGTACTGTTTGCATGACAGATGCCGGAAGCCCAAACAGTACTACACTAGGCGCATGAACTTGTCATGCCCAGGCTCCACAGGTGGGTGTGTTTGCATTGCTGTTCATGCAACGCAAATGAGGGGGAGGGGGAGCTGTGCACTGTCATAGAAGGTGATGCTGAACGAGAACAACCTGAAGCAGGAGTGCAGCGTGTTCTGGATCCAGATGCGGGCGCAGCAGCGGCAGAACTTTATCAACCGTGCGGACATCTTGACCTGTACGCAGAAGTTTCTGGACCAGATTGACGCCGGGGAGGAGAACACCTTGTCCGCTTTGGACAAACTGATAAACCTCCTTCCGGTGGAAAACATCAGCTTCGACATGTTTCTATGCATTGCAAATACGTCCGGGTCTGGAAACTTGTGTTGCTATTTTGTGAATTGGATGGACAATGGAATAGGCAGCCACGCATGACAAGTTTCTGGGCTCCTTTGTGTTTCGCTATCCGCATGACAAACTTTTGCATGACAGGCAAGAGGCTCTTTTCCTGCTCACGCATTACAGGTTCAAGAGTCATGTGAGACAAGCATAACAAACTTGCATTCTGCCAGACCCAGACATATTTGCATGGGATAGCTTCGCTGCTACGTCCGGGAGATGATGATGATTCTGGACCTGGAAATGTCAAACCGCTTGCAGTATGCATTGCAAAAGTTCTGGTTGTGCCTACCTTATTACTCGGAGCGATTGCATGACATCAATAAATTTGCTGAGCATGGAAAGTGAAGCTTGTAAATTGTGCTGATTTTTCATCCTATGAATGTATGAGCGACATCGTCATCGTTTGTCTTACTGCATAAAAGTTGTAATGGGTACGAGTGCGAAGTAGATCCTTTTGCCATGCATATCCAGCAGGCCATCCTGGACCGCGATGCGCTGTGTGCGGTGGTGTTCGATAGCGGAGGGAGTGGAGGAGGAGCTTCCCAAGTACCGTGAGGAAAAATCCCCCCTTCCCATATTGAAAACGTATGTTCCGAAAAATTTGTGATGCTGATTTGTGACCACAAATCCTGTCTCTCTTGCAAGAAGGCAAATCCAAAGAATTCGCAGCCTTATGGAGGCGATTTGTGATGCTGTTGCACGTACATGGCAGGCCTCTGTCATGCTAAGCGCCGTCAACAAAACACCCCTACGCAGGCTGAGGCTTTGCTTGTAGTGCCTCACTGCAAGACAGGGCTGATTTGTGTACACAAATCCAGCAACAGAAATTTCCGTTTCAATATGGGGAGGGGGGATCTTTCACTTTGATACCAAGGCGCGATGTACACGGCCAGAAGGAAGATACCGAAGAAGAGAACAAACGAAGATCTTCGCAAGCAACAGCGACCCTCGTCTGGTGCGAACGAAGAGTCGAACGATCCCCGTCGTGAAGATGATCTTCGTCCAGAAGACGAGGACGACAGTTCCCACCGCGGAGATGGACCATCAAACGAAGACGAGGAGAGCGAAAGTGTCGAAAGCGACTCCAACTTTTTTTACCCCCACTACTGCTACCACGCCCGGGACAAACTGAACCGTGAAGCGTTCAATTTGGAAAAGTTCGTGCCGACGAATGAGGGCTTTGCGGGGGAGGAAAACTTCGACTTCATTTCCGCTTCGTTATGAATTGCAAAAGCAAGAAGTATCGTACCTGTACCAGTCCTTGCAATACAAATTAGCTCAGTGTCAGTATGACAAATGGAATTTCTCATGCTGATTTCGGTAAAAGAAGAGATTTGTATTGCATGACAACGAAACTTTTTCTTTTGCACAGGATATTCGTTCCAAAACAGCAAGGAGCCGTGGTCGATTACCGCTCGGACGGGGCAGGATGACAGTGCCGGCATGATTACAGGAAGTAGAGGCGCAAGCGATGGCATCAACATGAACTATCAAGAACATCAGGAGCTGCACCAACAATCTGTTCCACCTGGGTTGCTGTACCACAACAGCAACTACAGTGGCCCCCACTCAGCTGCTGGTGCTGCAGCTGCCGCCAGCAACTACAACAACATCGCCATAAATCACCAGGCTACTGCTTCCTCCTCCCCGGGTTTCTTACCCGGGCACTTGCTGAGTAGCCCACCGGCGTTTCTGACGCGCACGCAACGGTCTTCCCCCTCGGCTTCGAATTCCGAATTCAGCAGCCCAAGTCCAACACCGACCCCGAGCTACTTGATTCAGGGAAGCAAGCTGAATCAAAATCGGGCGGGGTCTCCATTAACACGGGGTGGTGGATCATCGCCATTCATTTTGCATGGCGGTGCTGGCACTTCTAGCGCTGACGGAGCTCCTGGTGCAGTTACGGAGCAGACTAAAGAATCCAGTAATTCTATCGAGGAAATGAACCTCCCGAGCAACAATTTGATGAAATTCAATTACTACCATGCTGCAGGATATGGAAGCGTCAGGATTGAAATCGTCAAAGTTGAGATAGTTTGTGATGCATAAAATGCAAGGCATGAAGTGCCTGTCTTGCCGGGTTGGCAAGTGAGGCCGATTGTGAGCCTGTTTAGGGTTTGAAATAGAGCTGCTAAAGTAGCATGACAAAAGCAGTCGCCTGTGCCCAAACAGCATGACAAATTGATTTCCGATGGTCGGATAATTTGTCATGCACTGCTTAAAAATTGGGCTTTCAATTGGTATCGATTTTATGCATTGCAAGTTATTTCAACTTTGACCATTTCAATCCTGACAGTTCCATACAGGAGTGTCCAGTGGGGCGAGCACTGCGACAAATACAGTTCCGCCAGCACCGCCGGCGCAAATCATCCCCGGGGGTCAACAAGAACAAAAAATAACAGCCGCACAGGACGTCCTCGTCGGACCCAATCGTCCAACCACGAATAAAAAACGTAGTTCCCCAAACACACTGCACAACTTGGTACCGCTGCACACTCCGAGCCCGACGAAATTCGTGAAGAAGCAAACCACCCGGCCAAGCATTCAGCAAACCAGCGTGGTTGTAGGAACGCAGCAGCATCCGCAGCAGGCGAGTTCTACTCTGGTTCCGAACGTAACAGCGAATACCACCTCGAGCAACAGCAGTCCAAAATTGTCGTTTAATGGTGTTCAAGCGGTAAGTCCGCAAAGCAGGCTGCAGAAAATAAAGAGTCCGGTGATCTCTCCGAAAGTGAATCTCGACTACGAGAAAACCCAGGAAGTTAAAACTTCCAGATTGGCACAGCAGGTCGAACAGGTCCTGTTTCAGCACCAGAGCGGATCAGCAGCAGGTAGTGCCGAGGACGCAAGCAGTGGTGACGCATCTTCTGCATCTAGTACTTTTGCAGCCGCAAAAATTGTTTCGGGAGTAGCTGCGACTTCTGCAACCGGCGTTGACGAAATGAACACCGGCAGCAACAAATCCGAGGTTCTCCTGTCCCCAAACAAGGAAAATCTTCCCCCTCCAGCGCCTCCGGTACAAGCGACCCGTTCTCCGATGAAGTTTCTCGTTCCAGCGGGGAGCCAAGCGCAAACTCCTGTCCACCCTGCTGGAGGGAGTAGTGGCACCACGACTAGCACCAGTAGTTCATCTACCCCCTCGGCGGAGGAGCAGCAGGTGATTGAAAAGATCCGGCAGTTGATGGGAAAAATTTTGCTACTGGAAGAGACGGCGAGTGAGATGATCACGTCTACAGAGAGCGGAGACGGGGGTGAAGCTTTTTCCCCCTTCGGCAACGCGTCGGTTTACAGCTGTTTTGAAGAAATTTCGCAGATTCAAAACATGACGGTCGCGGTATTGCGGGAGACGAAAATCGGGGTTTTCACGCAAAAGTACAAAACTTACCAGAAGAATCCGAAAGTGGAGGTACTGGTCCGGGCACTGCGTCAGCGGTGGACAGAGGTATTGATGAAGATGAACTCTTGCGTGCTAGTCATTCGTTTCTAGTAAATGCTGCAAAAACCTATAAACTATGAAAAATATGCAAAAGTGAAGATTTCTTCATCTTCTATCATCACTTTTTGTGTGTTTGCTTCTGGCAATGCATGACTCGCCTCTCCACATCAAGGTCGTCCGCGGATCTGCCCCTCCGGATAGCTCGGGTTTCGTACAAAACGGCATCACCCCGAGGGTCAGCACGCCTGCGAGTAGCATCGGTAGCTCGTCCCTGTTGCCGCCGTCTTTTGGGAATATCAGCGAACACGTGAAGATGATCAGTGTGGAAAGTGCTGTTGAAAAAGGTGCCGGGACTACGAGTACGACGACTACAACCTCGTCCCAAAAAAAAATCACGGTTGAAAAAATGCGGGAGCAACTTCTGTCCACCATCGGAGTCGGCACGAAGGTCTTCAACAGTGCCGGGGAATTGGAGTCAACCAACATCCGCGTCGTTGCAACTACAAGTAAAAACGCTGTGAACAGCAAGAGTAAATCGAAGAAGAAATCGAACTCGAAAAATACAACCACAACAACATCTTCCAAAACGGAATTCAAACTAGAGATGCGAAATACGACGACGACGAGCTCTGCCTCTACGGGTGAACCACAAGAATCGCAAAAATCCATATCCCCGCCTATCGAGTTTTCTCTTTCCGACTTGCAGAAGGTGACTAAGGGGTTGGTGAAAAGCGAAAATTCGAAGAAGCAAATCGATCTCCCGAATTTGGAAAAGCACGTGAAGCTGCCGGAGGAGGAGAATTTGGTGGTCTGTTTCTCGTTCGGGAAAGCGAAGGGGACTCTGGTGTTGAAGTTGGAAAGCAGTGAGGCGTGTGAATACGTCTGCAAAGCGCTGAAAACCTTCGGGGTGGAGGTGGAGTAGTGGGTCGTACTAAGAAAGCACTGCAGGGGCTTCTACAGGGGGGAGCGAGGGGCACCAGAATATTCAATATTCGTGACCAATTTGCAGAACAAAAGTATTGGTATTCAAATTCACAAATATCTAACATTAAACCGAACACGAACTTTTCTTTTCTAATTCCTTCTTTTTCGTCACCACAGATGAAGATGCTTGAGGCTCAACAATGGAAATGGATGCGAACGTGTCGATGTCGTTTTAGTCGTGGGTGATCCTGCAACGTTTTTTGTCAGACAGATTCACGAAAGAAACTGAAGCAAGACAAGAAAAAGCGTCTCGATCATTTCATCTTCGTGCAGCAATAATTCATTCATTCTCTTCGGTCGTCGATCCGTGTTACGACCAAATTACGTCTTGCAACTACTTACGTTAACACTCAGTAATTTTCAGCGACGTGCGCTGGTTTCTATCTTGCTTATGATTGCGTTTCTGACGTCGTACTAGATAGGCTGATGCCTCAGTATTGTATCGTTTCCGAAAATATTAAAGATGCAAAAAGTACAAAGCTCCAAGAGAAGCTAGCTGCAATAGAATGCGGTCTGCTTTTGAATAAGGCGGTGGACTTTCAAGATGAACCCGCAATAATCAGATGCAACTGAAGATGGCTCTGGTCGGCGACTACGACTGATGCAACACAAAGGAGAACTTGGACGAAGACCACCGTCTGACGACAGTAGAAGCAAGAACTCATCTTGCAATCGTGTGTAAAAATTGTGGAACTCCGATTCGTAACACCCATGATTGGCTGTGGAAAAATAGCGCAAGAACTGCAGCTTTTTATCACCTCCATTTACTGCAAGTGAAATCTTCCAAAGCGAGCCACGACCTTTGTTCTTCGCTGCGTCGAATATTCACAAAAGTTAGGGCTTTGTGTTCTTGAAAAGTCGGCCTATGTCAGTAGTTTTGATTTGGCATTGCAATTATACATACATTGCCATCTTCCTCTTCGCGGTCGTGCTCGTCGGCGGGGATCATAATCATACGATCCATTTTTACTTATCACTCTTGCAAAGTACGCAGTAGAGGGGAAACGAAAAAGAATTTCCTTTAGAGCCTTGTTCGAAGGAACAGAAAGATTAACTAGACCACGTGCCAGCGCCAGCTCGGTGGTCGAGTTAACTACTCTGTTGCTTGTATATCAGCGGATGAATACGATGAATTTATCTGTATTGAATTTAGGATAGTTCGTTAGTTTCGTTTGGCTCATCGGTCGTGCAAAAGATATCAGTGGTCGGTTCGTCCTTCTTTCATTTGGTCGTGCACCACCAGCGACGTATTCACTATCGTACTACACACCAAGTCCTTGTCGGTTCTTATTCATTGGGGTTCTCGTTCTTCATCGTTGTGGTCTTGCATCACCAGCATCTTCGTATTGGGAGAATGCAAGTCGAGCGCGTCGTAAGACCAAGCGTTTGATGACCTTTTCATCTATCGTGCAGTTCTACGAAAGGAAAAGCGCCACGATATCATTTTCAAAACGCAAACCATTAAAGATTGCAGGAAATTACTTATGGGCTGACGCTAGTATTACCTTCCAAACCCAAACCACATGACAAAGAGGACACCCATAAAATTCCTGGTCGACCTCGACCCTCCCTAGAAGTATTCTAACTACTAGAAATTATCATCCTGTAGTACACCAAGAATAAAAAAAATGCCTTTCGGCGGCGGCGTTGCGACGGTGCAGATGCGCACCATCAATTGCTTTGCCGCTTTCCTGAACATGCTTGCGGTCACGGTCAACGTAATTTGCTCCTTTTTTTGTGCGGCCTTGACGTGCTGTAAAAGACGGCAGTACCACCAGCGGAACGACGCGGACATGGAATATCTAGTGAAATAATGTCTGGGTCTGGAAACTTGTGATGCTGGGTGGCGTCTCATGATGAGGCCACAAATGCTGGCTCAGCATGACAAGTTTCTGAGCTTCTAGGTGTTGCCTATTCTGCATGACGAACTGCGTTCCTGCATCACAGAAAATTGGAGCTCTTGGGTAACGTGCATGACAGATTTAAGAGTCATGCCAGACAAGCATGACAAACATGCATTCTTCCAGACCCAGACACTTTTGCACTTGATATGGAAGCGAAGAAGTTCATGTGTGCCCAGGACAAGACTGCGGACGTGGTGAATGCCGAGAAGGAAGGGCAGCGCGCGGCCGCGCGGCAGCAGCTGGACGCCGTGGGTGCGGACGCGCTGAACCATATCATATGTAAAAGCGTCCCCATCCCATAGTTGTGATGCAAATTCGCATGCCAAAAAATTTTGTTATGTGGAGCGCCATGAGACGCATGTTCTAGTCGTGTTTTGGAATTTGTGATGCTATAGTCAGCATGTTGCACTAGATCTGTGATGCTGCTGAACTACCTAAACAGGACTACAGTACGAGGACAAATTTGTCATGCCAAACGACCAAAGCTGGCTGGTTTGTCTAGCAGATTGCCCATCTTGACTCTGGTGTGGGGACGTTTTTGCAAATGATAAACCAGCTGGACTCCTTTTCCGAGGACCTCAGCGTGTACAAAAACCTCCCCCACGGGGGCCAGTGGCGCCGCGCGCGCGACTTCATGCCGGCGCTGAATGACGGGAAAGAAGTGTGTGACCCTGTTCGGCGGCATGTCCCGGGAATCCATTGCGCAGGCGAAGGTGGAAAGTGAAAAACAAGAAGAAGAAGCTCCTGCCTCCCCGGACGATGTGGCCCTGCAGGCGGTGGAGCAGCAAAAGATGGAGGAAAACAACCAACGGGGCCAGAAGTGGAAGAACAAGCAAGGCCCGACCCCGCTGGACCTGGGACAGGGCGAAATCGCCAACTGCTATTTCATGGCCGCCCTGTCCGCGCTGGCCGAAGAGCCGGACCGGGTCACCTATCAAATGCAAAAATATCTGGGTCTGGAAACTTGTGATGCTAAAATGTGGATGATGGAAAGAGTTCCGAATGCAGACAGGCATGACAACTTTCCAGAAGGCTTTCTCGTAGGAAACCAACATGAGAAACTACGTTTTTGCATGCACATCAAAAGAGGCTACGACTTTTGTTGGTTCTGCAATACAGATTTTCTAGGTATGGAAAGCCAGCATTACAAGTTCCCGGACCCAGACATATTTGCAATCCATATCACCAGCTTGTTTGCCAACTCGAAAATGACCCCGTCGGGACAGTACAACGTGGTTCTGTTCGTCGACGTATCAACTGCAAAAATGTCTGGGTCTAGTTAGAAGATTACCGGGCATGCATATTTTGCATGACCCATGATGCCTGTAGTGCACGACTTAGCTGCATCACAGATTTTTGGAAGGCTTCCGATTCCTAATCCGCATGACAAATGCCCTCTCGTCCGCCTTGCACAAACTGGGCTCCTCTTGGTGGTCATGCAATACACATTTTTTTTAGAATCCAAAGACAGCATAAGATAACAAGTTTGGATCCTTCCAGACCCAGACATATTTGCAATGCATAGGACGGAACGTGGCAGACCTACACGGTGGACGATCAATTTTACGTGAACAACGAAACCAACAAGTATGAACTGCAAAAGTATTGTACTCGTAGTAATTGCAGTCACGCATTAAAAATCTTCTTCTTAAGGTAAATCCGCATTAGAAATTTTATTTGTCATGCTGAGAAAATAATTGTAATGCATTTATACGAGTAGGATACACTTTTGCAACGCATAACAAGCCAATGTTTGCGAATTCCAAAGGCTCCTCGAAGCTGTGGCCGCTTTTGCTGGAAAAGGCGTACTGCAAGGCGAAGTTCGGCGGGGACTGGGACAAATTCGGTTCGGGCGGCCAGCCGTACGAGGTCCTGCATGCGCTCACCGGGTTGCAGACGGGGTTGGTCAGCACCTCCGGCCTCACCCGGATATGAACTGCAAGAGTATCGTACTCGTATAAATGCATTACAAATTTCCTCAGCATGAGAAATAAAATTCGTAGTGTGGATTTACCTTGAGAGAAACATCTGTAATGCAAGACTCACATTTATACCAATGCGATACTTTTGCACACGATACCGGACCTTCACCGACGACGACTTGTACGAAATTCTGAAGGAAACCATATCAAATGCGAAAATGTCTGGGTCTGGAAGAGTGCAAGGTTTGTCATGCACATTTTGCATGACTCCTGATGTCTGTGATGCATGCTCTAGCATCACAGATTTTATTGCGAGGGCTTCCTGATGCCTGTACTGCATGAGAAATGCCCTCTCGCCGTGGCAAAAACTGGACCTCTTTAGCTGTTCATGCAATACAGATTTATTGTGGAATCCAAATCCAGCATGACAAGTTCCAACCTTCCAGACCCAGACATTTTTGCATTTGATGAACCATTGTGGACAACGACAACGGGATGGCGTGCGCCAGCGTCGAATCCTTGCCGTTTCTGTCCAACATTGTCTTTCCGGCCATTGTGTACAACATGGTAGTGTCTGTGTGCGTGAACCCCTGCGCCGCGGTGTGTCGCAAGAGCGTCCCCATCTGCTTTGACTGCCTCTTCAGCCTGTACACGGTGGCGAAGGAGACCGCGAACTGCTTCTTCACGTTGGTCTGTTGTCCCGTCTGGGACTGCTACTCCATCTGCACGATGCTGTGGAACCTGAAGATGACCGGCCTCGTCGCCACCCACGCCTACAGCATTCTCGACGTGGCGACCGTGCCGGTCGGGTGTTGCTGCGGGCTCGGGTCCGGGACCCTGTCCGGCGAAGTCCGCATCGTGAAGCTGCGCAACCCGTGGGGAACTGGGGAGTGGAAAGGCGCCTTTTCCGACACCTCCTGCTGCTGGAACGAGGAAGCGTCGAACCAGGTCAAGCTCGTTGCGGCGGACGATGGCGCGTTCTGGATGCGGCTGGGCGACTTCCGTCGCTACTTCTCCCGGGTCTCGGTGTCGCCCTACCGCCTGGAAATGCAACAGCGCAAGTCTACTGCTGCGAGCGAGCAGTGAGGGTACAGTTGGATGTGCAGGTTGTAGCAGAAGAAAGCCACGTCGAGGTCGTGCGCTTAAGTTTGAGTTTATCCAAATGTAGTTTTCAAAATGATAAACCTTTTGAAAATAAACTGTCGTGCCAAATTTCTTCGTACTTTGCTGGGTCGTCGTCGTTTCAAAGAAGTCTTCAACTTTTCATGCACTCCTAATTTTCGTTTTTCTCCGTCTGGCTCAATCTATGTGGTGACTGAACGAGATTTAGATTTCACAAGAACATTTACGCAGTTTAGTTTATCTTCTCTACCCGTAAAATTTACTCCATCCTAATGTTGTAGTTTACTTACTTTATTGAACAAGACATCGATTTTATCTCCTTTTGTTGGTGGTGCCTTTTTAGGGTCCTCATGCTCACACTGCATCAAACCAAGCCTATGCCTATTAGTTTTTCATTTTTATTTTGTAGTGAAGCAGCCACAGGTCGTCGTCTTTATCTGCATCGACCTTAGCGCGAGCTAAGTGCTCTTCCCTTCGCACTGATAAGAACTGTTGTAGTAAAAATCAAAATGGTAATGGTATATCGTTATCTCTGCTGGGGAAAATGATATAGGAGCCATTAGGACTCCCAAGGATCTTCTTCAAGATGAAGCTGACTTATGACAAAATCACACTTCCGCGGTGTCGTTCTGTTGCTGTTCAGAAATGAGTAGAACGACGCCTGCAATTGCAAAAATGGCACCAGACTGCGGATCAATCTGTATCAGCCCAGCTCTTCCGACGTTCCCACGGCGATCCCCTCATAATTTTTCAAACGGTGCGACTTCATCGCGAAAACTTTCTAACTATGGTTCGAATCTTCGAAATGAAAATGTTAAACTACAAAAACAAATAATTATGAATCAGGAAACTTTATCTGGATTCTCAATTTCGATTTTTTTTGCTCGCGGGCAAAAAATTATCGGCTTCTTCAAACACTACACTTTCTCCCTCCTTTCAACCGAGCTTTATTGTCCTCCTACACAACGAATTTCTAAAAAAATGGCACCCACTGTGAAAAAGTTGATCAATCCGGCTGCCCCCGCAGCTGCGGAAATGGACATGCAAGGGGACATCAAGAACCCGATGACCAATGCCGCCGAAGATGTTGATCCTACCACCACCACCAAGCCCCGCGTTCTAATCACCGGTGTGACGGGTTTTATCGGAGCCCATTGCGCCCAGCAGTTATATTTGACGAAAAAGTACCAGATTGTCGGCACTATCCGGGCAGAACAATGGAACAAAGACTGTGACCGTCTGGTGAATGAGGTCGCGCCGGATGGAAGCCTAGAGCTCATCGGCGGCCTGGACTTGGTCGCTTCGAGCCTCGAGGATTGGCGGGAGGCTGTGAAGGGGTGCCAATATGTGTTGCACGTGGCGTCGCCGTACTTTGCGCAGGAGAAAGCCGTGGATCCGGAGAAGGAGTTAATTCTACCCGCGGTTGAGGGCACTCGAAAGGTTTTGGAGGCGTGTTGTTGTGAAAACGTCGAGCATTGCGTCGTGACCAGCTCCGTGGCCGCCGTGATTGCCGGCCACGACATTCAGCGGGATTTTGTAAACGCCGGGGTTGCCATAAACGCGAGCAAGCACTGGACCAAGGAAGCAGAACTGGAATCCATCAGCAAAAAGCGTTTCGCGTACCCGCTGGGGAAAACGAAAGCCGAGAAAATTGCGTGGGACTACTACAAAAAGAAAAGTAAAAACAACCTGAAAATCTCGACCATTTGCCCGGCCGGCGTGTTCGGGCCACTGCTGTTGCCGAAGGCCTGCGAGTCGACGGCGCTGTTAGAGCAGTTCTCGAAAGCACCGCTCGCGCCCCCCATCGGAGTGCAGATTGTCGACGTGCGGGATGTCGCGCGCATGCACGTGGCCGCTATTGAGAACAGCGAAGAGGCGGCTGGGCACCGGTTTTTAGCGTGCAACGGCGGCGTCAACGCGGTCGAGTTTATTCAGTTGGCCAATGCGGTGTTGAGCAACGGAGGACGTAGCGGAGGTCGTAGTGGAAATAATGATAAACAAGCATCATCTACTTCAACTTCTATCTTCCCCACCACCCGCCCGTGGTTCCGGATTCCGGCGGGATTACTCCGGTTTCTGCGCGACTACTTGAAGATTGAGGCTGTGGCGGACATGCTGCATTTGCAGGGCTTTGACGAGGTCGAGGTGGACATGGGGAACGTGGCGAAGGTGTTGAAAATGGAACAAAAAGACTTCCGGGACAAAAAGAAAGCTATTGTGGATATGGCCATTTCCATGCAGGAGTGGAAAATGGTCTGAAATGGAAGATAGAGTGAGGAGTTGTGCTCCTCCTGCCTCGAAGATGTCATCGTTTGGAAAGATGACCTTTATTCTCTTCTGTATGTCAACATGTATGATTTTTTGTTTTTGGTTATTTTTCCACCTGTCATGGATGAACTTCACGATCTTGATCTTCACGACGTTCTCTAGTAAGTACCTATTGGACAGATGTTGGTGTTTTGACGAGTTGACTCATGTCTGTTGGAGCCTCTTCACTTGTGGGCGCCGGACTTCGTTTTGCTTTCTACTAGCACAACACCGGGCATGATGCTTCTTCATCAACGCCAGCAGATAATTTTAAGCTTTATAGTTTTCTCAAACTTCCCAAAGCCCGCATGACATTTATTTTGAGCTCTGACTTTTTCCAACACCTGTATGATATGATTTTGAACTTCTTTCTCTTCGAGCTCTGAAGCCTATTGGTCAACACGAGCTCGCCTGTCAACCGGTGTAGCGTGCTACACTCGATGAAATCGCAATCGGAGCAAGACCCTAATAAACCTCACACACGAGCACGCCCCACTTCCAAATTCTTTGTATGATTTATTGGCAAGCAGGCACAACACCCAATTGTTTTACTGAAAAAACCATATACTGTTGTAACAAATGTTGAATTTGAAGACTGAAAGCACAAAGGGCATGAGAAGCCCATGACATAACTGATTGGACTCGGGTTCGGGTAAAAATTTTCGTGTGTCTGTTGGTTTCCAGGTGGTACTCATGATATTCATGACTTCTCTGGTGTAGTGACGAGGAGCAGATGCGCTCAACATTGCTTAATATTGTCTTGTGCAACTTCAAGCCGCACCATTGGTGAAGATGTTCGTCACGACTCTTCATAAAAAATATCGCCCGAACTACGACGATGACACACGCTGGATTTGTTCGTCCTCCAAAACGTCCTTCGAAATGTTGATGTAAGTATTTCGTCGAAAAGACGTTCGTGTTGAATAGGCTCATCAATAAACGTGGAAATCTTGATGCAGTGTGATGAAGATGCAAGGGCCAATCACGACAAAATCTATCACTCTCTGTTGAAGAGTAACGTGGTTTAGAAATAACGAAAAAGCATCTCAATCGCATTCGTTTTGGTCTTTCTGTGGCCTTTCCTCGTCGTTTCATTCTCATCGTACAACATGAAGATAAGTCACGGTGGTCGTGCAGCTTGTATTTGGAGTCGTACGTGAAGTATAATCTTAATCGTGTTGTGAACTGGTCAAGTGATAATTTTGGACCACCGATGAAAGTTCACTCGTTTCCTCTATGATCCTGGTGCGCTCGACGCCATCTCAGAACTACGTGCACAACTTCTGATGCAATTTTTCTGATTTATTGCTTACGCCCACATCAGTGTTGCTTTTTTCCCTGTTGCACGGGTAAACTGCAGTTCCGGGAGCAGCAGTTCTCTGTTTCTTCCTCGCTTTGATGAAAACACTACTTGTACTACTCTATTTTTTTGGAAAATCGTAAACAATCCTCAACCTCAAAGAAAGAACATGTTGTCCTATTTCAGCGCCGTAGAAGGTCCTATGGGACCTACTTCTGCGATGAAGAGAACCGCTTTCATCCTGCTCGTCCTGGCGACGCAGCAGGAGGTCGCCAGAAGGATGCTGGGCAACGGCGGCCAAGGTGCAATTTTCTGTGTGGAGGCTTTCGTGGCCACGCCGAAGAACCTGCTGAAGCGGAATGTCAAGACGGCCAAGGTGGCGCCGGCAGCGATCATGAACCATGGTGCCGAGGGACGAGGAGATCCACAAGCACAAGAGGCGAAGGAGAACATTAAACCGGAGCCTTTCATCGCACCAGCTGCTGCACCCGCTACCACGGCCACGGCAAGCGATGTTGTTGAGAAAGAAAAGCAGAGCTTGCTGGCGAAAAACCGAAACACTGAAAAGAAACAGGCAGGTCAACACGAAAATATTAAACCAGGTGCACCGAAAAGTACGCTACTGCAGTTGCGGAAACAACAGAAAGTGGCAGCAGCTGGCGACTCCAGTAAAACCAGGAGCGAATCTTCTGGGGTGTTACAACTACCGGAGGAGAAGGCGACGAAAATTCCAGGTGGCGACGAGGACAACGACGTTGTAGCAGATCAGCATCAGACTGAACCGCAAAAAGTGCCATCTTCTTCGGGTGAACAAGATGTTGAAAACGAGGCTCATGATTATGAAGACGACCACTCCACCCCGGGAAGTGAGATGAGCGCTACAACATCCTCGTCATCCTCCATGGTCGAGAGAAACTCGAAGGAAGAACAGGAACTCCAGGACAGCCGTCGGCGACGACGCGATGGCAGACGGCGCGACGGGCGGCGGCGAGACGGGCGGCGTCGGTCTACTTCCACAGAGACGGCCAGCACTCCCACCGGGCGGCGCCGCCGCCGACGCAGCACGTCGGAGAGCAACACGAACGAGGATTTCCACCCGAAAAATTGCCCCTTTCTGACGCTGCAAAACGAAGTCCGGACGACAACGAACGAGTACGAAATGGAATGCAACGACGGGACGGTGCAAAACCCCCACTCTTCTTCCAAAGAACAGGAAGACTGGGCCAACGCGGACGCCTGCGTCTCGCACGGCGGCCGGGCGCGATGCCCACTGGGACACGTATGCAATGTAAATTTCCCGTACTTAATACACGTAGAAATGCGGTCCCTGCATGACAAAACTTGGCTCCGGTCCTCGTTTAGCATGACAAGTTTCACGCTTTAAATTGGTGAAATTTGTGATGCATCTTGTATATGTACGGGAAATTTGTATTGCATAACACGGCATGTGTGCGTACGACAACGACTGCGCGGGCGGAAAAGATATCCTGTGCAAAAGTATCGCGCTCGTAGTAATTGCGATCATGCATGACAGATATCCCTTTTTGGGTAAATCAGCATTACAAATTCCATTTTTCTTCTTGAAAACATTTGTGATGCAATTTATACTAGTACGATACTTTTGCAATGCATAAAAGACTTCTGCTGCATGCTTCCAGCGGAGACAGGCTGCAACGAGGGACATGGCGGGGTCCGGAAGTGTCCGGAATATCCAAGAAGAAAACGTTGCTAGTGGAAATTTGTGATGCGCAACATGCAAGATGATTGCGTCTGTCATGCTTGGCATGCATTGTAGGGCCCATTACAGGGCGTTTTCGCATACTATCTGCGCATGACAGGTTTTTGCTGTCATGTCACCCAGATTTGTAATGCTGTTCCGCCAAAAAAGTTACACCTACAACGTTTTTTATTGGATACGGAAATGATGTCATCTACTTCCGCGGCGGGCGGGGGCGCTACGAGTGACCAGGAAGACACTTCTGATTATGGCACGAACTCTGATCTGCCCAGTGCTAACGGCGAGAGCAGCGACTACGGAAGTTCCTCGGAATCGGACTATAATGAGGATGAATACGAGGAAACTCAAACGACAACTGCTAGCACTAGCACAACAACCTCTACGACTACGACCACCACAACTTCGAACCCAGCCTGTCCGTCGGAGAAAAAACTCCAGTGTCCCTGGCAGTGTCCCTGGGATCCGCCGGTGCCCTTGGACACGAATGAAATGCTTTGCGGGGACAACACGGTCTGCAACGTCGGTCTCGAGGGCTGGAGCTGTTGCAATGCCCACGGCGGCCGCAAGGTGTGCCCGAATGGATATCAGATGTGCGCCCAGAACTCCAAATGCAAAACCGACTGCAGCACGGCCGGAGGATTACGCGCGTGTGAGGATAGTACCACCACACCTCCTCCCCCCGTAGTGCAGCAGTTTTCCGCTTCCGCCGCCGCACCGGCGCCGGTAGTTTCAACATCTTCGAACGCAGTCGTACAACAAAACCGAAACAATTTCGACGATTCCCACAGCAAGTGCAAGATTTTGTCGCAGCACCGCGCGAAATCCGACAGCATCAATGTGGTTTTCCTGCCCTCCGGCTTCAGCAGCGGCGAAATCTCGAATGGGAGCTGGAAAAACCACGCAAAACGGATTTACCGCGAGTTGACGAACCGCTATCCAGGAAAAAAACTGTGTAAGTGTAACTTTGTAGGAAGAGCAGCATCACAAATTCGTTTTGCATTACAGAAAAAACCTGTCATGCGCAGATTGTACGTGAAAACACGTACGAAACACGTCTATGACGCACTTCCAGCATGACAAGTGTAACTGATTTGCGTTTTTTGCATCACAGATTTACACTTACACAGTTTTTTTTCTTGCATAACCGCTACGCCATGTTCAACGCCGACGAGAACGAGGGCTTGAACATGTTTTACGTGAACGAAAAGGCAGCGGAAGACCACGGGCAGCTTATAAAATGTAAAAATGTCTGGGTCTGGAAGATTGCCAGGTTTCTCATGCACATTTTGCATGACTCCTGATGTCTGTGATGCATGCCCTAGCATCACAGATTTTGTGAGGGCTTCCTGATGCCTATACCGCATGACAAATGCTCTTGCCGTGTAGCAAAACTTGGACTCTCTTTGCTGCTCATGCAATACAGATTTTTTTAGGATCCAAAATCAGCATGACAAGTTGGATTCTTCCAGACCCAGACACTTTTACAGTTGACACAGCTGTGCAAGGTGCAATCCACGTTGCTGCTCTGCGAAGTCGAGGTGTTCCAAGCGGTCGCGCGCCACGAGTGCGGGCACGGCTTCTTGATGAGCTACTTATCAAATGCAAATATGTTGTCTGGGTCTGGAAAGTTGAAACTTGTAATGCTGGTCTTGCATTCCTGTGGCTGTGAAATCTGTATTGCATGACCAACAAATGTGGCAGCCTCTCACGTCATGATACAAAAACGCAGTTTCTCATGCGGAGTTCGTATGATAAAGCGTTGCGCAGACTTGTCATGCTTTCCTGCATGAGGAAGTTCTTTTCATCATGCACATTTTAAGCATCACAAATTTCCAGACCCAGACATATTTGCACTTGATGCTACTTGATTGTCCACAACGACGCGGTTTCCTGGGCTGGGGCTGCTTACTCCTGGCTGTCCGCGGCGACCATCACGTTGATGGATCAGGGCATTGACGCCGCGGCGCACGAACTCAGCCACAGCATGTTTGGTCTGGGCGACGAGTACGCGGCGCGGCAATCCACGGCGACAAGAAAGCCCAACTGCGACCACGACAAGCAAGGCTGTCTGAACCGCATCGCGGATTTACGAGCGGTGTTTGGTGACGAGAAGGTGGGGACCTGCGTCTACGGCTACTGCGAGAACAACGCGTACTACATCGCCAAGGAGTCCATCATGATCTACATCTCGCTGCAAGAGTTCGGGTACGCGAGCGAGAGAGTCGGGTGCTGCAAGTACTATTTGGTGTTGGACGTCACGCCACCGTATTGCGAGATATGCAGTGCAAAAGTACCATTGTACTAGTACGAATCGCCGTCGTGCATGACAAATCCATCAACTAAGGGACATCAGTATTATAAATTTCATTTTTGTTTCTTGAATGAAAAATTTGTGATGCGATCTATATTATACTAGTACGATGCTTTTGCAATGCATACGAGAAGTTCAACAGCAATGGTTTGACGCCCTTGAGGGCGTTCTGCAAAGACCTTCAGCAACAGTACGAGGCCCACACCGAGGTCTGGAACTACGACAGCCAAACCAGCGCGCCCGCGGCTTTCGTGGAAATGGGAAAGAAAGAGAACGAACACGATGAAGTTCTGGATAGTAGTACCGTTGATGAAAAAAATCCACAAAAGAAACTCCTCCTTCCACCGGCTGGTGCAGCAAGAAGCGCCGCCGCACAAGAAAATGAAAATCAAATGCCGCGCCGGCGGAACGTCAGGAGAACCAGCACTAGACGAAGCAAAATGACAGGCGAGGAAAACAACAGCTTCTCCCCCCTACACAAAGTTTCGTTCACGTCTTTCGCCGAAGTCGCGAACCGAGACTGTCGCTTTCCGAATATGAATTGCAACAGTATCGGACTAGTATAACTTGCAATACAAATAATTAGCTCAGCATTACGATCACAAATAATTGAATTTGTAATGCGGGTTCACCTTAACAACTAGATTTGTCATGCTTGACCGCAATCAGAAGTTAGTACGAGTGCGGTACTTTTGCACAGGATGCCGAAGCTGGAGCAGCACATTTTAGAAGGTGACGACGAAGCCTTCTCGGAGCACGGCGCCGCCCATGTTTTGGTAGAACAAGCGGTGGAATGGGTGTGTAAGATCTCTTCCGCTTCGGGTTCCGGTGGCGGGAACACCGATCAGAAACCAAAATGCTTCCAAGCGGCGATTTCCGAGGAGAATGAAGAGGGGAGCGCGGACTTGTGTGCGGGGATGTTTCAGCGCAACGAGGTGCATGGGGACGTAGAGGACACCAGTGGCGAAAACAAGCAGTGCACCGAGGAACAAGTCCAAAAAGACAAATCCATCGTGAAAGTTGACGTGTACAAGAAAAAGAACCCGACGAGCGGGAATGCCGACAACATGGGGAAAGAGAGCGCAACATTTGACCGGAGTCTTTGTTTTTACAACTACGATATCGCGGATCCCATGCTATCCATTGCGGAAGTATGTATCTGGGTCTGGATACAAATTGGGAGAGTTGTTTGATGTCGTGCACGTTTTACATGACCCACGAGAATGCCTATAATGCTGATGCATGCTCTAGTAGCATATTCACAGCTTTCGCGAGAGCTTGATGATGCTTAGTTTTCTGCATGAGAAACAGAAAGAGAAATGTCCTTTCCGGGCGGCGATATTGACCTGAGTACCTTTTGCTGCTCATGCAATACAGAACAATGTATGTTGATCGAAGAGTAGCTGCAGATCACACCAAATCCAATTCTTGCCAGACCCAGACACATGATTTGCAGTTGATACATTCCCCCGCGGGACAAAAACGACAAGGTCAGCTTGGAGGAGGTGCGCGTGCCGCGGAAGTCGTTTGCAGTGATTTTGCAGTTCGGGGAAGTCATCTTTGACTGACGTTGTAACCACACCAAGTACACCTACACACAGTAGGAGAAGAGGAAGCAAGCTTTAGCTTTGATAACTTATCGCGAGCGGTGGGAGGACAGCCAAACGGAAGTGTAACTCATGTTGGTACTACTCACACATCTTGTTTACCATATCTAATCATGATCATCTACATATTCGTTTTCGTTTCTGCAGAGTTTTTAAATTTAAAAGTCACTCCGAAATAAAGCATACGCATCCATGATCTTTCACAGTAGACGTAATTCTCGAAGTGACTCGGTCACTTCTTAGTTGCACTTGCCGTCAAGGTTTTTTTGATTTCAAACAAGTTTCGCGCCAGTTGGCTTTTCCGAATTTAAATAAACAGCGTTTTTCTTTTTTGTTTATTCACCAAATTTCTACAGACAATTGCATTCCTATTTAAGTAGTACCTTCACAGCTACCCTTTACCGAATGAAGGGGGTCTCCATGATAAACTTGCTTGCACTTTTGAACATATTTTTTTTTTCTACCCAGAGTATTTTCTAAGCGGTTCCACCAGGGAATGAAACCGTGGGGGCACTACCTCCCCTCATGGTCGTGGTAGTGGAATCATATTAGATGACGCTCCCAACGAAGTAGACGAAGCAGTGGGCATCCCTTGCTGCCTGGCGCAGAGGACGAGATGGAGATATTGTCGAAGTTGTGCGTATCCATTCGTCCTGGAGCTGCAAGATCATTGGAGAACAAATCTCATTTTTACCCGCGTTTTTACACTACTTAAGTACGTTCATTCCACCTCGCATCCGCATCAAAAATAAAAACAATAGACAAATGATCCATGATGGGCAGAAGAAGGTCCTCATGCGGCGCCAGGTGTTGAATGAAATAAACATAGAGTTGCCTCGCCCTCCCGAGAACGTCGCCTTTCACTATATTCACAGATCACGTTGATGTCGCACAGTGTGAGTGTCAGTAGCGGCACAATTGTTAGCCGCAAGTGCTAGAATTTGTAATAGCAGGAGGACGGGTATGTATGATTATTTTGCAGTTCACAACTACTAGTAGCGAAGAGGCGCAGGTGCGAGCTCGGCTATTTCTTAATCGTAAACACCCAGGATGAAGAAATTGTAGTTGTAGAACGATGTTGTAAGCATACATACTCGTGCACCACCGTCGTACACCCAATCGTGCTGACGAACTTCCGTTATTTGCTTCAGCTTATTTCCTATCGTCCGCCTCCGCTCCTAAAACTAGCAACTTCGTTCTTCTCCCATCGTCCGTGGTCGTCACAGCGTCGTGTCATCTTCCGCTTGCACAAGTACGATGTTTCCAGATGTACGATGTGGTACTAGTCGACACAAAAATTCTATGACCTTATTTCTCGACATCTTCGCAGGAACAATTCTACTTGCAGTTGTAACTACCACTTTGGTGTTGTTACTCGCACGTCGCTTTTTTTTAAAAAAAAGAAAAATCGGATCTTTGACTTGGTACTAAGAAAGCGAAAGCCGCACATTTATTTTGCTCCTCCTTGCTTCCACTTTCCGTTTTTTAAGTGAGTATTCGTAAAAAAATCTTCTTATACCTGCTTCGCAAGAATTGTAGCGCGTACATCGAAAAAACCACCAACCAGCATGATGACGCATTCAGTCTTGCGCGGCCAGAACAACAGGTTCGTCCGACGAGCATCCGCACTCGCGTTGTCGGCAGCCGCATCATCCTCGGTGGTGTCCGCTTCCAGTGTGAGTTTGCTGAGCCGGAAGAAGACCTCAGTCCGCTCATCTGCTGGAACTACTACTAAATCCTCCTCGCGCATCACGAGGAAAAATGATGAATCTGCTACAACTACTAGTACTACCGCGCGGGAGGACTACAGCACAAAAATTGTGCTCGGCTTTGAAGGCGAAAATAAACACAGGGCCGCCGCGGCGAGGACTTCTGAGGAGATGACAGCGAACAACAAGCCCATGACCACCTCGACGTTGCTTCAGAAAGCAAAAGATAAAACGACCGTGCAGGTCTTTACCGAAATCTCTTCGAAAAAGCAATCGTTTGCATCCCAGCATCAAGCGAAAATGGGACAAGAAACGACTCAGAAAGCGGAAGCAAAGCGGCGCCGCAGAAGTAGAGGAAGTTCCTCGAGTGGTCGTCGTGGCCGGGCCGCTGCAAAGCCGGCGAAGCCGAAGCCGCCGTCTTACGACCCGGAGGAGCTCGTGCGCTGTCCCTGGCTGGAGGGTTCCAGCCGCGACGGCTACCTCGAGTGCAACGACGGCTCGCTGCAGCAGGTCAGGGGCGGGGGTTGGAACCGGTGCCAAGACCGCGGCGGCCGCAAACGGTGCCCGAAGAACCAGCCCGTGATGTGCGCCAAGCCGAACGACTGCGTGGGCGGAACGGATTACTGCTGCAAGGACTCCGCCTGGGAATGCCATCAGTCCTACGACCACGGAGAGCTCAGGAACCACTGGGGTCCCCGGGGTTGTCCAGCTGCTGCTGCTTCCACTAGTACTCCAAAACCCGCCACCACCACTCCAAAACCCACGACCTCCACGACAAGACCCACGACGTCCACACCCCTACTTCCGACCACTACACAACCCACGACGACTACACCCCTTCCGACGACTACTACAAGACCCACGACGTCCACACCCCTTCCGACCACCACACAACCAACGACGTCCACACCCCTTCCGACCTCCACCACAAGACCCACAACGTCTTCTACACCCGCCCTTCCGACCACGACTGCACCCCCTCCAACCACCACGACACCAAAGCCCCCCTCCACGGCCGCCGTCGCAGCTCGTGCCCCGCCGTCGGCGCCCGCCATGACGATGGCAGTGCCGGCTTCTGTGCCCGAAGCGTCGCCGATTGAGGGGAACCCGCACTGCAAGGCCTTGTCCGCGAACGTGCCCAAGGCAAACGCGGTCAACCTGGTGCTGCTCTATCAAAAGGAAAAATCCCCCCTCTCCATATCGAAAACGAAACTTGTGATGCTGTATTTGAGTAAAAAAATCGACTTGTAATGCTAGAAGGCCAAGAGACGCAGCTGTGGCCTCGTTTGCAGGCAATTTGTCATGCTGCTTCCCACTTCCAGTTGCCCCCTGTCATGCTAAAGATGCAAGGCTTTCCCACGCCAACCAGCCCTACAGTCCGCATCTTTTCCCTTCTAGCATGACAAAGCTGATTTGTGGCCACAAATCTGCACCACAAGTCTCTAGTTTGAGTATGGGGGGGGTGGATTTTTCATTTCGATATGCTCCCGAGCAACTTTGCACACGACGACTTTGGGGACGCCAACGGGAACGGCAACGTTTGGGCGGACAAGGCGCAGACGGTGTTTCAGGGGCTGAGCACCTACGCTCCCTTTGACGCGGCCAACAACGCAGCCTTGAACGTGTTCTACGTGAACCAGCGTCTGGACGAGGAGATGTACGCCTATGACAACGACGGGGACGCGCTTTGCTGGTACGGCTGCCACGACGTGGACCGGTTGCTGTGCTGCGTGATCTCCGAATTCTGGAAGCACGCCGAGATGCACTGCGGCAGCGGGTTCCACACCACCCTCCTCGTCATCCACAACTCGCCCAAGTACGGCGGGGCCGGCTACGCCGCGCAGTCGGCCGCCACCATGTCGCTCGACAATGCCGCGCTGCAGATCGCGGCGCACGAGCTGGGTCACGCCATGTTCGGCCTTGGCGACGAGTACAGCCAGGGCACCGCGACCCCGGACACGAAGCCGAACTGCGAGTTCCGCAAGAGTTGCGAACGCAACCTGAGTATCAAATGTAAAAGTGTCTGGGTCTGGAATATTCTGAGATTTGTCATGCATGTTTTGCATGACCCAGGATGTCTGTAATGCACGACCGCGCATCACAGATGTTGAGCGGGCTTCCTGATGCCTACTCCGCATGACAAACGCCCTTCCCGCGTAGCACAAACTAGACTCCTCTTGCTGTTCATGCAATACAGATTTTTCTAGAGTCCAAAGTTAGCATCACAAGTTCCAATCTTCCAGACCCAGACACTTTTACATTTGATACTGAGCGGGTCCGAGGGTCTGGAAGTGGTGTACCGGCCGCAGGATATCACGCAGTATTGAGAGGAAAAATCCCCCCTCCCCATATCGAAAAGGTGCGTTTCCGAAAATTTGTCTTGCTGATTTGAGACCACAAATCGCGTCTGTCTTGCAAGAACACAACTCCACACGTTCTGCCGCATTATGCAGGCGGTTTGTGATGCTGTTGCTCCTACAGCGTAGTCGTTTCTCATGCTAAGCGATTAGGCAAAAGCACTCTACTCAGGCTTGGCAGGAGCCTGCAGTCCTCTACTGCAGGACAAACCTGATTCGTATACGCAAGTCCAGCATCAGAGACTTCCTGTCGATATGTGGAGGGGAGATTTTTTCTTGTGATACGCAGGCCGCGAAATTTCCCACGACGGCGGCGGCGGCTTTGCAAAGCAGCCAGATGCACGTGCCGGCCTGCGCGGTATGCATTGCAAAAGTGTCTGGGTCTGGAAGATTGCTGAGGTTTGTGATGCTGTGTCTGCTTGACACGGAAGGTGTGCCATGCAAGGCCTAGCATCACAGGGCTTGATGAGACGGCTTCCCAATGCTTAATCCGCATGACAAACTAACACCTTCTTTCGGCGACAGGAAAAAGAGCTCCCTTGGCTGTCTAAGCATGACAGATTTTTGTATGATCCAAGTATGCATCACAAGTTCGCATCCTTCCACCAGGCCCAGACATTTTTGCATTTGATACGCGGGGCACCAGTACTACACGGCCAGCGTCTATCCCAGGAAAAAAGTGTTACGGTTACACATTTGTAGTCAATTCAGCAACACAAATTTATTCTCTGCATGAGAGAGAAAACAACTTGTAATGCAGAAATCCTACGGGAAAACCAAAACTCCTATGAAACGAGGCTTCCATGCGTATCCGGCATGACAGAGCTGGTCTGTCTTGCTTGGCCTATAAAAACACAATGCGCAACTGTAACACTTTTTTCTTTGCATAGCGTTTCCATCATGGCGGAGCTGGACAAACCCTGGGGCATGGCCAACCTGCGACTGACATGTTGCAAGTGGTACCTACTGAACGAGGGGATTCCCGAGTATTGCATCGAGTACGACCAATTTGGGTTGTCCCTGCACGACTTTTGCCATCACGTCCGAGTGGAATTCGACACCTCGCTCAACATTTGGGACTACAATTCGTTTGCGCAGATTGAAGATGATATTGATGTTGTTGACGGAGATGATATTGGAGCAAGAACAGCTACTGGGTCTCGAAGGAAAAGTACTCTTTCCTCAGGAGCATCTTTGCCATCATCTTTTGGGGGGCAGTTTAGTGGAGAAGGGGACGACCGCCAAGGCGGGGACTTGTTGGCTCAGGAAATTGATGTAAAGGAAAGAACCAGTGTAGTGTCTCTTGACGAGGAAAAGGACATGCAATTTTCGTCGGACTTACGCCAGACCGGTGTTGTTGAAAACAACATCAACAAGAATAATAAAGCTACGAAGACGAGGAACCCGACCGGTAGTACAAGAACAGCAAACCTGTTGAAGAAACCAAGGCCGCTGTCTCTCTTGCAAAAGTCCACCGAGGCGAAGCTGCGGGCGGAACTGGAAGCGCACGAAAAACGAGTAGAACGGAAGCAACAAGCTCGGAAGGCAAGAAACGAGAACTACACAGCTGGTAGTACGCTTGAAACAAGCGCGGCTAAAACTAAACCAGCAGATGAAACGAGCGAGATCCACATGTCCGAAGCGATGCAGAAGAACTTTCTGCCCCTGATTGAAACGAGAACGTTGGAAGGCAACAACGAGCCCGGGCTCGAGGTGAAGCACATTCTGGTGGAGCACCCGGTCGAGTGGGAGTGCGTCGGCGGGCGGGGAAATGACGGCTACGTGTGTGCGGAAGCTGTATCAAATGTAAAAATGTCTGGGTCTGGAAGAATGCATGTTTGTCATGCTTGTCTGGCATGACTCTGAAATCTGTCATGCACGTTACCCAGGAGCTCTGTTTTTCTGTGATGCAGGAACGGAGTTTGTCATGCAGAATAGGCAATACCTAGAAGCTCAGAAACTTGTCATGCTGAGCGAGCATTTGTGGCCTCATCATGAGACGCCACCCAGCATTACAAGTTTCCAGACCCAGACATTTTTACATTTGATAAGCTGTGCAGCTGATCAATGCAGTAGCCGAGATCGAGGCGCAAACCTTCGGGATCGGGCTATCAGATGCAAAAATGTCTGGGTCTGGAACATTCTAAACTTGTGATGCTGTCTCTGGATTCTGAAAAAATTTGTATTGCATGACCAGCAAGAGGACTCCAGTTTGTGCTATGCGGAGAGGTCATTTCTCATGCTGTAGAGGCATCACAAAGCGCTCTAAAAATCTGTGATGCTACGGCATGCATCACAGACATCGTGGGTCATGGAAAATATGCATGACAAATCTAGAAATCTTCCAGACCCAGACATTTTTACGTTTGATACGGGCAGTACCTGAGCAACCTGGTGCACGGAGACATCGACTGTGACCATCTCGACGACGACATGCTTGCGGAGGTGGCCGAGGGACCCCTGAAAAAGGACGACGTGGTGAAGATCGACGTGTTTATGCAATACAAATTCCCCGTACATGGATGTACAAGGTGCATCACAAATTTCACGAATTTGGAGCGTCAAACTTGTCATGCTAAACTAGGATCGAAGCCAAGTTTTGTCATGCAGAGACCGCATTGGCATTTGTACGTCGTGCACGGGAAATTTACTGTGGATAGTGTTCCGTGCGGGGGGTCACCAAAACAAACAAAGTTCTTCTTCTACGGGGCAAGATGAACCTGCTGAAGTAGAGCAGGCTGGCGAGATGAAGGTGTTTGTCCGCAGCATGTGCTTTTTCAAATTTAACAATGTGGAGCAACCGCCGCCAACCGGCGCCGACGACCACTTGGACCACCACGAGTTGCGGGTCTCCCGCAAGAGTTTCCCGGTCATTCTGCAACGCGGGGAAACTTATGCACTGCAAACATGTCTGGGTCTGGAAGATGAAAAATGCCGGACCTGTCATGCTTGTGTGGCATGATTGTAAGCTAAGGTCTGTGATGCATGCGCACGAAGAGCATCTCTTGCCTGTCATGCAAAAACGCAGTTTGCCATGCCGAGTACGCAAGAACACATAGCAGCTCGAAAATTTGTCGTGCGTGGCTGCTGCATATAATTCAAGTCCCTCCATCAGTCGCATACTTGCGTCACAACTTCCCAGACCCAGACATATTTGCACTTGATAAAACCTGTGCACAATCGAGGTTCGACGTGTAGCTGTAGATGAAGTTGACCGGCGGGATTTATCCGTTGAAGAGGAGGCGACAAACAGGAGATACCAACTTTTTTTGGCGGAAAGAAGGAAGTAGACATTCATGATGATAGCAAGAGAATACGTCAGCAGTGCGATTGTGATTAAGGTCTACCTTTTCTTATACTTTAGTTGTCCTACGCATGACGTAAGTAGTAGCCTTTCGCTCTCAGTTTTGCTTTTGCGGCAGCATGGGTCGTTTTGCCCTCTTTGTCATTGTCTTAACTCGTCAGCATTTACATAATTTTTCTTTTTTGATTTTTTACATTCCGATTCTTTTTTAGCTTTTTACTTGCACGACATGGACATCCCGACGTCTCGTTTTCCTTTATATTTATACGTTTTTTCATGTGTTTCATTATTTACTTCGTTGTCGTTGCGAGTGTTGTGCCACCTGGTTTACTTTTGCCCCCATCATGATTAGACGACAAGACGAGCTCTTCTATTGGGTAAAGCACGTAAGAGAAAAATGAGTCTCCGCGTAGAGCCCAAAGCACTTGCACTGTAGAAGGACCCTAATTTTTGCTACGTCAGAGCAGCTGCATTCTGATAAATACTTCTGTGCGCCTGCTGTAGATGTAGTGTAAGTGTACTATCTTGAAGATAATTATTTCTGTCGCTTTTTCGTTCTGCATCTTCACCAACACGAAAACCTCATCTCGAGGACGAGCAGCGACAGTTATATAAGTAAGATCATTGTTCAATTTGAAACTCGGTCGGCCAAGATCAAGAAGGTAAACAAGAGGGATGAAACAGAAAAACATAAACAAGTGAAAGAGGAGCGATATCTGTACTGATACATCTCGTCGTCCCGGTCCACCTTTATTGCCTCGGTGCGTGGTCGTGGTATCAACATACATGGAAAATAAAGCTAGTAGTGGATCAGAAGTGAAAGCAAAGCAAAATGCGATGGATCGAAATTGTTTCAAGTCAGTGAAACTGAATAAATCAAGAACATTCCGTCGAGACAGTAGCTCAACAGTGACGATCATCTCGGTGGATCATTTCTTGGAGGGTCTAAGTAGGATACTCAATTTGACTCCAGAATGAAACCTATACCTGGTCGGTGAGATGTGTCTGAATCTGAAAACAACGAAACACAAAGTAGAGCACACTTCGTGGCTCAGTTTGGTATTGTTTTCGTGAAGTAGAAACATTAACATAAAACATCTATCGTGTATGTCGGTCAGCACTGCATCTCTTTGATGAAGATGGCTCGCAATTCTTGTGCACCTGCACATCCTTGCTCCTTACTACAACCCACAGTAACAGTTCCCGCCCTAACGTCTGACCACTTTCTTAGATCTTACCCTTAAGTTTGAATCAAGTTGAGATCCGTCTTTACCGTTTGACGACCAACTTCTTACACGACCTTGTTTTTAAAACCTTAGAAAAAAAAACAACAAGCACTTTCTACTAGCGCGTCTACTTCTGGTAACGCGACAACTTCTGCTGGGAGGTCGTCTTGTGCTAACAGCTGCAGCTGAATAAGTTTTTGCTGTCGCCCTCGCCCCCTACTATTTGCATTTTTAATTTTTCCTTTTCCCTTCGCGCACGCTTAAGATCAGGAAAAATTTCATAAAACAAGTGCCGCTTTATCGAAAAATCAATCCTTTTCATTGCTATTTCATCACATCATCTCGCACAAGAGCCTGAATGATCAAAATGCAGCCACGTTTTCTTGCGTTTGTCGTTTTGCACTTGTCGACGGTGGCAGTGGTCAGCGCGGCGACGGCCGGGCTCGGGTCGGGACTTGATCGCGGCGGTGGTATGGAACAGTGTCAGGTGCTGGGTTGAAATCGTAGGCGCTAAGGGGCGGGACGCATTTTGCGTATAAGTGCTATTTCATCCAATCTTCGTGCAGCAACATGGGCAAAAAAAGCAGACATTTTTTGTGTCGCAACATTCTTGCATCCAACGCAGAGGATGAGGACTTTTGCTTTTCTGCTCGTAATATATTTGTTTCGATTTCACTTTGCAGATTTCGATTTCCACCCAGCAGCGCCTGCCACTGTGATAGATAAAAATGATGAGGATCACGCACACGGACACGGACTCGATGCGCATGCGTCAGAAGAAATATCAAATGCAAATATGTCTGGGTCTGGAAAAGTGAAGCCTGTACTTCTGTGTATGTATCTATTTCGATTTCTGTAAAATCTGTCTCTGTATTGCATGACCAACAACAAGGAACGAGTTGTGTTTTGTCATGCAAAAGCACAGTTTGAATTTCTATTTCTAAATTTAATGCGCACTACCACTATCTACGCACCAGGAAGCGTCCTCGGGTTCGGGATTTGTCATGCTGGGCTCCACTCGGGAGTATGTTCAATCATCGCCACTCAGCATCACCAGTTTCCAGGAGGCCCAGATGCATTTGCAAGAATGCATAAGAAACGAAAGGGAACTATCAAGTCTTGCTGGAACTTCGAAATCTTCTTTACGGACGATTTGAAAATGAAGATGAGTACTATGATTCACCTACCAAAGAGTTTGGTGAACTGATGGCGGAGCTGTCGCAGTCGCCTATGATGGTACACAAGTCCTGCTCCTCTCTCAACATGAAAATTTGTGATGCAAAATACCAAATCCACACTCTGCCTTGAAGCAGCACTGTTTGCATGAGAGATCATTCTTAAACAACTTCTACTACCTTCAACAGCATTACAGTACGTCTGCAGATCTGCCATGCAGAAGCCTCATTTCTGCCGTCGCTTGTGTAGTTGCTTCCCACCAGCATGATGCCCTCATCAAATGAGGGGGTGGGGGAGGGGGTGGTGGAGTTGTGCACTCTCATATCGGAAGATCGGCAAGCTGTAAAGGAGTTGCTTGCTCCGTTCGGGTTCCGCCAGCAGCCCGCTGACGCTGGTCCTTGGGTCTTTTCTATTCCCTACGCACCTTCTCTTCTCACACGCAATGATGGCGTTGCCCCTATTCACATCTGGCGTTACAATCTACGTCGTTTCGACAGCTACCACAACCCGCTCCCGCTCCCGGGTTACTGGAGTATTTCCCTATGCATTGCAAAAGTATCGTACTAGTATAAGTCGCATTACAAATATTTCCAGAAGTATGAAAAATGGAATTTGGAATCCTGAATTTGATTTTGCTAAGAAACAGGATTTGTCATGCATGTTGATTGCAATTGATATTGATATTGAATTAGTACGACTACGATACTTTTGCACAGGATGTTCCCCGGCGACCACCAAACTGCGCCTCTACCTCCAAACAAGCCATTGACGTATTTTTATTGTCCTCTACTCCTGTGGTCGTGCCTGCTGGCGGGCGGGACAGAGGGGCTGCATTTTTGCGACTTTTTTGAAATAAGTAAAACATACGAAGATCATATGTATCTCTACTAGCCTCTTGACGCGGGCGCCCCGGACGCCCGCTGGGCTAGTAGATTTAAAGATAATTCTAAAGATGGGAATGTGTTCAGAAGGTCTGGCTTGGAGTCGAATAGAATGTGGCGAGAAGGTTGAAAAGCATAGCGCTGCCTGCCGCGAGGAAGATCGTTGCCGCGCCTGCGCCTGTCCTAGCGGCCTCGCAGCTTTAACGCCTTTTGCGGTCCGGCGTCCAGGACGCCGGCCCGCCGTCAGCCCTTTAGCCGCGTTGCCGCGCCTGCCTGCGCTTGCCCTAGCGGCCTCGCCGCTTTAACGCCTTTTGCGGTCCGGCGTCCAGGACACCGGCCCGCCGCCAGCCCTTTAGCCGCGTTGCCGCGCCTGCGCTTGCCCTAGCGGCCTCGCCGCTTTAACGCCTTTTGCGGTCCGGCGTCCAGGACGCCGGCCCGCCGTCAGCCCTTTAGCCGC